ATCACCAAGCTCAGCGTGCGGCTTTGGCAGGTTGCTTCCCTGTTGTGTTCACATGCAAAAAGCGACCGAGTACATGTAGGAAAGCCCTTCAAGTAAGAGTCATTCATTCAATAAAAGAGCCTTGATTCTCTTGAGAATCCCGCGTCCCTGTTTTGATCCCAGATAACGCCATGCAATGCCAAACCGCATCACCGAAGGGGGATTATACAGGCCTCCTCTCTACTACGTGGCAAAAGAACCCCGCCTAGCCTTCTAGTATCCTCCTCTCCCTCCCGCCTTCCTGCCAGTGACCCCGTTCAGTCCAAGTTGAAAGCCCAAAGATACACGCGAACGCACAGAGTGACAGAAGATCACGACGACGCCTTGGTCACCGCCGCGTTGAGGACCTGCGTCCGGAAGAAGCCACCCTTTGTCTTCTCAATGACCTGCTGGTAGACGTTATTGGGCGGGTGGTTCATGACGACGGTGCCGTCTTGGCTGTCAATCTTGGCGTCGAGGCGCGTCTCGCGGATCAGGTTGACGATCCACTTCTCGCCGTCGGCCGGGTTAAGGCCGAGCTTCTCGCTCAGATCGTGAATGTTCATGCGGCTGAAGATCTTGCAGTACGACTCGCAGATGAGGTGGCGGGCGGCGTCGACAAAGGCGTCGGCCGAGGACGCGAGGAAAAAGTCGGAGCGGCAGACCTGCTCGGCGAGGCGGAGGGCCTCGCGCGCCGACTCAAAGTCGTGCGCAATGTAGAGCGCGTTCACAAACTGGGTCAGGGGATCGGTGTACTCGTAGGCCTCCTGGCGAACATAGCGGACAATGTCCTTGAGCTGCTTCTGCTGGAGAGACGAATTGCGCCCACGGTTGCGGCCGGTGATGACGGCGGCAATGAGGTAGCGCAGGACCCACGGGCAGCTGGTCTGGATGGTGTTGATAAAGGCGGCGGAGAAGAACATGTCTAGGATGGGATCCCGGGCCGTGTCCGAGTTGAACAGGGGGAACAGGCACCAGTGCACCAGCATGGTCCTGTGGTCGAGCTGCGCGCGCGGGTTGCTGAACAGGCGCGTGTCGATGCCTTCGCGGACATTCTTGATCTCGTCCACGACCGCGTCCCAGTTGGTCTGCAGGATCTCGGAGGCGAGCTTGCCCCATGTCGCGGCAGCCACCTTGTCGTTGTCGGTGGACAGGACACGGAACTGGTAGAGCATATCGGCGGCGGGTCCGTACTGACCGCACCGGAACTGGAACTGGCCAAAGTCAAAGAGCGCATTCACCATGTCCATGGTCACCTGTGCAAAGTTAGCCCCCCTGTACCCTCGCCCTTGCGGTCTGCAGACGTACACCGTGCTCCTTCTTCAAGAACTCCAAGTTGGCGAGCTTGTCGCTCCTCAGCCCGTTCAAGACCTCATCTTGTGTCAAGAGATCCGCAATCTTGGCCGTCGCAGCCTCGTGCTTCTCGAGATCGGCCAGCACCTCTTGCCTCTTCTTGTTGTACTCGGCGGGCGCCTCGTCGGTGCCGTGCAGCTCGCAGTACAGGCTCGCCACGTAGTCGGTCATGTTGGTGTCCTCCAGCAGCTTGATCTTGCCGCTGGCAATCTTGCGGGCTTTCTCTTCTAGGCCCTGCTCTTCGGCTTGTTCGTTCTCATACTGGATGAGCGGGAAGAGAAGGTGACGGCTGAGATGGGGCGCAAGCTTGGGCATGATGCTCGACCCATCGGTCGAGACTGTCGTTAGAAGGTCCTCCATGATTGCAACAGTTATATGTATGTCGGTCGGTCGATCGATCGGTCGGTCTGGTGGTTGCGTGAGGGCGAGTCAAAGGTCGTCGAGTCGATCGTGAGGCGTCTCGTCAAGGCGGATCTCTGCTCTCTGCAGTCGACAAATGGAGGGGCAATTTTGGCGAAAATTCACCAACACACAAAGTGGTGTGGGGTTTGGACTTGCTAGGCTAGCGAGTCCCTGTGACTGGCAGTCTGGCGCCTCTGAGGGTTTAGCCGGTGTTCGGCCGCCGAACGCTAGAATTGGCATGTCCCGCTTGTCGACAGGGGTGTCATGTGATCTCGAGATTTTTGGTGAAGCTGCGCTCGCATCGTCAGACAAGAGCAGCGTCGCGAAAACGCGTAATCTTCAGCAAATACCTCAATTTACAGTTCGACTCAACTCGAGCCTGCTCCAGCGGCGCATTCTTCCACCCACCCATAGGCTTAAATGCTCCGTCCGAGCCCAGCATTAGCGGCAATGCCTCCCTCCAGTATCCTCCTCGCCATGCGACCATCCAGATCCTGCCGCGCATTCTCGACAACTACTCCGACTCTCAAACCACGCCCAAATGCTCGACCAGCCAATATCCCCCCCCGTGCAAAGCGGGTTATGGTAGAGCGCCCCCCTACACCTTTGCCGACCATCACACCCGAAGCATTCGCGGCATCACCATGGACGATTCGCCGGACCCCATTCGCCCAATTACCGGTGTACAGAGAATGGAGGGCTGGCAAGACGAAGGAAGTAATCATGATCAAGAAAGTCAGCGGCAACAAGAAGTTGTTGATGGAGCAGTTGAAAGAAAAGGCCAACATACCGTCGGATAAGATTGTGTTGAGTCCAGTGACGGGGCATATCGAAGTGACAGTACGGAGCAATTACCCGCGATGGCAAGAGACTCCAAGCTAACATCTATCAGGGTCACTTCTTCGTTCCCATCCAGGACTATATATTGGCACAGGGGTTCTAGGTGGGCCGGGGGGGCCATCACGACTGTATCATCCATTGACGAGCGAATGTATCAAAAGAACCATTTGTACAGCTGTAGCATATAGGTCTCGTCCATGGAGCGGACGGATGAATGTACAATAAATACATAATAGGACCGGCTGACCCGATTGTTGGTACCGTACTCACTCGACAAAAGTCGCTAGCGCTGGTGTGCCTGACGAGACAACAACACTGACAGGAGTGGCGTCAATATCGAGTAAGAATTGCAGCCTGTGAGTGATAAAGCCTAAGGGCCGTGCAGGGCCGTTAAGTGATTCGCACCTTGGCATAGGCACAAATCCACAGCACTAGAGCTGGTGACTTTGTCGACTGAGTACAGTATCAGTACTTCTTATTCCTATCTCGCGACGCGGCTCGAAATCTTCTCGTTGAAAATCAGAATCCCCAACCCCGTATAAATGCAGCAGAAAGCTCTGAGCCGCGACTTCGCTGTGTGTGTGCGTGCGCGCACGCGCTCGATTCAACTCCCATCCTTCTCATAAAGACAGCACGCCAGTCGCATACACCCCGTTTTTCCATACGCTTGTGTCGTCGTCGTTAATTGGTATATATTCAGGTCATGACGTCTCCCAAGCGCCATTGTGTTATGTGCAGTTCGTAAAGCCAAGCATGGGTCGAGGGAAACCCCGACCCCGTCATCGTCCGAGACCGTGGCAGGCGGTGTACTGTTGCATCAAGCCCTCCTTTGCCCAGTCCGCCGAGGTGAGACTGGTAATTTCAAGGAGCTTGTCCGACGATGGTAAATATGCCAAGACTTCCTTATCTGAGTCGCTCAAATCTTTGGCCTTCTCAAAGAGCCGTCGTACAACGGCAATGGCAGTGGATGCGATGAACACCAATTCCAGGTCTCGCCTCGGGGGACCCCGGCCGCCCTTGTGCATCGTTTGCGCTTCGTATATGCGAGACAAGCGTGATACCATCTCTAGCAGGTTTTGAGCGATGTTGACATCCGCCCGAAGCCACGACTTTGTCAGACCCGACTCAGGGCCTGGAGCTAGTGACACAAGAATCTCGGCACACAGCAGGCCTTGCATGATGCTCGGTTTCCGTGTCTCGAAGAACGGAGGCTGGTTGGCGGCGCGATGCCTCTCGATGACTTTGTCAGGTACTGGCGAGATAGCAAGTGCAAACGCGCGTGTCAGTAGCTCATAGGTAGGATCGCTGCCACCGTCCAGCAAGAAGACTGTGCGGAAATGAGTTCGGTTTGGCTCATCACGGGCAAACAGTTTTGCCAAGGCATCGACAGCATGGGGAAGGTAGGGATGCAAGCTAGGTTCGAACGGTGGAAATATCCAGGTGTTGCTGTCGGATTTGGTAGGTCCTGGGCCAGGAGCAAAAGCCACCAAGAAGTGAAGCAGGCAGAGAGCCTCATCGCGACCCGGTATCTCCATTGAACCAGCAATGTTGGACAGCAACACCACCAGATCCTTCATGAGATCCAAGGTATTGGCATGCGTACGTAGAAACATGGTCCGTGTGCCCAGATAGCGGATGATGACGCAAAGGAACTTGACAACAGTGTCCTCCGCGAGAATTGGTTGGTTCTCGTTCTGATCACCGGGTCCTGGGAACGATAGGTTTCGGAGAATCGTAGTAATGCAAATGAGGCGGTCGACGGCTCGGTCAATCTGATAGGCGTTGCTACCATATGCCGGGCGCTCATGTACCGTCCATTGTTCCATACGGCAAGCTCGCACAACCTCGTCATAGTGCGCAATCTGCAATTCGTCGCATACTTCCGCCGTATGATCCACAAGAACCCCGATAGGCTCCTCGGCAGCGTCAATGAGTGAGTCAATCAAGTCATCGCACCAAGGTAGTCTGATAAAGTGATGAGGCTGATGCGGCGAGTTGGAAACAGTGACAAGAGTGTCAAGAGCAACTTTGATCTCCCCATGCATGCCGCTTTGCAGACCTTTTGTCAAGGCATGGATATCGATATTGCCCAGCTCGGCAATCTGGGGCACTGCAGGGTCAAACCGTAGCAGCTCGTGTCCAAGGCGGTAGACGCTATCCAGATCAATGCCACCATGCGAGGTCAGTTCTCGAGAGCATGGCGTGTATTCGTCGGATTTGCGAAGGACCTCTGAGGGTGCCGGTGGCTCGCCGCGGTCGTGAGCCATGTGCGGCTGCTGCGGCTGCGGTTGCGGTTGCGGTGGCTGCGGTGGCTGCTGTTGCTGCATTGATATGCTGCCGGCTTTGCTGTGGGCCGGTGAAGGCATGACAAAGTCAGGCTGGACAGGTGTTTCCACGCCTTTTGACATACTGTTGCGTTGGTGGTGGCCATGGGCAGAGGGCGGTTGGGCCATGTGCTGTTGCTGCGGGGTGCTCAGACCGTTTACCGGCGGTTTCACTGGCGTCTGCTGCTGCAGATTGGACTGCTGTGTCTGTTGTGGCTGCTGTTGACCCGGATGCATATGCTGGCTCGGCTGTTGTTGTTGCCTTTGCGCCTGCTGCTGCATTTGCATCTGATTCTGAGATTGCTGTCCTTGGGCTTGTAGCATCTGCTGCTGCTGCTGCTTATGTTGCATCATGCGCTGTTTATGCTGAGCCATCCAGACCTCTTCAAAAGTGTACAAATTACGCTCGTAAATGTGCTTGAGGGCCAGAGCGGCGTTTGGCATTTGCGGCGGAATCCCAATGGCTTGCGCAATATATGGCCATCCGTTACTAGCCATTATTTGCTTGTAGCCACCTTTGTTCTGGACAGCTTGAAAGAGGAGCACCAAATTGACTGGACGATCTGCAATCATAGGATTGGTGTCCAACGGTAATCCTTTTGCGCTCATCAACGATGTGAGGTTCTTCATAAACTGCTCGGGGTTTGCAGCTGTCATTCCAGGCCGTGGTCGCATTGCCTGCGCTTGGGGGCCTTGCCCATTGGGCGTACCTGGCATTTGTTGAGGAGGCTTGTTCATCATGCCACGTCCCATCGGCATGTTGCCTTGGAGTTGCTGCTGAAGTCGCGCTTGATATGCAGCCAGCTTCTGCTGATCGGTGGGTGTCTGGGGCATCTGCGCCCGTTGTTGCTGTTGTGCCATGCCCATTTGTTGCTGGGCCTGCTGCTGCTGCTGCTGTTGATGTTGCTGCTGCTGCATTTGCGGGTACATATGGCCCATTTGCTGCATATGCTGCATCTGAGCCATGTGTTGAGGCATCATCGTGTTCGGGTTCGGCGAAGGGCGCGCATTCGAAGGCGACTGGGAAAACGCTGGGTTATAGCCCGGTGGCATGTTCTGTTGCTGCTGCTGTGGCTGTTGCATTTGTTGTTGCATGAACTGGTTTGGCTGGGGCGTCCCTTGCTCGGAAGGAACAGGAGAAGCGTGCGGAGCGAATTGCTGGGTACTGGGAGAGAATGGATGTGGTGAGGCGGTCGCGACTCGTTGTGGCACGCTGCCGGGACGCATCTGGTTGTTCATGATGGGCGATGGACTCGCGTTAGCGGAGCCGTTGGCTTGGAAATGTGGGAATTGCCCGGCCGTCTGCTGAAACCCGGGAGGAAAGTTCTGCTGCTGCGGTGTTTGCGATCGCGAGTTTGGCAGCATGCCAGGATTTTGCGTCGGGGAGCCTGATGCACCATCGTCGGAAGGTCTAGGTCTTTTTGATGGAATGACAGAGTTGCCTTGGTAGGCTGATGGATTTTGTTGCATCGTCGCTGGGGAAAGGTTGCGCATCGCACCATTCTGCATATTTTGCATCTGCGCAGGATTGAATTGGCCCGGGTTGGCCATGAAGGCAGAGGGGTCCATCATGGCACTCGCAACGTTCGGATCGTTCATGTGAGGAAAGCCGTTGCCATTGTGGTTCGGATTGGCGTCATTCATCCAATTGCTCATGGCGATGTGCCAGGCTCGATTGAGCCTTCGCGGCTTGTCTATCGAGAGTTGTCGTCAGCAATCAAAGAATCACGAAAGTGACTCCATCGACGGAGAGCGAGACGAGGGTATGTATTCGAGCGAATCAATTATGCGCGCACGACTGATAAGGTCTGATATGAGGTTCGAAAAAGCCGGATCGCGCGTCGCGAGGCTGTCGGTTATGTGGAGGTGACAGACCAGAATCGGCCAGCGCTGTCGGGGTGGACAGAATTGGGGGAGGCAGGGCGCCTTACCTTCAGGTGCAGCAACCTGTTAACAGTCGCACTTGCCCTTCTGGCATGCAACGTGTTCCGATCCTGGGAGCCCAAGAATAAAGTCGAGCGCAAAATATTATTCAGGATATGTCGTCCAGAAAATCCAAGTCAGGAAACGCCAAGCCGATGATAGGTCGCGGGATGTGAGGCTTGTGGTAGTCGCCCGTGTTAGTGAGCGCGTTGAGCGGAGAGGCTGGTGCCTGCGCACTATGGAGCGACGCGCCACCCAAACGCAAAGTTGGCTGCGACTCAGCAGACGGAGACTTGAGCCGGACAAGCGACTCGAAGCTAGCGAATGGCTGTACAAATGGGCCACTCCAAAAGCAATCCGGACGAAAGATACTGTGTATCGCGAAGACGATCCAGTGTGCGTGTGCCAGTGAAAGTCTGGCTGCGTCAGGCGGCACGAGGATCGCGTTGGGACCTGGCTGAATGGGTGGGAAAATGTCGTTGGTCTGCGACGCCAGGGGGCCAGTGGAAGTGGCGCGTGTCAACTGGCCAAAGCGACGTTCGTCTTACCTAAGGTAGCGGGGGGGCAGGTTTCCAAAGGCTAGTACAGAGTACAAGTAACAACAGGTGCTGCGAGTTCTGCTTTTGCTCGTGCTTGCGCATGCGCCGACGGTTTCGGTTGATTGAGAGCCTGGTCAGTGAGAGGAGTGGAGGAATCAGCAGGACAGACCAGGTGGGCGAGACGGCTCGCGGCCTCTTGTGAATTCCGGCAGCTGATTGGTACTCCGGAGCGACAGACCCAGTAATCGGAAGCAGCTGCATTTGGACTAGGTCAGCAGAAGAAGCCCGCGTCGGGCCAATAGAAGTATTTTCCCATAGCTAATAGGCCAGCCTCTTGGTCTGTTAGGCTTTTCGACTTGCAGTATGCTCTTCGATAGCAACCAAGCTTGGGACACTAACAGCACAGTCGGGAATGTCGCGTTCATGCGTCGCTCACCGTTGGCGGTACGTTGCTGTGACTTTTGGCGTGTCAGAATTGATGAGAGTAACGATTGTCTGTCCTGCGCGCTTTTGAGGGTGTAGCCGCCAAAGTCCTGCTGCTCGCACTTGGTTGTGTGATATGACTGTCATTGTGGCTGAGTGATTCACATACGCAAGTAGCTCAAAGGTCGCATCCCAGGAACTCAACTTTCCCTCCCAAAGCTGCAAGCTCGACAGCGAGTAGTTCCAAGCCTCTGCTTGAGCGGTCGCCGTTCAGAGGAAAGAGTGAGTGCAACAGTCGCTTGGCGACGCCGTATTCTAGGGTAGGACCGGGCGGATGATCCCGAGAGGTCTTGGCACAAGCATCGTTTTCCTCATGTTGGCGAGTGCGAATCTACACGATGTCTTCCGTCGTGCAGACACTTGCTCAAGAGTCCTCAATCTGTACTTGCCTCAGATTGTTCTTCCCAAGTTCGAGGTGTAGTGGTTCATCACCCTTGGACCAGCCCCACCATGTACGACACTGGCCTGGGATGGCACGCACTTCGTGGATCGGCTGGGCGCAATGACTGCTGTCGGGGAGCAATTTCGCCCATTGTCGCCTTCGAGAAACTGCTCAAACATCTTTCCCCATTCCAAGACGCAAGGTCGCCAACTGTCGTTCCAATTTCCTTGTCGAGGTGGCGCTCTCGACCATTGTGCTGGCAGCGGTCGATCCCGTAGCACGCGTGACGCCGTTGGGCGCCGCCAATGCGCCATGCGCTGTGTGGGTTTCTGGCGGGTGGAACGTCCCCTGTAAATCAAGACCCCGACTGGCACTCAGTCATGTTGCTCAAAACCGCTTCATTTCTCCTCAGCAGTGACGCCTGAAGTGAGAGTGCCTCCAATCCCTCTCATTAGGGCCGGTATTGTAGTGTCCTTTCATATCAGGCCCATTTGGCTTGTAGTTCTGGTGGTAGAACCGCCCTTTTCACTGACAAGTGCTCGTCGCAGAGGCTCAAAACGGGAGGCTGCCCACGTAGGTTGAGCCGTCTGTAGGAGGTAGCATCGTGACGTCGAGCGCCATCAAAGCCGCGACGCCAGCGTGGAAACAAGTGAGAATCAGATCAAGGGGAAGAATTGTCGTCAGAGAGGAGGCAAAGGTTGTGAGAGGAAGCAAAGTGGCTAAAAAGTGAGAGATTGAGGGAAGGAGGGCGGAAAATGGTACATCGGCAGATACCTCCATGGGCGCCTGCCTCCAGTTTTAAGTTCTCCAGCTCTCTCCCCGACCTGGCAAGCGGCCTTCACAGCCATCCATCAGCATCACATCAAGCGGTCCGTGTGTTATGTGACGTCGCGATGTGTGGCCTCTGCGATGAGGTTGCCTTTTGGGCTTTTCGAATTCCCGTCATCGCTTCCAAGGCACTATTAAAGGGCTGAGGAAAGCACGCGTGTAGGTATTGGCAAGGTTTGCAAGGCGTAAACCGAAATGGCCCTCTGACGGACTCGTGCGACGCCCAATACCCCATTTAGATCTGCAACCACCACCAGGGCCATATTATTGCTTGGCACGGGCCTGCCGGTTCATTGACTTCATTTACCTGGCCTTTTGGGTGTGAAATAATAATGTCAACTGTTTCTTTCCTGCGATGTTCTGCTTGACTGGTGGGCGGAGAATGGATGCGTTGGCATTCGTGGTGGTTAGGGCAATCCGCTTTTTCACGCAGAGTCATTTTAGGGGATCCGTAGTCGCTCTCGTCGACGTTTCATTTTATGATATCGGTACTGTCTAGAGAGCTTGCATCTTCTGCTGCGTGTGCTCCAACACCTGACGCAAAGCCTCGTCTAATTCGGCGTCCGCTAGGAAGTCATCGATCCAGGCCACCGTCTTGCTCGCCAGCCCTGCCTTGTCATCTACTATCGCCAGATACTTGTCCAACCGCGCCAGCACCTCTCTGAGGTTCTGCACGAATTCCACCGTGTTGGCCCTCAGCCCAAGGATTGGTTGGCGTACGTGACAATCAGCGGTGGCGGGGTGCGACGCATAGTGGTTGTCCATATGGCTGAGGATGTGCTGAGAGACCTTGGGCTGCGCCGAGACGCTGCGATATGATGCGACAATGAGGAAGAACTGTGCCGCGGCCTCGGGGCCAAAGAAAGACTGCTTTTTCGAAATGTCGAATATGGCCATGGGTATCTCACCGTCCATCGCTGGATTGTTCTGCAACTGTTTGGCCGCTGGCTTGTCGATGACCTTAGCCTGCTCCTTGGAGGGTTGAGGAAGCAGTCTGCCTTCCTCATCCAAGTCGCTTTCTTCGTCGCTGTCTTCGATGCGCAGTTCATCATCGGCACCGTTCGACTGATCGGGCTTCAGAGGGTCATTCTGGGGCTTGTCTGCTTTGCGCCTGTCCACCTTGGCCAACCAGTCCATTTCGCAACGTGCGTACTCCAGCCACAAGGTCGCGTCCCGTGTGCAAAATCGGCATCCGCGCATGAAGAAGCTCCTGGCAGAAGCCATGTCACCATTGTGCGCTGATCTCCTGCCAGCCATCGTCCAGAGCTCGACCTCGTTCGGCATCATTCGCAACGCCTCAGTCATGACCCTGCGGAACCGCTTGGACGCTTTCACCTTTGCGGTATATTGTAAATACTCCTTCCAAAGCCAAGCGCTGCTGGCATGTCGTTTTGTGCCTCGGTCGTAGATGGACAGGACACGGCCTTGACCGGCGTGGCCTGAGGCCAAGTGTCGGATCTTGAGGCGTTGGCATCGCTTCACCCGCAGTGTTTCAAGGGACTGCTCCCATTTTGCATAGGCTGACCAGTCGGCGGGTACATTGCCCGGGGATAGGACACGATGCTCAAAGTCGTTCCGCTTCGAGACGATGTTGCGAATTTCATCCTGCGAGAAAGTTAATTTCCTGGAGTGTAGCGAGCGTGGGCTGTCTGGCATGGTCCACGTACCTGATTGAAGATGTCCTTGCGCTCCCATTCTCTCAATTGTGGCACAGACTTTTCGAGAAAGAATCTCGCCTTGTCAGCGACGCCAGCCATGTTTCAAGGTCCCTGGACTGCTTGCGGGATGCAAATCGTGGGGTCTGGTGCTGAGTCGAGTCGCTCGCTGTACGAAAGTTTTCGAGAAGGGCTGGCCAACTTTTTAGTGGAGACACTGCGGTCAGGCTCAGCCGCCCGTGCTCATGCGCCACACCGAGACAAGCTTTGACAGCTGCACGAGCCACAGGAACCCTTGAACAGGGAAGCAAGGGAACTGCCGGATGCGACACGCGCGTGCGACGGGTCACAGACGCCGAGGTGATTCTTCTCTGCAGCATCACGGCCCCTCTCCCCTCGAGCAGCGTCCATTGCCGAACAGATGTGCTTGTAATTATATCGCGTACACTCGCTCTCGCGCACTCTCGCTGGACTCGTCGCGATGTCAAAATACAAGGATAAGGAGGGCGAAGTCCTCTTCAGCCTCGGGGGGCAGTGGGTTAGCTGGGCACACACTCTGGTCGCATACAGTAAGCTATCATATCATATGGCGTGAGGGTGGAACGGACAATTGCTAAGACGCCGCAGTTGCCTTCGCCAGTGCCCTGGTCGTAGGTATTGCGCTGCACTACCATAAGATTGTGAAGAACGAGCATTATGGGTACCCTGACGAATGGTTCCCTTCCGTGTCCGCGACGATTGGCGACCGATACCCCGAGCGATCTTTCTTTATGATCTTTATAGCCATCACATCGGGCCCTCGCTTCGCACTCGTTGGACTATGGTACCTTCTGACCAGGAAGTCCGGCTCGAGGCTTCCTCGCGTGGTAGCGCTTACGGGTGTCTTCAGAACCTTGACGTGTGGAGGGTGGACGTACATCACCTCGACTGACGACCATGATTGGCATGATATTCTCATGATATCCTACATTGTCGCGACTCTGCCGTGGACCACGGGCTGTATTGCGTTGAGTCCGGCGAATCCGAGGGCCATCCAGCTGCGCAAGTACTTTGCTGGTGCTTTCTTCGGAACCCTCGTGCCACTGATCTACTTTTTCATCCAGCACAAGGTGCACAAGGTGGCTGGCGGTAAGACTTCTCCATGCTCTGGGTTGGACGTGACTGACAAGTGAAGCCTACACGACGTATGCCTTTTTTGAGTGGTCCCTCATCATCCTCGACATTAGCTTCGACGCTATAACCGCCCTCGATTTCTCGAGCTTTGAGATTGTAGTCAAGGATAATACTGGCTTGAGCAAGGGGTACGTGCGCCGGCTCCCGAGATAGCGAAGGGATCAAATAAAGTGGCGTGAGACCATATTCTAAGTTGTCCAGTGAGAACCGTTCGTCTGTGCCGTCAGCTGTGTTGGAGAAGGAGTACGCAATGACCCTCCCAATTCTATAAGCTCACATACTGACAATGGACAGGAAGGAAAAGGCCACTGCTGGTGTCTATTCTGCTGGGTTCACCTTCACCCAGACCTTCGACACTATTGCTAGCGTGTACCACGGAGTACGTAACGAACGCCGGAGAAGACCTACGAATGCTAATCAACCATGTAGTTCGTCTTCTGGACGACTCTGACTAGTCTCGGTGTTGTTGTCTGGTGTAAGTCCAGGTGCTGCTAGGACCAACTGAAGATCGTTACTGACTGCCCTAGTTTTCCCTCTCTGGTACATGGGTATTTCTGGCTTCGAGGCCTTCATTATGACCACGATATCGCCCCTTTTCCTTGCCAATGGACCTCTCCGCTCATTCGCCGTGCATAATCAGCGGACCATCCATTTTTTGTCGCTCTCTGGCATCGCCTCGTACCTGATCCCCAACCCGACTGTACGCCTGTGTGCTCTCGGCTTCGGTGTCTTCATGTCCTGCTTCAGCTGGACTGCCACTCTGGTGGCCGAATCTGTCCACGAAGTTCGCTTCGAGTCCAAGGTTCTAGGCCTGATGGCGGGACTCATCCTTTCGTCAACCGCCAAGTTCATCTGGCAAACGAACAACCCAGTCTGGCCAATTATGCACGCCGAGAACGGTGGATGGAATGGCGTCGGTTTAGGTCTTGCGGTTGTGGCTGTGTTCGCCTTCTCCCGCAGGGCGCCCCTCACGACGGGCTCGAACGACAAAGAGCTGAAGGGCTCACCGTCGCTTGCCGCCTTTGGCATCGGTGGCTTGCTCTTTGGTCTTCACTCACTGCTGTCCGACACCAGTACGATGATCCTCTGGGTCTGGGAAGGCTTCCCCATTCGAGGGCCTTACTCCTCGACCCACGGCTGGTGCACTGTTGCCGCGATGACCGTTGGTCTCTTCGCTGGCGTTGCGCGCCCTCAAGTGACTGGAGGTTACCTGGCTTTCGTTGCTGGCGCGTCTGGCGCGATGGTCCTCACTTTCTTCAGCCACTGGACTGGGTACCTGGGAGCCCTGGCTATCGCGACGTACTTGATGGCCGTCTCAGTACCCCTGCTATCATCTGCTGTTCGGAAGAGCCCAGCAGTCAGCTTCGGGGTAGGCTTTTTGCTCTACAACTTCCTAGTCCTGTTCCACGTGTGGGTCGTTGCGTATGCCTTCGTGCCCGGTGGGTCGCTAGTCCGCGAGCACAGCGACTGGGTGCAGATGACCATGATGGCGTTCATTGGCCTCGGCGTCGTCAACTACAACCGATCTGTGCCACGCCGCCAGGAGCCCAAGGCCAAACGCCAGGCTGCCTCCCAGCACAAGAAGTACTTTGGCGTCGCGACACTGGCCGTCAACATTGTCTTCCTCTGCGCTGCGTATAGGCGCTTCCCCACCAACGACTATAAGCCCTATCATCCCGAGGATCGAGTCATGACAGCCGGGATCTGGACCATCCACTTTTCCCTGGACAATTACATGTGGTCTTCGGAGTATCGCATGCGCGACCTCATCAAGGACGCTGAGCTTGACGTTGTTGGTCTATTGGAGTCTGACCAGCAGCGGATCATCATGGGCAACCGTGATAGCACCCAATTCCTCGCAGAAGACCTGGGCATGTACGTGGACTACGGGCCGGGACCCAATAAGCACACCTGGGGAGCGGCGCTGCTGTCCAAATTCCCCATCATCAACTCGACGCACCACCTCCTCCCTAGTCCCGTGGGTGAGCTGGCGCCCGCCATCCACGCGACGCTTGACGTCTACGGCCAGCTTATCGATGTCTTTGTCTTCCACTCGGGGCAAGAAGAAGACAAAGAAGACCGTCGCTTGCAGTCCGAGTACCTCGCTGAGCTCATGGGGTCCACGGACAGGCCCTCGATCCTGCTCAGCTATCTCGTCACAAAGCCCCTCAAGGGCAACTACAACACGTACGTCAGTGACAAGTCGGGCATGAACGACGTCGACCCTTCCGACCGGAACCGCTGGTGCGAGTACATTCTGTTCAAGGGCTTGAAGCGCATCGGGTATGCCCGTCTCAGTCGTGATTCAATCACCGATACGGAGCTACAGATTGCCAAATTCGTCGTTCCCAAGGATGCCGACGAGATCATGCAGCAGAAGGCTCTGTCTGCCGAGGAGCGCAATCGGCGCGTTACGGAGAGCCAAGTGCCTAAGGATTGGAGATTCCCAAGCTTGTTCCGCGGCAAAGGTGTTCGAGGTCATCGCTATCACGTGTTTAAGAAGCCGAGATACTACAACTAGGTGTAGTTGGGGCACTCACTCTCAAGGTCCTAGGAGGATTCAATAGACGGGGGACATATATGATTACGTTAATGTTTACGACTCGCTAACGCAAACTCAGTATAATGCCAAGCCGCCAAGGTAGCTGATACTCTTTATTACAGTTTGCGTCCTACGTAGTGTACGTACCTCCTGGGACGATCGTCGTACCCAGACTCGTATTCAAGTACCGGCCTCAAACCCTTCTTCTGCGCAGCACGAAACCTGAGACACCACCGCTGGCGTGAGTCTTGACGGCAGCCCTAACTTATCTTACCGCCATGCCCTTGAACCTCCTGCCCAGAGGCGCTTGGCGTCCGCCATTGGCCTGTCACCACATCCTGATACCGACGACGACAGGGATTGGCAATATATCCACCGGGCGCCATTCACTGCCAGCCAATCCATGCCCTGGTGAATTTCCCAATTGAATTGCTGCAAACAACGACGCCATGCAGGAGGCGCGCTGGGCGTTTGAGCGTCTGGGCGTTTGGCGCCATTGCTTGTCAGTCCGTTTATAAGACGACTGGGACGAACATGTTTCTGTTTGTTCTCCTTCTGCAGTCTCTGGTCGAGTCTGTTTGTCCCTCGTTTTTTGCAGTCTTTCACTGAAAGTGTCATTCCCTTTTTTTTTCTTCTTCTTCTTCTTCTTCCTGCTTCGTCTCTCTCTCCCTCTCTCCTTTTTTCTTTCTTATCCCACATTCGCTTCAAGATGCGCAGTGCGTTGGTCTCGCTGGTTGTGCTGGCTGGTTCCAGCGCAGCCGCCGCCGGACAATATGTCCTCAGCGAAGAGATTTCGCCCGATAACTTCTTTGATAAATTTGATTTCTTCGAGGTAACATTATGATCATTGCCTCTGTTCGGCGGGCAAAGCTTGGCTGACGCTTTCTGGCAGAGTGACCACACCACTGGCGACTACCTCGACGTCGATCCCGCAGGCGGCTTTGTAAACTACGCCAAGGGCCCATCGGATCTTTGCAGCAGCCGAGATGGGCATGTCTCTCTTGGCGTCGATACCACAAGTGTGTTGCCGGGTGATGGACACGCTGGGAGGGACAGTGCGCGCCTGGAGACGAAGAAGTCGTACCAGTACGGCCTGATCATCGCCCGGTTTGCGCAGTTTCCCAAGGCGCAATGTGGCGTATGGCCAGCCTTGTGAGTGCAGTATGGGAAGAATTTAGTTTGCGAATAGCCGCTGATCTTTTTGAAGCTGGACACATGGCCCCAACTGGCCTGATGGTGGTGAGGTGGACCTGTACGAGCAGTGGAACGATGCCACCAAGAGCGGTCCCGTCTTCCACGTCGGTGACTCGAGCAAATACGGCCAATGCATCCTCGACGGCGAGGATCAGACTGCTGAGGTTGTCACTGACAACTGCGACAATACTTTCTCGAACGAGCCGCACCAGTACCTGAACCAGGGATGCATCACTAAGGATGCAGCTGCGCCTTGGGCCAACCCCAACGGCGGTGTCTGTAAGTACTGAAGAGAAGTCGTCGGAGAGAACGTAGCACTGACACTTTCTATCAAGACGCCATGGAATGGACATCCGACTTTATCAAAGTGTTCACCTGGACGCACGAGACTGTCCCAGCTGACGTTGCCTCGTCAAACCCCGACCCTTCCAAATGGGGAACACCCGCGGCTTTCCTGAAGAACAACAAGTGCGATATTGACAAGCACTTTGGCCCCCAGAAGATGGTCCTCAACATTGACTTTTGCGGTGCCCCTGCTGGCTTGGAGAGCGAGTGGGGCAAGGCCTGCAAGGCCGCGACTGGGTACGATACCTGCGTCGAGTACGTCGCCAAGGAGCCCAAGGCCTTTGAGGGCGTCGAGTTCAAGATCCAGGACATCAGGCACTTTGTGGTTGGCGAGGCCGATGACAAGAAGGGTGATGACAAGGAGGAATCTCCCGAGACGCCCAAGGAGGAACCCAAGAAGGAGCCCAAGGAGGAACCTAAGGAGGACCAGGACCCTGACAAGATTAAGGGACCTCAGGTTCCCACGTCCATCATCCAGCCACAGCCGCCCAAGACAACCGAGGAGCCCGTTATCCTGACCTCCAATATTCCCGTGCCTTCATCGACCAACGGCGAGCCCGACAAGCCTGACAGCACCCCGTCTCCGGAGATATCAACCATTGCCTCGTCCGAGCTGCCGCTCCCGTCCGAGGAGGGACAAGGCATCAGCACCAAGCACACCACGACCCGCAGCACTGTCACCGTTACAGACTGCCCGCCTGAGGTGGTAGACTGCCCTGGACGTCCTGCCAAGTCAACCCACGTGCCAGTGAACGAGGAGCTGCCTGAGCAAACATCCAAAGCTGTGCTGCCAACCCAACATCCATCGACCTTTTCGACCCGTGTGGTCGTGACAAAGCTCACGACCATCTGCCCGGTAGACGAGGACGGCAAGCCGGTCAAGACGGAGACACCTGTCGAGAGCCCAGAGATGCCGCACGAGACACCTGTGACCTCGGTGAAGCCCACGCCCAAGACGACTCTCACACCCAAGGTGCCCGCGAAGCCATCCACCGAGACGCCTATCAAGCCTACGGTGACCAGCTTCGTCATTTGCCCCCCTGGCGCCGAGAACTGCCCAGTGGACAGCACAACCGCAACAACGCCAGCCCCTGAGCTGGAGACGATTGTCGCCCCAAACCCAACCCCTGAGGAGCCAATCCCCGAAGAACCTGCTGTCAGCCTCTGCATGACGTGCGAAATGCCATCATTGTCGACCTCTCTGGGACTCCCCAATGCCACGCCTTTACCGATTGACGACTGCGAGGGCGATGACTGCCCTCCTAGGCCGACGCCCGTGCCAGGTGCTGGAACCAATATCTCTGGGGGAAATACTGGGTTGCTCTTGGGCGCGGCCTTTGTCGGCGTGCTTGTGCTTTTGTAATCGTGGGGAGGGCGTAGTGCATGCCCTGTAACTACTTTCTGACAGATAATTAGACTATAGACTGTTAATGATTCATACTCGAGGCTGGCCCGGCGACTGTCCTGTTGTGCATGTCGAGCCAACCTGTCCGTCTCACAGGTAGGGATGGGAGTCAATAGTGACTTGGAATTGATGTGTGATTTGAATCTTTGACACCAAGCTTTATTTATGAAGCCATGCTCGTAAGGGGCCAGACTGGCATTGAGGCTGGAGCACTGTATCATGGGCATTGAGCTCGTATTCGTGATGTCCAAGCACAACATGAACCACTCCATTCTCGCCGATCTTCCTCCGTCTATCAAAAGCTTCTGCAGCGCTGGAAGGCTAGCATCCCAGGTCTGTCTACTGACGCTTGGAAAGGGGCTCGCCATCCCTGATCTTGCGCTCGCCATACTTGGCGATGCGGATAGCATTCACGTTGATAAACCCAGTTGTGTCTTCGACACTCCAATCCATTTCAAGAGTGTCCTGTATTTCTTATATCAGTTTTGATCCGATGTGGTCCTCTTTAGACACTCACCATGCTGCTCTCTTCTTCGCTGTAGAGATTGGATGTCTCGCTGGAGCGGCCAACGATGATAACGTTGCCCTTGTATGCAAGAGCTTCGACCTTGCCGTCAACCTGCTTCTGGCTGATAGCGATCGACTGCTGAACGAACTCACGCTCAGGCGTAAAGTACATTCCCTGAAGAGATGTCAGCAATGTCTAACCCGACAAGAGCTGGAAGTGAGGGGGCTACGCGCGTTGTAGATACATTGTGCCCAGTCTTCCGAGAGACGGTCGCGAATGATGCGCACCTTGCTATCCATCACGAGACCCTGAGCAATCGTTAATTGGAGTCCTATACTTATTAGAGATGGAGAGCGTTTAGATTGGCCCATGCTCAGGTGCCTCTTGACTCCCTGGAAGAGACGACTCTGGAATCGCATCAAGGGATATCAAACACTGCAGCATGAGCCAATCCAATGCTCAAGGAGGTGAAAATTTACCTCCAGGTTTAGATGCAGCTTGCGCAAAATAGTCAAGCCGGGGGTATCTGCATACAATATTAGAACATCCTGTCAAAGTCCATGGGGGAGAGCGGAACAGGTGTCGCCTGCGACGGGGCCATGATCTACGTTGCCGGCCCAAAGACGCCTCCAATAACAAGAAAGTATTAGAAAAGCAAGGAAATAAACGCGACTGACCGTAGCAACCACGAGATTTCAATCCTGGAATAAAAAAATTAGCAATCGCGTGCTGATGTTAAGTTCTCTAAGAGTAGGCTTACCGATGAACCTCGACTCGACGATATCCTCGCGTCCAATACCTGGGACTACGTCAGTACTCGCTTGAAAGCCTTCGGTTCGCAGTCCTACCGTTGGCACGGCCCAACTCGTTGGCCTCCTTGAAGATCTCCAAGGAGCCAGTGACGGCCTTGCCCCCAACTTCAAGTTTAACGGGAACACCCTCAGCAAAGTGGACGGTAAAGCGAGTAGGCTCATCGGGAGCGTCCAGGGGATCTTCGGAGAGGCATTAGCGCAAAATCTAGAAGTGTGTAGGCTGAGTCGCCTCACCAACTGTGCGCTTCCACATATCCTTCGGGGGCTCCATGTCTGTTTGCTCGAGAATCTAGCAAGTTCAGGGTTAACAGGGCGCAGCGAGGGGTGTTCCCATAGGAAGACTTACACCGGCCTCGTATGAGCAGTGCTATCGGGTCGATAGTCAGTATTACGAAGAAGCAATGGGACCTGTTCATACATACGATGATGTTGTCGTCCATAGACCAGGGGGCCTTGGGAGTGGAGCTGACGGGGATGTTCTGCTCCTCGGCGAACTTGAGAAGATCGGCACGTCCCCTGCGGAATGATTAGCTTGATACAGCAGTGAACACAAAAGGAGGCTTACTGGAATCGGTCGAAGAACGCAGGGATGCGCCAGGGGGCCAGAATCTTCAGCTTGGGGTCACATGCCTTCCACGCCAGCTCGAAGCGGACTTGGCTAGAAGAAGGCAGTTAGTACGGTGCAAGAACGATAGAGGGCGACAACACATGTATCGAGATCATGATCAGGACTTACTCGTTGCCCTTACCGGTACCTAAGGGTAGGGTTACGCGTCAGCGACTGGACCGAATAGTAATGAGACCAGTTGAACCACGACAACTTACATCCATGGCTGAGGATCGTGCAGTTGTTATCCTTCGCAACTTGTACCATTGCCCTGGCCAATACCGGCCGGGCTAGGCTTGTGCCGAGAAGGTCTTCAGGGCATTAGCGATGTCAATGAAGAGCGTCCGAGGCGAACTATCTTACAGGATCCTTCATAGATAGCGTTGCCTGATGGATTCCGTTAGTAAACCCGCTGCATTGCCATAAACAGCCTGTGGAGACTTACACTGGATGGCGGGCCACACCAAGTCGTCAATCAGCTCCTGCTGGACATTCTCGATGACCATCTTCTCAGCGCCGAGCTTCAGCGCCTTGGCCTTGACGGCATCGAAGTCTTCCTCCTGGCCGCAGTCGCCGAGGAAACACACGACCTCATAGCCTTGAAGGACAAGCCACCTAAGAGCCATTGGTCAGCGCCGCTATCCGTCAGAAAGTAAAACACGGAGACAAAGTACTTGAGAATAGTGGAAGTATCCAGACCTGTCCATTGGTCAGAATATCTGATGTTGACGTTGATGATATTGCTTCTGGAGCTCTCAACTCACCGCCAGAGTAGGCACTGGACAAGGGTCAGTTATCTTGCTCGAACCAATTGAGGGGCAAATGACTTACAGACAAACACGTTCGGGAGCCATGATGAATGGTTTTCGACGTTTCGTGGACAACACAAGACGTTACTGTTGGAAGTGACTGATAGATATGATATAATATCTCGACAAAATGATGTTGTCCCGCGAGTGTGAGGTTTTTTGGACGCAGCTCCGAAGACGGCCGAAGCGAGTCACAGCCCGCAATGTTTGGTGGGGCAATGCCCTCTTTTGTTGGGTGTGTATGGTCTGGGTTGGCCTATCTTTGGTTGCTTATCTCTTATCTTTAGTGCAATGGTCAGTGACAAGCGCACGTGATCCATCCTGACCAAGGTAAGAGCCTCACCTGCTAGCAGGTGTTATTAGTCCCTACGGATGGACGAAACAGCTGCTCACACACTCGCAATCGAACAGAGATGGCATCCACCCAGGGATCAAGGCAGAGACCAGCAGGAGCAGTCCCCCACATCCAGAGGCAGAACCAACAAATTTCAACATTTCAAGTCTTCATTCCACTCCATCTGTCTATCGCGAGCCGTGATGTTGTGCCTAGAAACCTCTCTCTAGGGAAATCAGGGCCCGGAAAGCGTCCATCCCCCCTCCTGGAAGCCGCACTGGAGCAATTGCGACTGCCTCCTCACGGCTCCTATCCCATCGAGGTGCGGGCTGAAATGTCGTCGACTGGCAAACGGAAGCGAGCGGGCGACGAGGATCCCCTACGCCGATGGGGGTCACATCTCCAAGATTACAGTATCAAGGAAGGAAAGACTCCAAGAGCCACCAGCAACAAGTCGCGATCCTCATCAAAGAGCAGGAAGAAGGTCCACCGAGACTGTCCTTGCCTCCTCAAACGGATGCATTGCACCAGCCATCATCATCCATTATCTCAGTCGAGCAGGACATCGATCGTGAACGCCGCTCAATCTCCCGTCATTGTGGGGGACATACGGGACCGACAGGCGCTGTCTCCGACCGTCCCCCACTGTCCGACAGGGCATGCAGGCGGCTGTCAGGGCCCAGCCTCCAGGGACCAACCAGCACACTTGAGCCTCCAGTCCAGTCAGCCCAGTCCAGCCACGCCGGTTATTACTGGGCGTCAATTTAGGGCTTAGCGTGGAGGCAAGTACGGATAGAGCCTCGAAATTACGACCGACGACTGGACCCCCTCGCTCCTTCGCGTCACGTCCCCTCCACTCATTCGGAGGACAGTGCTTCAGCGCTGACAGTCTGCCTCGCGGAGATGGGTTCCCTCACTTGTCATCACATCCTGGTAACCGGCCCTGACTTTTGAGTCCTCAAAGCATCCAGGACCTGCCATCCATCGCCACATGCGCGCATCTACTACTCCGTACGCGCTGGTGGAAGACGTCCAACGCACGCATGCACCATGATACCCAACAGCACGCTTTTTATCCTTGGCCTCCTCTTTCTGGTACGTATTGGCGACAGCCATGGACCGCTGCGCACTCACTAATCCGACGGATATGATAGTATGCAGGACTCGTAGAGTACGCGCGACTCACGTGCTGGCGAGATCCGACATCGAAATTCTACGCGCCCAAGCTCGCGCACACCCCCGCGTACTCGCGCCACAGGATCCATGAAGCCAAGAAATACGCAGCCCAACTTGCGGCGGAGAAGCCAGAGAAGCCCGTCAAGATGGGCATTCCGGACTTGTGCGTGGGGATCACGTCCGTCAGCAGAGACGGCGTGGCCTATCTCAAGACCTCCCTCGCATCTCTCAACCACGGCCTCAGCCCAGAAGAGCAGTCGCGCGTGCGCATTGTCGTGCTCCTGGCGCATACCAACAAGACGCAGCACCCGGACCACGATGAGCCGTGGCTCCCCCTCATGGCCGACAAGGTCGTCTACTACGACGACAATGCCGACTGGCTGGACCTTGCGACGCGCATAGAACTCGAAAACAACCATCCCGTCAAACACAAGCTTGACTACTCCATCGTCCTGGAGGAGTGTCAAAAAACCGGCGCACCGTACACCATCATGGCCGAGGACGACGTGATCTTCCTCGATGGCTGGCGACACCGCGTCATGGAGGCACTTGACGCCGCGACGGAAAAAGCGTGGTCCTCTTCGCACAGAGAGTTCTTCTATCTGCGGCTCTTCTGGTACGACCAGCTTCGTGGCTGGAACGCCGAATCCTGGCCTACGTATCTTTTCTGGTCGAGCATGGTGGCAGGCTGCGTCGCGGGCGCACTGCACTTCACGCGGAAAGCGGTCCCCGCCGTGCGACGCACTCTGACACGCCCCATCTGCGGACTGGTCATCTTTGTCTTCACCCCGATGCTGATACTGCTGTACTTTGCGGCCGGACGCAACTGCATGCAGCCGCCAGCCGAGGGCGTGACCGTCATGGAGAGGAACGCATGCTGTGGGCAGGGCCTCGCGTTTCCGCGCAACGTGATCGAGCACGAGCTTCTGCCGTCCTTCCATAACAACCGCTGGTCCGAGACGCCAGCGGACAGCTTCATCGAGGACTATGCGCGGGCGACGGGTGGTTTGCGCTACGCACTGACGCCGGTCATCGTGCAGCATGTGGGCGGCAAGAGCAGCTACGGCGCCAAGAGGGGCAAGCTGGGCATCATGACGCCCGGTAAGATATGGAACTTTGGCTTTGAGAGGCATGATCCCCAAGTGCTGGCGCGCGAGCATGAACAGGTCCTGCAGGCGGAGATGATGGCACGTGATCCTCGCGAGCGGGATGATGTCTTATGATGGAACGAAATCGATACCCTGATGCGGTCAATATTGAGACCATGTATATAGTGTGGATGATGACGGCTTTTCCAGATCTAATTTTCATGAGGTTCGTCTCTATCACGTCCCACGTACCAGATCGCCAATCTTGACCGTGCCGTCTTCCTCGCCAACCCCCAAGAGGGGTTCCAAATCGCCATCCCTCCTCGTCAGACCATACCGTATCCTTCTCTGTTTCATCTCGACCGTCAAGTCCAATCCGTCTCTGGCCCCCGCGCCCACGGGCATGTCCACCAACTTGGAGTCGCGCACTACGGTCGATGCAAAGCCCAGAATCTCCGGCCCCACGGACACATGTGCGTAGACCACGCCCGCGACGCCCGCCGCGAGCAAGACGCAGCACGCCAGGATGCACAGGGCGGCCCATTCCTTGCGGACGTGGTACTCCAGCACCAGGGTCTCGACCTCGGCGGGCGCGGTGACATTGCTGCTCAGTCGCCTGCCATCGGGGTCCTCGTTGCCCAGGGCGTTTGTGAACATTTGCGCGACGTGCAGATACGAGTTGAGCACCTCTGTGAAGCGCTGCGAAAAGTCCGCCCGCTGCGTGTCCTGCAGTCTGACGGCGTTGCCCGACCCGGGGAGGGTGAGGTTGCGGAGGGCGGGATCGGCCATGTACTGCAGGGTGATGTCGGCGTTGGACACGTCGCCCGCGTTCGGCCCCGTGGCGAGGGGCATGTTCTTTGCAAAGGCCTGTAGGACCTGCGGGAACGACAGCGGCGTGATGGTCGACGGCGGATGGGGCTTTTGGGAGGCCCGCTGGGCAGTGACTCGGCATGAGGGTCGGTTATCGGATGGCGGCCGCGCGCAGGTGACACGGGACTCGACGTAGTGCTGCTCGATATCACAGTAGGAGGAGATGATGTCGTTGCCGAGGAGTGCTTGGTTGGAGGGCTGGGCTTCAAAGTAGAGTCTCGCTGGACCAAAGGCAACGTCCTCGTCGTGCTCGAACATGAACGCCGGCGAATCCTGAACTCGATCCACATACGCCCATTCTTCCTCCTCTGGGACACTGTCTCTATGAATCCACGATCCGTTGGCCCATCCAGAGTCGACGAGTCGATCGACCGACAGTGACCACGGCGCAGGGTCGAGTTTGCCGGAGATGTTGCGGCTCATGGGGTACCCCTGGAAAGTGCCGTTCGGGATGGTATTGTACGGCCTGAACACCCAGGCTTGGATCACGGAGGAATTGACTTCTTCGCGGGTGTCGTTCCACGTGTAGGTTCTAAAGTCCTCGCATTCGAGAGACATGTAGCTCGACTCGAGGGTGAAAGACGTGTTGCCCTCGCTGACGTTTAACAGCGGGATACCCACCATGGCCGAGTAGTTTGGAATGTCGCCCTGTTCCAGTTCCCACCAGGAAGAAGAAGAAGAAGAAGAAGAAGACGAGGACGCGGACGCGGGAAGAAGGGGAATCTTGACGTTGCCCCAGAGATCCATCGTGTCGTTTTTGACAACGCGCGGCGCGAGCAGCAGGGAGGTGTAGATGGTGCCAAACAGGTCAATGGCCACCTGCGAGCTGATGGCGGAGCCCGCCGACGCCGCTGTATAATCGCTGAGAAGGCTCTTGGCCCGTGTGTCAAAGTACTGCACGGCACTATCCTGGACGCGCGAGCTCAGCTGAGGGAGTAGCATGCGGAGGACAGACTGCGCCCCCAGCGGCGAAAAGACCCAGAGCAGCAGCAGTCCTACGGTCAGTGGATTGACGCCCTGCAGATGAAAGGGCGACAAGACAGCGCCGCCCACCGTGCGACTACCGAGGAGCTGCTCTAGGGTGCCCAGCGTGCTGCCCTGCTCGAGGCGATAGCGAGCGACCTGGACCATAAGTCTGCCCACAATGGCCGCGAACATGACTGGGAACAGGGTCGACAGCTGCTCTTGTTAGCAACGCTGAGGGGAGGTCAAGCGATGCAAAGAGATGACGTACGATGGAAGCTGCGTTGACCCATTTTGCAATGGCTTCGGGCGTCGCCTCTCGTCCATCATGGCACAGCACTGCAATGGCGAACCCGAGCAGGCCCAAAGGCACCGCCAGGCACGAGACGTCTGCGGCCAAGGTCTCCACGCCAGGCGTGACTTTGTGGATCACGGGCGCGCGGGTCTCGTCCTTGGCGTGGTGGTGGTCGTCGCTCTCTGAACGTGCTTGCGTGTCCATCTGTCGATGGGAGATCTGCGGCTGGCGTTTGTCGTGCATGGCATCGTCGCGCAGGGGCAGGCTGTGGTAGACGTCTGGTTCTGGCACGTAGGGATCTGGCATGGCGCTGAAGTTCGGCCATGGCGACGAGCGATGGGAGGGCATCGTGGTTCACATCAGTGATGGAGATGCGTGTTCAGAGTTCTTCAGCGCGTGGAAGCGGGAGTGTGTTCTAGCATAGCCTTCGTTCCTCTTAGGCGTTGTGAAACGGTGAATGGCCAGGGACCAGGATTAAGCGCCTGCGCCGCACGCCTGCAGCAAAGGGCACAGTCAAGCATTCTGGGGGCAAGGGGCGAGTGAGGCGATGGTGACGGCTGGAAAGGAAGTGAGAGCTGGTTCTTAACTTGCTTGGTGAACGTTGTCGTGGTCATGGCCTCGTAGGGTTGATTGATGGCGATGTGATTCTTTGATTGACACCGGGCGGCAGTCCGCAGCTCGGGTGGATGACCACGACATATTCGGAGTTTGACCCAGTATCCAACAAATGAGATGGATGGTCTACGATCCAACGAAGTATTCTTCTGACTGACTCTCAACTTCTTATTTTCTTTTAACATCATTATCACTTAAATATCACAGAAGTACTGACACCTTTTCTTTAGCACAAGCTGTGCAGGGTACGTAGTCCAGACAGTGCCCCTGGCGTTTGAAATGGCACAGGGTAGCCCTTGGTGTTCGTCCAAAGTCTACGGGTACGCGATGCTTCTTGGCCCCGAAACCAGACCTCCGGTCGACGTCCTAGACTCGAGGAGGCGTGAAAGGCACTTGTCCCCGAGCCTGGCGAGAGGAAGCCCGTGGCCGTTACGCGCTGCGCAGTACGCCTGGCCTCAGCCATGTCCAAGCTTGCCCATCCAGATCATTGGCGTTGCGTATCACGGGTTCGATACGAGGAATGCCATGAGATTGCATGGGCGTTGTCGTGGTCGGCAATGATTGGGAGCTTGTGCGGCAGATGTGACCTCGATGCCAACTTTGAGCCTGGCGGTCTCTAGGTACGTGTGCTGGTTTGGATGATTCGAGCGACACTGCACGGCGTTACCTGTTCTTCTCAGAATGAAGAGGCATTGCCCCATGACCGCTCGATGGCCGGTGAGGCGAGCCCAGCGTCGTATTCTAGCTTGGGCCTATTCCTGTGAGCTTGGTGAATGCTCACAAGTCACGACATGGAGCATCTGGCCTTGCGGTGCACATCGCATCGTATAGAGCTCTTAGAACGACTGAAAGTGCAGCAGATCTGCGTCATTCAAGGACTCAAGTGAGATTCGAGAGGAGTGAGGTCAATCGAAGCGACGTGAAGACGGAATACGAGCAGCGGCACTCCGTAGAATATGGAGTAATGGACCGGAGACGTGAGTCTGGTCCCGTCGGGTTTCAGGGGTTGCATGAGACCCGAAAGCCGAAGATGACAGGACACACCGGCCTCCCTATGCCCAAAGACGCTGCCAAATTTGCCGTATTCCTTAAGGCGACAATCCAAAAAGACTGTTCCTGTGTACCACGCATTATCAGTTACTCCTGTTTCTCCTCTCAAAGGAGCACTTCGCTCTTGACAGTCTCATAGTGCTGTGAGCGAGGCGTGACGCAGCTCTTATCGCCAAACCCGAGGCTGACTATCAGGCGATGCTCATTGGCCGACTAGACGCACGACTGGATCCCCCCCAAGCTCCAGGCTCCAGCGAGTCCAGCCCCTCCCCCTCAGGCTCCTCCACGTCCAGTCTCCGATCCATCGTGACCCTCCTCCTCGGACCCTCTGCGGCACCAGCAATTGTCATAATGTAAACATACCGGCCGTTCCGCGTGACCGCGAGCATTCCGCAGTCCCCGCAAAGCACCCTTCTCAGTCGCCATGTGGCCTCTCATTCGTGGCTGGCCAACATGGACGGCTAACACCATACAATCGCCCCGAGCGTAGCCGCGCCCAGCCTATTCTTGCCAGTCCCACGCAAAGGCGTCACTCTTGTGCAGACTGACTGGTCACAGCAAGTGTGCCGCGCTGAACCGAGGTATGCTAATAAACTGGTATTGTCTGATTGAATGGCGGTGGTGAGCAAGCGTCATGCTCTGCTTTAAGAGAGGTCTGGCGCCCTCGAATGGTGGCTGTCCGTCTTCCACTGCTCATTCATTGTCCATGCATGGTCCGGTAACAACACCAAGATGCTCAACGCCGTGACATTGACCGCCGGCCTCCTTGGCCTGGGCGTCTTCTACGTCCTGACCCTCACCGTCTACCGCCTCTACTTGCACCCCCTCGCCAAGTATCCCGGCCCTCGCGTCGCCGCCCTCACCAACGCCTACCAGCTGTACCACGCGTACCGCGGCGACCGCCACCTCGAGTTCTGGCGCCTGCACCAAAAGTACGGCCCCGTCGTGCGCTTCGGCCCCAATCACATCAGCTTCAACTCGCGCGCCGCCCTGAAGGACATTTACGGCTTCAAGAGCAACGTCCGCAAGAGCGAGTTCTACAATGCCTTTGCCCACCCCGTCGCCAACACCCACAACACCCGGGACAAGCAGGTCCACGCCCGCAAGAGGCGCGTCCTCAGCCAAGCCTTCTCGGACAGCGCCATGCGGGGCATTGAGCGCTACATTCTGCAGAACGTGCGCGCCTTCACCGAGCAGATCGGCGTGGGCGCCTCGGAAGAGCGCAAGGGCTGGACGACGCCCAAGCTCATGAGCGACTGGTGCAACTACCTCGCCATGGACATCCTCGGCGACCTCTCGTACGGCAAGGCCTTCCACATGCTCGAGAAGCCCGACAACCGCTTCGCCCTCGGCCTCGTCGAGGCCGCCACCACCCGCCACCTCATCTGCGGTACCATGCCCATTGTCGACAAGCTCAAGGTCGACAAGCTGCTCTTCCCCAAGCTCGCCGCTGGCCGCGCCCGCTACATGGCCTACAGCAAGGGCCAACTCACCGAGCGCACCAAGCTGGGCGAGGACACGGATCGCCGCGACTTCTTCTACTACCTCCTCAAGGCGCGCGACCCGGAAACCGGCCAGGGCTTCAGCATCCCCGAGCTGTGGGCCGAGTCCAACCTGCTCATCATCGCCGGCTCCGATACCACCTCGACCGCCATGGCCGCCACCCTCTTCTACCTCGTCCGCAGCGAGCACGCCCTGCGCAAGGTCACCGAAGAGGTGCGTCGCGCCTTTTCCGACGTCGAGGAGATTGTCCAGGGCCCCGCCCTCGCCTCCTGCACCTACCTCCGTGCCTGCATCGACGAGGCCATGCGCCTCTCCCCCTCGGTCGGCGGCGTCCTCCCCCGCGAGGTCCTCCCCGGCGGTGCCCGGGTCGACGGCCACGACATACCCGCCGGCACCGTCGTCGGCGTCCCCCACTACACCATCCACCACAACGAGAATTACTACCCGGACCCCTTCAGCTACAACCCGGAGCGCTGGCAGCCGGGCGCCAAGTCGGCCCAGAACGGCGCGCTCGTCACCGAAGATGCTGTCGCTGTCGCCCAGAGCGCCTTCTGCCCTTTTAGCGTCGGACCTCGCGGCTGCATCGGAAAGGGTCTCGCCTACGTCGAGATGAGCACCACTCTGGCCAGGACCATCTATCTGTATGATATGCGTCGCGCGGTGGGCGTGCGGGATCCGGGTGAGGGCGAGGTGGGTGCCGAATTTGGTAGACACAGGCCGAGCGAGTTCCAGCTCGTGGATACGTTTACGAGTGCCAAGCAGGGGCCTCTGATCGAGTTTAGAAGGGCACAGCAGGACTAAAAGAAAAAAAAAGGGAAGAAAGGAAAAAAAAATGTGAAAAGATGAGGGAAGCGAGTGGCGGGCCAGTTATAGCTGCCCGGTTATGAATGACGAAGCACATGCATGCATGGTGTCTTGTTCCGATCTTGTGTATATCGGGCAACCATTTAAAAAGGGGTATTTCAATGTCAAGCATTCGTCAATCTATCTCTACGACGATGGGCCAAATCGGCTCCCAATCAGTCCCAAGTTCTTTTCGCCATGAGCTATCCCGCCTTGAGCCCTTGATGCGTGACCATGGGATCGTCGGCACTTGTACTGGCGCGCCAGTCAAATGCCGGCTCATCTCCTCAAAACAAGCACCCGGCCACAAACGAGCCAGTGAGTGCGAAGAGAGAGCGTATGGACCCCATAAATCAACATCCTGCTCGGTAAGCCCCGGTGCGGGGGGTCTGGGGTATGGGGATGTGCCTGCAGCTCGGCACTGGGTATCTTCGTCTCGGAGCGGGAGATGAGGAGATCCAACAGCCCAGCGCAATTCCTGCTCCATGTCGTCTCGTATGAGACGTCTCATGGGCAGATCACAATGGCTTTTATGATACAAGCAAGTGTGACTCTTGTTCCCTCTGTCAACAAGGGAATGTCGAGCTGTTGTACTCGCTGGACCAGATGCCTTCAGTCTCCCCAATGCGACAACACGCTGCGAGGGGCACTGCTACCCTCCTTAGTCGCACATTCTCCCGATGCCCGATGCGGACTCGAGCGGAATACTCTAATCCTCCTTCCCCTCGGGGTAGCGCACCGATGAACTGGTCGTCATCGCACTCCACTGCGTCGGCGAGGACCCTACCTTGGGTCGACCGCGCGAGTATAAAAATGTCCCACCGACACACGAGGCAGAAACGAGCTCCTCGGCTCTCCAAACGAGTCCTATTCATCTCCAAAAAATGCTGTCCCAGTCTCTCCCCCTCCTGGCCCTGGCCGCCACAGCCTTGGGTTTCCCCGACCTCCCCTTCAAGACGTCCGGCTCTGAGATCCTCACCTCCAAGGATACCCCCATCAAAGTCGCTGGGACCAACTGGCCGGGCCACAATGATGTCATGGTCCCCGAGGGTCTGCAGTACCGCTCCATCAAGGACATTGTCTCAGACCTCAAGTCAACGGGCATGAACGTGGTCCGCCTCACCTACGCCATCGAGATGATCGATCAGCTGCTGGACGAGGACAAGTCCGACCTGCAGTCCGCCTTTGTCGACGCACTCGGCGAGACGGAGGGCATGGCCGTCCTCCGACAGCTGCTCGCGAACAACCCCGAGTTCAGCGCGACGAGCTCGCGGCTGGACGTCTTTGACGCCATCGTCGAGGAGCTCAACGTCCAGGAGATCTACGTCAACCTCGACAACCACATCTCCAGCGGCGAGTGGTGCTGCGGTGCCAATGACGGCAACACCTGGTGGGGAGACGAGCACTTTGACGCGGACAAGTGGGTTCGCGGTCTGGCCTACATGGCCGAGCACGGAAGTTCTCACCCTTTGCGCATTCCACCCCAACCGACTAACACGCACCAGGGCAAGGCATGGCCAAACCTCATGTCCATGTCGCTGCGCAACGAGCTGCGCGAGCCAAGCAACAACGCGACCCTCCTCGAGACGTACAACTGGCAGACATGGTACAAGTACATGCGCGAGGGCGCCCAGGCCGTCAGTGACGCCAACCCAGACCCGCTCATAATCCTCTCCGGGCTCAACTACGACACGACCCTGCAGCCCGTCGTGCGTGGACAGCCCCTGACCCCGGGCGACGAGGTCTTCTCGTTTGACGACTTTTCCGCCGACAAGATCGTCTTTGAGCTGCACAACTACGACACCAGGGCCACCAACTGCGCCGACATCACGGGGGCGCTGTACAACGGCGGCGCGCAGGCCATGGTGCCGGACGACGAGACGACAGTCAACGCTGCGCCCGTGCTCATCACCGAGTTTGGCTTTGCCCAGACCGAGTACCAGGGCGTGTACGCGACCTGCCTCGCCGACTGGATGCCCGACAACACGGCCGGCTGGATGCAGTGGGTCGTCGCTGGCAGCTACTACCTGCGGAGCGGCACGCCTGACTACGACGAGACGTGGGCGCTGTACGACCATGAGTGGCAGAGCTGGAGGGTGCCCGAGTATGTCGAGGGCATCTTTAGCGACTCGATCGCGGCGACGCTGGCGGATAATGCGTGAAACCGTTTCTGGGCGTGGACAGACGTAGAGTACCGGTAGTGTCAGTCACAGACGAGCTATTAGTACCGTACATGTACTCCGTATTCACTCGATAAGATAAGTGCTATGGATAATAAAGTCGCTAGAGCTGGTCTGTCTTGGTAAGTAATATCCTTATCAAGGGTAGTGTCAATACCATACTCACTCGATACTAAAGCCGCTACAGCTAATGTATCCTCGTCGGAGAAAGCAAGGTTATAGATTGTGGGAGAGCGACTGGGCTAGTCGATACAGAGGTGAAGTTAGGTGCTGGTGTGACGAACATCACGAAAAGCTCAGCCTCAAGCGAACCTCACGGTAAGTCGCGAGCCCATGAGATCCGATCCATGGAAGGCTAGAACGACATCGCGAGCGTCCATAGGATCCTTGTACTTGAAGAAGCCAAAGCTATTCATATGCCTGATCTCTGTGGATCTCTCCGGTGTTATAGGTCGCAAAGTGAGCCTCGATATCGGTCTTGGTAGCTTCGCGTGGGAGGCTGCCCAGATACAGGCGGGTGGCCGAGACTTCAGTCATGGTGACCGTCTGGGACGTCGCACGATTGCTCGCGCGACACTTGGTGGGAGCCAGAGAGAAGGGAAAAATTCGGTATGAGGAATCCTTTTGTTCGAGCGTAGGCTTAGATACCGGGCCTAAAAGTGTAAGAAAATGATGGCCGATTGCGATGGACTGGGAACGGTCTCGGGGTTGGATGTTGCTAAAGCCGGCAATGAAGACTTTCGGCGTCGCTGCTGTCATGGACCGGTCTTCCGAGGCTATCGCGCAAGACGTCAAACCTGCCACAGAAGAGAGAGAGAGGCGTCGATGCCATTCTTGACGCTGTAGGCTCCGCGGGCGCATCGATCTTGTGAGGGCGGAACAGCAGGTGAGTGATGAGCTGAAGTGCCGAGGCACCGCCCGCATCCTTTATCTGGAATCTCCGAATCTTTGCTGTTGAACGAGATTGGCAAGCGATTACTGGACTTCAGGACCTAATATTGCTCATTTTATTAGTGTTGCCCGATATTGGTGCTCTCTACTTGCCTCGACAATCTGCTCGGCGGCCTGCTCCTGGAGTCCTGGACCTCCTCCATCACCTCGACGTTTTCTCACGTCCCAACGACCACTGAAAAACAAATTCTTTCCTTACCAAAATAAAGCCAATGATACAATTTTTTTCCACTCTCTCACTTAATAACTCTTCCTCCCGATGCCTCCGCGATGGCATGTTGAATTTGAGCTGGCAAGGGACCAGCGGGGACACGGACCGAGCGACACTGCGCTCTGGTGTGCCCATGCTTGCCACACTGCGGACTTTGTTAGCTATTGCTCCTCAATCAAAGCTAATAGTGCGCTCACTTTGCGACAGGTCAATATTAGTTTGGGGATCCCATCACGGCCACCACAGCCAGCTTCAACGCTACCACCAGTGGCGCCAAAGCCGCTGTTCCCACCGAAATTGAAGATGAAGGTGCGCTGTAGTACATTCTTTATCAGATGGGGTGGTATAGGAGTCTGAAGCTTGAACTTTTGTTCGATATTTCAATAATTCCTCCATAATATCTTATATACTAAGAAAATATTCTTATTTAGTCTAGTTGAGGCTGGTCCATAGAGATACAAGAGGCCCCGTAGGAAGGCCATGATAATGTCTCTCTGCTTCTGGCCTACTAGGCTGTCTAGGAGGAGGATGTTCGCTCATGTTGGCATTTGAAGCTGCCATGTGAAAGGGAGGCGAGTCTGTGTCGGAAACTCCACTACGACATTGTGTCGAAACTGCACTGCGATATTGCCACCCTTTTTATAGAAGAAGAAAGAGCTAGGCGACGGGGCGCTTCCCCATTGGATTGTCCATGAAACTGCCTAAGGTACCTAACTTAGTTAGATTCAACTGGCCGAAGGTGTCATCCGGCCCTCAGGGGAAGACTCAAACTTAGCTCTCTCATAGTCAAGAGAGTAAATTGTGCCTGCGCACGCATGTGGAAAGCCAGAGTAGCCTTTGCTTTGTTTTTGACAAGGACTAGTTTAGTAAAAAGAGGCTATGAAGCATAGGTAGCTTACATTCATCGAGTTCTCCCTCGAGACTATAAAGTAGCAAATTGTGCCTGCGCATGATGAGATTGCTAGAGTGGCCTTTGCTTTGCCCTGGGGAAGGACTAGGTAAGGTACTCTGGTACAAAGTCAAAGGCGATCAGCTCTAGCAGAGGCGGGCCGGTTCCCCACCAAAAAGTATTAACGCTAACCGCGTCCAGCTCGGGCACCGCGAGGCTGAGCTTTTTGTGACCTTCGTCGCATCAGCACTCGATAACTTCACCTCTGCATCAATTAACCTAGTCGCTCGCCCACATTCTATAAAATTTGCTCTCTCAAACATAAATCTCCATGCAACGAGACTAAGAGCGGCGACATGACGTAGCGAGTTATCGACCCATACCTTCGGCGCGCCGCATACGAGCATAAGCTCCAGCTCCAGGCACAGTCCCAGTCCCAGTCCCATCCCCACGACCCGAAGGACACGATGAAATGCATGTACTTTCAGCAAGGGAGGTGCAGATTCGGCAGTACGTCTGGCCAATTGATGCTTGCTGGGATAGGGCGCCTGACTGACGGTCGCTAGATGAGTGCAAGAACGAACATGATCAAGACTCGAGCCGTCAGACGCAGAACCGAGGAAATCCGTTCAGCCCCCTCGGAAATGATGCAAACCAAGACAAGTACGGTATGTCGAATCGGATTGCCTGAATACGCTGAGACAAAATGGAAAAGGGCCTGACATAACAGCAGCCAAGTACAGAATCAATCACGAAAACGTTCGCCTAGACCTCCAACAAGAATCGCCGTCGTGGATTCTCTCCGCGTATGGGCCCGGTCGCGATGCGCCAGAACAATTGTTCGGAGGATACCCGCGCGAGCAGAGCTTCGAGGAGCTGAGGCTTCATTACTACGTCTCAGAGGCCAGTGGGCAGGGCCAGGCTGCGGTTCGTTCTACCTATACATGCTAGACCAGACCAGTACTGACAGTCCCGCTCCTCCAGATCCAACAAGCTCAGGAGCTTTACAAGAACGCTGAGGAACAGATGAAGACGGCAGCAACCAATATCACCGAAGCCTGTAACTTCATCGTCGCGGCAGAGGACAAACACCCCAACCGACACGACACCTGCCAGCAATTCTCCATGGGCGCCCCATTCGGCGTTTTTGAGGTCGGCAAACAAAGAGCCGCCAATGCAGGGGGCCAAGCTCCTGCCAATCCATTTGCGACTGGAAACGCGCAGTCGTCTAGTTTCGGCGCTGCAGGCGGACAAGCAGCAGGGGCTTCTCCCTTTGCAGCCAAAGGCAATGCACCCGCAGGGCCGCCAGGCAGTGCCTTTGGGCAGACCTCGTCCCTGGGCCAACAGGCGAATCCGTTTGGGTCAGCTTCTGGCGGGAGCAGCTTTGGACAGCCAAGTCAATCCACATCGACATTCGGACAGCCATCTCAGTTGGGTGCTAAGGTCAACCCTTTTGCTGGCGCAGCTCCAAGCAGTGGGTTTGGGCAGGCCTCTGCACCTCCAGCGACGGGCGCCTCAGGATTCGGACAGCCGAGTCAGCTTGGCCCACAGCCTAGTCCTTTCGCTGCTGCGTCGGGAAGTAGCTTCGGCCAGCCATCACAACAGGCGAACCAAGGGTCGCCTTTTGGTCAAGCGTCCGCGCCACCAGCAGCACAAGCGTCGCCTTTTGGTCAAGCGTCCGCGCCACCAGCAGCACAAGCGTCACCCTTTGGACAGGTGTCGACGACACCGGCCTCGTCGCCGTTTGCGCAAACTAATCAGGCAAATGCCGGCGGCTCTGGGTTTGGTCAAGTCGGTCAGCTCGGCGCCAAGGTCAACCCCTTTGCGCCCACGTCAACAGCGCCCACAACAAATACGGCGCCTAGCCCATTTGCAACAACGACGGGTCAGCAGCCTCAGGACCAGAACAGGGTGAATCCTTTTGGTCAAACGTCGAGCCAGCAAACCATTGCCAGCCCGTTCGCCGCCACCGCGAGCAATCAGGCCAGCAACACCCCAGGGCCCTTTGGTCAGCCGTCACAATTGGGCGCCAAACCCAGTCCCTTTGGCGCCACAACCACACAGACCAACACCAACAATAATGCCATCAATCCGTTCAGCTCACAAGCTTCGACCGGGGCTTCAGCTGCCGCTCAACCGGCCACGAGCACTGCTCCAGCAAACCCCTATCCACCTGGTAGTGCTAAGCAACATCCACCGCTGGAGAGTTACGCCACCAAGACAGCCACCGGTCGTCTCAGCACATTCCGCAACAACCCGGTCACCTACAATGAGCAGAACCAGCCAGGCTATGTGACGCCCAGTGGTGCGTGGACAAAGATCTGGTTTCCCGACGGTCCGCCCGCTTTTAACAAGGATACGATGCTTGACATGGACGCGTACGACGAGGAGAGTAAGAAGCAGTGGATGGCATTTGCGGAAACGGGCGAGTTCGAGGGAGGCATTATGCCCGAGCTGCCGCCCCCGCGTGATTGCGTACTGTGGAATATCTAGACTAGGATGCGGCTGGCGTTACGTGCGGAAGAACCATGCATGACCATGGCAGAAAAGGCATGTATATCACAACTGAACAACAAACAAATCGCACCAAATGCGTCTTTCATGTTTTTATTTTCTACCAACCAAGGCATGGCGAGGCCTCGTATCCGTAGCTCCGACCATTCCTTGTCCGGGTTGTGCGACCAGCCACGCTGCACTTAAGCAGCAATGGTGACCTCAACCTCGACACCAGCGTCAATGTTGACAATGATCTGCTTGACGACCTCGGTGGGGGCGGTCAAGTCGATGAGGCGCTTGTGGATGCGCATCTCGAAGCAGTCCCAGGTCTTGGAGCCCTCACCGCAGGGGGTCTTGCGGGTGGTGACCTTGAGGGTCTTGGTGGGCAGGCGGACGGGGCCCTTGAAGCGGAGGTCCTTGCTCTTGGCGCGGTCGAGGATCTCCTGCGAGACCTTCTCGAGGGTCTGCACCTTGCGGGAGGAGAGGGTGATGCGGATCTTGTGGGACTTCTGTTGCTGGGAGGTTAGAATATTGTCACGACAAGAGAGAGATGTGGAGGACACGTACGGGGGCATCACCGCCCTGGTCCTTCTCGCCCTTCTGGTAGGAAGACATGATGTTTAATTTGGTGGCGGTAATCGGAAATATCTCTTCACGACTCGAACGTGGTGTTGCGGCAAAGTGATGAAGAGTGGGTTGGTAGAGGCAAAGGGGAAAAGTTTCGCGATGCGAGAATGAATTTCGTGGGATGTGGCAGCCCGATTGTGTGCGCTGGACGCTAAGCCTATCATGTCCTAGCGGGGCTGTCCTGCTTCTTGAAGTACGTACCTTTTGACGTCGGATGTTTGGCGGGGCAGATTCATGAGGCGACGCTCATGATGATTCATCCGGCGATGAGCTCGACAGTCTTATTAAGTGTCCTATGAATATGGAAGGCCCTTGAGCTCTTGGGTCTCTTGCTTCTGTGTTCTTGAATCAACTCTAGGCGGCATTATGGCCAATCTACCCTCGTTTGTGCCCTTTCCCAAGGTCCCATGGCGGCAGCATCTCAACGCGCAGGAATGGGATTCGCTGCTCGAGGCATGGGAGCTTCTGGCACGAGCATGCCTGCAGCTTTCGGACGTGGAGATGCAGAGGAAGGCGAAGCAAGACGAGTCTCTAGCCGAGTTTATCGTCTCGTTCATCGAGGAGACAGCCGACTCGGGTCCTGCAGCACTGGGATCTCACGCGACGTCATTGCGCAAGCTCACATTTCAGCTCACGTCACGCCTATTCGCCCTCTCACCGCCAGCGCAACTTTTGAGCTTCGAATGTCTGAGCGCTTTCGCGCGACTCTATCCCAGGAAACTCGCGGCACCAGTTCTTGCTGACCTTTTCGGCAAGCATGGTCCTGTTGCCGAGGCTTCCCTGACCACGCTCAAGAAGCAGCTCATACCGCAGCTCGAGGCTGGTATCAAGGGCGATCTCAAGCCGGTGGAATCACAATTGACACGACTAAATCCATTGCTGCATGCATCGCCCCATGCTTGCGCGCAGTGTTTGGCCGGGTCAGATTTCTTCGACGGACTGGTCATCTGTTTCCGGGTGATGAACCCTCCGCTTCGAAAAGCTATCATCACGACGGTGTATCTGTGTCTTGTGGGCCTGACCGACTTGGAGAGATGGGCCATGTTGAATGATCAGCTGTACGAGCTGAAAGCCGCGGCGGACTCGCACAAGGCTGGGCCTCTCAATGTCAACGACTCGCTTGTCTCCGAGCTTGTGACGTCGACGCCCATCCTCAAGGTCCTTTTGAAGCGAGCGGAGGACGCGGGGGCAGCAACAGCGAACTTTAGCAAGCGCATCACTGCTCTGTATGAGTTCAAAAAAGGTCCCATGCTGCGGCCGAAGCGCAAGAGGAAGGTTGACAAGGGCAAAGGGAGGCAATCGGAAACCGACATGGATGCAGACATGCACGTGCACAAAATGAGCCAGATCACACAAGTACAAGACTTGTTTCCAGATTTGGGCGCGGGATTTGTCGCAAAGTGCTTGGATGAGTACGGCGACGATGTGGAGCAGGTCGTTGCCAATCTGCTAAGCGAGAGTCTGTCGGCTCATCTGGCCAACGCAGACCGAAGTGAGCCTCTGTACGTTGATCCCGCACATTGGACGGTCGCAGCACTAACAAAGACAGCACATCGTCACATCAGCCGCCGCCGCCTGATCTGGCGCCGCACTCGACGCCGTCTCAACTGCCCACGCGGCGCAACATACATGATAACGATGAGTTTGACAACCTCTCCGCCGACATGTCAAAGGTCACATTCGGTAAAGATCACGAGAAGACCGAAAAGGAGGTGTCCTCCACCGCGCCCAACAAGGCTGCCATTCTCTCCGCGCTCGCCGCGCTGGATCCTGACGACGACGAGCGCGACGACACGTACGACGCTGCTGACGTTGGCGGGACCGTCGATCAGAGCAATCAGGAGGCCGATGGTGCGAATGACGGGAACGAGGAGATCTTGTATCGCGCATGGAACATGGACCAGAAGGCCTTTGGAAGGGATGCAGCGACTAGGAGAGGGGCAGGCAGGGCCAAGCTTAGAGAAGAGACAGGTATGACGGATGAGGCGATTGAAGGATGGGCTCTCATGCTCACACGCAACCCGGCACTGAGACGAAGGCTGGAAGCCAAGTACGCCTTCAGCGGGGAGCAGAACGCCATCGAGAGCACGTCGTGGCGCGCCAACGAAGACAACTCGGATGCTCCTGGGCCGTCACGAGGCAGAGGTCGCGGTCGTGGCAGGGGAGGAGCGGGTCGAGGACGCGGGAATGTCTCCGGGCCCACGGGTGAGAAGGACACGACAAACGCGAGGAAGAACAAGGAGGCAAACAAAGGGTCGAGAGCTAACCACAATCGGCGGGAAGGACGTGCGAGGAAGATGGCACGTGGTGGATTTGCCGGATAGTCCGTTGCTGGCATTCATCATCTATAATGTCACAACCAGTTTTTCACCACTGACTCCTTTCCCGATGAGTTCGATGCCAGTCTGTATGCTCTCGGGTCCTTGACCGACTGCGCGCACAGGTGGTGGTAGCTTGTATCTGCCCTCTGCCAAAAGTTGCTCAAGGGCGGACATGCCAACATTGTAAAATTCTTGGTTGAAGAACCAGTGCTGTTCCGAGCCCTAAGCTAGCACGGTTCAAGACTTGGCTGCAGGAATGAAAGTACACTTGTTGAGCACCATTCAAACTGTCCGTGAGACCCGCGTCTAAAGCTTCACGGAAACCAAGGGGGCCAAGGACGACAAGAACACCTCATCTTAAAACCATCGCCTACAACAGTTAGGCTTCAGAGTCAATGACATTTAGGTTTTACGTTCAATGACAGTAGGGCTTCAGAATCAATAGTGGTATCGCATAGTGGTAAGTATCGCTACAGCGTAGTACATCCCAATAAACAACATCGGCACACCAAGTCCGACTCACAACGCCTGTGCCATGCGCCTCGTATAATCCCCAAATCCAAATAGGCGGCTCCTCATATACTCCCCGCCAAACCCTCCACCACGTCCGTCAGCATGCGCAACTCGTAGTACTTGGCGACCCTCCTGACAACACCAAGCTTCTTGCCAATCTCCTCCCTACTGACAACACACCTCCAAGCACCACTGCAGGTACAATGCTCCATGAGGTCGTTCACGCGAAGCGCGCCGCACCGCTCGCACTTGGCGTCCTGGGTGGTCCACTCGACAGTCCAAGATTCCACCATCGACAAGAGCCTCTCTTCCAGGGCAATACGATCGTACTCGACTGAGCAAAAGGTGCAGCGCCACACCTGCTGGCCCGAGAAAAGGTCCTCGTCACGGCAAAAGTCCAAGTCCCGCGTCATTGTGCAACTGTCGCATGAGACCTGCGATATCTTGAGCGACTCACTCGGGTTGACAAAGGTGCCCTCCTTGGAGAACTCGCGGACATCAAACAGCGCCAGCAGCTCCTTGCGGAGGAGACGCGCCTCCATCGTGATATTCTTGTCGAGCGATAAAACCTGCATAATGGTCTTGACCAGTTCGAGAATGGGATTACGCGACGAGGTCGGGAGATGAGAGCCCGGCAGCGTTGGGAAGCCGTAGTCCTCTGCTAGCTCGGGGTGGAGCAGCTCACGCTTCTGCTGCGCAATGAGCCCAGCAATCGCTCTCTTGAACGGCTTCTCAAAGGCCTTGCCCGAAATGATCTGGCCTTCTTGGTTCTCAATGTTATTCTGAGGAAGCTGCGTGAGGCGAGGAGTCGCGTCGGGATCGTTGACGCTCTTGTGCTTCAGCGCATGCATCAACTGTACAAACTCGACAACCCAGTCTTGGAACGTAGACTGTAGTCGTGTCGGTAGAAATGTTGCCATCTGCCAGTGCATAATCGTTTCGAGGTCCTGCTCCTCTGCCTCCACAACCTCTTGGCAGGCACGGCCGCCATAGTTGAACTCATCATACCAGACCAGGTAGTCCCAGTACTCCTTGATTTCGAGGTCTATGAAGTGGAAAAGGGGCTTGCTCTTGATGCTCTTGATCACATATTGGGCATACGCAAACGCAGTGCCCACCTCTGCCTTTGTCGTCTGCAGGATGAGCCTGTTCGCGTTTGCAAAGACAACCTGCGAGCCCACACGTCGAAAGTCGCCCATGAGCTGCTGGAACGCCTTGCGCGACATCATCTGCATGTAGTAGTGCAGCGCACGGTCGTACATGAAACTGTCTGGGCACTCAATCCAGCGGACAAGGTGTTGGACGAGGACATCGGCCATGGTGCTACCACGACAGGCCTCGCCCCACCATGATTTGACCATCTCACGGAGAACAACGACACCAGCATTGGCAAATGCACTCTCTGACGCGAGGACCTCGGAGCTATCAGATGTGGGGTTGAACGAGTCAGCGCCCTCGAGATCATTGATGAGAGACGATGTGAGGATCGTGTTGATGGCGAGGTTACGCACATCCAGATCGATACATACTGAGGAGAAGGTGCCCGGGTTGTTGACGTTGGGGAGTTTGACGGCGTCCAACGGGCCGAGCAGGTCGTCTTTCTCATACCCAGCATGATCAGGCCTAGGGCCCGGTGACCACCAGAGCACGACTCCATTGGCTTGCAGTCGCCTGGCGTACGCGACATCAATCAGGAAGCGAGGATCTTCCCTCTCCAGGTTGCAGAGTGGAACGTCGCCGTACCTTGCTAGAGCCGTCAGGTGCAGGATCCATGATCCAAGTCCGAGGTAATGGCCAACCAGCCTTCTCGAAACAACGGACTGCCAGCCCAACGGTGGCAGAGAGCTGTCAGAAGCATCGTACTTGAGAGAAAGCACGGGAAATTCACCGAGAATCGGCACATCGTGGACTAGCTGGTTGGACTGCGATGACTGGATCGCCAGCATCTGAGGTCTCACCTCGTCCTTTCGTATCTTCTTGACAATGTCGCCAATCTCGAGATGGGCCTTTCGTCGTGTGGTGACTTGTTTGATCTGGAACGACACGCGCTGCTGGTAGGGGAAGCAGTCCTGCCAGTTGGTACCTGCCGCTTCCTCAACCCTCTTGGCCATCATCTCTGAGTAGATGCGCGTGACGTTGGGCAGGTCTTGCCCAGAATCTCGGCTCCTCTGCAAGATGACAATGTGCGCTTCATCCCGGGACGTTGAGAAGATGCCAAAGATTTGCCTCTCTCCGGCTGTGATATGGGAGATGTAGACGTAGGCCATGGGCGACGACTCGAGGTATGTCCGCCCCTTGGCAGGTCTCTTTAGGCCATGAAGGTCGAATCCTTGCTCCAGGCCTTTCCCAAGCACGCCTCGCTGTTGCTCATCAACGGTACAAATGTTGCCTAGCTGAAGAACAGCGCGCATATGGAGAGGCAATTGCTTTTCGTAGACACCCTCAACGCTGGGATGGTTGAATAACAGCGAGAACTTTTCCGTCTCGTTGAAGTAAACTTCTTCCGGGACAGTTAACTTGAAGAGGTGACTCGATGGATGACCATTGGGCAGAGTGTAATTGACTTGCTCAACTTCACAGCCGTCAATCTCAATATCCGGCAGCTCTTTGCCTTTCAAGTTCAGAAAGACTTGACGCGGCACCTTGACCTTGAGAGCGTGGACCCTCGCATCGATCAAGACATAGGCAGTCACGATGCCAGGACTGTCCGTCGACCGGAGCTGGAGCAATTGCCAAGTATTCATAAAGGTGGCATGCGCTTGCTTCATGAAGGTCTGCTGGATATTGCTACCAGTAAGACCTCTGCGGTCGCCAAAGAGTTGGCGCCTGCGCACCCGGGCCTGCTTCTGAATGCGCCATTTCTGCTTCTGATACTCCAAGAAGGCTGGGTAGTCCTCGGACGGGTCAGGCATGACTTTGGGCAGGGCAGCCATCGGGTCCACGTTCTCAATTGGCTCCGGTGACTTGCGTTTCGTCGCCACCGCCGGCTGAGACGCAGCAATGGCAGCATTCGTGTTCTTCGGTTTAAGGAGCTTGGCGCCAAAGTCCTCCAGATCTTCCATGCGGGGGTTGTTGAGATTTGTTATGTCCTCCAGCGGCCCCTTGACATTGACAAGATCGGTGATCTTCTTCTGCTTCATCTTGTCATCTTTGATGTTGATCCTCCTCTGTAGCCAGTCGGGATGAGGCACGCGCGGAACCGGATTGCGTACTTTCTGCAACGCGGCAGGAATCGTTATGAGCTTTTGGATCACTGAGCCAAGACGCTCGAGGTAGTAGTCCCAGTCAAGAAGGGCCCGAGGGTCGGTGTCGGCAGGCTCCTCCTTGAGCCACTTCTTGAGGTATGTCCGCTTCACAGACTCTTCGGCTGAGAAGATGGCTACCGGAACAGCTCGCTCGGTGACGGGGGCGTTCCTCGGCCGCGAGCAAATGATAAACTTGCAGTTCAAGCCTTTATCTTTGACCATCTGCTCACCCAGGAAATCTGCCAGTCGCTTCGCTGTCGTGATACTGGTCGACTTTTGCGACCCGTACTCCTCGAGCGTTTTGCTCATGCTCCTGTTCTCTGAAATGAGCTCCATGAGCTCTTCGTACGCCAACGTCGAGCCCTTGCTATGAAGAACGTCCAGCCACTGGTTGGCAACCTTGGCAACGGCAGTGTAACACTGCGTCAAATCGGACCCTTGGAGGAAGAACTTGAAGATTTGCTGCTGGAAGATCTTGATGAGCTTGAGCTCACCACGGCGCTTCACCTCAAACCCCTTCAGCTCGGCTAGACTGCCGTCGTCGTTGAACACGGCGTATCGCTTCTTCAAGTTCTTGTCTTCTTCTTTTGAAGTGGGTAAGATCATGGCTTTGTAAGGGCCGTCGACCTCGAAGAAGATGGTGTTGTCGCTGTGTGTCTCGTACTTGTGTGTTCTCTCGTCCACAAGGGTCTGATACTGGTGGTTGGTGAACTTGCCGTGGACGAGATGGTTCAACATGACGCATGGGTATGAGATGTTGAGCTTCTTGCCGCCCTTCATTTTGAAGGCAAAGTTCTCTGGGAATGTCGCCGGCAACATGCACCAGATACCATCGGTATCCAGCTCGAGCGGCCGTCCCAAGCGCTCCACGAGCTGCCTTGCCAGCTGGATAATTCGGGCACCAGTCAAACAAGTAACACCAGCCATTTCCAACGAGTACCATCGCGAGCCCTTTCGCATGACATAACCGTAGAATGTGTTCAAAATACACTTGTGCGCAAGCTGCAGGGAGTCGTACACGACCACCATCTTCTTGGCTGCCTCGACCTCATTGGGCGGCGCCCCGGAGGACTGCAATGCTGCCGATTTGCCCTTCCAGACCTTGGACTTGCCCTTATAATCGTATCGACGATCTCGGAAATCACGGACTGTATTTACGTAGAATGGGTTCTCCCGCTGGCAGATGATTGCTTCTTTGGTGACTGTCGTTGAGTCGTGAATCTTGTGGTAGATCTTTTGCGAATACAACTGCAAGCGCTTGCGGGTGAGTGCTGCTTGTTCGTCCAGACTCAGCTCTTGGAAGCTGCGCATAGGCGAATTGGGCCATTTTCCGGGGAATTTCTCGTTCTCCAGGGCATTCCGAATCATCTTGTACTCGTCTCGCTTCGCGGGGATATACTCGCCACGCCACGACCACGGAAGTCTCCTGTCGCAAGTCTTTCCAGGCCTGTTGAAGTCACATGCCGCACAATCTGACTCGTCGACCATGGAGTCGGGCTGTAGTCGATTTGTGGTCATGATGTTTGGGTACATGGATGCGACGTCCAAATGATAGATCAAGGGTCTCTCATGTCGGTTCGGTGTCTCTTTGAGGTTGAGCAGCCGGCTGGTGATCTGTTCCTTCACTTCGTCGTAGTTTTCCACATCTTCGAGTTTCTTGTTCTCTTCAACTTCCACAACGAACTTCAACGCGGCGTCCAGATCGCTCAATAGTTCGTCAATGGCTGTCGGATCCACCGAGAAGTCGACGGGAATATCAGCGCGGAAGACACCTGCCTCGATACTCTCCACGTGGCCACCGACGTAAGTCTCAGAATCCAACAAATGTCCATCCCAGAATGCTTCTCGTGGCGCAACATGCTTGTTTGGCAGAACAATGTTCTTCGAGTAGGCTTGCACCATGAGAAGCATTTCGCAGAGTGTACCGGTTCCCTTTCGTAGCACCTCGTCGCCGCTGAGAGGCAGAACGGTACACAGCGAGAAGATGAAGGGGTGCACATACTTCATATACAGGTAGTACGTGGCAACCGCATCTGAGACCGAGTACTCAGCCAAGGTTTGAGGCCTCTCACTTGCGTACGGCGTCATGAGCTCAGGGTCGAGTTCGTCGGGGTCGTATCCAAGCTTGGCGACTGTTACAGCCTTCAAGCCTCGCGAACCTTGGGGAAGGTAGGAATCTCGATTCACCCAGTGAAAGCAATCCATGTGTACTCCGTAGCTGCACTTGTAAGTGTCCTCGTTGTCTTTCTTCCACCCAATCTCCTGGTACATGTCGAGGCCATTGACAGCAGCTCGGGCTTCCACGAACGGCCAATCAAAAAAGTCACCGTTGTAAGTGGCAATGACGGTGGGTCGTGCTTCCTTAATATGTTCGAAGAATCGCTCAATCACCGTCTTCTCGTTCGGCTCGTTGAAAATCATAAACGGACCTGGATACTGCGGTGTAGGGGTATAGTCGAAATCTGAGATATCCTCGGCCACAATCTCCCGGTTGGTGATAAGGAAGCCTTGCCCGTCGATCATGTACGATATCATCATGATCTCGTCAATGGCTGCGTCTGGGAATTTGAGCGGCGCTTTGGTAGTCTCTATGTCGTACGCCATCACCACCGGGTCGGCTGGTAGTGAGCGCTCTGGGTTTTGGATAATGCTGACCACGCCATGCTTTGCTTCCACAAAATACCACAAGCCCACTCGGATATCTATGCTGTTAGATGGAATCTTATAGATGGACACCTTCACGCACCCAAGTCGATCATTACTCGCACATGATATGGCACATCGTATTCGCGAATGTCCATTATATAGTCGCTCGCATCCGTCGTAGTGTTCATTAGTCGTTCGTCGTCTCGTGAATCATCAAAAAGGTCAAAATTGCCGTTCGCCCTGATGCCTAGGTTAGTCTTGTCTGATGCGTCGGGGAACACCACTCACGTAGCCACCTCGGCGTATGCGTCCATCGCATCCATGTTCTTCTTGTTCTTCTCTGCCACAGGCATAATGTCCCGCCTCGCACTCATCAGGTCGTTGACATTGGCGAACTTAAGCTCGAGAAACGTTCGTTTGTACCCGAGTAGGTGATTCGGCATGTTGAGGTCATCCTTTTCTATCTTTCGAACCGCTTTGACCACACCGTCGCCCGGTACACGTTTGACCCATTCCTCCACTTCAGACTCGTGGCCTCTCTTGACGCCTATGAGGAAGTATGGCTCGTACTCGACTGTAGCTTTGAAGTAGGAACCACTATCATCAGTGAAGTAGCAGTCGAGTGCGGCGCGGCCGTGCGGTAACCTGTCGTCTTCGATCGCTGTTGGCTGAACACCCACGAGCCACCCGTCTCGACGATTCCCGCTCTCGTACCGCGCGAATCCCATGTTCTCGTCGATCAAGTTTGCTAGTCTTGTGCGTTCCCATTTTTCGTCTGCAGATGTCCCCTCTTGTCGTGACGAGGCAGCGAATGTGCGATTTCTCGGCCCATGATATGACTTCTTGCCGCCGCCACGGCGGAAGCCTTTCTGGGGCTGCCGCAAGCTGGTATTCGGCATCGTAAGAACAGTGGACGCCGTATAAGGCGGGAAAGACAGTTAAAGAGAAATTGCAGCCGTCATAAATTATGTGCTGCTATTGAGGCAATGAGAATTGTAGCCGGACCTATTGCATGAGGTGTTGTTTAGCCGACTGACCATGGGGGACGTGATGGGTATCAATGGCTGGGCCTTGTCCTTGGATAATTCAGGAAGACGCGTTTCGTCGCGCCAGGGCGCGTCTCGACGCGATGCTGCCCCACAACGAATTAATGACTTTAGCCACACCAGGCCACGGCCACAGCCACAGCATCCTGCTCAGCCACATCTCGAATTACTAGCATCATGACGCTGACGATCCATTTTCGAACACGCGATACTCAGTGACTTTCTTCACTCGCCCACTGCGCAAGTAGGAAGCCAAGAATGGCCTCACCTGTCCCCCCGAACCCGAACAGTCCGTCGACAACTCCGAATCAGAAGACGTTGAATGTATGGAATAAGCCAATCGACGAGAACGACGCCGAGAACCATGCTGGTCCCGTCACATTCACCGACGCAGTCGAGACAGTCAAGATAGGCGAGCTGTCAGAAGTTGCAAAATACCCTTGCGTGCGGAATGCACTGCTTCAAGGCATCGGGGCTGGTTTTGGCGCGGGTGGACTGCGGTTCGTCGCTGGAGGTAAGGTTGCGGGACAGCGTGCGCCAGAGCAGAGGGTTAATTCTGGCAGGTCATGTGTTCCGATGCGTGAATTGGGCGTGTGGAACTTTTCTCGCAGCGAGTATGGCCTCGTATGAATGGTGTCAGTACGGTCGACGATGCGAGCGGCGCGAGATGAAGCGGAATATCGAGATCGTTACAGAAGGCCGGAAAGACCAGGCGAGGAAGAAGATGGAGCAGCAAAGGGAGGAGGCGGAGGCGCGGAAGTTGCAAGAAGCACAGAAACCGTGGTATTCGCGATTCTGGTAGGGGCCTTGCGGGCTGTGTACCATTTTGTACATATATGTATAGATTTGCAACGCATGCCCTTGGTAAAGGGCCGGTATCATGGAATTATCATTAGTAGTTATATTGCCCTGAGGCTGTTTCAAGCGTTTCGTCCGCAGTCCTGACGATACAAAACCACACAACCGAACGCCGGCAAGAGAAGTTGAGCAACAGGCTGCCGTTAGCTGGGTTGAATCATGTCGTAAGACCGATTGCTTTCCTCCATGAACTGCACTCTTCTTGCGATATCCTTGGATGCTTCCTCTTCGCCCTTGACCTGTTCTCTCCGCTTTTGCATTCGCCGGGCTCTGGCTTCGTTCTCCTCGCGTTTGCGGTAGTCTGCCATTTGCTGCCTGCGCTTCTGGATTCGGGCCTGGGCCAGCGCTGGCGTCGGCCTGAAGCCCACGCCGTTGATCCCTGTGCCATCATCATCGACGTCCTCTGGATCGTAGATTGTGATTTCATCCTCCCGCCACGTCAATGCCGCACGTATGGGTTCGACGATTTCCATTTCATCCTCATCGCCGGTACCCTCACCCTTCTTCGCCGCCAGCTTCTTGCGCAAGCTCGGAGGCGGGGTCCCGGTCCTTTTCTGCCGGGGATTTGACCTCGATTGTGAATCTGAAAGTCGATTGATGGGAGAGTACGCTCGCTGCAGGCTTCCGTCAGGCACGTCAAGACTGACTGCCCCGGGCGGCGCAAGAGGGATGTCCGGTTCTGGTAATGTCGGCCCCCATGAGCTGACTTCTGCTGATCCATCTGCTGATTCATCTGCCATCTCATCATCCCCTCGCTGTCGTTTGCGCGCATCCGCGTCATCCTTGTTCTCATCGACACTTGCTGCGTCTACCCCGCCCCCACTCTCTTCTTGAAGGTCGAGGCCACGGAACTTGTGGGCGACGTTAGATCGCGGGCTATTGCCGTCTTCATCCTTTGCTCGGTTAACGTCAAATGTGAATTTGATGGGCGTGATGGCTGTTTCAACCCCACGCTTGCGTTTGGGTGTTGGGGTGATAGGTGGTGATGAGTCGGCCATGGTGGCGGGTCATGAAGATTTTGGAAGCGTAGTTCCCAAGCAAGGGGAGTTCAGCGACGTGGTAGTCAGGAAAAGAAGGCTCTGTGTATTGTTCTGGTGAGGTATGAAACAATGTCGCGAGAGGGATAGCTGATCAAGTTGAGTTCAATGGCGAAGATGAACGAAGCAAGGGCGGCGTTATGAGTGTCGCTGACGGCAAATTGCAGAAACCGCGCCCAGAGCTGGACTAGTAGCTCTGCTCATCTGGCTCTTGGTCACAACAACAACTCACAAAAGCACCTCAATCACTGGGAATTTTTCCTGAGTATCACGGCGAATCGATACTGCGACTAGAGGCATTCACGTTGCGCCGCCTGTACACGCGACACCACCAGCAGGTCGCACTAGCGACACAAAGCACCTGCGGTCAAACCTCATGACTGGGCTTATATTACACACATTGGCGGCCATCATGAATGACCTTGGTCCGCGGTGAATAATGTGTCACGAGTCTCAAAAAGGCTCAGGGGTCAGGGACGATGATGGATTCTGTTGTGCACAGCGATGGAACGTCCTACTGTCCATCGGTTGACCTCGACAAAAGAATCAACCAACAGACAAGTCGAGACCTGCACTCTCTTCGCAGCCTGTAGGTTTGGAGAACGGACAACTCTGGCTGAGGTGGGGAACGCATCCTACTGACAGAGCAGGAAGCGCAATTCCATGTACTGTTGTGTTGCGGGGAGAAAGCTGTCGACTAGCGGCAGGCGAATTTGACTCACATGTCTGGTATCATGACTTGCTAGGCCTGAGATAGTATCATTTCATCTGAGGGGCCGCACGGTCCGTTCGCTACAACCACAGCGCCTGGCCATGCAATCGATGAACTGGGGCAACTAGATGAGGCGCGTGGAGTGGCTGTCGCTCACTTGCAAATGTCATCAGTCTGATTCACAACAGAATTTTGGCCGTCTCGAGCTAATCACGCGAGAAACAGATCTTTCTTCTGAGATTCTGGACAGTGGACGTAACTTTGCCAAAGAAAGGCAGGAGCTTGCGTGAAGACGCCCGGATCAAGCGAGGCGCCTCGTGTTTCGTCAGACGAGGGCCAACCTCCACATGCTTCGAGATCGCGACAACTGTTCTGTTCTGGCAGACCGAGACTGCCACTTCACTCGCTGGGTGAGGCTATATGCATGCTACATTTCGTATTTGCTGAGGAATGAGTCCAGCTGCCAAAGAATCGAAGTGGTACGTACCACACAAACCAGACTTTGTCTCCTCATGTTGTTATAGAAGGCGTTGGCACGCTGGCTTGTCGTAGAGCAAGTCGAAAGAAGAAGATAAGATATCCTCCACAGATGCACTTGGACCAGGCCTATTCCCTCGTCGCTTATAATGACTCGCAAATGGCTGTCGGATTGGCGCATCATTCTCCCGAGAATCCGAGATGAGTACCCCGCCAACACTGTACACACCCCGCATCATCACCACTGTGACGACGAAGTCCCGAAACTTGAATCCTACCAAGTGGAACCTTCCGTGCATAACGCCATAATAGCCTGTCGCATGCGTGAGGCATCGGTCCGTTCAGCCTGAATTTTACATCCTGCCAACTAATAAACTCGATACCCTTCCTTCGCCTCGCCTGCTCACCACAACCCCTCCCTAACGTCCCTCTCACACACATACCATCAAGATGACCGACGCACCATTCAGCTTCGTCCCGTTGGGCGCGATCATTCAGACCTTCGTCGTTAACAAGACCAATATTGTCCAGGGATTCGACACGCAGGATCAGTACGTCTCGCACAACTCTCCTTACTTTGGTGAAACCATTGGGCGCGTCGCAAACCGTCTCAAGGGCGCCCAGCTCGCCTCCATCAACGGCGGCAAGTCATACCCTCTCGCTGCCAACGATCGCGGCAACTCTCTCCACGGAGGTATCAAGGGCTGGGGCAAGCGCATTTGGGATGGTCCCAAGCCCATTGGCACCCGCTCCATTCCTGGTGTCGACGGACTCGAGGGTGGCGAGACGGTCGAGTTCACTCTCACAAGCCAGGATGGCGACGAGGGCTACCCCGGCACCGTCCTTGCAAAGGTGATCTACACAACGGGCACGCAGTCGCTCAACGGCAAGACCGTCAACGTCCTGGGCATCGAGTACGAGGCCACCCTCACCGATGGTGCAGAGGAGACGGCTATCAACCTGACCAACCACTCCTACTTCAACCCCGCCGGCGCCCCGGATGCCAAGACGTATGCTGGTACGACAGTGAAGCTGGCCACAAACAAGCACCTGCCCGTCGATGCCAGCGCCATCCCCACAGGAAAGGTTGAGCCCTTCCCTGGGCTAGACACCAGCAAGGAGTTCGCCATGACCGAGAACGGCCCGGACGTCGATCACTGCTTCGTCACCGTTGATGATCCCAGCTCGGTGCCCATCGACACCAGGAACGAGCCCCTCAGGAACAACCTCACCGCGTACCATTCCGGTACCGGCGTGCATCTCGAGGTCCTGAGCACAGAGCCCAGCTTCCAATTCTACACCGGCGTCGGCATCAAAGTCCCTGCCGTGGGCAACGTGCCCGCCCGTGGAAACAGGGCTGGCTTCTGCTGTGAACCTGGAAGGTGGGTGAACGCCGCCAACGTGGACGGGTGGAAGAACCAATGCATCGTCAAGAAGGGGCAAACATATGGTTCCCGAATCGTATACAAGGGCTGGTCGGATTAGATACGTAGCCATTCATTGCGAGCGGAGGACGAATAGACTGCCTTGGAAGCGCCACATGAGTCAAGACTCAATCCGAATCACTTTCATCTCCTAGAAATGCCAGGTCGGCCTGTGCCCTCCTTTTTCTGGCCGCAAAGCTTTGCTCTTCGTCGTCTTCTTCTTCTTCTTGTTCTTCCTCCTCCTCCTCCTCCTCCTCCTCCTCCTCTCCTGCTTCTTCTTCATCGCCATCACCCTTTTCGTCATGACTTTTGCCTTGCTTCTCGGTATCACTGTCTTTTCTCAAACTTTTCGGCTTGGCCCTTGAGCTCCTCGCGCCACGCGAGCTTCCCCAGAGCTTGTTCATCTCTTGGGCACTCTCCAGGTCAGCCAGCAGCTCCCGCCTCTCCTTAATTTCTCGGGCCTTGGCTTCCGAGAAACGCCCCGTCATGCCGACATCGTCCAACATGCCCCTCAGGTGCTTAATCTTGGCGCGCGAATTGTCCCCATAGGACTTGAGCTCGTTATGCCAAAGCTTCCGGACACCGCACTTGACCAGGTGACCCTGCAGTTTCTTGATCTCCGCCGTGTCCGGGTCGTCAGCGGTGTCGCTGGCTTTCGGTGCACTCTTCTTTGCTTCTTTCTTGGGTTTCTTCTCTTTCGGGGCAGATTGGGACTTGGAAACACGACGTGTGGCTGTGGCGGGCTCTTCATCGATGAGCACAGACATTTCGGACTCATTGTCGCTGTCAGCAGCCGCCTTGGCCTCATTTTCCTCCTTCGCGGGGTCTCTGTCCTCGGCTGCCGGGGAGTCCTGCTCCATGTCATCTTCGTTGTCCTCCGTGTGTGAGGTAGCTTTTGCTTTCAGTTGCCGAGGCGCAGGCTTGGGTTTTGTGCTGGGCTCATCCGCCTCTTCTTCATCGTCATCCACGACTTTCTTCCGTCTGGCGATCTTCGTCTGTGGCTTGACGACTTCATCATTGTCGTCCTCATCGTCCTCATCCATGTCGCTCTCGTCGTCCTCACTGTCCACAATTTTCTTTTTTGGTCGGCCCGCCTTGTTCTTCGGCTTTGCATCTTCTTTTGCTACCTTGCTTTTGGACGTCTTCTTTGGCGCACTCTTCTTCCTTCTCTTTGGCTCTGAACTCGCGACATCATCGCTCGGCCGTTTTGAGGCCTTGCTGTCCGGCTGCCAGCCATTCATCAACTTATCCTAGTGAAGCTGTTAGTTATATGTCGCCACCCTTCCGAGATGGGACGTACCACATATTCTGTGATGAGTTCTTTGCTTCTTCCTTTCCATTGCTCATTCCGGAAGAAGCCATCCTCGAGATCATTGTCTTCCTCAGCTTGTTTCCGTACTTTGTTGACAGTCGTGGTCTCTGGGTCCGCAGCGAAGACACTGCAGGTCGCAGCAATGAGGGCTTCTTCTAGTTCCTTCTTCGAGGGCGCCATTGTGAAATATAAGACGAAATTTCCCCTGCATCAATCCTATGGCATCGCCGAAGAAATGTAGGTAATCGATCAATGCGTGGGGCCTACGCGCGGTCATCAAGAAAGACGCGTCGGACAAGGACGCGACGATTGCACGAACGTCACGATCGACTGAGCTCGGAATGTGGGTCGAACAGCTGTAGTGTTTGTGCTACCCTATAGCATCATGCCCGAATCAGTTTCAACGGATCAAATTGGATGTTTGTTTGGATTAGTCTCACATGGGGATGACAAATAATATCAAGTCATATTACTTCCAGGTAAAGAAAGCACTGAGCTCACCATTGTTCTCTTCAGGTGCGCTGTACTCAGCGCCCTTGTATGTGGACAAGATGCTTACCAGGTTAGATTCACATCATGAATGAAATCGGCACTCTGACCTTTTCCAGCCTAGGCGGGCCAAATTCCTGATGTGTCAAGTCCAGCCCCTTCGAAGCAGCCTAAGACTGCAGTCTAGAACCCAGCAATTCCTAACAGAACAGCTTAGATGTGTAGATGTCGTTCTGGATATGAGGCAAGATCCGGACTTGTGGAGTTCTGGCCAGATGTGGCTGGTGGGTCCAGGACAGCCGCATCGTGGCCCCGTAAGCCTCTGCTGACGCCACGCTTCTCACCTCCAGTCCCTACTGAACACCCGCCATGAACCCAGAGTTCCCGAGCTATTAAACTCTACACATCACCAAAATGTCTGCGTCACTTGCGCCAGAGTGCAACGAAGTCAAGGAGTGAGTGCATTGCCGAGGAACTGAGGAGTTGTCGCTGACATTGCAGACGCTATGACACATGCTTCTTGAAGTGGTACAGTGAGAGTGAGTTCTTCCTACGGTTCATTTCATCACCGACTGGGGCTTCGACTGACGCTGGGCAGAATACCTCAGAGGCTCTGATCGCGAGAATCAAGATTGTGCCGAGCTTTTCAAAAACTACCAGAGCTGCCTCAAGGTAATACAAGCCATACTGCTGCACTCTGCACACTTTTACTGACACTCGCAGGTGGCTCTCAACGAAAGAGGAATCAACAAGCTCGTTGAGGAAGCTCGAGAGGACAATAAAGACAATGATGTCCGGTTACTGAGCCCTCCAAAAAGTACGTCATTCGACTTCTCACCGTGACCGGGATTGCTGACTTGGGGACCCAGAGTAATAGTGCTTATTTTGTCTGGCGTTGGCGCCAAGCTTGGAGTTGGGTGATATTAATATTCAGTGAGGCTGAGTTTCTCACTGACAGGCATGGTGGCATCGTATTCAGAATCTCAGGCCCCATAGATATTCGCTCCTCACATAAACTCTTTTGTGTTTCTGAAGATCATGGATTTGAGTTTGACGCAAAAAATGAGCCTCGCTAGAGGTCCAAGTCAGTCGCGCCACCACGTGACTGGGCACGTCGGTGGTAGTGGTGAAATGAATGCGACGACATGGACCCGCGGGGCGACGACCGGACACGCGACGCCAGCTGGCAGCTTGCATCTACTAGACTATCACCAAGACGCTCCGACACTTCGACGCACCCACGAGTCCCATTGATCTCCGATTGAGCGACTATCTACATTCTTAACTGATATCCTCTCATCTGACGCCTTGTGATCTTCGACGACCCTTGAAAGCCCTGTCTAGACCGACGAAACGTCATTGCTAGCCTGCGATAACAAGCATCCCACGACAGCGACGTAACTTCGACATTTACAAACGGTCAACGAACAGTAGACGCTGCTCGACGCCGTATTCCTGGGGCGCTCCGTGTCTGATGACAGTATTCTATGGGCCCCTTCTCCTTCGTCACTCTCTTCATCTTCATTGCAGGCTACACCACTGCGCGCTGGCATCTTGGCACACGTCTTTATGAACTTGCCATCTTCGCTTGGGAAAACGGAGTAGTCGCACGCACTGCACGCGGGTTTCTCGGCCTCTCGCTTCTATTTGCATTTATTGCGATTCCGATTGTGCTGCTTGCTAGGACAGAAGGGTCGCTGCACCCCAGGGCGTCGGGTGTGGGTGTTTCAGCACGAGAGCAGCTCCGACGTCGAGGATCATTCTAGGGGCGCTATTTGACATGGTAGAACATGATGGGCTGATGAGAGTATTCTGGCCGACGGACGTGGTGAAGTTCGACCGTCCGGGAGTGGTCGTTGGCTGGCGCAACTCAAATCTGGACGTCTTTGTCGTAGCGGTGCTAGACGACGTTGATGTAAGGGTCAATGTGCTTCGATTTACAGTATAGGCTGACCTTTAGGCTCGCGATGTCGAATTCCATATCAAGCACGGCACCTTTTTCAGATCGTCGCCGCACACACCTTCCCATGCATTCGAACTGTGCGGCCATTCGTCGATGCACGTCCTCGGAATCTCGAATCCAACCGACCCGAGTGCAATGAACCCTTCTTGGCTATGTGCAGTGCCATCTTCGTCCCGACGATCGCCTCGGATCGCTTGCGCGAAAGCGTCCAGCGTGCAACTCATCATGTACAATCGACCGCGACCCAAAGGGATGCAATACATCTCTCTTGACCCGATTGCGCTGGCTCTGGACTACGAGGGCTCGGATACTCGCCACACGAAGATAGCCGGCCCAGACAGTGCGGAGGAAAAGCAGGAGAGGCAAGCGCAGGAACAGAGACAAAAGCTTGTTGAGAAGCTGAAACAACACACGATCGTCAAGAGGATACCCTCAGCGCGGGACAAGGCGCTCTCCAAGATCGTCAATCAGGTCAATTGGTCTTGGGAGCTGGAGCAGACTTTGCAGAAGAACGTAGGCCGTCTTGGGCCAAGACCGAAGCGCAGCTTGAGCGTTTCACAGCAAGTTGTGGAATCGGCCGCGACAATGCGCAATTATGTGTTGCAGCAGCTTCTCGAAATATTCACACTCTATCTGTTCCCCACGATTCGGCAGATCTTTGTCATTCTCCTGACGCTGCACCGTCTGGTTGCCGAGGCCTTGCTCGTTCTCCTGGAATTCCGGACCAAGCCTGGACGTCCAGCACTCAAGGATGTATCCGCGACGGCCCAACAGATTGAGATCCGGCTACAACAATTCTGCTACTGGCCAATGCAGTACGTCAAGCTTCGAGAACGAAAAAGTAATTGGGCGAGCATCAACACGAGCCATCCTGACTACATTCGCTTCTACAATAGCTTGTGGCTCGTCGCCAACGACGTCATCATAGGACTGGCGCTCGGATCCTACATTATAGATCATGCGGATTTCGTGGCGTCGGCTGTGGAAGGTCTGCTCAAGACTTACACAGTGGATGCTTTACAAAGCAGCATATTGTGGCTGACAGGCTGGCCTGCTGGTTTGAAGCTGAACGACGAATTGGCGGCTTTCCTTGGCGATCTGTTTCTCTGGGTCATTGACTACTGGGCTGGTAAGTATCGTATGCGGCTGCTTGGAAAGCTGCTAACAATGGCCACAGACTGCGTCGAGACTTTGGGTCCCTTGTTGCCCAAGATCGTCTGGTTCATCGGCTTCTCTTCGTTCGCTGGCGCCAGCATGCCGATTGCCATGGTGTCTGACATGCTGTCCGCCTTGACAGTTCATATCTATTCCTTCTACCTCGCCTCCGCTCGCATCTATCATTGGCAGCTTATCATACTGCAATCGCTCTTCCACCTCTTTCGCGGTAAGAAGCACAACGTCTTACGCAACCGCATTGATTCTTGCGACTACGACTTGGACCAACTCCTTGTCGGCACCATCTTGTTCACACTGCTCTTCTTCCTGCTGCCGACCGTGGTTGTTTTTTACCTGAACTTCGCGGTTGCGCGAATGATCATCATATCATTGAAGGCTGTGTTTGACACGATGCTATCTTGTTTGAATCATTTCCCCTTGTTTGCACTAATGCTTCGCCTCAAAGACCCGCGTCGTCTGCCGGGAGGCATTCGCTTCGAACTTCGAGATACCCTTGTCGCAACAACCACGACCGGGACGGCGACTGAACCCCCGACGTCGGTCATATATCTCAAGGTAAGGAATGTCCGCACCTGTCTAGTGTTTAGCTTAACGCCGTGCAGTCCGTCCCATTGTCCTTCACAGCCATGTTCAACCAGTACTTCCAGATGGCGCACCGCATTCGAAAGCACTATTTGTCACCTAGTGTTCTGCTTTGCCTTTTGACAGGGCGGTTTGTTCCGCCAATCGACCGACGCAACCTGTACAGCCTTCAGTATAGCATGCTGCCTGCGAAGAGAGCTACCGTGGGCGAGATGTGGAAAGCCCTCAAAGTGGAGAAGAAGACACCTATCGCAACGCAGTATCCAGTGCTTCCAAAGCTGCCAACTCTACCTAGCAAAAGGATGGGTAGGACGAGAAGTGGGCTACGATGATAGACGTTATGAATAATTGAAAAGCTTACATCACGAACGTCTGGTATGCCAATGGCAACAACAAGTCTTTGAGCGTCAATTGGTCAAAGCACTTCAAGAGCAGGGGGAACAACTTGACTTGAATCTATCCACTGGCTGATGTCCGCTTCACCAAGGCTCACTGAGCTCTTGCCTACTGACCTGGTACACCACGAGAAGGTCCCAGCCAATCGTACCAGATGGCACGAGCACTTGCTCATGCCACCCTCCACCAAAGGCCACTTGGCCGATGGCTTCATCGGTCTATCTACACCAAATCCAACGCTGCCACTAAATACACATATTTCCATTCCAACAAGCCCAACCAGTAACGCCCTCGCTACATACGTGTACCAAAATCGCTCCGCCCGAAAATCTCCAGCAACGCTCTCACCCTCGCTCATAAGCTCCCACCGATCCTCCTCTCCTCACAGGACCCCTGTGTCCTTCCCCTCGCCGGGAATCCGTGAAGAGAGCCGGCCGGGGAGGCCTCGTCTGCTGGGTCATCTGGCGGCGCGTGGGTGGCTCTGGCGTCGTCAGAGCCCAGCAGGCTGCCCTTGCCAGCCCTCGCCACCGTGCCCACCCGTCTCCAGGTCACTTCCCAACGGCCAGTGTCTGCGTAAAGTCAATGCACGTCACCATTTGAGAACGGCTGGACTTGCCAAGGATGTCTTCCTTCCTCCTGTTGCAAACTGAGGTCTATACCTGGGTGTAGTCAGCCGTGCATTAGGCATTCAGGGGTGACTATTCTTGCTAAGAATGTATTCTCTCGTCCTTGTTACGGGCCGAGGTCCATCCCTAGGTGTAGTCAGCTGTGCATGGTCACGAAAAGGGGATGTACTTACCAAGGATGTCCTCTCTGGATTCCGAGGTATATCCCTGCGTGTAGTGAGCTATGTATTATCAATAAGGAATAGTTATACTTGCCAGAGATGTCACCCGCCGTTCTGGTTGCAACGGGGAAACATCTCTGCGTGTCGTCAGCAGCGCATTGTCACCAAAAAGTGGCTGTCTGCCAAGGATATTCACTCTCAATCTCGAGAGACATCCCTGCGTGCATTCAGCTGTGCGTTATCATTGAAGGACAGTTGTTCTTGCCAGAAGTATCATTCGCCGCTTTGGTTCCAGACGGAGGGAAGGACATCTCTGCGTGTAGTCAGCTGTGCATGGTCATGAAGTCTAGTTGAACTTGCCATAGATATCCCACCGTTTGTGATCGCAAAAGAGGAACACCTCTGCGTGCAGTCAACTGTGCAGTGCTATGAAGACTAGTCGTACTTGCCAGAGATATCACCCGCCGTACTGGGTTTGGGCGGAGGAACATCGCTGCGTGCAGTCAGCTGTGCATTGTGATGAAGGCCAGCTGTACTCGCAGGGAGGTCCTCCTCTGTTCTTGTTGCAATTTCAGGTCCGTTTCTGTGTGTAGTCGGCTGTGCATTGCTATGGAGGTCTGCTGTACTTGCCAAGGATGTCCTCCTGCACAGCTGTCGCGGCGAGAAGTCCGTCCCTGGGTGCAGTCAGTTGTACGTTATTACTGAACGACAGCATCACTTGTAAAGTACATCTCCTTCATTAATTCTTTGTGCGGTGCGATGGTCATCTCTGCGTGTAGTCAGATGTGCATTGCCACTCAAGGACAGCTATACTTGCCCGGGTTGTCCTCATTCATGTCACAGCGGAGGCTCGTCCCTGGTGTAGTCAGCCGTTCGTTAGTGCTAGAGGAAAGCATCACTTGCGAAGCACATCTTCTTCATTCATTGTGCGGCGCAATGGTCATCTCTGCGTGTAGTCAGATGTGTAGTGTCACTCAAGGACAGCTGTACTTGCCCGGGACCTCCTCATTCAAGCTACATCGGAGGCTCGTCCCTGGTGTAGTCAGTTGTGCATTGTCACTTAAGAACACCTGTACTTGCCCGGAACAACCTCTCCACTGATGTTCCAGCGATGGTTCTCCCTGCGTGTAACCAGATGTGCATTGCCACTCGACGATGTCTGTACTTGCCCGGGACACTGTCTCCACTCATGTTGCAGCGGAGGCTCGTCCCTGGTGTAGTCAGATGCGCAACCACTCAGAGACAGCTGTCCTTACAAGAACAGTGAGACTTCATCAGAAATGCGATATGATCACAATGTGATCAAGCATGCTTCTGGCCGGACTCACTTGAGCAGGGCTTGGTTGCGGCGACGGCTTTCTTGACCGACACGAGTCGGGATGAGGTGCTGTATTAGCAGATGCCACATTTGGAGTGATGTAAGTGTTCATGGATCAAGTAAAAAGAACAAGGTAGAGAGGGGGGCAGCGTTTTCTTTTATACGAATCTGAGCCACCGCACGATCTGTCCTCAACGACTGAGCTCCCTTTGACTTCGGACACGAAAGTCTGCCAATGAACTCATAGGCATATGGCCAACAATAGCTCAGAGCCATTCCCAACAAGCCTCGCACCAGCCCGTACTAAGCTACTTAACCTTTCCGAGAATCAGCGCGTGGCCTCCACATGCACCACTATGGATATATACACTTTCCACGTGGCGATTTAAGGGTCCAAAATAAGCTCAGAGCCTAGAAATTGACAATGTTCATTGAGAAGGGACTCATGATACATGTCACTGTAGACCATACGAGCCTCCCCAATCATTGTGGCTGTTGGTTGCGTCGCTGGCTCGTGACCGTCAGCCCTCCAGAATGGTGGGAGGACGTTGTTGTGCCCGGCTCACTCATTGGTGGCCATTGGTCGATTACTGCCAGCTCCTATGGAGGTTTGTTGAAGATTGCGAATTGTATCAATTTACGTCGCGTCTAGTTAATCTTTGTTTCGGTCCAATAAAAGGGGGCTGGGAGTTCATGGACAACATTAAAGTCAAAGTGGGACTCGGACGAAGCTTCGTTGCAGGCTTTGGATTAGATAACTGGCCAAAGAGGGGTCGCACATCAAGCATAAAGCCAATTCAGAAAGTTAATTCAGAAGCTTTGAAAGACCCAAAGGCTTCGCTCGAGACCCTGGATATGCCATTCCGCTGATCCCGGGCTGCGCGATGAAACCAGTGTGTGCTACCCTAAACGACCATAGTTGCCTTGATGGCGAGAAGCATCTGGCCTGTAGCCCTGTGAGGAACATAATTAAATTAATGATTGTCAGTCCGCAGGATATACACGAGGGTATGAGCCATGTCTGCCTTCGTAGAGCTGGGTTGGGATGGAACAGTGGCATCGATCCGTGGAGTTCGTTGTTCTTCAGAACTGATGATATTGATCCCCCAGCGACAATACAACATACGCACATTGTTACACGTACATCCGTACACTTCCTCTCTACAATATTGGAATTATCAGAAGTCATGGTGCAAGAAACTCCTCAATATCTTATCATGCAGGATTGTCTCCCAACGATACGTGTACATACGTACTGTATGCTGTTGACCCATTTGGTAGATGTTGCAACTTGCCCCTTGTCTAACGTTTTTGCCCGCGCATCAATGACCAACGACAACTCCTAATGCGTTCAACTGTTAAGGCAGAGACTAGAGCTTACATTGATTTAAATTGTTCCCTTCAATCTATCGGCTGATGTCGAGTTCACCACAGGCTAGTGAGAGCTGGGAATGTCATCAGCCAGTTCATTACTCATTGCTAACATGAAATCTACATCAAGGTCATCCTATCATAAATCGCATCAGGAAACCCTTCGCAGCCATCCACTCATAGAATCAACACAGGAAACCCAACATCTAGTAGACAAACACATGCGCGAGGCCTGCCATCAGCATCCCGTACAATCCTGCGCAGCCCACACATTCGACAACACCTTGCTCTGCTACGAGACCAGACTGGTACACTGCAGTTGCGACGCCCGAAAATACCAGCAGCACAATCACCATGCGTTCTCCCAAGCCATGCACCACGGTAAAAGTGGCAACGGGGATAGCCACAGCAAGAAAAGCCGCATATACCAAATGCAACGGTGACTTGTTCCTCAGCTCATGTGCCTGTGTTGCAGAGACCTTTGCATCACCAGCAAGCGCAGTATCAAGCTTTGGGGAGAGCTGCAGCGGAGGCGCAGGCATGGGTGGCATCAACTGCTCAAAAGGCGGACCCCCCCGTTCAAAATCACCGGGAAACTCGGGTGGTCCAGTCTCGTCCCATTCTTGTCGTGGCATCGACATGAGATCATTCTCTACCTGCAAGAACCTTGTTTCCGGCTCACAGATGGCCATGGTTCGGGCTAGGAAAGCCTTGTATTCCCCAACCTCGTGGACGGAAGGGGGTGGCAGAGACTGCATGGTTCGGAAGGATTCAATTAGTTTGCCTTTGGAACCAAGATTAGCATTGGGCCCCATTGAAATGTATTGAGGACACGTGGTTGACTCACTATACTGCGCTAGCTTGAGACCTATGTCCATGTAGAGCGCATGCTTTCGCCAGCCCAATTCACCCTGCGCCATGCTTTCGGCGCGTCGCGACGCAGGCGCACAGCCCATGGGTCCGTATCGTGACATGGTGTCCTCTGCATCGAGACTCTCGAGCTCTTGTTCAAGTTGCACGATCTCGTCTTGGACTTGGAGAAGGAGTCGGTGGTTGAGAGCCTCGAACCGGCGATAGACAGGGGTAAGACTCGAGCTTCCTGGCATAGGACTACAAAGCGCATGTGACACGTGCTGGTATCCTGATATTGGTGGTCGCCAGGGCGGCGGATGGCCTGGCTGATGATGCGCTGCGTATTGAACGGATTGAAGTGAGACCGGTGTGGGAGGTAGGTTTGCATGCCTGTCTCCCATTGACACGACGCTTCTAGGTGCCCTCCCGTATCGGACCACGTTCATGTCTTCATGTGGATACCTCATACTGACCACAGAATTGGCGGCCGGGTGAGCATATGACTGCTGAGTAGGGATGGACCACTGACTCAATGTTGGCGATGCCCATGGGCCGGTATCATGCTGCCGTTGCTGAGGTGCGCCAAATCGTCGCCGTGACTGAGGCGCATGACCTGGCATCATTTTAGGCTGGGGTCGTCGGCTAGTAGGCGAGACAGCGCTCTGCCGGCTGCCAGGGGCGGACGAGATGGCAGAGGCAGCGGTAGGCGAAAGTCTTCGCGCATCGGCGTTTACATGATACGTCGGCCTGTTGCTCGTCCCCGAAGTCGCGGATGATGAACCCTCGTCAAGATACTGTAGAGCGCCTGATTCTCCATCTGTATAGACTGTCGGTTGTTGTAGCACTCCTTCGCTCGACGGGGCAGCGATTTCTGACTGAGCAGCCGTGACGGCGGCCTCTCTCTCTGGTGAGATGGGAGGTGTGCTGAGCATTGTTTGGCTTGAAGGGCTTGGTAAATGTTCAACTCCAGGTGCGATCTCATCATGGGCGCATTCTTCGCAGTCCTCCACTGTTGCTTGATATGCCAAGGGCAGCTTGGGCCGGGGGGTCGATTCCCTGTGATCGTCGGGGTTCCATGGCTCATTGCGCCATGGTGGGCTCTCGTCGAGCGCATGCTCCTGGGGTGGAGTATCCATGAAAGATTGAATTGTTTTAAACGAGGTGCTCTAGTCCTATTCTGCGTCGTTGATCAGTCAGAATGAGCAGCAGTAGTCCGGCAAGAGACTATGAAGCCAGCGTTGGACTGTGAGTCCGTGACACAAGACATCCGTACTCTCTGAGTCACTGACAGACTGATTCTGTGTGAGCCCTGGGACTTCCGCAGACGTCAGCTGGCCTGCCTTGAATCAAACATAATCATGCCCGATGGAATAGTTAGGATCTTGCCACGCAATGCATCATACAGCTACCCGAATGGCCGTACGCACGTCTCGGGTAGGACAAGCACGTTAATCGAAAAGTGAAAATTGAAGCCCAACGGAAAGTGGCAAAGGGGGGCACGAGGCGAATAAACAACGGCACCCCCATCACAATCTTCAACGGGAGGTGCAGAGGTGCGGCAGCCATTTCCTCCGCTGCGACATGGTCTCCTTTCAGCAGTGAGGAGAGTGGCTGAAGCTGAGATGGTGGTGTCAATGGATGCTCCTGATAGAGGTGGACGTGTGTACTGTGTGAAAGAGTGCAGCCGTGGGAGCACCTGCAGGCTGTTGTAAGTGGCCAGCCTCACGTTCAACAGAGCGTGCGGGCCAGTCAATACTGCTGCGGACATTTACGCAGTACGAAGCATGCCTATGGTAGTCAAACGGGTGACCAAATCATTAGGGCGTTTGGAAAATCACTCGGTGAGCTATCATACATGTAGCCAAGCATTTGTCCAAGCTTGCTCTGAGAAGCCATATACACTGTGCGGACACTGTCGTGCTAGCTCCCAGAGTGAGACCCACCGCGACATTGCCGCGACTTCTATCGACAATTCTCAATCTCCAGCTCTAGACTCGGTAGACGCGCGTTTCCCTTTCCCATCCCAGGCAAACGCCTCTTGAGGATCTCCCGATAACGCCAAGCGCTCTATACCAGGATGCATGCGTGATACAGTACTGTTTGCACCACTCGCTGCTTGTTGCTTGTCAAGCTGCAGGACTAGCGCGCGCGCAGTGGCATCATTGCCTGCAGCCTCCCAAGCTGATCAGCTCTGCGCAAATTTCCAAGCAGAGCACACAGAGGACGTTGACTCGCCACCATGAGACGAACTGCCACGGCCGAACTCGGTCGCTATCTGCTTCAAGGCAGACTCTCGACGCGGGGCTGCCTCAAAATCTCCCAACGTGCCGTTTGTCGACAGTCCTCCCTACGAACCAGCCTCGCTGGCGCCAGCCGCTCCCTCCAGACCGCGTCGACGTCGCAGCCTGCTGGGCCGCCCATTGTGCCACTCCGAAAACAATGGCGCGACGAAGCGAAACAGGCAAAGAAGCATGGAAAGGGCAAAGCCAAGAAAGACTCGCAAACGGTGGATGGGTGGGAGCTGACGGTGGGCATTGAGGTACACGCGCAACTCAACACATCCAAAAAACTCTTTTCGCCCGCTGTCACATCATTCAACGACGATCCGAATAGCCATGTCGCACTCTTCGATGTGGCCATGCCAGGCAGCCAGCCTCTCTTTCAGAACGAGGTGCTGATACCCGCCTTGCGCGCTGCTCTGGCATTGAATTGCGACATTCAGAAGACCAGTCGCTTCGACCGAAAACACTACTTCTGGTGGGATCAGCCTTCGGGGTACCAGATCACCCAATACTACGAATCGTTTGCGAAGAATGGCCAGATTACGCTACTTGCGCGCGACGGCATTGCCCCCCAGGATGGAGACAGTGTCACTATCGGCATACAAAAGGTGCAGCTGGAGCAGGATACGGCCAAGACACTCGCTCAAAGTGACGATACCCAACTGCTGGACTTTAATCGTGTCGGTGTACCCCTGATTGAAATCATCACCGAGCCGCAGATGCACTATCCTCGCACGGCTGCTGTGCTGGTTCGCAAGATCCAGATGCTCCTCAACACAGTGGATGCTTGTGTCTCGGGCATGGAGACTGGCGGTCTTCGTGCAGACGTCAACGTTTCTGTCCGCAGGCAAGGCGACCCGAATACCCCCTTGGGCACCCGCACAGAGATCAAGAACTTGAGCACCATCAAAGCGGTCGAGGACGCCATCATCGCCGAACGCGACCGTCAGATCCGCGAGCTTGAGGCCGGCGGGACGATTGCGGGGGAAACAAGGGGCTGGGCCGTCGGGTCGACGGAAACACGTCGCCTGCGTGGCAAGGAAGGTGAAGTGGACTATCGCTACATGCCGGATCCCGACCTTGCGCCTGTCGTTATTGGAGAGGACCTGGTGCAACATCTTCGACAGACACTGGCCGTATCGCCAGACATGGAGCTGGACAAGCTGATTGCTGAGTTCGGGTTGACCGCAAAGGACGCCGTTTCCCTACTGAACCTGGACAACGGTGCACGTGTGCAGTACTTTTACAGGGTCCTCAACGGCCTCGAGACCATGCTCCAAGCCAACGCTGGCGGGGAGGAGATGCCTGTTCTGAAGAGCTACGCAGGTGTGGTGGGCAATTGGACGATCCATGAATTGGGGCGGTTGACGACGTCAAAGGCTGGGCCTTTCAGTCAAGTGGAGCTCGACTTCACCCCGGGAGGCGAGTGCGCGCAAGTGCCGGACGCTGAGCTCTCACAACTGTTGTACCAGCTGTACACCAAACGCATCACCGGCAAAGTGGCAAAGGAACTCCTCATGGGTCTCTATCTAGGCGATCTCGACGCCGGTATACTGGAGACCATTGAATCGCGAGATCTCTGGTTCCAGGAGCTCAGCACAGAAGAGTACAACGTGCAGATTGACACGGTGTTGGAGGGTGAGGAAAGGGTGTTGCATGAGCTTGTCAAGGCCGACGTGTTTCCGCAGAGGAAACTCATGTTCTTGATTGGCAAGATGATACGGTCCGGGCCGACCGAGAGGATTGACCCGGCGACGGCAGAGCAACTTCTGAGGACGCGTATTGCGGAGCTCCGCGCTGGGGCGTGATAGTCGCAGGCGGCTTGCGCGAGGTGCCCAGGAAGAGTTGCCCAAGATTGTGCGCGTCCGCTCAGCTGCCATCCACACACATATCAGAGCGGAGGCCCCTTTGAAGAGTGCAGCAGCCAGCATCGCTGGCGGTCGTCGTTGTTTGAGACTGCTGGCTGTTTCTGCCTACCTCCGAACAATTGAGCAGCTATTTAGACTTGCTATCGCTTTTAAGCGGTACCGCGAGTACACTTCAATGCAATGAGCGTGCTGAAGGCTGACTGGGTGTTATCCCTGTAACAATCACATGGGACATTTCTGATATCGAGAGTGCGTACCTGGTTGGGGAGGCATTTTCATAGCCTCTTCACTGTACATACTTTTTCTAAAAGCCCTATACTTAATGGCTGCAATCTACTGGAACCGTCGAGTCACGCGGGTCTCGGTTGGCGATTGTAGTCGAACGCCACGTCGTTGATCATGACCCGCAAAACTCCAAAAGGAGACTACCTGTAGGCGACGGCACCCGCGAGCGTCCCCAAATCTCGCGTCGCGGCGTCATGCTATCACCAACACTCACCTCCACCAACATCAGGCTGGCACACGATCAGCAGACGCAACAGTACGTTGCCGTCAAAGTCGTCAGCGCCGACGCGCCCTCCAGGGAGACCGACACCTTGAAATACCTGACCGCAGTGATTAATGCCTCTAGCCAGTCTTTAACTGGGTCTGCGATGACACCTATGGTCAAAGATCATTTCGCGATCACTGGTCCTAACGGCAATCACCCGTGCCTTGTGACGAGTCCAGCACGATGTAGCCCCTCGGACTCAAAGCAGGAGGGGGGCAGGGGACTGTTCCAGCTCGACGTTTCCCGCTCACTCGCAGCCCAGCTAATCCTAGCTGTGTGCTTCGTTCATTCTCAAGGATATTGCCATGGGTGTATGTTTTCAAACCTCCGCACTACATCTCCATTACCCGGCTAGGCACCCTTGCAAACAGCGTCGAAATTTACAGCCTTGAACATCAGCTAACTTGTCACATAGATCTTCATCTTGGTAACTTACTCCTTCAACTATCTTCGTCCATGAATGGCCTCACCGTAAATGAGCTGTACAGTAGAGTCGCAGCCCCGATGCCACAACCAGTCGTCCGCATCGATGGTCGACCTTACTGTTTTAAGCTTGGCGTTCCATCCCACGTCAACTTGCCTGTATGGCTTGACGAGCAAGACGGAGAAATCACGTCGAATGAAGCAAAACTAGCCCTGAGCGATTGCGGTAGTGCTTTCCGTCCAAGTGACAGCAATACATTCAAATCGCAGACCCCTTTGGTAATTCGACCTCCAGAAGCGCTCTTGGCGCCTGGGATGCCTTTGTCTTATGGCTCAGACATATGGAGTCTCGGCTGTCTCATATTTGAGCTGTTTGCCCACATCTCTCTGTTCGACGGGTTCATGACGCCGCAGAACGGCATCACGGCGCAGCAAGTGCTCCTACTTGGGCCAATGCCAGATGAATGGTGGCATCGGTGGCAAAACAGCGGGGGTTCCCTTGATGCAGAAGATACATTGAACGACCCAGAGAGTTTTGGTTCATGGGAAAAGGGATTCGGGGATTCGGTGCAAGACGCGAGACGGAGCTATGGCTACCCCGTTGTCAGTGACCGGGATAAGAGTGAGCTCCTTCAGCTGTTGCGGGCCGCGGCGTATGCTTAAGTGGAAACCTGCGGATCGACTGAGTGCTGAGCAGGTCTTGGAGATGGACTGGGTTAGGAACTGGGCGTTGCCTGCGTTTGAAGCTGGATGCAAGGGCACAGACCAACAGTGACTGATGATCTGCACATTGTAAGAATCTTTCTAGAAGCCTTATCATTAGCGACGGCAACCCAGCTCCGCTTCGATACAGGCCTACGCCAAAGTGTAGCTACCGGAACCATCGAGTCGCGCTGGTCTTGGTTGGCGATTGGAATCTAACGCCATGTCGTTGATGGCTTGCAAGTTCCAGAAGGAGACTAGGCGACGGCGCCCGCGTCATCCTCCCCAGACTTCAGGGACCAATTTGCCTACGATCATCTGAGATCTGCATCACGTCACTCCCGGCTCAGTCCATCTCCGATCAGAATCAAGCAGTAGTATTTGCGTCATGATAAACGACACCGACCTCACGTGCCACCGCAGGACTTTCCCCTCCGAGATTTGAGTTTTGGGGGGATGAGAGCGCGGTCACGCAGAGATGACATCATGAAGCTCCCCAAGGGCGAACAGCTCTATGAAGCTCCATTTACCCAGTTTTGCAAGACGACAAAAACCCTTTCACTGAGTTTCTTTGGATTCTAAACCTACATACACCTGCCTAATTCCCGTACAACCCAAATTTAATCATCCAACCAGTCGACAACATGTCTGCCATCGCTGCTGTTACCGCCCGCCGTGCGGCTGCTCTCCCTCGCGCTGCGATCGCCTTCCACGCTGCTCGTCCCTTCTCGACAACTGTCATCCAGCATAAGAGTGCTACCGAATCGGTCAAAGATGGACTCAAGTCGGTCGATCGCGCCGTGAGCGACAAAATTGTCGTTGGCCTCGACGCCGCCGGTACGTTCCTCTACAGGCTGTCTTAACCTGATCCACACCAATTGACACAAACTTCCAGCTGCTGCCAAGGAGAAAGCCGAAAAGGTCACCGGGAAAGCTGAAGGAGCGGCCGAAGAGCTCAAGGGCGATGCGCAGCAAGTCAAGAGCCAGGCCAAGGGCGAGGCCAATGAGACCAAGGGTGACCTTGCTGGCAAGGCCCAGGAGCTCAAGGGTGAAGCTAAGGGCAAAGCGGCCGAGCTGAAGGGCAAGGCCAAGGAGACTGTCCAGGACATGAAGAGCAACCCTTGAAAAATTCCGTGCGCTAGAATGGGTCACGACATTGTACAGTAGGCTGGCACGTATGCATGGCGTTGTTATCAATAGCACATTATCTCTGTTAATTTTGCTGCTTAGGGGTATTGAAAATTGTCACAGTCCAATTACCACCTCCACCTCTCCCTGCCTCCGAGTCTTCCAATATCCAGAGACATTATGCGTGCTGCTTCCCGTTCGCGCCATTCTCCGTGGCAGCAGCAGCAGCAGGGGAGGGCTTGGCATAGTTGAACTCGCCCAGCGGGAACCTAACCCATGTACTCTCTGGCAGCATGATGCCGCTCGCACCGGCGTATAGCGCACCCAAGGCGCAGAAGACTGAAAAGGCACCACCGACCTGGTTGACCTTGATGGCGGCCGACGGATGAGGCACGGCAATGAACTGCGCCAAGCCAAGGAAGAAGAAGGCCAACGTGAGGCATCCAAGGACAAACAAGATGGCTATATTCGTCTTGAGGGCGCCAATGGTGAAGACGAGCGTCAGCAGACACCAGGCCATGAGGAATATGCCAACAGCAACGGTGAAAGCGCGCTCATCACCGGCGTAGGCTTCGCGGATGCCCAGGCTGGGCACTATGAACATGGCAAAGGAGAGCCAAAAGGCGCCGTAACTGCAGTGCAGGGTGCTACCAAACGTGTTGCCGACGCGGAACTCCATGATGCCGGCTACGAATTGGGTGCCACCACCGAAGAAGACGGCGAGGCCAAAGATGGCTTGGTAGGGACCGACACTTCCAAGAGGGTTGGCACCGGGAAGACTGTGTCGTCTCGTTAGCATATGGCCTGGAGGAGAAGGGAAGAAGAAGAGCCAAAAAAAAAAAAAAAAAAAAAAGTACCCAACTCCGCACTGATAGAAGCCGAGGCAGAGCGTTGTGATGGCGAAGCTGATCAGGCCGAGGGGACCAGGATTGGCGACCTTGAAGAATTGCGGATCACGGACCTGCGAGACGGTGCTGCGGTGGGCACCATGGCCGAGTTCTGGGTCATGGCCGTTGACATAATCGTGGTGAGCGGCGGCTTCGTCCGTCTGGGGGGGAGGATAGTTTGACATAGTAAGCTTGGGGATCTGGTTCTCAGCTCGGGCTTTATCTGGGCAAGAGACTGACGAGTGGAAGAGAGGAAAGGCGAGGGCACCCAGGGAGCTCTTTTATAGAAGAGGGTATGAGCCAAGACCCTCTCTGGGGTTGGGATCTCAAAGCTCGCATCTCTGCGGAGACCCCAGGCGGACGAAAGGAGTTCCTGAGCCGCGTGACGTGTGAAAGTGCTTCGTAGCGGCTCTGGTTTGATGATAACGTGGTGCAGTCGCGGAAGATCGGCACTCGGCATGGAGCTTGGTGGATGTGCCGGTCTGCTGCGTTCGGTGATGTGGACCACGTACAACGAGAATGAGGGACGGTGCTTCGCTGGTTTTTTTTTTCAGGTGCTGAAAGATCATCGGTCCAATGGAACGGTAATCACTGGGGCACAGAACGGCCGGATGGTCCCATCCGTAGGTTGTGGTGTTGTGAGTTATCACCAGACGGTAGTGCGACGAGTGTCAGGCTCGGAATACTTATGTGGGCGGCTCAGAAGCACACGCTTGAATTCGAGAACGATTCAGAATCGAGCCGAAGAATCAACTTCCCGTTTCAGAAGAGTTTGCTCTTTCTTCTTGTTGTCTTTAGGCTCCGCCAGTCCAGCCTTTCGCTCCATGGTACGTAGTGGTGTTGAGGCAAGATGCTCAGGCGACGTCCATCCACAAACCCGGCATTCCGATAGATCCCCAAGGAAATGCGGCACTGGGAATCTCATTAGAAACCCCGCATGAGACGAGTCGAGGAATAAGAAATGATCCTTAGCTTTTGGCATCCCCGCGAGCAAGGCGCGCCTGAAGGCTGGCTAGCCCAAGGTCAATCCGGCTGCCCCGGAACGGCAAATGAACTCGGGCCAGTCTGCTCACACAGCCGTATTTCCGGACGCGATGGACCAAAACCTCACGTGAAGCGTGGCTGCTCTCTTGTGAATCATGACAGTGATATATTCCTGTCGCGTGTTGAACCAGGTTGAGATGCGCCGGACCCTTCGGCACCTCGACCAGGTGCCGCCCCCATTGCTCGATCAAGACCGCCCAGAACGTCAAGAACCATTCGAAGACCTTCTTATCCAGGCGTTCCAGAAAGATCTGGAGATATGGGATTTCGGCCAAGGACTGTTCGCTATACGGCTGTTTGTCGCTTCCAGCCTTTGTAGTGGCGGGGGGGGGGGGGAATATATTACTCTGATGCAGGAGAGCGCTCTGTCAGAGCTCTATTTTCGCTTCTTGTCCATACTGGATGATCGTCTCACCCATATCTTGTCACCATTAACCGTGCACACCGCGGATAAAAGGAGCACGGAGTATCAGAGACAAGTCTTTTGGGTGCAGAAGGCGAACATTATGATCACGTACCATTATTTACGCGTGGACATCCTGCACAGCTTTATCGAAGCCGAACCAACGGACTTACTGGAAGTAAGCAGCAGTCCACAGTTCTTTGCTTGGAAAAGGGTCGAGATTGGTCACGATCTCTTGGTCTCTTGGGTCTAGGTACGGATATTCCATTTGAAGCGCTCAAAGCCAACTGAGAGCCATGCGTAAGGACCATGTTTTTTATTTTATTTTTGCGTGTTTGCCCATGCTAACTTGCACCCCTTTTTAGGTTGTGAGACCAGGGGCCGGCGACCCTGGAGAGCGGATTGGAGACAATCAAAGCGAGGAACTGGCCCACGACAACAAAAGTGTTGAGCAGGGACATGAGTGTTCCGCAAAGCTCGACAGGGGAGTTCTCGACAACATAAAGGGGCGCCGTGTTGTAGGTAAGGCCGATGGAGATACCGAAGATCAGCTTGACGGCAAACAAGGTCTGCACGTTGGGCGCGGACAACAGAACGAAACTAGTGATGATGGAGGTCGTCAAGTTGACCCAAAAGCTGAAGCGTCGGCCGAACCTGTCGTTGGTGTAGCGAGCCACGAGCCCACCGACGACAATAACGAGGGTGTTGGCGGCCGCCTAATGGGATTGCCAAAGGCCGGGGATCACGTAGTCGTTGGCGGGCGCGTAGTAGTGGCTATAGTCCTCGCGGAAAGCGGGAAAAGCGAGTGCCTGGCCCGAGATGAGAGAGTCGAAGCCAAAGTTGACGAGGAGCATCAAGATGGCAATGCACCAGAGAGATAATCACTTATGCTTCCCGAAGGCACCTAGGTTGGTCTTCCATTGGGCGAGACCAAAGATCCGTGGCGAGAGGTCGTGTCCGACGGCGGTCCCATGGTGTGAGGCCTTCTAGACACCCCGAGGTCAGCATAGTTTCACCTCGTATGATCCCGGGAGAATGAAGAACTGCCTTTTGCTCAAGTTCTGCAGACTTGGAGTCGGACTGGGAGGGGAGTTGGCGCGCTTATATGCAAAAGAGGGCTGTTGGGACGCGACGAGGCTCGCAAGAGGACCTGGAGTTTCTCTGGCCTCCGATTCGTATCGAAACTTTGGTTGATCGCCCCAAGACCCCAGATTCCCCAACCACTGGTTTGAGGGGAACAGCTGTAGATGCAATAGTTCACCACGATTGCCCCAGGCCAGACGGTTAAGATCTTGGTCAATGTGTGCTCAATGGCGACCGGGCCACATGGCGTTTGGGGTAGCCACATAATTCAAACTTCAGGGGGTGTGAACCGTGGGGTAGGTAGCTGGTTATTTTGCCGCAATTCCCCGGATTCAATGCTGATAATGCTCATGACTATACTGTGTTTATAATTTCCCCGAGGAAAGACGCGAACCGAGCCAACGAGGCGGACACATGTACGACATCCTTGGAATGCACGCACCGGAGAAGTATTTGGAGTCAGGGTAGTAGGATAGACTGCGACGAAACCTTGTTATTTCCCCAATGCACAGAAACGACCTATCTAACCAACCCCTGCGGATGATGGAAGCAAAAAGGCAGACGACTGCCACAGCGTTGTCGACACTCGGGCCCATCCACAAATGTTTCCATTTTCAATTCATTCCCAGTATTTTCACTTCAGTTTGGCGGCGGCATCAGCATGGCCCGCCTCGCCATTCCGCACCTTCAGCCTACTGCGCATTTAGCCCAGCTGATTTGTCAAGGGCAACCCATTTCTTAAGCTCCCGACTGAGATGCACAACTCGTCCCTGTCGTCAGCTGAGTATATGAGCTCAAAATGGGGTGATTTGAAGGCTGCCAACTTCAATACCGTACTGGGCAGTGTCCCTTGTGAGTCGATCGAGCCCGAAGAGGGCGTCTCCGATTTCTCTCACGTGGACAAGGCTATTCTTGAAGTCATTTCAACACAATCTGCATTTGGTGTTGCTCTGGTTTGGCAGCTATAAGAATGGCATGTGTTCCTATGTGCCCGATTGGGTCAAGACGAATCCCAACAGATTTTCAGGGGTTTATGTTCTAGACTAGGACGCTAGCTGAAACCTATCGACCTCTGCGAAGCGGCATGGGAGGCCGACGCCAGGGCCTTCTCCACACTCATGAGGCATATTAAGGAAATTGATGCCGCGCATAGCACAGTTCTCATGATCCAGGTGCAGAACGAGTGCCGTGTCCTTGGTGACTCGAGAGACAGGAGCAAACTGGCAGAGAAGGTCTTTGCACAGCCCGTGCCACTTGACCTACTGGGTCATCTGGCAGGCAAACAGCACCTGAATCCCAAGTTTGAGAAAAGATGGCCCAGATTCAGAAACACTGTCAGCTTGGACGTTGGCAAGACGTGGCAGCAAGTCTTTGGCAAGGGCAATGCTACGGACGGATTGTTCATGGCTCATTCTTACGCTTCCTACATTGGCAAAGTCGCTCAGGCGGGCAAGGAGGGATTTCCCCTTCCGTTCTTCACCAATGTGTGGCTGAGCACGGACGATGAGTCTCTCCTCGACATTAGGGATATTGCCGACGGCATCGGGATGAAGATTGTGGCTTGCAGCGGACACAAGCCGGGCATCTACCCGTCCGGCGGCCCATGTCCTCACACTCTGGACGTGTGGAAGTGCTGTGTCCCCGGACTGCATTTAATCGCGCCCAATGTCTACTTGCAAAAGTACGAGTGGGCTTGCAAGCAGTACCGGTACGACAACCAGCCGCTGCTTATTCCAGAGCGGCGTGCCGATGAATGAGGCCCGCGCCGAGCATGGCTCGCCTATGGCTCGTAACTTGCCCTGGGTTGCTCTCCCTTAGGAATCGACACGATTGAAGCCGCCAAGAACGACTTTAAAAAGCCGTATGGGCTCTTGGACAAGATGAGTGATCACATTCTGGCCACACAGGCCAATCACCCCGAGGATATGTTTGACTTCTTCTTTGACGAGCCGTCTCGAACCGCCCGAGCGAGCTGGGTCCGGTCTATGGGCATCTTTACACTCCACGTCATCCGCTCATTTGTCTTTGAAAACCAGTCACCAGGCTATGGCATTTTTATTCCTCGTGGCCAGGGTCGATTTCTTCTCATTGGTGAGGGGTTCCAGGTCAAGTTTGGGAGTCAGAATCCCGATGCTTCGTAGACGGTCGTTCTCGACTTCGAAGAGTTGCGCGTGAGCCTACAAGGTCACCTGTCAGAAGGGCGGAGGCTGAATCGCGATAAAAGGATGGGCGGAGAGTTGGCAATAATGCCAGCCGCGAACCCAGATTATGGTGGATTTCCCATTCGCGCACTAGCTCCGTCAAGGACATGTGTCACCGAGTGTATCGTATACAGCATTTAGAGGATATTCGGAAGGGCTTAGATCAATGGATTTTTTTTGGATACGGATATCATGAACATGGAAAGCATATTTCAAGGACCAGCCAGAGTGCTCCCGGTCTAGCGCTCTAGAAGTCCGACGAGCTTACACCTTGGCTCTGATAATATCCATTTGGTGAAGGCATGTCCTCGTCTCTATGCGGTAGTTCGGAGGCACACGGGCTTGTAACGAATTTGGTGCGCGGGGAAGGTGGATTATAAATATATTTACATTGTGCCTAAAATAGAGGCTTCACCATATTGGTCAAATATGACAACGCACGGGGACATAAGAATCCGTGTGATTTAGCCTCATTTGTTTGTTAGCATTGCATCGAGGACTATATATCTCGTCAACCCGATTGTGTCGCGATCTAGTACTTCTCCAAATATCACAAGCCTGATATTGAGTCGCAGCAAATCCCATGCAATTCTCTGTATCTGTTCGGTGACAGAAGGCAGCTATCATGAAGGCCGCTCAATTTATCTTTATGCTGTTTGCAGCCGTAGGCACAGTCGTCTCCCGTTGTACCGGGTCTGTAAGTTCAACTACTCAACCATGGGCCTGGAGCACAGCGCGGACGTGTATAACTAATGCTTGGCCCAGGACTATAGATTTGTCGGACGGGTCAATCCGGAAACCAGGGAGCTCACCTGGCCGAGCACTGGTGTTGCCTTTACATTTACGGGAACCACCGCCTCCATCAATATCAACAGCGTGAGCGGCGCATCCAGTGTTGCACTATTCATTGACGACGAGGAGCCCATTATCATCCCCAATGTCCAAGGCACGTCCATTTCAACGCCTACGCTTTCGCAAGGCACCCACACCGTTGAGCTGCGAAAACGATCAGAGACTTATTTCGGCACGTTTCGCGTCGTCAATGTCACGACCGATGGCACCTTTGTCCCGAGCACTGCTCCACAACGGAAGGTTGAGATCATCGGGGATTCGATTTCCGTTGGCTATGGTCTCGACGGGGACTACCCTTGTACCAACTCGGCTATCCTGGAAAACAATCCGGAAACGTACGGTGCTTTGGCGGCGAATGCGGTCAGTGCCGATTACAGTGTCGTCGCGTGGAGTGGCAAGGGACTGATTCGAAACTATGCATCCACACCGCCGGACACATCGCCAACGATGCCTGCTCTCTACACGCGGTATGGCGCCAATGATGCGGAGGACAGCTTCACATTCCCGCAGTCGTGGGTTCCAGATGCTGTTGTGATCAATCTGGGCACGAATGACTTCAGTTACCTCGGCGTCCGCGACCCTGTCGATCCAGCAGATCTCACGGCGGCCCTCGTTGAATTAATGGAGAAGGTCAACTCGCACTATCCAGATGCAACGTTGTTCCTGGTGTCTTCACCGCTCCTAAGCGATGGCTACCCTTCAGGGGACGCGCAGAAAACCACCCAATTGAGCGTGTACCAAGACGCGGCTGAGCAGCTCACTGATATGACAGTCCGCGTCGTGGACTGGCCGGCGCAAGGCTCAGACGTGGGCTGCGACTATCATCCCAACGCGGCTACACAGGCAGAGGGAGCTGCGCTGCTTGAAGAGGCTTTGAGGGACGAGATGGGTTGGTAAATGCACTGATTGAACACTTACCACATTGGGATCGCATTTAGATCGTTTTCAAATAGTCAGGCGTCTGCTAAGAATTGGCGCACGTTGTTAGACATTGCATTTGGATAAACCATGGCTGGCTCATCAATCGAGCAATTGATGTCTTGACTGGAGCGATACTAGAGCATATGAGCTGCTTGGCAGGGTGACATACCTGGGACACTAGTCAATGATTCCACTCCCCTCGCGGAAGCCCGGTCCTCCCAGCGTCTCAAATTGAGTCCCATTAGTGATTGTTCTATCTTTTATAAGTCTATTCCGCTCCCCTCTGCACAACTTCCTCTCGACCGTCCCTCCCCGTACCACCACGCCTGACAACCTGCTCATTTGCCCTTCTTCGCCTTCTCAGCCTTCTGCACCTGCGCAAACGCCCTCCCCGTGTGCTTCACACTCGAAATCATCAGCATGCCGGGAATGACGATCCAGAACGCGTTGCAGAGCACGTAGTAAGCCCAGTAGTAAAAGTCCTCAGGGCGGCAGAAATGGATCTTATCGACCATGGCAGTAAAGGTGCAGGTGGCGTAGTACAGCACATCGCCGTAGAACTGACCGAGCGAGATGATCAGCTGCAGGGGGTAGCGCATGGGGTGCGACGTGACGATGAAGCCTGCGCAGAGGAAGGACAGGGGTCCCCAGAAGAGGGCCGTGACGGCCTCCATGGTGACGACAAAGGAGTCCTGCGTGAGGTAGCGAGAGTCGGAGAGCGCGTACTCCTTCCACAGCTGGCCGAAAATGTCCATGCGCGACGGCATCTGGTGGTAGTTGTAGGCAAAGTAGCCCTCGAAGAAGAAGTGGATGAAGCCGCAGAGGACGAACCACAGGGCAGTGAATATCTCGGTCTTTCTCAGCGTGGGACGGACGCGGTTGATGATGAGAAAGGCGGCGCCCAGGATGACGGACGCGCCCGCAGCAAATACGCCCACGAGTTGAGGCCCATTGAACTCATTGGCGATGTACGCTGGGAGGGGGACGCCCAGGGGGAAGTAAGGGTGAGGAGCCTCCATGGCGATTTCAGGAGCAACAGTCATCGTGACGATTGTGCTTGTCAATGTTCTGCTGGTCAATGCACTGTCGATGGGAGAGTGTAGTGAGTGAGGAGGTGAGTGGGCGAATGTATCAAAGTCATGATAAATACCCCTTTTTAGCAATGGTGGAAATTTTCTAGATCTGGGGAAATTAAACACGCCAGATTGGTCTGCGCCGGCCCGTGGCTAGTGCATCCGCGTCATCGGACTTTCGGACTTTGCTCGCGACAACATCTGCGGGATAACTGCCCCCACAGCGCGCGGACAACGCGTACTCTATATACGAATGGATTGTGTGTTCAACTGTCCTTTATGCTTGCTGACGAACTTCAATAGCCCATAGCTGTTTGCCTAAGCAATATCTGTCTGCTCATAACCTAACTTTACCGTTCCGATGTGGGAAGTATCTTCAGGTACTCATCCACAGAGGTACATGGCTATTGTCGAAGCACGTTTGCGGCCTTTCACGACGAAGACCAAGTCGGAGAGAGTACCACTGTCAAAATGCCTGATGTGTCCTTCCAAGTCTCACTCACGATACACCACCTATCGGCTTGTTGTCGGAGTGTAAGTCTCCCTATCATCCTTCGGGAGCGTGCTCGTCCACTCGCTTTTCTCAAACCGATGCCATGCCAGCCTGCAAGAATGACTGATTTGAGATTCTAGCAATGCTGCCATGTGCGCTAGCCCACGATCTACTGTGTAGACCGGGATTTGCATGTAAGCACTGATGGGTTATCCGACCCAGGACCTGACCCGGGGCGTTCGCCAGCATAAAGCGAGCGAGCAACCGGCCAGGCTCATTTCTTCGGTCGCAAAGAAGGTTTAGAGTTCACGAGGCGCAGCAGACGAGAATCTTGTTAGATACTTTACAAGGCCAGGGCGATGTCGTTCTTGAGCATCGTGCCTCACCCAAAGTAGTCCAACTGTCAATCTGCCCTCGTTGGAGATCCTATTGGGGAAGACAGCGAAAACTGTCTGCCGTCCTTCACACCATCTCAACCTCGCAGCCCCTATTTCGCATGCGTGGATGGTATCGGGGGCCCATCTTCTTCGGGATACGCTTCGGGCAATATCTGCAATGCCATCCAGCTCCTCGTTGGATCGGATACACCTCGTCATGCGTGCGTTGCAAGAGAGGGCATGCGTGCGTTGCAAGAGAGGGCATGCGTGCGTTGCAAGAGAGGGCATGCGTGCGTTGCAAGAGAGGGCATGCGTTGCTGTGATGACACTCACATATTGTTTTGTTCAGGCTTTGTACAAAGTCCTTGCCACGCCTGCTTTGCCTACACAGGCTCTGACGAAAAGTCATCTCTGCGTGCTTTCGCCCGCCGCAGCACTTTGGCATGACGCCTGTTGTGGTATTTGACGTCTTCAGGGTGCAGCGGGTTCCAAACGGTATCGCATATGCGACATTCCGAAAAGGCGGCTTTGGTGGATAGATCGAGTGTCGTCTGCACTTGCGCCTTTGGTTTTCGCGTTTGCGGAATCGTCGAGTTGTGTGTGGCATGCACCGCCTCGCTTTGTTCTGGACTCTTGCGACGATGGTTATGTGGCTTGTTCTCTTGGTCGCTGGCGGGATCATCCAAACTGTATGTGTCGGCTTTGCGGAGTCGTAACTTTCTCCCAGTGCTGCTCCTCTTTCGGCAGACTGATGATGGCGATGGTTCTGGAGATGCTTCCTGCTCGACCGCGCTTGGCTCTCTTTCTTGCCTCGGCGAGGAATCGGCCTCTTTCGCCGGAACTGGCTTGAAGAAGCTCAAGATTGAACCTCTGCCTACGCTGTTCGGTACTTTCCTAGAGCTAGTGCTGGCCTTGAGAATAGCTGTCGGCTCTTGGTGTAGTTTGGTCGAATTTGCTAAGCTCTCCGCACAACCACTACCCTTCGCAAGGTGCGTCTGGTCTGCGTTCAGCTCTTGAGGGTTCGCAGGCTTTTTGTCGGAGGTGATCGGGACAGACACTGTTTTCCGCTTCTTGATGGCGGGCTCATCTTGGGACACTGGCTGCTTGCGTCGGCCGTAGGTTCGGAGGGGTTTGTCGCGCCGTGAGCACCTCGTCCGCTCAGAACTCGGCGAAAGAGTATCGGCCATTGGAGGAACGCGGGTGAGAGTAGCGGCGCCCGACTATGATAGGTGTGGCGCGAAGAAGCCGAGGATGCCTTCGTTGTTGTCGCGTCACAGGTAACGCTACGGATTGACAGGCCAGCGTTCAGCCCGGTGGGCATAAAGTGCTGGAGATTCAAAATGCTCGACTCGGGCGCAAGTATCGACTGAAGAGCGCGAGCAAGATTTTGAATACTATACTATTAGATTGATGTGCACAGTTGAGACCTCAGGCGATGAGATACGTGATGCTGCCCCACCATGTCGACGCGCCGAGCGCGACTTTTCGTGATGCAGCGCGCAGTCACGTGCTGGCGCAGCCATCGCATCCATTCAATTAGTAGGCGTTCACAAATGTATCTTCAAGTATGAGGCGCCATTGCTGAGCTGTTGCCACGGCCAGATGCCAGCCGCCAGGAATATCGTAATCATTCATGGTTGGCCTCCCATCTTCGGAGCTTGCCGTCTCCTCACGCCGTCGCTGTCTTCGCCACGTATCCCCGACGCCAGCCTGACACCACCTTGTCTGCCTGGCGACGACGCATTAACCTCTGCCACTGCCCCTTCTTCGCTGACATTTGCCCCCTCGCCAGTATTCTTCGCGTCATCTCCAGACGTCCACGTGCCAATGACCTCCCGCACTTCCTTGGCGCCGTCTTGCCGTCCCTTTGCGTCGCCCATTTTCCACACGTAAATCTGATACACTGCGACCTCGGCAATCGCAACGACAATGGCGCCGCCCAGTGTCAGGAACAGTCGCGCCGGCAGACTCCACCATCGTGCCGCAACCCACAGCGTGCCTGCCACACCCAGGATGGAGACCAGGAAGTTCAGAAGGAGCAGCATCTGCCTGTGCACGTCCGAGTAGGTGATTTCGTCGTCGTCGCCCGTGTCCTTTGGCAGCGCGGCGTTGACGGAAGCATACGCGTGGGGGAAGCGGTCGCTGAAGGATTCGGGCTGCGGAGCGGTCATGTTTTTGTACTGTTGTGCTTCGGCTTCTCGTCGTAGTCTGGCCATCAATGCTTTGTACTCTGGTGTCTGCGGGATGTCAATGCCAGTACAAACTTGATCGTGGATGGACTCACTGGCTCGGGTTTGGGCGGTGGTGGCGGCACGTAGACCTTGGCGCCGACCAGCAAACTCTCCAGCGATGTTCCATGGCCTTTTTGTTTGAGAGCGTTGTAGATGTCGAGAATCTGGCTGTGGGATATCGGGCTGCCGACTGTTGGCTTCTCGAGCGAGGGCGCAGTGGGATGCGACGTCGCAGTGGCAGGCTCTGGATCAGACACAGTGGCATCGTCTTCTTGGGGCGCTGAAGCTGTTTCAGGATTCGGAAGCCTCTCCAGCGCCTCCACGATGGGAGCGGTCATTGTGAGAAGTACCATGCTCACGATTTGATGATGTGGCAGCAATCGAGAAATGGATGATGGCATTCGTGATCAGCTTGCGAGCTCCTGCAAGATTTAGCCAATGGGAACACGATTCATCATTATGGGTGGAGACCCTCGGCCGGCGGGCTGGACCGTTTTATCTAATACCACTTGTTAGACTTTTTCCTTGGAGCATCATCACTCTTCCTCAGTACCTAATTGCTCGCATACCGGTCGCGACACCCCATTGATCTTGGACTTCTTGAGAGGAGACATGTTCCGATAGCCCTCGAACACACTGCACCCCCCGACTGTCGCAAGGCTGCAGCACCCAGCTCCTCCGACAGGTCCCGACCCAGCCGCACCTGCGTCACCACGACCACTTCGGAAGCATAGGATGGCCCTCCGACCTGGCGCCGCGGCTCTCCGCGACGCAACTCGCCTGACATCGTCAACCTGTCACCTCTGCCACCAGTCGTTTCTTGCACCCTCAATACATCTACGGACGCACAGGCGCGCGCTCCACAACTCGCCTCGTCATGACTCGGCATGGGGAGCTGCCGTCCAGGTCGCGACGAACATGGTCGGCAACGTCGTCAAAACGACGGCTGACAGGCACGGACCCGGTATGCGCGTCGATCCGCTCCGGGCCGTCGCCAAGGAGATGCAGCATCTCACGGGCAACATCAGGAAGCTCCTGGGCTCCGGCCACCCCAGCCTCGACCGTGTTGCGAAATACTACACACATGCAGAGGGGAAGCACGTCCGGCCGTTGATTGTGCTCTTGATGAGCCGCGCGACACACCTGTGCCCCAAGGCGCACGAGCACACTGGTCACCGCGGTCCTGGCATCGACAGCTCGATATCGCCCACGGGCATCCTCGGCGACGTCAACCCCAGCGCCCTGCCCAATTCATCGCCAGGCGTGAGGGAGGCACCCGAAGAGGCAAACCCGGATATTCTCCCGTCGCAGCGCCGCCTCGCCGAGATCTCTGAGCTGATCCACACGGCCTCATTGCTGCACGACGATGTCATTGACCACTCTGTCTCGCGTCGCGGGTCGCCGAGCGCTAATCTGGAGTTTGGCAACAAGATGGCCGTCCTGGCCGGTGACTTCCTCCTGGGCCGCGCCTCCGTGGCCCTGGCGCGGTTGCGGAACGCAGAGGTGGTGGAGTTGCTGGCCACTGTCATTGCCAACCTGGTGGAGGGCGAGTTCATGCAGCTCAAGAACACGGAGCGCGACGAGCGCTCTCCCAAGTACTCGGAGGAGACCCTGGCGTACTACCTGCAAAAGACGTACCTCAAGACGGCCAGCTTGATCAGCAAGTCGTCCCGCGCGGCGGCGTTGCTGGGAGGTGCTGATGCGCACACGGTGGATGCTGCGTACAGCTACGGCCGTAACCTGGGGTTGGCTTTCCAACTGGTGGACGACATGCTGGACTACACGCGCAGCGGCAATGAACTTGGCAAGCCCGCCGGCGCTGATCTCGAGTTGGGCTTGGCCACCGCGCCGCTGCTGTTTGCGTGGAAGCAGAGGCCTGAGCTGGGCGCTCTGGTGGGACGCAAGTTTGAGCGTGAGGGTGACGTTGAGAAGGTGAGTCTTACGCAGTATTGCTAGGGAATGGCTTTGGCTAATGATGAGTACAGGCACGCGAACTGGTCCTCCAGAGCGACGGCGTCGAGCAAACGCGTAGACTGGCCCAGGAGTACAGCGAGAAGGCGATGGCTGCGATTGCCGGGTTCCCTGACAGCGAGGCCAAGGACGGACTAATGGAGATGGCAGAGCAGACCATCAAGCGACAGAAGTGAGCGGAGCGGAGCGGAGCGGCGTGCAAGGAGACTGTATGTGTACACTGTACGAGTATCTGTATAAGTCGCAGGGCAACCAAAGCAATAGATGGGATTACTTGAGGGGGGCAGGCGTGTGGGTGAAAGAAATGGCCATCTAGACTATAGACAGCGTGGCATTGGCCGCGGTCATACACATTGCGATTTGGCGTTGGAGGCCAAGGGCTCTTCTCAGACATGTGCATCTGATTCTCATTCTCGTTGCGATCCACGACAAGTCACATGCTGCTGCTGGGTGGTGGAGTCCTGTGCAGAAGGTGCGCACCCTGGATGCAGCGGCCGCTGGGGGTCGACCAGCACGTACGTGACTTGATGCGCAAGTTGACAGTGCATGATGCAATGTCTCAAAAGGCGAACGGACGCACGATGGGACACGCCTGGTGATGAGGTTGGGAGGTAGCCTGCGAACCGGTGTGCTAGAAGCTCCAGTCCTCACGTTAGCACGCAAATAGTGACAAAGCGAGTGAATCCATGGTCAGGCGACAGACGACCCCTCAACATCCAGAATCGTTGCTCAGTTCCCATTACGCGATCGCAGCCTGCCTCACTTCGTGTCTGGGCCGCTTCTGTGTCAATCCTTACGTACAATGAATGGCCGGAGGCGGCCGACGTCTGCACCTGCGCAGCGTAGCCTCATCTCTGCGGCAATAATTCCTTCGACATGCAAAGGGGCTAGGAGGATTTGGAAGAAAAGAAAAAGGTTCTGCGCAGGGAGCAGGCGAATGGCAGATTTCCATCGAGTGAGGATTACTCGATGGTATCGAGCAAACGCCCGTGGACAAGTCTTGACCGGTCCTGTCTCATTGGTCCACGTGCCTGGCGTGCGGTCATTGATCTCGGGATTGATTGATCTCGGGAGGCTTATCGGGCTGCTAAGCCTATCGCAAAAGCGCTAACCCTATTGGGGGGCACAGCAACCGCCGATAAGGACAGTGGACTCATTGGGCGAGTGAATAGGCAAGTTGGAAAACGCAAAGGCAGAGATAGATAAGGAACAATACAAGACTTCGCGGGGGATAGAAGCACGATAATGCACCCCGCAACTCACCAATGCGCCATGGAGGTTGCTCAGCCATGCGCAAAGACTCGGTCGTCCAACAATGTTGTACTGGCTGGCACCCTGACTAGCACACGGTTCCCATGGAGCAATATCGAGTAATGGAAACGGGCACCTCCGGGAGGAGCAACACCGCCCTCCTGACCCGACGAGTCACCCTTATCTAGGAGAACATGACCCACCAGTCCGAGGCACGGAGACGGTGTCGTGTCCATAGTACCTCGCCAATGTGTACGGATAGGTACATGGCTGAGGCGACAGTGATGAGTGATAAGCAGCCCCCCCCCAAAGGACCCAAACTCCAAAGGGTCCATCCGTGCCGTGGGGAAAGGGTGAAAAAGCGTGTGAGTAGTAAAAGCTCGAGATCCCCTTCTATTCATTTTTCTTTTCCTTTTTGAACGTATTCCTAGTGAGCGTTTTATTGGCGAAATTTTGCTGTCGCTACCATCCCTCTTCAGCATACCCTGCACCAGTAGTCAGCATTCAGCAAGCCAGCTCTCTGGCAGAACGCCAACAACCATGGCAGACCTCACTGTCCTCGTCTCATCGCGCGCCATACTCACCCTCCCCGACGACTCACTACTTCTCACACCAGCCACGATCGCCATCTCGCCGTCCACGGGCAAGATCCTCAGCACAGCACCCTCCATTCTACCGTCATCGTCGTTCCCGGCTGGGACAACGTACATTGACCACTCGCCCAAAATCCTCCTGCCTGGTATCGTCGATGCGCACGTCCACCTGAATGAGCCTGGGCGGACAGAATGGGAGGGCTTCTGGACAGGCACAAGGGCAGCCGCCAGTGGCGGCGTGACCACCGTTGTCGACATGCCCCTCAACGCCATCCCGCCCACCACCACCGTCGCCAACTTTCGCGAGAAGCTCAAGGCCAGCGAGGGCCAGTGCTGGGTCGACGTCGGCTTCTACGGCGGTGTCATCCCCGGCAACGCCCAGGATCTCGTGCCCCTGGTCGAGGCTGGCGTGCGTGGCTTCAAGGGGTTCCTGATCGAGTCTGGTGTCGACGAGTTCCCCGCCGTGTCGTCCAAGGACATTGCGCTCGCCATGGATACCCTCAGCGGGGAGAAGACGACGCTCATGTTCCACGCCGAGATGATCCCTCCGATTGCCGACTCGGTCGGTGACGACGTCCAGGTGTCCGAGGCGCCCCTTGCGCCCAAGGGCGATCTCAACGCATATCATACATTCCTCCAGTCACGGCCCCCCATGTTCGAGGTTTGCGCCGTGGAAGAGATCCTGTCGCTCGCGCCCAGAGCACCTGACCTGCAGCTGCACATTGTGCATCTGTCCGCGACGCAGTGCATTCCCATCCTCCGCGCGGCGCGACAGGCGGGGATCAAGGTCACGGCGGAAACGTGCTTCCACTACCTCGGTCTCACGGCGGAGGAGATTGAACAGGGCGACACGCGGCACAAGTGCTGCCCGCCTATCCGCGAGGAGTCGAACAGGAATGGGCTGTGGGAGGAGATGATGGCCGAGAATAGCTGCATCCGGACCGTGGTGTCGGATCACAGTCCCTGCACACCCGAGCTGAAGCTTCTCCCGGGGCATCTCGACAGGCCCAGCATGCTACACTCCGACTCTGGCGTCGACGTCACGCTGCCAGAGGGCGGGGACGATGAAGCTGATGCAGAGGTGCCCGTCGAGAAGGCGGCCCGGGGCGACTTCTTTGCCGCATGGGGTGGCATCTCAAGCGTCGGTCTGGGTCTGCCCATTCTGCACACCAAGTCGCAGCAGCGTCTGAAGAGGGGTCTCGCCGCGCCCAGCATCGTCGACATGGTCCGTCTCTGCAGTCAGGCGACCGCCGCGCAGGTCGGTCTGTCGCATCGCAAGGGCGGGTTGCGCGAAGGCATGGATGCGGATATCTGCGTCTTTAACGAGAGCGAGGCGTGGGTGTTTGAGAAGGGCGAGATGCGTTGGAAGAACAAGTGCTCGCCATGGGAGGGCCACGAGTTCCTGGGCCGCGTGCGGGAGACGTGGGTGCGCGGGCAGAAGGTGTTTGCGATGGGGAGGCCTGAGATGGGCTTTGGGTCGAGTCGACCGGTCGGGGAAAGTATCACAGAGAGGAGAGTGCGTTGATGAACGATGGATGATGATGGGGCATACATGACATGGGGGCGTTCTTTGCTTTACACAACATCGACGCAGGGTGGGTTTGTGGGGAAATGTGAAGGAGAAGTCTCGCCGATGAGGTCCGTGAGGGGAACCAGGGTCCGGAGGAAATACTCCTGGGGGCATGCATACAGCTTTCAAGTAGATCAGCATATAGAGAGACACGACTAGCGACTGAAATGGATTGAACTACGATACCCTGAGAAGCTAACAGTGATTTCTGGGCGTGATCGGTCCTCTTGGCGCACATGCAGTGTGGGAGCATTCTCGGTCGCGATAGAATCTGTGCAGTCCTTGCCGATGGACAGAATACCGACGCCTCCCCCAATCCAGCGGTAGTCTTCGATTCGCACGCATTGGACAAATTGGAGAGATTCACCCCCGACAGGACGCTCGTCTTGTGGGCTGCCATGTAGATGGGGACTAACCTGTCGCGGTTGACGAGAACGACTAGGCTGGCATTGAGGCAACATAACTTTATATACAATTTCAACTTGGTATTTTGTAGCAGGACTGATTCCGGCCGGGTGACCATCCCATCGGCGTACCTGAATTTTATATAAAAGTTCTTCCCAAGAAAGATGCTGATCCATTATCAGGTGTAAAAGGGGTCGACAAAAGCAATTAGTTAACTTTACACCAGTTCCCCTTTAAACCTTGTAGCTTCCCTTCTAAAAAGTTTGCAAACTATTGATGTGACATTGGAGGTGTTGTCTTTGTAAACGAGCCCGCATGTATCTCGAACTCGCTGATAGGGGGACGGAGAGAGGAAGACTGCTATTTAGCCCTTTCAGCAATGCCAGCGACTTACTTGATCCAGCGAATGTCTTTTCAGGAGTAATGGGGCTCTGATATCATCCTCAGCGATGTTTACAAGCTCTGGTAAGTCTCAAATATTGGTGTCGACACATGCAGCACTCCATCCTAGCCAGAGACCTAGCATCTGTCGTAGAAAGGCTGGCCACCGGATTTTTGCCAAGCGCATCAGAACTGCGTCTGTTGTTTCTGGGTGAGAAGAGACGAGAAATGATGACAGTAGATTCTAGAATGGTTCGTCAGTTGTGGAAATAGGTCAAGTGTCAACAGTCACGTTCTCGCGGTATGCCTGTGGTGAATGTAACGTGGAAAGAAATGTATTCGGTCGACCACGTCTCAGCGGCTGAACATCGGGAGGCCCTGAATATACTTCTAAATGCCTTCACCGACCTCATTGTCGAGGCCGACGGTTGGCGGACGAGATGCAGGAGACAGCGTTGGGGAAGGAAGTCATGGCCACGCTGAACAAGATCATCACAATCGCACAGAAGGTGCCTGAGGCGTTTGTACATCCATGGTCGCAGATCATCGGTTTGCTCCGCCCTCCTGTGGTGTGGCGCATTGATGGGGAGGTGAAGTTTGCCATTGACTCGCAAGATGCAAACCCGGTTCCCGACGTGTGGGAGACGGTCCGCATCGCGATGAGGCACGACGTCTTGCCTGTGTACATTACGTACAGGATGTCTGGTATGCCACAGCCCGACTATTGGCAGGATGATGAACGAGATGAATGCCAGTGGCAGTCAAGAATAAAAAGAAGAAGCGATTTGACCTACGTGGATTATAGAATCACTGTGGTCTATCTAGGTTTACCTGCACTTTTGCGCGATCTGCAGGGTAGGCTGTCACGGATGCTGGCTAAGTTTCGGAGGCGGCCGCCCATGTTAATTAAGGTTAGGTCTGGCCCCAAAGCCGAAAGAGAGTCAAGTTCCTCAGCGACAACGACTGGACACCCTGACAACCACAATAGAAACCTTGGGTGAGTGTCTCTCGCCTGCCGGACAGATCCAATCACACGGAAGAACTGTGAAGCAAGTGTTGAACTGTTGACGCGGTCATTGATCCAAGAAAGGAAGCCAGGAGCGGCAAGATACGCGTATGGGTGGACTGTCACTTTCGGATCCCCACTACTCCGTCTGGGCGCCTGCTGCTCCTGCTATCCGTGCCATTTATCCTCGACCCTTGAAGATCCCATCTCTCACTCAGTTTCTCCTGTCTTCCTCCTGTTCTTGCCCTCGCACGAACTGCTCCTTCTCACCATGTCTGGACATTTCTGCCCATACTCTGCCGTCTAGGCCTTTGGTGCGTACCAAGCAGCAGACGAGCGCCTGTCGCATCTCTCTTACTGGGCGTCATAGACCCCTCAGCAATCCATCCCCACACTTGTGTCTCACCTTGCAGGAAAAGAAACCGTCCCGGCCCATGCTGCGATAGCCGAAACGAGACATGGCGGAGAAGCACGACAAGGTCGATAACCTCGACCGCGCCAGCGACTTGGAGTCGTCCATTGCAGCGGACATTCCGCCCCGACGCCTCTCGCTTTCTGGCGCTGGTACACTCTCCCTATCCGACGTCGAACCCGTCTCGGTCACATTGCGAAACCTGGCCGTCTCGGTCGACACGTCGCCGTCATACATTGAGCCTTCAACCTGGCCGCAGCTCATCTCATCCAAGTTCAACACGACGCCATGTATGAAGACGCTCCTGCATTCAGTGTCGGCAGACTTCAAGCCGGGCACACTGACGGCGATCATTGGAGGCAGTGGCTCGGGCAAGACAACCATGCTGAACACCATGGCGGACCGGGTCCAGAGTGCGCGGTTGCAGAATGACGGAACTCTGCTATACAATGGTACTGACAGCGTGGAGAGCGTCAGACACGCCTATGTCATGCAGCAGGACATTTTGTTACCCACACTCACGGTGCGCGAGACCCTGCGATACTCGGCCAACCTGCGTCTGCCGCCATCGACATCGTCTGAAGACCGCACCCTTGTTGTGGAGGAGGTTCTGCGTGAACTAGGGCTCAAAGAGTGCGCCGACACAAGGATCGGCAACAGCCAACATCGGGGCTGCTCTGGGGGGGAGAAGCGACGCGTGAGCATTGGTGTGCAGATGCTCGCCAACCCGTCAGTACTTTTCCTCGACGAACCCACCACGGGCCTGGACGCCACCAGCGCCTACCAGTTGGTGCGCACGCTCAAGAAACTGGCACAGAGTGGCCGCACAATGATCACCACGATCCATCAACCGAGGTCGGAGATTTGGGACCTGTTCGACAACCTGGTCATCCTCTCAAAGGGCAGCCCTGTGTACTCTGGAAGCATCCCCGAGTGTCTGCCCTGGTTTGCAGACCTAGGCTTCCAAATTCCCGCGTTTGTCAACCCTGCCGAGTTCGTCATCGACATCGCCGCCGTCGACAATCGCACCCCAGAGCTAGAAGAGGAGACTACAGTCCGGGTGCAGCGTTTGAAAGACGCATGGTCGGCCGAAAGTGACAGGCAGTACGGTCCTCCAGATGAGCTGGCGCTCCATAGCACCTCGACGCGCTCAAAGGCCCAGTCACAGCACTCTGGCTTCCTCCGCCAGACATTGGTGTTGGCAGACCGGACTTTCAAAGTCACTTATCGAGATCCTCTCGGCATGGGCGCGTGCATCTTTGAAGCTGTGACTATGGGCATCATCTGTGGCTACCTCTTCTTCGACCTTCCACGCGACGCCTCTGGTATTCGATCACGACAAGGGGGCTTGTACACGGCCGCCGGGCTTCAGGGATACCTGATCCTCATCTTCGAGGTGTATCGCATGACTATAGACATCCCCACGTACGACAGGGAAAAGTCAGAAAATTGCGTCTCTGCTCTGCCTTACATCTTCTCGCGCCGTTTGGCACGCCTGCCCACGGAGGATATACCCGTGCCTTTCCTCTTTGCCACCATCTTCTACTTCATGGCGGGCTTCGAGAGAGAGGTCTCCAAGTACTTTACCTTCTTCGCCATCACCCTGCTCAACCATTACATTGCTGTCACGTGTGCGATGACATGTGTCACGGCTGTACGCCATTTTGCAGGTGCTAGTCTCATCGCCAACTTGGTGTTCACGCTGCAGAGCATGGCTTGCGGCATGTTCATCCAGGTCGAGACGATCCCTGTCTACGTCCGGTGGCTCAAGTGGATCACCTACTCCTTCTACACCTTTGGGGCCTATGCTGCAAATGAGTTCCAGGACAACTTCTACGCTTGCCCCGATGGAGGCGGCCCAAATGACCCGGCTTGTCGTCTATATCGAGGTGACTTCATCATGAACTCGCTGGGGTTCCCGCCTAATTGGGTCTGGAGGCCAATCATCATTATGGTCGCTTTTGTCGCCTTCTTTGTGCTACTGTCAGCCATCGGTCTGCAGTGGATCCCTGTCGAGATGACGATTGCTAGGGCCCGTGTCTCGGACGCTGACCTGTCTGCTGGCAAGGAGAAGATGAACGCGCAATCCATATCGGAGGTCAGGGCAATCGACCTCGGCCTCAAGGACTTTGCTCTTGATCTCGACAAAAGAACAGTGCGTGGCAAGAAGTTACCCCGGAAGACTATCTTGCACCCTGTAAGCGCAACGTTTCAAGCCGGCACACTCAACGTGATCATGGGCCCATCAGGGAGCGGCAAGACATCGCTGCTCAACGCCATGGCTCTTCGTCTGCGTAATTCCATTGGCACCAAGTATCGACCATCCGGCAAGCTGACATTCAATGAAGCTGAGCCTTCCGACTCCGTCATTCGCTCCGTATGTTCCTACGTCTGCCAGGACGACGATGCTCTGTTGCCATCCCTCACGGTCCGAGAAACGCTGCGCTTCTCGGCTGGCCTGCGCTTGCCCTCGTTTATGAGCAAGGAAGAGAAGACACGCCGGGCGGAAGATGTCCTCATGAAAATGGGACTCAAGGACTGCGCAGACAATCTCATTGGCAGCGACATGATCAAGGGCATCTCTGGAGGTGAGAAGCGCCGCGTGTCCATTGCGGTGCAAATTCTCACAGACCCACGCATCCTCTTGTTGGACGAGCCTACGTCGGGCCTGGACGCATTTACGGCAAGCTCCATTATGGAAGTACTCCAAGGTCTGGCCGACGAGGGGCGAACACTCATTCTCACGATCCACCAAGCCCGTTCCGACCTGTTTACGCATTTTGGCAATGTGCTTCTCCTGGCGCGCGGCGGATCGCCCGTGTACTCGGGAGCTGCCAAGGAGATGCTCAGCTACTTCAACAGGCAAGGCCTTGAGTGCCCGAGACATACGAATCCTGCCGACTTTGCGCTCGACATGATCACCATTGACTTGCAACAGGATCAAAGGGAAGAGGAAAGCCGAGAACGAGTCAAGAAGCTGGTCCAGAACTGGGAGAAGTGTGATCACATCCCCGAACAAGGGCTGTCGCAGATTCAAGAGCGCGAGGAAACTGCAGGCGAGACCTCTGCAGCCAACAAGGAGTCAGATGGGTTTTGGACTGAGAAGCGCCCGTCACTGGCGTCCAAAGGCCGCAAGTCCTTCAACAAAGCCTCGTTGACGACCCCCGCGGAGCTGGGCGCGCTCATCCGCAAGCGCGCCGGTTTTGCGACTGCGTTCCCTATTCTGATCCACCGCGCCATCATCAACACGCGTCGTCAGCCAGAGCTGATCACGGCGCGTCTCATGCAGGTCATTGGTCTCGCCATTGTCCTCGCACTGTTCTTCGCACCTCTAGGCAACGGGTACTACTCCGTCCAGAACCGCATGGGGTTCGTGCAGGAAATCGGCGCGTTCTACTTCGTGGGCATGCTGCAAAACGTGGCCATCTACCCCTCTGAGCGTGACGTCTTTTACCGCGAGGACGACGATGGCGTCTACGGGATTGAAGCATTCATCGCCAGCTACACCATCCTCGAGGTGCCCTTTGAGATTATCTCGTGCCTGGTCTTTGGTGTCCTGGGCGCCATCGCTATTGGTCTCCCGCGGACAGTGATCATGTACTTTGTCACCGTGTTCGCCTGCTTCGGCATCGTGTCCTGCGGCGAGTCGCTGGGCATCATGTTCAACACGCTTCTGCCCCACACCGGCTTCGCCATCAACGTCATGGGCATCTTCCTCTCGGTCGCCAACACCATGGCCGGTATCCTGAGCATCGACATGCCGGATCTCTTCCAGGCGGTCAACTACCTCTCGCCCATCCGCTACGCGACGCGCGCTGTGGCGCCGTACTCCCTGCGCGGGGTTGAGTTCACATGCAACGACAGTCAGCGCAGGCCCGATGGGCGGTGTCTCATCGAGACAGGGCAGGACGTGCTGGATCTGTACAAGTTTGAGGAGGGGCCGCTGGTGAATATAGGCGCATTGGCGGCGTGTGTGGTCGTCTATCGAATCCTGGCGTGGGCGCTGCTGAGAGTCGTGAGAGGGCGTTGGAGAGAGAAGATGAGGGAGAAGGGGTGATCTGTTGATATTATAGACGTGATTCTTATCTATTCCCTGGGATGCCTTGTATATACAACAATGTGGCTGATTGGGCGTCAAAAATTGCTAGGGTTCACAGCTCTCAGCAGATGATTGTGTGACGTCTCAAATGATCAAGAAAAAAGCAGCCAGAGGAACAAGCCCCTGACATCCCCAAGCAATGCAAAGTGCAAAAGGAAAGGTCACGGTGGGGATCGAACCCACAATCTTTTGATGTACAGGAATCGTAGTCAAACGCCTTGCCATTGGGCCACGCGACCTGGACCATGGAAAGGGCCCTTTTATTTTTATACATGTAGCCTTGCTACTTTTAGAGTATTGACCCAGAAACTGCAAGCATAACGCAACGATCCTCGAAACATCTTGGGCTTTGCTGTCCTTGTCGTCTTCAGCACTCATCGCGATTAGACGATGTTCACATGGGTGCCATCTCGGATCTGTCTAGGCTGTATCCTCAATGCTTGGACCGCTCACAGGAAATATGTCACTACCGCGCGACCATCGAGTACTGACAATGCCTCTGGACATGATGCCGCAACGCCGTTGGTGCCGAGAATGGCTCCATTCGTAGTCCCGTCCCGGTCCGGTCGCCGAGTGGGTCCAGGGCCGAGTCCGTCTGTCACTCTCCTTTAGGAAACATCCTACGAACATTCGTACTTATTAGTACAAGTCAGCACAGACAAGAAAGTGTGTCAAAATGTGGTTCCTGACGCTGTGCACGGTGTTCGTCCGTGTGCATTCACGTAAGTCCCTGCTGCATCTAGGATACTCTCGTCACTCACCAATGTTTTGGTCCTCACACGGGTGCCAAGAACAAAAACGTCGTTTCATATGGTACCCAATTCCTTTTTCAATGTACATTTCTGTTCTTCATTAATTGGTGAAGTCTCTTAGTATGATTAATCGCGTAGGACAGGGCAATTGACGTTTCTGCTGAACACACCAAGAACGTTCCCACTCAAGTGAAGACCTCAATCAGAGGCGCACAAAATGACAGTCCAACGCCACACGAGCAACTTCCCTTCACTATCCCCTTAAAACACTCAGCATTCCCATTTCACAGAGTAAGCAGACCTAGAGACCATGGCATCTGGCAATATTGACCCCTCCCGCTACGGCCCAGGCCTGCACAACACTGAACATTGCCACATTGTCAAGACGCTCCTTTCTCGTGGCCACCACGAAGCTCTCGGCAGCTGCCCTCTCTACAACGACCAGGACAAGTACTCTTGCAATGGTCACCGAGTCGGCTGCTGGCGAGCCATGCGCATTCGACTCTATCGTACTTTTGTACTGGCATGCACTGTGCGCCTTGACCAGTTTCGCGCCGTCCAGGCCAAGCAGTCTGTCGAAGACATGATGGAAAACCTCGGTGATTCGAGCCGCATTTTTGAAGGCGGTTACTGTGACTCTCCCTTTGTGTGCAGCTGCTTCCCAGGCGTCAAGAGGGTCTTCGCCCTCAAGGCTGGCCATGTCGACACCACCCCTGTCGCCCACGGTGTAGCTTATGATACCTGGTGGGAGTTGGTCAGCGAGGAGGTCTGCCCAGTGCAGACTGAGGAGTCCTTTGATGATCCAACTGCCGTTTTGGAGCATGCGATGAACTCAATGGAATGTTCGGATACGTGGGGCGAGCTTATTGAGAAGATGGAGCAGTTTGGCGAGGGGGACACTGAAATGACTGGTTGATTTGGGTAGAAGCGTGGGAGACGTTAGTGAGAGGTGATTTGGCTTTGATAGCCGCTGTTTTTTGGACGTATCTGGCAACGAAGCTGTCGGCCGAGGTTCGAGGTCGCGATTGTTTACTTGTTTTGCTCTTCAATTTAGTCTTTCTTTGTATTATTGAGCCTCATGTTGCACGTGTTGAACAACCAGTCCCCTCATAGAGGTTGAGAATAAACAATGCTGCCAAACAGTGGTTTAATCCTCATGTTACTGTCACAAGCCAACAGTGATCAAACATGCAGAAGGAACCATTAAGGCAGTCTTGTAGTTGATTTAATACAATGAACTAATCCTAAAATTGCTAAGCTCTCGAAACCCTATGAGCAGCTGCTCTTCTCAAGATTGGGGTGCTGCTCTCCGACATTGGTATCATGCATATCCCCTCGTCGTCCTCCTTCACTAGCGTCGGACACGCATCCTGCTTGCTGCCCATCCACCCAAACAGAAAATACCGCTTGACAAACCAGGGCGCAATAGTGCCACACTGGTATTTCATGAAGAACCTCGTGGGCACATTGAACACCCCGTCCAGCTCTTCTAACGAGAGCTGCTTTGTCTCTGGCACCCACAGAAATATCATGACAAACGCCAAGAGATTCAAACCAGCGTACATGCCAAAGGCACCAATGGCGCCTGCGCGCTCGAGCAGAAAAGGGAAAGTTATGCCCAGAACACCGGCCCAGCCCAGACAGGTGGATACCGAAAACGCCATGCCTGCCTCGCGATGCGACAAGGGGAACACCTCGGCTGAGTAGGCGAACGGCACGGGACCCTCGCCTGGCGCATAGAAAGCACCGAACAGAAAGACAAACAAGCAGATGAGGCCGTTGCGGATATCCCCTATGGAACCGTCACGCGAGATGAGGGTGCATAGACCAGCTCCGAGGAGCGTCCAGAACATCTGGGGAAACGTGAACAGGAGTAGGTTGCGACGTCCAAACGTGTCAATTGTCCAGAACGCAGGAAAGGCGAACAGCCAGTTGACCATGCCCCAGCCGAACGAACCCACCATGGCCAGGAAACTGCTCAAGCCTGCCTCTTGGAAGATGGATGTCGAGTAAAAGGCAATAATGTTGATGCCACACATTTGCTGGGCAATCATGACCGTGAACGCTGCGAGTGTTGCTCTCCGAACACGAGGGACGACGAAAAGCTGCTGGAAGCGTTGAGGATACGTTGTCTTGCCGGCGAGCTGTTTCTCGATCTCGAGCTGGGCAGAGATGTAGTAAATGTCCCGTGCCACCTGGAGATCAGAGTGGCGTAGAAGACGCATGCTCTTCCACGCTTCGGGGTAGCGGTCCTTCTTCATGAACCAGCGAGGCGACTCGGGGCACAGGTAGATGAGGAAGAGTAGTGGGATGGCAGGGAGACATGGAGCGCCAAGCATCCAGCGCCAGTTGTGTTCGATGCGGAAGACGGCGAGGTTGAAGCCTGTGCCGAGAGCGATGCCAAAAGCAGTCCACATTTCTGTTTTTTTTTTCTTGTCAGTCCATCTTCATCAAACACAGTTGGATCGACTTACGCCACGACATGACGAGGGCACCACGAATGGCAGCCGGCGAGTTCTCGGCAGCGTAGATCGGCACCGTCGAGGCTTTCACGCCCATCCCGATGCCCATCAACAGACGACACGCCAGGTGTTGCGCCCAAGTCTCGCAGAAGGCAGAGGCAAGGACAGGCCACAGACAAAAATGTGCAGAGACGAAGATGACACCCCGACGACCGAGGATACTGTTGATGGGATCGGACAGCCAGCAGCCGATGCAGGCGCTTCCAATGTAGGGACCCGCGTTCACGACACCAAGAATGATCCGCGAGCGCGTGGAGCCATCAGCGATACCGTAGTACCCGGGGAAGAACAGATTGGCGCCGTTGGAACCGGTCTGATCCCATCCCTGGACGGCCGCGCCAATGGAGCATGTCGCAATGGTGAGGAAGAGTCGGAATGGCATGCGCCATTTGTGCTTGACTTCTGTATCCAGGATGGTGAGCTCATCGTCGCTGAGCTTCTCGTCGCCCGCTATCTCATCTGCTGCGATCTCGTTCTGCGCCAGAAGGGCGCCTTTTTTCAACACGGCGAGATGGTCTCCCAGACCGCGCTTTTCGGCGAATGCTTTGACGTCGCGAAAGAGTCGAGCCTTGGGTATGCCCTCGAGCGGGTTGCGGATTCTGCACGCGGTCAGCGTATTGCTGGCTGGTTGGAGGAGGGAGCGTCTACTTCGCCTCTAGGTTGGGCTGTGTACTTCTCTCACAACGGGAGACATTTGGCGACAGGCCACGTTTGATCTGCTGCGTGCTGGCTTTTGTTTAGTGGGTTTACAACAGGCCTGGTTGATGCCGGGACTCACTCGCTCATCGTGGGTAGCTTGGCTATGATGGAGATGAGATAGAGATGGCTGCCAGTCGGCAGTCCTGTCGAGTTCCGGCAGATGTGGATGGTGCTGGGAACCAGGAATGTCGATGCCGGGCGTCGTGCGTGTATATGAATGCCCTGGCTGAGACATTTAACACGCCACATTCATCACGAACATCGCCATTCCGAATCAGAGTCACCTGCCCCAGACTTGGTGTCTGCGTGGTGGACTCGTGAGTCGTGACTCCGTGAGCCTCATGTTCAAGGGTGCGAGCAACCTTGGAGGGAGACCACTGGCGTAGGCGCGGTATATGCGGTAATAAGCGTCTTTTTTGTAGGCAGATGAAACATCTGCGCGGTTGAGGGATCGTCGAGGCATGAGCTGGTGAGACTGTCTCAGCAGTGGAGACTCTAGAGTCCAGAGTCTCGGTTGGTTTTTTCAGGGCTCTTGTACGCTAAACACTGTTTGACTTTCATCAACAATTAGTCAGCGTGATTGGTTTAGTGGTAAAATTCTCCGTTGCCATCCGAGCAACGTCGGGGAGCCCTGGGTTCGATTCCCAGATCACGCATTCTTTTGCTGTGCTGGCCTAGCCGTGCAAGCACATTCATTTTTCCTCTCTTTCTGGTCAAGGTATGTTCCGCCAAGATTGTATTTATAACCCTGTACTTTGACCTTATCAAACGTGGTTGTGCGCTTGACGCATGCTTTTGGCCTTGGACCAATGGCTAAGAACATGAAGTGTTGAACGGGCTATATACGGCGATGGAGGGGGCGTACGCGGAGAGATCTCGTCGTTAGAGTGGATTCTACTGTTTTGCTGCCTCTTTTTTGCCGATCTTGTGAGATGTATGAGAGAGTTCTAGGGACCAATTATCGTCAAGGTTTGAAATCTCCCCGCCTCGAGGCATGTCCTCATGTTGGAGCATGAAGCATTCACTTCATCTACATGTGCATATAGACTTTATACGAGAAGATTGTCCAATAAAGGACCGAGGAATACCTTAAAGGCTTAGACGGCCATGATTGTCGCGCATGACATTGCTGCCTAATCATGGCAAGTCTCAGAATCCGCCCTTGAAGTCTCAGACAACCCTTTCTCGGGAAGTGGAACACAATCCGGTCCCTTCACTAGAAATTAGTCTGCAATCGGGCCGGATGGCTAATAGGGCTCCAAATACGGAGTAGAGCATGAATGATCGCCAATAGTTCACGTTTCTGGCTATTTCCACCTATAACTCAAAGTACATAAATCGACAATGTGAAGGCTTCTCTCAAATTGAGAAGCACTGGGATCTGTCATAAAGACAAAGAAGGAACTGAACAATCCACCAAGCCACAGTTCGCCCCATTCATATCAACAAATGCAAGCATATCAAAAGCTAGTGTTGGTCGATGAGGCTGTTGGAGTCGAAGTGCTGGCCAGTGGTCGAGGAAGACGGAGTTCCCACCCGAGCAGATTTTGTCGGCATGAGGGATATTACGGCCCACTCCGCCCACAACTGCGCAAAAGTTCGAATTTCGAAACGACTATGCTGGCAAATTTGAGATGCTGCCATGGGATATGGCGTAGTTGGCTGCGTGTGGAGTGAAAAGAGAGTCTTGGCCGGGTTTGATCGTGCCTCGCTGTCCGAGCTGTTTGCCTGATCCTCATGAGCCGTAGAACTGTCGCCGATCTTCATCAGCCGCTTAACTCAGTTGGTTAGAGTGTTGTACTAATAATGCAAAAGTCGGCAGTTCGAACCTGTCAGTGGCTAAGCATCTCTTTTTGTGTCTAGAATCTCTGCTTTGGTGGTCCTTTGGGCCCGGCCCCCTTGGTGTCTGGACAACGCCCCTTTTTTGACGATGCAGGCAGTTGCCCATCTGCACGAGTGGTCTGTGCATTTTGCGAGCAGTGTTCTTCTGATATTTTAACACTGATGCTCTTTGATTTTTAATCACTCGCAGGCAGAAAATTTGCGTCCTTGACGCCATTCAAAACGAATGGGGAACAGCCCATGATCAAGTAGTAAAGGGCAAAATCCACCACGTAAATACCAAACCAAACGCCACCCATGCAAAGTATATCTCCGAGCAAAGTGTTCGCACCATGTGTTCATCCCCTGCCCATAACCGGTTGCACGCCCCAGCAGGCCTACATCTGCGAGTCCTCACTCCCTGCAGAACCACAGACAGACAACCGGCTTCTCCCCCGGCATCCCAGTCCGCGACTTGTCCCAGCCAACATCCTTGAGCGTCTTCTTCGTCATGTCCTTGTTATCCGCATCAAACCCAAACCCCTTGTACCACGTGCCGTTCCCGCCTGCCACAATCTCCCAGCAGCGGTTCTTCTTGGCGCTCGGATTGTCACAGCCAAACCCCTTGAGGAGCTCGCCCAGCGTCACGGAGACCGGGATGTGCGCCGCCTTGAATTGGATCTGCGCGCCGGCGGGGAGCTGCCATGGTGGCGTGCCGGAGCGGAACACGTGCACTTTTGTGTGCTCCGATGGGAAGAAGTAGTTGTAGCCTGGCTCGCATCCCACACCACCGGATACATTTGACATTTGGGCCGCGGGCATGGCGCCTTCGGCAGGAGGCTCGGCTTGCGGGTTGCGCACGTAGACGTTGGCGGTCCCATTGGGCTGCTGCACGTATGGGTAGTAGCTTTGGGCAGCCAAGTTGGCGTAGAATGGCGAGTAGCCAGCCCAACCAGGGTACGCGGCCGTGTAGTATCCGACACCAGGACCGGCGGTGTAAGGAATGTATGGCTGGCCAGCAGAGGGTGCGCCGTAGGGGGCACCTGGTGGACGTGAACCGACAGGGTCCCGACCAGCAACGGGGTTCCATCCTCCGGGCATGGCGCCTGTTCAATGGGGAGGCTGCCAGGTGGTGATCCAGCGACCGATCGAATGGTCGAAATGAGCTGCCCAGGTATGCTGTGACTGGAGCGACGTTGGTCCTGTGCGGAATGGGAGACTCGCTGAAGGTTGATAGACTTGCCACTCTGGAGAAATGTATGATTGTTGCTGGAGTGGATGGGGAGGGAATGCTGTGGTGGGAGAAGTATTAGCATCATGGGTATACAAGTAGAGTGTGGCATGCGTGTGAATCACGGACACGAAACTTGCTGTCTGTCACGCACAGGGTGGCTCAGTGTGTTGATAATTGTGTTACCAACAGACCCCGTCCTCGGTACAGTGCGTGATTCAAGCCGGATGCCAAGGTGCCCGACGAACACCTCCCGGCTCCAGATCGGTTTGCTGTCAGAGTCGTAGTAAACGCCGACGATGATCCAGGCCCAGGTTGGCAGTGGATGAACCACCCACTGCAGAATCTGCGTTACGACAAGTCGAGCCGCGGGATGTGGGAGAGAATTGTCTTCAACCTCGTCAAAGGTTAGGTCGATGGAAATCGCGGGCATTGGCTTCGAAAATCAGCGTGGGAAGCGAGATGGGAAGGGATCAGTCACAAGAGGAGGAGCCGTCTTATAGTAACGTGAAATGTCCATTTCAGGTCATCCTCCCATCGCTTACCATGAAAGGAGCCTGCCGGATGATTGATATTGCTAGTTGTCCCACAATTCACTGCACTTGAAGGCATTGCGGACAGCTGCGCCGCTGACGCCAGAATATGTGAATCAGAAGTGAGCCATGCGCCCAGCCCCAGTGGTCATTGATTGGCAATCGGGGAGGTTGCCTGGCTGCTGTGAGCAACGCCCGTCATAGGCGTCTGCCAAGCAAGGCAAGTCCAGTCCTACAAACCGTCGCTTCCAGGCATGGTGAATCACTGGCCGTGAGCTCATATCCGATCGTCGTCCTCGACATCAGCCGTCACCACGCGCACGCCTCCCGCCATCTTCGCCGGATCGGCATTGACGGCATGTCCCTGCCCGTTTGAGAGTTCCTTTCTCAGCGCCTGCCTGCTGACCTCCGTGACCAAGCCCTTGAGATACACCTCGGCCTGGACGGTGGCACTGTACGCGGCGGGCGTCCAATGCCACACGTTCCGGCTCTCCACGTCCGCGCCCGCCGCTAACAGGATCCTGAGCGCGAACAGGTTGCCATTCCCGCTGGCAAAGTGCAGCGCCGTGTTTCCCTCGCCGTCCGTCCGGCGCACGGCTTCTGTCGCGCCGCAGGGCGCATACGTGAGGAGCAACTGGAGGACGGTGTCGTGGCCGCCCATGCTGGCCTCCATGATGGCGTCTCGACCCCGCGCGTCGCGTCGTAGTATGCACTCGCGGTCATGCCTGCACAGTATGTCGACGACCTCGGCGTGGCCTGCGCCCGCGGCGAGCATGAGGGCCGTTTGGTGGCGGTCGTTCAGGGCGGGGCATGGCTTCTCGTGGCCGCGCTCGAGGAGGACGTGGACGACGGCGCCGCGGCCGAGAGAGGCCGCGAGGTGGAGGTTGGAGTTGCAGAGGCCTGGCGGGGAGGTGTCCGGGTTGTGGAGCAGGGCCGGGTGCGAGGTCAAGATGCGAGAGACGAGGGTCGCGTCGCCTGTGTGGATGGCACGACGGAGGCGGATGGCAGGGTCGATCCTAGACGGTCATTAGTCATTGCGCGGGAAGGGGTTCAAGAGGATATGTACATGGTGGGCGACGAAGCATGATGCAGAGGGTGTGTCCTCGCAAGTTTGGTGGATGGTGGTGGTGGTGACGGAGGGTTCGTTGTTTGTTGGCGTCGCGGCTGTGCCTGATTGTTTGTGGCTATGACCTCATGAGGGTCACGTGGATCGGCTGCCTTGATTCAGGAACGCTTCTCGCGTCGCCTGTTGGGTAATTTAGCATGATTCCTCGAAAGTTCAATCAATCCGATGAAGGGTTCAATGGTGATTCTCAAGCAGGGCGTCGTTGAAGAGCAGACTTGGAAGCAGTGATGTGGGAATGAACACCACAGATTGTGGGTGCGCTGCCACCGAGCGACGTGGGCAGAACAAAGCACACACAGCCTTGTAGTTGAACACACTAATACCACTTGCATGTTACAAGAATCTCGCCAACAATCTTCATTTCTTGCTTTTTACATGTGCCAATTTACTAGCAGTCCCCTCTAGACTGCTGGTGTTGCCTGGCCGATCCCTCGCAGACAAGGACTAGGGTATGTAGATTGAGAGCTAGACTAAGAGTGTTCGCGCGCGTCCCAGTGCAATTGACCGCCTGCTAGCCCACAAGATGAGGGCATAAAGTAGCATAAATACTACTTGGAGAAGAATAGATAGTGAATACAATATATACAATTCCTTTCATAGAAATAAATCAATATGGACAGGCATTAAAAGAAAGGTGAAAGGAAATAAGAACCCAACGCCGGCTTTGTCTAAAAAGTACTCTGTACACCCGCGTCTATTTCCTCCTCGGCAGTAGATCCACAAGATCCCTCTTGGCGTTTCTTTGAATCCCACACTTGTTCAGACACTGCTCAATGCCTAGCGCGATGTTCTCGGGGATCGTATCCCTGAAGCTGTCCACATCTGCACCATTAAAGGTCACAGGCCCGCCGAGCGTCGCCTCGACAACCTCGGGTCGCAAGCCAAAGAAGCCCTGGGCCACCGACACGACACCAGGGTCCTGGTTGTTGAACGAGGCGACAAAGACGGCCTCCTCGCAGTCCGGGTTGAATTCCTGGTGAATGGCGCCCTGGGGGAAGACGGACATTTGAAAGGTGTCCATGGTGTTGGCAATGTGGTCGAGATCATTGTTCACGATAAAGTTGGTCACGAGACGACCCTTGACGACAATGTTGAGCTCGGTGGCGCGAGGATGGACATGGGCCGTGTTCATGCCACAGGGCCCTAGAAAGGCCACCGTCATGGCTGAGTTGAGGCCGATGAGGGCGGGCATGCTCTTTGCGTTGGCGGAGACGGAGACGCCGCCATCGCCGCTTTCGGAGGCCGAGCCCGCGGGCGGGTCGAGGTCGGCAAAGTCAAAGACGTAGTCGCCAGGCTGGTTGAGGAGCCTGGTGCGGTCCTCCTGCTGGGGCGCCGTGAGGAGCTTGGTGATGAGGTCCTGATCGTTGGCGCGGGTGTTGACGGGGACCGCCGCTGGGAGATACTGGTCGATGGAGTCGTCACGGGCCACGAGACGAGTGGAGGGGAGCGCGGATGCAAGCGCAGTAGTGGTGGCGGCAGCAGCAGCGAAGAGGAACGAGCAGCGCATGATGCAGGTATTGTACACGGGGATTGCGTGTCGACGTGGGACAATGGTGAGCGACTGCTTCGTTCCGAGAGACTCGGTTTATAAGACTCTAGATCACCGCCATCGCATCCAATGAATTTCCCGCTCAAGTAGCCTGGCGCGTGAGTGCAAGCCAACAAGTGGGATATCTTTCTTGTGCAGTGGCTAAACATAGACTCACTTCATCCGTCAGCATTGTCCTGGGGGTTGGGGTCCATCTCGGCATGGGGGAGGCACAAAGAACAGGACACGGTCGGCTGGATGGCCGAATGGCAGGCCTCTTCCTGGGAGACCTGTGAGATTCTGCTTATTGTACGTACGTACGCTGTCAATTCATGCAGCTGGGTCAAGGCTCAAGCCTCACTGTACGGATACGTACTGCACATCCGCGCTTGCGCTTACCGACCACCGCGTCTGTTGGGCTGCATCTGTCTGGGGCCAGGCCTGGTCAGGCCAGGCCAGGCCGGGCCACGCGGGGCCGTCACTGCGCCATCATATTAATAGTATCTTCCTGCACACGGATGTCAGGATAGGCGGGCATGTGTGCATGAAAGGATGCTGACAAGCTCATTTCCCCAGTTGTGCATTGGCGGTGTCAGCACTGCCGAGAGGCTGGTTTGTTGCAGATGGCCTCTGCAGTCCGGGAGGGTATCATGTTTCGACATTGTGGCCTGTCAAACTGCAGAATCGCGAGGCGTGATCAGGCCATCATGTAGAAACATGAGTACAGATGGGAAGGCAGATGCAAATGCTCAGGCTCGTGCTGATGACATGGGAAGAAGCGCGCTAGTAGCATTGTTCTATGCAATGGAGCAGGTCATGCTCCTAGTACTCCGTAGAGGTGCGCCCGCTTGTGCCAATTGCAATTGCAACGAGACATGGAAAGCCAGATCCAATTTAATCAGATACATCGAGTCGCTCAAACAGCACACGCACCCATTCACTAGTTCAGCTCGTGGTTCGACTTGATCGCCTTGGATTTGCCCGTGTCCAGCACAACAGCAGGATCCTCCGGATTACCGTCGCGCGTCACCTCGTTTCCGCGCTTCGTCGTGACAGACGTTCTATAGCATTCGTCAGCACATATCATCCACAATCAAAATCGTTAGCGTCAAGGGGTTCGCCTACTTCTCGGCCTTCACATCGAGGACTTTGCCCTCTGGGTTGCCGTTGCCCCAGTTCCAGCTCACCGTGTCACCGGGCTGGGGGCCCTTCTTGGGCTTCTTGCCCGTGCTCTTGTCCTCGCCCTCTTCCTCGCTGTAGACACCGTCTTCGGCATCTTCATTCTCGTCGTTCTCCTTCTCGTCGTTCTCCTTCTCGTCGTTCTCCTTCTCATCATTCTTGTTGCCATTGGGCGCCTTGCTCTGACGTGTCTCGCGCTTCTTATTGGCACCAGACTGTGCGCCAGCACTCTTCTTTCGCTTGTCGCCCGCTTGCCTCTCCTCTTGGGCGCTGTCTTCGTCGGCGTCCTCTTCTTCGATATCTTCGTCGTCTGCAGCCTCCTCCTCCTCTTCTTCGTCCGCTTCTTCCTTGACATCTTCCTTGCTGCCGCTGCTACCGGCCTCGCCCCTCTTCTTCAGAGGATCGTGACCCCAGTTCTTGAGCGAGGCGTAGCTCTTAGTCTTCTTGACCTCTTCAGCGGACTTTTGGTCATTGCTCTTCTCCTCCTGCGCGAGATGTCGTTTGCTGCCCTAGTCAGTCTAGCTGTCCCGCCGCAGCAAGAATGCGCAGCACATGTTGCACGAATGGGGCGCCACGTACCAGTACGAAACGACCTTGCGCATGTGCTGAATCTGCTCGTCGGTGTACCTGTCCTCCTTCTTGTCGGGGTTGCTCTTGAGAATCTCGACAATCTTGCGCCCGCTGTCGTGGCCCACGGACTCGCCATCGTGCTCGCCGTCGTCCTTGGGCCAGCCTGCGCTGCGCGAGTCGTCCGACTTGAGCCACTTTTCCAGCTCCGAGGCCGTCATGTTGACGATCTCGTTGAATTCCTTGACGACTGTTTCGGAGTCCTTCATGATGGCGGTGCTGGTGCTGGTGCTTGTGCTTCTGTCTGTGACTGGTATGAATGTTCCGTGACAGCGCAGCTCAATTGGGTGTGCGGTCAACTTGGCTGTCGGGTATTGATTCTCTTATGTTCTCATGTTCTCCCCCGAATGTACCTGAGCGCATCTGTCGCATCTGTGGCGTCATGGTGTCTCAACCCGTTGAGCGCGTCATAGACCATCAGCTAAGCTTTGCGGCGTGCCTGACGATCCGCGATCTACGATCCACACAAGTCCTGCCAATCGGGCCCAGAGACGCGGCACACCACGATCGCCAGTGACAACCCTTTGAAAGCTTGTATTTTAGTTTTGAGCTCATTGCCTGATGCGGTATCGCTGGATCTTGGGGTTTGGCTGTTTGCAGCCTGCCCTGCATACACGCGGAGCAAGTGATCCCCACATTACATTGGTGTCTACATTGTAGCGAACACTACCCTTCTAGCAGATCTTTCATAAAGTCGCGCATGGCCATGTACGTCTTGCGTTTCTCCTCGTCTTCCCAGACGTATTTGGGAATCTTGTCGTCCTCGTCCCCTTTCCTGACAAAGATGGGACCATCCACCTCGCACTCCTCATGAGTTTCGGGCAGCCTGCCCTCGTTCAGATACGTCCTGAGGATCCGTGCACTGCAGAGAGATGGCAGGGCAGTACTGCAATGTCCGTACCCATTGATGATCACCATCCTGGACCCGGGGAAGGCGTCTCGCGCCGAGATGGCGGACACGACAGGGGTCACAGCATCGTACCGCTGCGTGAGAATCAACGGCGGGGTCTCGAGCTTGACACCCTGATAAGGAGAGAAGGGATGTGTCCTGGGGATCTTCCACTGTTGCTTGATGTAGAATCTCTCGTTTGCCAGTCTCGCGAACCTCGATCCCCTGAGCTTTGGTAGGATCCCTTCCAGCAGGGACTCGAGATCCTGTGGCCAGTGTGCTGGACCTGTGAGGCCATCGTTGCTCATGATCATGTGGAATGCGTCCGTGTTGATGGAGTATTGCGACATTTGTGCATACTGAAGGAAGAACTCGGTCGCATTGCCCTGCAAGAGAGGAGCCAGTTTGGAAGCAAGCAGATGCCATCCAGAGAGGGCCTGTAAATGGGGAAATATCACATCGATGAATAAGCCTCTGAAGTCGATTGTCCCATAGTGCGTGCTGTTGACGTATACGCTGAGAGGCTACCTGTCGAGTTGATCACCCAGGGCCGCGAACCTCTCCAAGAGGGCATCCTTAGAGGTCGAGACCTGTGTCAGGGGACAGTCGTCCCCTGCTGCGACACATTCTTCAAGAAACCCAACGAACGTCCTGTCCGTGTCGGTCATCATCTCCATGTCGGGCTCGGAGATGTAGTACTGAAATGCATTCGCGACACGCCTGCGCAAAGGTCTGGGCCCACGCATAGGCGTTCGGTGAATCAGCGACAATGTCCCTGTTTCTGACGCTACCATGTTGCTTCCGCGATGCGTCGTCGGGGTAGCACGATGCCACTGGAAACGTGCCCTTGGTCGCGGCGCCCAGGACACAATGTGGTGGTCCTCCCCGACGAGGGTATTGATGTGTTTTCCGGCCTTGGTGACATAGTCGATGCCACTGTTGCCTGGACCGCCAGGATTGACCAGAAGGTTTCTCCCCGCAACGGCGGACTTTCCTCGGAGACGTATGATGGGGAACTGGCCGGTGCCCGGGTTGGAGGCGTTGAAGTGGTCCGAGGGCACAGTGTGGTAGGCGCATTCGAGAGGGTGGTCTGTTGTTTTGCCGCAGGAGGTCCACTGGATCGTCTCGTGGGGGTACGAGGTCATTCTCTTCGCATTGACTGCGGAGAAGGTAGAGATGAGACTCTTCCATAGAGGTGGGTAATAGATGAGGGCTGGCAACAAAGTGATGACAATAAGCGTGCTGTAGTACGCCCAGGGTGGACGTTGTTGGCTGGGGTGGTTGTCACGGGGCGTCGTGCGCGCGCTCTTCTCACTAGGGTGTGCCATGGTCAGTGCCATGATACACGTTGACGCTGGAAGGCTGAGGATGTGTCGATGGAGTGAGAGACGGCAATTACTCTTGTGCATATGGTGTCTACATTGTTGAGGCACCCCGCGGTGCTCACATCATCACATGGCAGCGCTGTGCCTCCTCCGTGCTGCATGCATGCGACTACACCACGTCACAAGAATCGAGCGAGGAGAGCAAGAAGAGTGTTTGGCCAAACCGCATTTTCATGTATTCATGTTCATATGTAAAAGAAAGACGTTGCCAGAGATCCAGCCCTGCAACGCACCCCCTAGCCTACCCAGTCCTCCGCTCGCCGCGGTCCATGCGCTGCACCGCGTCCATGTCCATAACGACAAGCCTCTAGGCACTGTTGATCTGCTGGACCAAAAAGTCGGCGGCAGGGCCACGCGCCGTGGTGGTGTAGGCAAAGTGTGGCGCCGCGAGGATCAGGGTACCGCTGCAGACCAGGTCGCCAGCGTTGCAGAAGATCTCGGTCCTGTCAGTGGGGTAGTTGGGGATCTGCTCGTCGTTCTGCTGGTTCTTGGTGTAGCCAAAGAGCACGGCGCCCTTGACCTGCTCCTGGACGGCGGCGTCGAGGGTGCTCACGGAGCCGGCGACGACGGCGGTGCCCTGGCTGTAGCCGCCCGTGACGACGGCGCTGTCGGGGCACTTCTCGTTGGCCATGTTGAAGAGGCGGGTCATCTCGTCAATGGCCTCCTGCGAGGTGCCCAGACGGCCGACGTTGTCCGCGACTGAGGCATCGTAGGGGCCACCGACGCCCTGGATCCAGACGCTGCTGATCTCTCTCTCGAGGACACCGGCAACGGCGGGGCCGGCGGAGGCGCCCTGGGGGGGTTGGTCAGCTTCTGGGTGCTCGTAGGGTGGAAGCAAGATTCAGGGGTGGGACGAACCATGTTACCGGGCTCGCCAGTGGCGCGCGCAAAGATGAAAATAGCCTCTGGGCAGTCACCGGCGCTGCCTTCCTCGAGGTCGTTGCGGGTAGTGCTGCCGAGCTGACGCTCCTCAATGTCGACAGCTGGGGCAGCCAGGGCAGAGCCGGCGAGAAGGGTGGCGGCGGCAGCGAAGAACTTCATGTTGGCGATGTTGGCGATGGAGACGGAGATGGTTGGCACGAAAAAGAGAGGAGTGAAGCGTAGAAGTGAAAGTGAAAGAGTGAATGTAGTTGATGCGGGCTGGATTGGAGCAGGCTGGCTGAACTCGTTGTTTCTGGTGGCGGTTGGATCTGGTCTGCTTGTCGTCGAATACCAGCGATAGCGTCGTGCCTTTATATCTCTTTGAAGCCGTCGGTATCTGCCACGGAGTCGTAGCGATGGATCATGGAACTGTTCGCAAGGACAGACCAATTAGGATGCCAAGCTTTTCGCTTCGACCTACTATGTAAAGCACATCCACCCGTGAGTTGCGAGACTTGCGACAGGTCAGAATGCTGTTTAGCGCGTCCGTGACAGGCCAAACATTCCACTCTCGTCTCTTACAGCGAAGACTAGTCTGTGCGATCGACTCGTGACCCCGGTCCACGCTGCGTCGGGAGTTGCGCAGGGGTAGCATCGAGGGTGGGTATCTCCACGCGAGGCGGCGTGAAGCACCAACAAGACTCGAGCCAGTGTGAAGTTCTCCAAGTCCAGCCCAACGGCGAAACGAGGCGTGGCTTGGAAGCCTAGCGTGTCGGTGCAAGCCCTGAAACGAGTGGAACAAGAGCCCCCCCGAAAAAGCATCAACAGCCCAGAATTGCGTCTGCTGCATGAAGCACGATGCCGCTCGTCGCCCCACCGGATTGCCTCAGGGGACCAGGAGACTAGAGAGGTTTCGGACAATCGCGCATTGCTTGCGATGTAGATCAGTCATATTTGCAAGGAAATAGTCATCGAAGTAGAGTTCTATCACTGATATAACATGAGGCAGACTCAACTATCAGAGTCTCAGACTCTGACCACAATCATCACGCCTGAATACACCACGGCAGATGGCGCTAGAAGACCCGACGGGACGGCGTCCGCGTGTGGAGGCGCGCACGCTATCCGATCAAGTTGGTCCAGTCGCCACATTCTCACGAGTTCTTTGGTGATGGCTGACTCCTGAGTGCCGATCCACGCGGCCTAGTAATCGTCCTGGTGGAGCGCCCACGTCGTGTGGGGAAGGGCGAATGCTCCGGATCTAAGCCCAATTTGTGACACTGTCGCGAACGTAGCGTCGTCTCAGACGGGTGTTTCGATCGCCTCGTTGTCTTTTGGAAGCATGGAAACAAGTAATCTGATCAAGGCGGCCAGTCATGGTTGGAGACGCGAGCATGGCCATTCGCGTGGTGATGGTGCGTTTTCGTGTCAACCTTGATGATACGACGTCCGAGGTGATCGGTTAAGCTCTTCGTACGACCTCGGCAGAGCTAATGCTCGTGGGGATGCGTTTATTTGAAACAAAAGCAAGCATGAAAGCTGTTGGGCTCTTGTTAGAAGTTGAGTAATTGATACCTTTGAGTGAGCAGCGCCGTTGGTCTCTAACAGGCACCAAAAACAAAAGAGTTGTGACCTGTGTGGACGCAAGTTCACTCGCCGAATCGGATTCACGAACCATGAGTGATTGATAAAGAATGCAACGTTTTGTGAATGCCTGCTGTTGTCCGAATGAGATAGAAGTCCAACCTTATTATATCTCGTACAGTAGAGGCGGAGTTATGCTTCAGGGTAAGCCACCAGGCAAATCCCACCTTAAATCGTCGTGTATGTTCCAAATGCTGCTGCTTCGAATGAGGTATTGCGATTAATATCACGCTAAAAACCCTGAATTTCCTGTACTATAGTACAGACAAGAACTATATGCCACCAAGGCTGTTGCAAAACCGTACCGTCACCAGTGGTTGTGGTTGTTCCTTGTCCAAGACATTGGCGACCGTGTAAGTGGGATGCCTGCTAAGGCTGTGATCCTAGCTCGCAACAAATAATACGTACGCAAGGCAACAAACATTTCCATTCAAGTGATGAGTTAGTTTTTATTCCATTGCATGCGTTCTTCGCAGACGTCCACCTCCATGTGCCCTGCTTGTTCGGCCACACAGCGGCTCATGACATGCTCGCTGTCACGACAAATTGACCAACCGTCACTGTCCGCCGTGCGCTCCGCCTGCTGGCCAGATCACTATGATGCCTTGTCCAACGAGCGTCGCAGCGGGCCCTATTCTTGAAGACAAAGCAAGGCTACGTATAAACGGAATTTTTATGATAATTGCGTCATTGCAGGTGAGGCTCTTCTCCCAGCCGCGTGTGTACACGTATCTGATTCTGAAACAGGCAACGTGTTTCGGCTCATCAGCGCCTACCGGGGCTAGCCTCATGTGCCCCAGTACGCATGAATCAGCCTTATTTTGGCGCAGCACGCGCTTCTTCTTGACGAGAAGCCACACGATTCTTGCTGCTTTATTTCTCCCAGCGCAACGAAAACACCTCGTCCCCCGATCTCGAGATACCCACTTCCAGACCCTCCTCGCCCTGAATGCTCGTAGGGATCTTCTCCCCTTTCCTCTCCAAAACAATCTTGGGCCCGTTGACACTATTGTCATCTAGCTTGTAGAAGGCACGACCAAACTTGTTGAAGAACCCCTCGAGCTTCTCCCGTGTGACGTCTGATTCGGCGACAATCCCTCTTTCGGTAGCCTCTTCGAAAGCCCGCAGCACAAGCTGCGTGGCGTACGGCTGCGTGAACACACCCGCAGGGGGCGCCATGCCCTGCGCACTCTTGGACGCCAGAGGATGAGGCGCGCTGTCTGTCCCAAAGAAGAACTTGCTGTCGCCGCTCGTCGCTGCCTTTAGGAGAGCATCCCTGTCCTCGGGTGTCTTGGGGATGGGCTTGCAGAAAGCATGCGGGTCGACGTTGCTCATGTCCCCTGTGAGGTACAGGTGGTGAGCCGTAATCGTGGCGCCAACAGAGGGGCCGCAGCCCCTCACAGCCTCGATGGCAGCGGCTGTTGAACAGTGCTCGAGGACGATGCGTAGCTTTGGGAACTTGGCATGGATGGACTTGAGCGTGGGCAGGAAAGCCTCCTCGTGGGTGAGCCCTTGAGCAGGGGTACCGACGACTTCGCCGTGGAGGTTGAGCACGAGGTCGTGTTGCTGCATGGCCTCGAAGATATCATCAAAGCCGTCGAGAGAGGCAACGCCGGCATCCGAATTGGTGGTGACGCCCTGCGGATAGACCTTGATGCCTGCCAGCCCAGCCTTGGCTGCTTCGGCAACGACGTTGGGGGTCAGTTCTGCGTGGAAGTAGAGCGACATGAGGTAGGTCACGTCGGGCTCGATCGACTGGAGGTCGGACTTGTACTCGAGAGCACGCTCCACAGTCCGGATAGGGGGCTGCAGGTTTGGCATGACGAAGACGGTGTCGACACCCCCGCGCCTGATGGAGGGAGTCACCAGCTTCATCATCTCGCCCTGGCGGAGGTGGACATGCATGTCCGCCGTGGGCGGCAGCACGATCTTTTGTGTCTCTCGGAGCCGCATGCTGGGATGTCGAAGGAGTGGAGATTCGTTTGTAGTTGATTGACACGACTTGTTCTTGCTGGACGTGACACGTGAAAAGATTGAAGTTGAATGAATTCGAAACTAAGATTTAGACGCTCACTATTGAGTATCCACTGTGGGCATTGTGAGGCGGTATGATTGGTCGAGAGATAGCACCGGGTAGGCTATATTGAGCCAGCAAGATGGTGACGCTCAAGAAGGAGTCGGCACTGCCGCCGTGTATTCGCCAAGGATACAGCTACTTGCAGCTTCAGAGCAATGAGGACGCGTCCAGATTCGTGGAGCATCCAATGACGAGCAGCCATCCCTACTGGACATACAAGGCCAGCCATGACATGCCCTCAAAACGCATCACAAGATCTCCCAGGCGGAGCCTGGCTCTCCGGGGCTACCCAAAACCGCCGGCACTCGAAGAGGGAACGCGGCCCGATAGTCACTGATTTATTGCCCTATGCGCCGTCATGAACATGACAGACGATGCTATTGGCTTGCTGCCACCATGTGTGGCCTGAAACGGAACCAAACCATGTCACTACGCTCCTGTTTCGTAGTGGTGGACGATCGATCGTCTGTCAGATCCATGGCCCGGCGTCTATAAGAGCAGAGCATCCCAACGGCAAACAAAGCACCCGCCCACTCTCATCGACAAGAACGAGCCTAGTCCACGCTATCATGCTCTCCTCCACCACTACTCTGGCGTTGCTGGCCAGCGTTCTCCCCCAGGCCGCCCTGGCCCACTACAACTTTGAGCGCCTCATCGTCAACGGCGAGGCCACCGAGCCCTACGAGTACGTCCGCTCGACCACCAACGCCAACTCGCCCATTGAGGACGTCACCTCGCCCAGCATGATCTGCAACCAGGGCGGCAACGACGCCGCCATCCGCGCCCGCACAAAGACGTACGAGGTCGCCGCCGGCAGCGAGGTCGGCTTCGACATCAACTCGGAGCTCGGCCACCCGGGGCCCCTCTACGTCTACATGAGCCGCGCCCCGGACGGCGTCGCCCTCTCTGACTACCAGGGCGACGGCGACTGGTTCAAGGTCTACGCCCTCACCACCAGCCACATTGAGACCAACACGGGCCTGCACTGGGCCACCTTTCCCGGCGGCCAGGGCGGCGCCCAGAACTTCACTTTCACCCTCCCCGAGGACCTGCCCACGGGCAACTACCTCATGCGCGGCGAGCACATTGGCCTGCACGGCGCCGGCAACGTCGGCGGCGCCCAGTTCTACATGGGCTGCGCACAGCTCGCCGTCACGGGCGGCGGCAGCGGCACGCCGGGTCCCACGGTCAACTTTCCCGGTGCCTACGCCGAGGACGACCCCGGTGTCTTGATTGGCATCTACTGGCCGCCACCACAGGAGTATATCTCGCCCGGCCCTCCCGTGTGGCCTGGTGAGTGCGAGGACCACACGCTCAACAGCTGGGGCCAGGACAGCGATGGCGACTGCAACCCAATGGCGCAGTAAAGGGTGCCATGAAGCAGACAGGACTGTACATACCGAGGGAATGGAGATGATGACGCATGTATATACGCACCACGACAGAATGAGAGAATGAACGTGAACCAGACTTTTGCGTAAGAGTGACGCTTTCATACTTTGCTACCCTCATCTTGGATGGCGTACAGCTGGGGCACCAGCTCCCTCAGGCATGTACCTAGGTCAGTCCACTGTAATCCAAGGATACCCAGGGTCTCCTGCACATCGATGCCGAAATGCGTCCTGTGCTCCCGTTTCCCCAACTGACCAACAGGTACTCTGCCCTTCCTCATTGCCGGTGGTATCACTTCTCTTGCCACGTCCGCAATCTCCTGGTTGCAGTAGACATTGGTTGCAAGGAGGAACCTCTTCCCACCGGCCTCTGGAATACGCAATGCTTGGACATGTGCCCTCGCCACATCCCTCACGTGCACCCACACGGGTGCCTTGGTCGGTGGCACGCTCTCTTCTTCCGGCAGCGACACCACATTATACACCAGCATGTTGCTCGTGTTGATGGACTTGACCGTCGTCGGGGCGTCCAGCCAAGGTCCAAACACCATGCCTGGGCACAAGCTGACGAGATCAAAGCATCTGCTCTGCTTCATAAAGTCCCATGCTGCCCGCTCCGCAGCCACCTTGCTCGCGCGATATGCTGTCGGAGCGTCCTTTGCGCGGACGCCATCGTCGTAGGTGAGAGGTGCCCAATCCTTTGCGGAGTAGATCTTGTCGGGACGCGGACCAAGGCTGGCGTCGTAGATGCAGGCAAACGAGTTGGTCTGGACGACTCTTTTCACACCAAGCTGCTCCGCAAGATGAAGAGCCGCCTCCGCCCCCTGTACCGAAGGGATCATGAGGTCCGTCTCAAAGCTCTGTGTCGCGTAGGTGAATGGTGCCGCCAGATGGAGAATCGCGTGAATCGTCTCGTTCTGTAGCCCTGCTAGATATGCATCCGCAGACGTAATGTCTCCCACCACGACAATGGTCAAGTCGCCATGACCATTGTGCGTCTTGCGAACAGCATCCACTTTCTCTTCGGATCGAACGGTGGTGACTACGTGGTAGCCCTCCTCGAGAAGGACAGCGATTGTATGCTGCGCAATAAAGCCGTTGCCGCCGGTGACGAGAACGCGACACGGCCACGCGAGGGCTCCTTCTCCAGCAGCAGGTGTCGAGTGTCGTACTGTCATCTTGCTTTCTTGAGTCGGCCGATCGTGTGCCCAACAAGGGAGAATTACACGATACATTGCTGGGGCGTGCTGGGCTGTCGTCAGACCATTATATGGTCCAACATCACGGGCGTGCATGTGGCGCTCCACAGCATGAGCGCAGCCTCCTCAACCCCACGCCGCCGGCTAGTGCCATCTTGGAGACAATGCCGTCGCAAATGCACTGGGAGGCCTGTGGCGAGTGCACGGAGGCTGGTAAGGAACAATGCGAAATCATGGCAAGAATAGGAATGTCGGCGCCAAGGTCCACGCAGCCGTCGCAAAAGGGTGGAATCGTCTCCAGCGCTACTTGCGGTCCGCCGCGCATCTCGTTATCTGAGGCTGCCAGGTGCGCGGCGCGCGGGGTTGGCAGGGCTCCAGATCTCAGGCTGGCCTGCGTGATCCCCACGCATCCTTGTGGAAACACGTGTGGGGATGGCACCGGCCAGTACCCAAAACGAAAAAAGTCGCCAAGACAAAGGTCAATCGCTGGCGAGCGACGGTCGCCGACCCAGGGTCCAGCAGGCTGAGAACGAATCACGACCTCGACTCTGGAAATCGTGGCGCTCGTCTACATGCATGCCGAGCTTGCTGCGCTGACTTCAAAATACCACGAGACCATGCATCTCTTCGTACCGGATTCTGGCCCAATTCACCTCTGCACCACCACCGCCGTCTCGCCTGGCCCAGACTCGCTCGACCAGGTCTCTCGCATTGTACACATACCCAAATCCGCACGTCCGCTCCATGACCATGAGCCGATCCAGGATCACCGTGCGCTGCTCCAACGACCAGCATGCGCCGCCGGCCATGACGAGCGGGAAAAGCAAGCATGGCTCCAGCGGCCTCCCGTAATGAATCTTCTGCACGCAATCTAGTATCAAGTCGACGGCATGCACCACCTTGGGCGAGTCCTGAGCGTACCCTTCCACGACCTGATGCAGTCGCAGGCGCAGCGCATGTTCGAACGCCAGGGTGGCGTGGAGGGCATCCGCTTCGTTTGGCGCAAGGTTGTGCACGGCGCGATGGAGACCTCCGTGGTCGTATGACCACTGGTTGATCTTCTCCTCCACCCGATTGGCTTCTCCGCGAAAAATCGCCTCCGACTCTGCACTCACCCGTGTCGAACGCTTATCAGCCAGGATGTTGACGAGATCAACAAGGTGGAAGAGTTCCTTTGGAATGCCGTAGACGGCCGAATCCTCAGCATCAGCAACCAGATCCAGGCTCTCCAGTGCTTCCGCATTCCGGGCTTCTTCCCCTAAAAGTGGCGCTCGACACGTCGCGACGGTCGCCGCTGAGTCCAGAAAGCGGGACAACCTGAGCAGGAACTTGTACTGGCCGCTGGACAGGTCCCCATAGTGCTGCCGCAGAGCAGCCAGCAGTCGTTTCGCCCCGCGGAGGTGCGGTTGCCAGCCGACGCTTGTGCCATCAAACAACTCTGTCATGCAGAGCAGCAGGCTGCCGACGAGCGCAATGTCGGCGCTGGTCTTATCAACGTGCGGCAGGAGCCACGCCAGCGCTTGTGTCGCCCGGCTCTGGTGAAGCAGCCCACGATGGCCCATGTGCGGCAGCATCTTCCTCCAGTGGTTTCCCGAAAGTGCGAGAATACATTGTAGAACGAGTTCGTTCGAATCGGCCATGGGCAGCAGGTAGTGGAGGTACGGATTTGATGCCGAGTTCGATCGTCGCGAGAGGAGCGGCGAGACAATTCTCATGTAATGATCCAGTAGCACACGGTCCTGGGTATCTCGAAGTCGGGGAAAGGACTGCGGAACGTGCATCGACAAGGGGTCGTTGGGCGACCCGGGCGGGCTGAAAGAGGTCACGACTGCTGTACGGGTATCCGACCTGCAGTCATACGCGCTATCGGGGGCGCTGGAATCCTGAGAATCGCGACTTGCACCTGCAGAGGGGTCTAGCATCGGGCTCTGCTGCCGTACGGTCATCACGCCAAAAGGGTGCGTCACGCACGAGCCTGGAGATGTGTCCGTATCACTGCCAGCTGTTGTACTCGGAGTCGAAAGCGCCATGGACGTGGGAGCGACGACAGCAATGCCAGCGGAGCATGTGGAAGCGGGCTCTTGCGGCGCGCGGCGCGCCTTTGTTTCCTTGGCTCGGCTGCCCCTTTCCTTGGGCTTCTCTGGCGGCCAACAGCAGTCTAGACACAGTCTTCTGCAATCGCCGCACTTGGGCTTCGCCTCGTCGCACTTCTTCTTGCGCTGCTTGCACATGGCACAGCCTGTCTGCACACGGTGGATGCGCGCTTTGGGCATCTCGGTCGGAAGATTTGGCCCCGAGGGGCTGGCCAGGCCACCATGGTCGTTTGTCGATCGTGATTGACAAGGCAGGCCGAGCCGTGTGCATCGTGAGCAGGGAATGTGGCCATCGCACGCTTGCTTGATCTGGGCACAGCGCTGGCAGACTGGCCGTCTCTCAATCGGCATGGCGATGGACGTGTTGGTTTGGCGTTGGGCCTGAAGGCGAGCAGCGTCGGCTGCGATTCCGAGTGCTCGGAAAGTATGGGGACGTCGTGGATCAGCCAGCGCCGTTCACCTCACGGGTGCATAGAAGGCTGCACGTCGCCTGGAAGGGTTCGACCGGTCACGAGCTGAGGGTCTTCGGAAAAGGAAGAGGAAGTGTCGTCGGGTTGCAACGCAGCCAGGCAGGTGGTTGCGTGTGTCCATGCCGTATGGGAAGAGAGGGAAGGCACGAGCTGAGATGAAGGAGCCGCCCAGTCTCACTTGGGTCGGCGTGGGCTGAGCTCCTTCAGCGGAACCCATTTCTTCCCTGGGCCTTCCAGTTCCAGTCATTTCAGGCTGAAGTAGGTGGGTCCCCCAGAAAGCTAGCGGGCAATTAGCAAGGTGCCACAGCTGGGTAGCGCCCGAGACAAGTTCCGTCTGACTAGCTTTGCGGCGTCTTCATTGGCCCGTTTGCTCCCAGGACGGACTTCTACATGAATTCCTCCTCGCACGTACTGCTTTTGGATCTCATCTACTCCTTGGCAACTACTATGCTGTCGTCGCTACTCGCCTCTGCGCTGTCTAAGGTTGCGACCGTCTTGCGGCCTTCGTTTTATACACGGTTCGTGCCTTGGCACCCTCTAGGGCAGGTATCATTCTTGATATCAACTCTTCCCGTGAACCATATCTACAAAAATGACAGAGAAGTCCGTGTTTGACGCGACATCCCACAATCAGTGAGCGTGATGCAACACAAAACGCTGCTCTGCGGGATGTAGACGCATCCATTACTTGTATATACGTACGAGACACCTGTATATTGCCGACGGTGGTACCAGAAGGAAGTCGTCTTTACGTATCGCGCTCTCAAACGAGGTATAGGGCACCCGAACAGAGAGGAGGGAGAGCTTCGCGAGAAGCGCGTTAGTCTAAAGCTCGTGGCTGGCGAAGCAATATTCAATTACCCTGTCTCTTTGGATGAATGTAAAGGTCGAGTTGCTTTGTGCCGCTCTGCTCTGTGCCTGTAAGGGCGCGTCTAATAATTCCCTAATGAATTGTCAGGGACTGATCTCCGAGGCCAAGCAAACTGGAGGTATTGACGGGCAACGGCTCAGCCGATCGACGTAGATTCTCAGGGCCGATCCGCAAGCCGAGCAGCACCTCCAGAAAGGCGTTCCCCACCCCTGTTACCCGCCCGCCCTGCATCATCACGACATCCGTCCTGGACTAGTTCCCGGCAGTCCGACTTATCTTTGCTTATTTAGCAAGTATGTCAGCTTATCATGTGCCTGCTTCTGCTTTGCCAAAGCATGGCGTGACATTTTTTTTTTTTTACCGCAGTTTGAGCTGGACGCGCCCTACAAAGATGGTCTGCCCTCCAGCTTTGATGCAGACAGCAGACGTGCCGGCTCAACGCTGACGAGTTCACCTACTCACTCGTTCGAATCCTCGCACACGGCTGTGGCCACCGTGGACGCAGCGACACCCTGCATACGTCGTGCAGCCGCTCGCTGTAGAAAAGAGGGGTGGCTTCCTTGATTGCGAGATCTTGTCGTAGAACCTTCAAACTTGAGTCTGCCATGGCCCCCGGGAGACCAGTCCTGATCATAGGGGCTGGCGTTGTCGGCTTAACGCTGGCCCACGGCCTCGCTAACGTGAGCTTGGTCTGAGCCCTGGGGAAGAGAAACCGCTGACAGTACAGGCTGGTGTACCCTTCGAGATCTTCGAGAGGGACCCTTCTCCCGTCTCTCGATCACAAGGATGGGCAATCACGTTCCATTGGTGCCTGCCTTTCCTCAAGACACTTCTCACGCCGGAAACGCTCGCTCTCGTGGGCGACGCCCAAGTCGACCCTGAAGTAGCGAAGAATGACACGGGGAATTTCTTGTTTCTTAACCTGAAGACACTGGAAACCAAGTTCAAGATCCCACCAAACGAGCGACGCCGTGTTGAACGACAGAAGTTCCGCCACGCTCTCCTCGACGACCCGCGCATCGGTGGCAAGGTACAGTGGGGCAAGCGCCTGGCTAACGTGCAACTTCTGGACGATGGCGACGTCAAGGCCGTGTTCCAGGACGGCTCACACATTGACGGACACGTCCTCGTCGGCGCAGAAGGGTCGAACTCAACCACGAGGAAGATTCTAGCCCCTGGTACGCACGAACTGCATCCTGTCGACGTCAAGCTCATTGGCGCCAGCGTGGACATGACGCCCGAGCAAGCCCAGCCCCTGAGAAATATCGATCCTTTGCTGTTTCAGGGCTGCCACCCGGACACAAACAGCTTCCTCTGGGTCTCCACTCTCGCGACGCCCGAGGTAAGCGACAATGGGATGTACAAGATGCAAGTCATCCTTTCGTGGCCAGCGCCTTTCGGGTCACAGCTGCCTGACAATCTGCCTGCCGAGATGAAAGAGCGCGCGCGGGTTTTTCATCCGACACTCAGAAACGCCCTCGGCCTGGTCATCACAGCTCAAGAAATCCCTATCCAGGATTGGCCTTGTCTACCTTGGTCATCCAACGACGGAGCCACGACGCTGATCGGGGATGCCGCGCATGCCATGACCATGTACCGCGGCGAGGCTGCCAATCACGGCATCCTCGATGCGTATCACCTTACCAAAGGCTTGGTGGAAGTTTATAATGACAGGAAAACCAGGGATGCGGCCATTGAGGCGTATGAAGCGGAAATGAGGGATAGGACGGCGGTGGCCGTCAGTTGGAGTCGCGAGGCGTGTGTGGGCGCACATGACTGGGACACACTTAACGCCAATTCTGCTGTGTTGCGGAGAAGAGCTGTCCGGGAGTCAGACGGATAGGCCATGGAATTGATGATGTCTTTCAATGGTCACTATATGTGCAAGTACGACCTCGTTTATTGGAACAATTCACTGCAAACGGGTCGCCTGACATATTGAGTGCATAGCTGCCTTCTAGCCGGACTCACCTACCCCGCTCTCAGGCACTGATGACTGAGATTCCGAACTTACGGTCCGCTATTATACCAAAGGCTGCTTCTAAGTGAGACATACATGTGGCATTGCTCACCTCCCCCGTATCAGATTCTTCACCGCTGGTGAGCATAATCTGGTCCAGTTGAACTTGGCCTCCGAGTTGGCGTCTTGAAGTCGTTACGGTAGCCGACGGTCAATCTTATAATACCACAACGTTCCCCAAGGATGTACTGCCTCGGTTCTGGTTTCTATACAAAGAGTCATGCGTAAACATCACAGGGGCCTATGGAGGATCGTGTAATGAAATGGTGACATTTCTCCCATTGTCGCACCGTTGCCTCCTTACTCTTTCGTCGAGGACGTGGAGGATGTACCCGAGCCTCAGGACGCCGACTACCCGCACTACAAGTGCTTCTGGTGCATGCCATGTGCCCGCTTGGTAGTTCATCGGCTGAAGTATGTCAAGGGCGACTCCAACCGCGACTAGGACGTGTTTCCTCCTGGATTGTTTGCACTCCCCTCGTTTCTCGATATGCGGGCAAGTAAGTTTACTTCTGCGAATCTGACATGACTTTGCGAAGGAAGGCTGTTATAGTATCTCCTCGTCTCTTGCCTCTTTGGCTGTCTGGGAGGCGTCGATATCGCAGTGAAGTTTTTGATACAGATGGGTGCAGGTCTGTGCGTGGATTTTATGGCAGGCATCGCAAAAGTATAGTCGGCGCAGATTAATAAGACGGGGATCGTGCTCACCGCGCTGGTGAAATCCTAGCGCATGTGGCATAGCGATATCCGTACTAGGCTACGAGAGGCTCAGCGGCACCTAGCTCTAGCTTCGCTCGTAAATAATCCTTGATAATTTGCCTCTAGTTCGCCGTCAGAGATTCCAACGAAAATGGGCCCGTGGCGTTCTATCGAGGTCGGGTCTTCATGAGGGGGAATGAAGGCTGCTTGCTTTTTGAGAATGTTCTCAAGAGCTAGGCCAGTCCTCCAAAGGTTTGACTTCGCCCAGAGGCTCTCTCCCAATAGCATTAAGGACATGTCTAGCTTACCACCTTGGGACCGTACGGTGTACTAAATCGGCGCGGCTAGATCCACGTCCAAGGATGCGTACTGCAAAGCCTGCTCCAAATTGTCGTTTCGCATACAGCGATCAAGACACCGAGTGAAACGTGTCAAACTGGAGGCCAAGATCATGGCACGTGGAATCAAGAGCCACGTTTCACGGCTACGGGAAATTCCAATTGAATGGTGCCTCCACTCAAGCACCATGTCAAGAATCTTGAGCCTTTTTATCTTGCCCGGGGCATCGTATATGGTGACCTTACCCCAGTCAAATTTGATTTCGGAATGGGACTTGCAATGCCTGCAGCTTTCATCTCTATTTTTCCCGCGGCATTCAACAGCCAAGTCGGAGTTGCCGTGCGTGGCGACGATAGTCGTTACTATCAAGTCTGATCAGCCACGCGTCAGTATCCTCGCGAAGCCATCGCCTTACGGCGACAGAGATCCTGATATATCGCACAGAAATTGGGAAAGCAGAAGCATGGCATAGCTTGCCAGTGGCCGCAAGCGCTGAAGATTCTCTTTGGCGAGAAACCCACGCCCTGGTGCAGGGGAGGTCTCTGCCAGGCTCTTCAACGTGGATGTGAGCCAAACAAGTTCGTTACTTGCATAAAACACAGCGTATCAGATCCAAGGGCACTGTTCCACGAAGCGGCGCGTTTCCGGCGCAAAAGTAAGGCGGGGTGAGTGCCGCAAGATAACAAGGAGTTGTCTATCTAATCGGACTTGGCATACTGCACTTTCCAGGACATGACTTTTCGTAATGATATTGAAAGGCATCATGTGAGCCACCTCGGGATGTCCAGCTTGGTGTTCGATCGACTTTTCAGTCGCCAACGGGGTTGATAGGAGATATTTTGCTGGTCTCCGTGCAGAGAGCGCTTTGCGAAGCTGGTCGTCACCAGGTCTACATTGGAGAAGCGGTGGACGATTAGGAGATGGAGGCGCCTGTGGTGATCTGTACCGCCCGAAATCGGCAAGAGAGGTGCTTTGTGCTTGGCCAAAGATGGGCTCACTTTGACAGCAGCTTAGATGCTCATTACGGTGTCGCTAGCGAGCCATGTGGTCGAGAACGCCGCATATCCCAGTCTGTCCACCAGCTGGGTATTCCTCAATCGTTTCGTCCTCCAGTATAATCCGGTAGTCAGCTTGGACCTGGCTGTCGGCCACGGAACGGTCGTTGATCAAACATGAAGTTTGCTCAGACGAAGGTCTGGAGGCACAGTCCGCTCTGGTCCCTGCTGACGAGGAAGGCCTCTCGCGCTTCGTGCGTCGGCGCATCTATGCGTGCGAAAACTGTGGCAATAAGCATGCTGCAATTGACTAGGGCTTTGCGCAGCTCGGCGCCATTTGCCCCTTGGCGCGTCGTCCTATTGATTTGAAGGACTACTGCGGGAGTGCGCCCCCACCCGTGCTTCGAGGAGCCAGCCAGCCATCAATGGACAACTCCCGTCTTCATCAGGGCTCGCCAGCACAGCCGGCAGACACAGGCTGAACATGGTAGGTACACGAATGAACAGTTTCGAACACAAAGAATTTTCCATTCCGCTAAAGTACGGACCCGAAATCGGGGATGTCGTAAATGCAGAGTTGATACGACTGGAGGTTGTTCGAGTTTAGTGGGTTCACAATAAGGATGCCTTGCATCGTTGGTCCCTCGCGAGCCACCAAGCTGGCGCAAGTGTCCGCCTGGCGCGACTGGGTCAAGAGATTCCAGACCACCTCCAGTCCAGTCCGCCGACTCCGCCCTCCGACCCAAGGCCACGAACTGCCATTTCGCTGCACGGCATTGGCGATGCACCATTATGCAGCATGCGCCGTACTTGTAGCACCTGCATCCAACCCGTCGCCGCTTTGCGTGCCTGTCTGCCCGTTTTCGCTCTTGGCAACACTCGCCCGACCGATTTTCGATCAATTTCTCCATATTGTTCGCCCACGACGCCCAGCAAGGCGCACAAGCAAGCTGTGACGGGCGAGCAGGACTTGCTCGGAAACATACCCCTCCCTCCTCCCGCTCGCCTCCCGCCGCCCAACTGTGTGGCACCAGTGCACCACCATCGCTCAATGTCAAAGGCTACGCCGTCTCGTTCGTGGTCGTCGATCCGTCTTCCATCAAATCGCTGGCGGGGTTCACGCTGAGCAGCCCGCTGCTGACTGGGTGAACTTTTTATTTTTATTTTCTTGCGCGGCTCAAATTACAAGACTGCAAATACCCCAAGGGCTCGCCACCTCGCCGTGCATTTCACATGTGCTGAGACGGTTTTTAGACCGTGAGCATCTTTCAGGGTATCAATATAGTGTCGCTGGCCGTCGTTACAATTCTGCATCCTGCAGGACCTGGTCCGCGGAAATGTCGGCAACCCGCAAGACACGCGTCTTGTCCAAGGAGGACATTGCAAAGGGTTAGCACGCTGTCGCGCGTTGCAGACTTGGCCCGGCTCGCTGACATTCCTAGGCCTTCGCGCGCTCGACGCGGCAATTGAGAGCTCGGAGCTCTTGATGAGCGTCGCGCCACTTCGCTTCATGACTGTGGGTGGCATGTTGGCGGTTTCGCTGTTCGAGAATCGCCCCACGACCAAGGACATTGATTTTCTCCTCGACCCAAACGTCGACGCTGTGCGCGAGTATCGCACCGAGGTGCGTAGGGTCATCAACGAGGTCGGCGAGAGGCACGGATTTAATGACGACTGGATGAATGATGAGCTTAAAATATTCATTCGTCAATCAAACCGCCTCAACATGTTCTTGCAGTCCGTCCAGCAGGGCATGGTCGTCCACGAGGGTCGGAATCTCGTGGTGTACGCCGGCCGCCTCGACTTTGCACTCGAACGCAAACTGCGCCGCTTGAACGGCGAGAACATTCGACCGCGCGACCTCGATCTCTCCGACGCTGTCGCGCTGGTCCACACGCTCAAGGACCCCGACCATCCGCTGAGCTGGCAGTACTGCCAGTCCTTGGACGACAATGAGCTCGGCATGGGCGTCGGCAACTTTGGAATCAAGGTCGTGGCTGACGAATATGAGCGCGTGCACGGCAAGCAGGGCATTGTCGAGACCGAGTGGGATGAGCAGACGCAGTGCCACAAATATGCCAATCTGCAAGGCGAGTGGGTTTATGTTCATGAGCGACAAATTTCGCCAAGGAAAGACGATTTCGATGGCAGCCATGGCGCCTAGCCTAGCTAGACGGTGGTCAAGGAGGACTTTGTTGCTTGGATGTTTCGCTTGCCAAATTGATCCGCGGCAATGTCCTTTGCATTGACATGATGATGCTTGGGGAATTTATGAAGGATTAGTCTCTGTTTCAGTTTGGGCGCCAGAGACGTCCATACAGGGTCTTTGAACGGGGCGAACTCATTGGGGCCGTCGTCGAGGTCGTGATGGTTTCCGTCTCGTCGGAGGCCAATACTCAGTCGCCAATTAAAGGACCAGATGAGTGCCTCCGCGAGGGACGCAAGAACCGCGAATTGCTCAGAGTCGATGCATCCGTCCAGACGCGGATCATGAATGTCCTCGGGGTTCCAGTGTGTCTGTCTCTTCCAGAGATACTCCGTCTCATAGCCAATGAGCGGCTCATCATAGGCGCAAAAGGCTTCATACAAGCGATAGAAGGAGCCTTGTAGGGTATCGCGCCAGCGAAAAATGGGGATCAGGCGCAACTCGAAAATGTCCAGGTGGTGCTCGTCCATGTATGCCTCAGGCGCGTAGGCGATGATCTGTCGCGGCGGCGGTGGGAGGATCACCGGAAAATGACGAGGGTACCGCAAGAAAAGCCGAGCGAGATAGCGATAAGGGTGGTCCGTAATTTTAGACAACACAATAATGGAGTATCTCAGTTTGAGGGGTGAGGACCAAAACTGAATCCGCCGGCGCCAGCGCCGCAGCGTGCGCGTGACATAGTGCAGAGGCGACTGCCAGAATGTCGGCAAGGCTGGCGGTAGCTGTGATGGTAGCAGCGGCACGTTGTTGCTGGCGTCGGTGGTGTTGTTGTTGGCGGAGAAGGAGGAGGAGGAGGATATGACAGAGGAGGTCATGATGAGGGCTGTGGGGCCTGGGCCGTCGCGTTCGCCAGCGTCACATCCAGGGAATGGCGGACGAGGCTGCTCATGATCATGAGTGAGCAGGCAGGGAGCAGACGACGTTGGTCGCAAGACAGAAAAGGTAAAGAAGATGAAGGGCAGGGGCAGAGAAGAAATGGAAGGAACCAGCGAAGCGAAGTGAACGCCCACCGACGTCGCATCGCGAATCATTCGCAAAGGCCCGCCCACCGCGTGGTCTTGGCTCTCTGGCTGGCCGCCGTCCTGGACAGAAAAGGACTTGGCGAATTGCTCGGCCTTCACAGTCTTCACTGACGCAGCGCCGACGGCCAGCCATAAGGCGGTGGCCGGGGGCTGCATCATATTCTGGGGGCCACTACATAGCTCCACAGGTGTAAAAACCCAGTCACGTGTATGTCATCATCACCCATTTCGCGTCGCGTCGGCACTCGAGCTGCACTGCTTGCTGCAGCCGCCTGCAGCTGCATGCCAGCCGCTCCCACTTCCCGGGTCGCTTAAAAGTCAGTATCTTCAAGTTGGCTGCTTGAAATAAAAGTCGTGATATGCCAGCACCCATGTGGCTCAATCTCTATGAGCCGTCAGAAGGGCAAGGGGTGGCATTCGTCACCGTGCATTGCGTGGGCTGGATGGTCCTGGCGTCGTCGGGCCGCCCCCCTTTCCCCTTGCACCGCGCTCGTGCCGAGTCGCCGACTCATGATGACCAGGCAACGTAGGCTCACATGACTTGCTGCCAACGTTCATCACTTCCACTGCATAACATTATTAATCCATCCTCCACTGACCCGATGGCCGTATCTATGATCTGCACAATCCCCATTCCCTCCTAGAAACGCACAGGAACCTCCGTGGGCTCACTCATCCAGAATACGTTAGTCTATCTATCACGCGTAGCCCATTAACAACGTTGACAAGCCATGCTTGCAATTCTCATCCTGGCAATCCAATCAGTCTACAGGCTCAGCTCGAACAAACTTGCAACCCCCGCAGCGCAGCTTGAACTTCTCGTAGCATGGCTGGGGATCATTCACGTCTATGATCCTGCCGATACCCTCAGTATTCCACAGGCAGTCGCAGGTCGAGATGACCATGTCCAGGCCATCCACCACCAGGGCCTCATCAAAGTCGCCCGTAAACCACTTCTCGCGGAGGGCTGTCACGGGGCACCCCTTGGCGTCTTGGTCATCATGATCGTCGCCTGTCGTAAAGTCGTCCTCCCACTGCGGCAGGTCAAAGTCGTAGCGAGCCTTCTTGCGATCCTCCAGAAACATTTGCCATTCGTTGGGCACGCCGGCCGTGGAGAGAATGTATTCCTTGCGTGCGCTCTTGTCTACTGCAAAGTCGTAGCTGCCTTTCCTTTCCTCTTCGGCCTCAAGCTTGATGCGCTTCTGAATCTCCTCTGCCGCGATCGGCTTTTTACAGCGCCATTGGCGGACGCGCGAGCGGGTGATCTTGATGACGAGTCTCTCTGATTTGAAGTAGGCTTCAGCAAGGCGGAACATCCAGTGGAGTCCCTGTAGAGTGTTGGTGCGGCCGCGTACAATTGCCTTGTCGATAACCTGGCGGTTGGGGAAGTAGATCTTGTGGAAGCGTCTGAGGTCGTAGGTATGGTAGACTTGGTAGATGTCTTGCGTTCTGATGGAACGGTGGTAAACAACGGGAGGGTTGCGCTTGGGAAACTGCACAGGGGGGAGGATAGTCGGGTTCGTTCTGAGGTGAACAAGGGCTTCTTGGATTTCTTCGTCAAGGGGCTGCTGTGGCTGCTCCGACTGCCAGATAGCTTCATGGAAGTCTGCGATGGACTTTGTGATAGCCGTTAGACTTGGGATGCCAGGCATGTTCGCGGTTGATGCAGCGCGCCCAGGATGAAGAAGGAAGAGAAGAAGAAAATGGGCAGTTAAAAGAGAGGCGGTCCTAGAGCAGAGCCAGGCTCACGAAAACAACCATGCATCCCGACGTGTCTTCAAGATCAGACGAAGTCAAGTGAGGTGAAGGGAAAGTGAGGTTGATGAGATGGGCCATGGCGCTCTTGCCTAGAAGACAAGGGATTGAGCATCTCAGTGCTCGCTCTGCTGCCCAGTGAATCCTTTGGCACGGCATACTTAAACATGTGAGCAAATGAATGCTTGGTCGATACATGCCGGGTCATGCTGCCTCTCTGGCTCTTGTTGCTGTTCTTGTTGTTCTCAACTTGTTGTCATTTTAGGGGGACTTCGTCATCCGAAATGCAACATCGAACATTGCGCAAGGTCGCTTTTACCAGAGAACAGCATCATTTTTACTTTCTTTCCGAGAGTCTGTTGGAACTGAAAATTTGGTCTTTACTTCTCCGAGTGTGCATACCGGTGTGTTCACGAATAAACCAGCGAGTTGCTGCATTTCACATGCGGTGCTAGGTGCTGTTCGACTTTGCTGCATCCCGGTCATCAGCCCAAGGGACAAATGTGCATAAAATGCTGAGGCACATTTATCCAAAACAGGTCGGATCTCAGCATCCCCGGAAAACAGAATGCGATCATCTGTGCCTCATGACAACTAAACGTCCACGTTGCTCATGGCGTTTGAACGACTAAATCCACAAGTCAGGGCTAGAACACTCCCCAACTCGACCAATTCATATCACTACTGGCAAATATCTCGGACTATGGGAGCTTTGAATGAAAAGCTTTCCTCCAAGATCCCCAGGCCATCCTACGGCATTTGCGTTGATTTCTACTGAACCACCACGCCCTTCAAGGTAGTCCAGCACACACGTACGGTGTATCACTAGGGCTACCTATTACCAAACTATACTGACGTGGTCAGGTAAGCCTATAATTCGATCCATGTCCTTCACGATGCAATCAAGAGAGACAAATATGCTCACATATACAAAGAGAAGGAGGTGCGGACCACGAGTGCGTGGACTACGAAGCCGCTGCGTCAGCATCTCCCCAAAGAACGAGGCCATGTAAATGCAACCATGTGAAGCTTGGTAATCAAAGAAGGAGTGAGGATGGCTAAAGATATAAGCAAATAGTTTCTGCAAGAGTTGCACTGAACTTGAATTGCAGCATGAACACGTTTGGACCAGATTGAAAATGGAAGGACAAGGCATATCACCCCTAGTCAAGCTTCTCTATTCCTCACCCACCGCTTACATTCATTCAATATTAACGATTGATCAAATGATGGCAGAGAGAGGCTCTTCTTTGGGCCAGCCTCGCGCGGGACGGATGGTCGACTGCGGAGGAAGCCACAGCGACGTGCTATTGCGGCCGCTGTCCAGCTTGTCTTTGTAAATTCTCTAAAGGGGATCCCAAGACATTTCAATCCCCAGCTCTCCAGCCTCTCTCTAAGCAAGATTTTCTTGCGTCCTTTGTCTGCCACTGTAGTGACTGCCGCAAAATCACAACTTCAATGTTCATCTCAGCTTTCGTCGTCCTCGACACACATCGCAGACAGATCCGCGGACAAGGAAAGTATGAAACAATTCGGCCAATCGCAAACAATCAAGCAAATGGATATGTCCAATTTCTTCTGCGGTACGTGCGGGGTCATTCATGTACCGAAGGAGCTCTGGCTTCCCTGGGATAAGCGTTCTCAGGATTGGGACAGTAGATGACTTCAAGCTTGCCGAAACCGTGTTGAAGCCAACCTTTGAGCAGCATGTGGAGCACAGGGTGGGCTGACTCGAAAACATAGCAAAAATGGCACAGATTGAGGGACAGGCGTCACTGTAGTGAACAGTGATACTAGCTTTGGCTCAATACGACACTCTTCGTTCAGGCTTTGGTTGATGCCCAAATCTCGGAAAGGAGAAGCTAGAAATATTCGAGCGATCGGCCTGTCTGATTGAGATGCAAAAGAAGAAAAGACAATTGCGCCAGCTGAAACAAGGGAAAAGCCATTGATATATTGAATTACTGTCAAGTCACAATCCAAGGATATCGTCGCGGCCAATCTCCAGTCTTCATCGCGGCTCAGGGGTTGGTTATATCGGGGCTTGGTTATATCGGGGCTTGGTTATATCGGGGCTTGGTTATATCGGGGCTATCGCAATATTTCCCCCATCACGACAAGGCTCTGCATATGAAGAGAGCACTGTTCTACTTCTGCAGCATTGTCTCGGGTGTTCAAAAAGGTCTATTTTTCGATGCGGCGATCTGAAGCATCCTCTTGCTCGTCGTGGAAGCTGCACACATCCACCGCTGCGCCGAGAGCTCGCTTGATAGAGATAATTGTGGCTTTCGGTTCCCTAGTGTGCGCTACCGTATAGTCCATGATTGAAAGGGTCCGGAAGCGAACCTATCCATCCCTTGCTCCAATGCGCTGCGTAACGATTGTGACAATCTGTTGTCCGGGAATAATTCCTAGGCAATCGACGCATTCAATGATTCGAGTCTAATACGAACTAGCGACACAGATGTTGAGCATCCAAATGAAATTGCAATACATTTGGTTCAATCCTCATGGCCGTAATGCCGGTTTATGTTGGGCTTGCAAAAGGAAGAAAAAAGAAAGGAAACAAAACAGAAGAGGACTGGAGCCTCACGACTCACGAGTCGCGACAGTAATAAACGCCACCACCAGCGACGGCCCGATGCGCGGGATTCGGCACACCTTGCCCGCCGTAGCGTCATATACAGACCAGTAGATAGGTAGGTAAGTATCCATCATGATGTAACAGACAGCAGCCGCGTCCGCTTCATATTAGTAAAGCTTTGAACCCCGCCGTCAGCGATCATCACAAGGTCTGGTTACTGGGACCAAGACAAACTCATTGAGTTCTTCATTCTTCACACCCAATTGTCCGATCTTCACCTGCCCCTAATCGCAAATCAATCGCATATCACTCACCATGGCCAACCTCGCCAAAACCATAGTCGCGACCGGCGTCTCCTCAGGCCTCGTAAGAGGACTTCTCCTCACGAGCAAGTCAATCTCCCGCTGACCAAGCCAGGGCTTCGAGGCCATGCGCCAGCTCCTCGAGCAGTCGCAGCCCTACAACATCATCCTGGGCGCCCGCAACACGCAGCGCGCAAAAGAAGCCTACGATGCGCTCAAGTACGACCGCGACGCCAACCCCGTCACGATCCTGCCGCTGGAGATGAACGACCTCGGCAACGTGCAGAGCTTTGCATCGCAGGTGCAGCAGCACCTCCAGAGCACGAAGCTAGACTACGTCCTTCTCAACGCTGGCATCACGGGCTCCGCGGCGGCTGGACCGACTGGCAGCAAGTGGTGCGAGCCGTTCGTTGTGAACCATCTCTGTGAGTCGTGCTCTGCGCTTGGGTGAAACTGGACTGAAGGACTGATGGCTGTAGCGCACCATTATCTGATGCACCTGCTCAAGAGTAGGATCTCCGAATCGAAATCGCGTGTCGTCTTTGTTTCGTCGGGCGCTGTCCGTATGGTTCCCGACGAGTACATTCGTAAGTCAAACGTCGAGTCTGCGGTCCTCTCGTATCGCTCACCTCTTCTCCCGCAGCCAAACTCGAAGAGTCTGTGAAAGCTGGTGCTGAAACCGATGGCCGGCTGGTCTACGCAATCACCAAGTTCATTGGCCTCCTCGGTGCTCACTGGTGGCGTCGCGAGCTCGGTGACAAGGCCACCGTCGTCGCTGTCTCGCCAGGTCTTATCCCCGCCACTGGCATTGCGCGTGGCTATGACCTGAAGTTGAACCACAACTCATCCGACGCCAAGTCCCCGGCTGAAGGTGATCAAAAAGCACACCGTTTGTATTTCTTTGCTGACTGCTTCCAGGTGGCGCAAATGTGCTCCGCGCGATGGAGAGGAATGACCTCCCTGAGGACCCAGAGCAGATCTTCCTCACAAGCTGGGGTGAGTGGTGGCCCAAGGACGTGTACGGGCAATCCCTCGACAAGAAGTTGCAAGATCAGTTCTGCCCCTCCAAGGAGCAAATTGAAAAGGAGGAGGGTCTCGCAGCGTAATCACACAACGTAACGCGACAAAAAGAGTTGACAAGGAGAACTTGAGGCTCCATTGTGACTAAAATATAGCAACGCCGTTGGGAGGACTTGCGACACCGCCGCGTACCTATTCGTCGTCAGCGGCCGAGTGACCCAAGAACGTACAGAAACTTACATTGAGAGGCATGCTGCTGAAGAAGAATGTATACCGCTTCTTCTCCGCGCAGGTCCGACTCAGTGCCTCCAAATTGAACAGTTCACCCAAGGGCATGCCCCATCCAGCAAGACACCACTCATGCAACCAGTGTTTCGTGTCTTGGCACGGCCATGCCTCCATGCTCGGGTGGTCACCTGCAATGGCTGCAAACTGCCCATCCCACAGCCAGCGCAGAGTCTCCCTAGAAGACTCGAGTCCAATGGCTGGCGGCACAGTTGTGTTAGCTAGTTCTTGCCGCTTCTCGGAAGTCGCTGCGTTGTAGGCACGGACGTAACCGCTCCGGACGAAGACAATATCGCCAGGCTGTAGGGTGGTGTTCTGATGCGCCAGGACCTCCTTGATGTTCGACACCGGGATGGAGGTTGTGTCCAGGGCTTTGATCTCGATACCCTTGTGATCAGCCCAAGCTGCGTAGTCAATAAGCACCCCTCGACCGACAATCCCACCTTTGTCGACCCACGCTACTTGATCAGCATCAATCGCTGACCCACACAAGTCACCGACTCACACTGCATGCCCATTTCGTCCGTCTTCAGCAGCTGCTCACTTGTCCAGCCATTGTAGAACACCCCGTGCTCCTGGTACCCAAAATGCCGGAACCCATCCCATTGCGAGCTGCTCTGCGTGTTGAAGCTCAATGCGTCGTCGTGCACGACGCGGCCCTCTTTGAGCCAAATGTCATGCTTCAGGGACTGTCGACCGAAGCAGGGCCTGGCGAGGTGGCCGAGGGTCAGGTCAACCGAGACGCGGGTGCCGTCGACGATCTGTTTCGAGGCGGCGACGGTGGTCTCGGGTGTGAGGAGATTCAGGGTGCCGAGCGTATCGTTCTTCGGGTACAGAGTCCACGCGTTACCTGGAGGGCCCGACTTGTCGAGCGGGAGGTCGTCAAACGAGGGTCGCAGAGGCATTGTGAGTGGCGTGTTGCGACAGGAGTGGTGAGTATTGTTGTGGGTGATGCGTGGCGAGCCATGGTGGTCCCCCTTGCTCCTGGCGCTGGAGGCGTTAGTCGGGGCTGAACTCGGGGCGTTATCTTTTCTCCAGACAATCGCCCAAAGCGTCGACGAGAGCAACAAGACATTCCCCGCATCCTGGAGTGGAGTTTGGCGTCCATGAATCAATCTATCGCGCCACTGATGATGGAGGTGGGGTTTTGGGCCTACTTGTTGGTACTGTAACTCACCTACGCAGTACATGCTGACTTACTCCGAGCTGGGCATCCATGCATCGAAAGGTGCAACCACAACTGTAATACGTAGGCAGCATGAAAAAACTTGTAACGTGTAGCAGTGATCAAAACAAAGTATTCGACATCCCTGTTCAAAAAAATCAGAATTTCGCTGGTCCACCCCCTCAGCACTGCATGTGACCTCGAATCAACTCAACTCAATCCATCAACAGTGCCGCTCGACTGCCTGAAATCCCGCATTTGACAGCCATGCGAGTGTCGAAGACGGGACCAGTCTTTCCGAGGGAACTTTGTCACCTAGACAAGCCTCGCACTGAGTCTTGGTTCAATTGACGGGAGGGTTGGGAGCGTTCGAACCGGCAGCGTTGTAGGAGGTCAAGGGCTTATTCGTAAGTCTTGATACACTATTTTTGTGTCCCCACTAGTATCTACTTGTACGTAGAAGCCCTCAAAGCTTTAAAGACACTACGCATTAATCTGCCCTATTCTCGATATCTTCCTTCTCTAGCTCGGCTGTAACACGCCTTATTTGTATCGCCAGTGTACACAAACTTCCGAGCACTTCTCCTAATAGCGCTGCGCTAAGATCCGCATACAGAGCTAGAACACTCTTTCGCTTTATGTCACCTCCCTGAGACCAGTCGGTTCTAGCTGGAAAGAAGCGGATCCCGTCCCAGCTCTCTAGGACCGCCACAAGCTGACCATAATCGTCTACGAGGCAGAGTCTGGTCGCGGTCGCGGTCATTTCCGCGTCTCGAAAGCGCTGAGATACCCAGAGAAGGGCGCCTTCGGAGGACTGCCATCGCCAAATAGGCATGTGGGCGGAGAACTGCGTGCGGTTGCGGGCCGGGGTTGCGTTGATGTAGACAGTCTCGCGACGGTCGTGAGTTTGGCTAGGTGCGGTGCGAGAGCTTGATATTGATTGGGTTGGAAGATATGTCACGGAGGAGTATTTACGGTCCTGGCTTGAAAAAAGGCAGGTACGGCATACCTCGGAAAACTGTTGAGATGGTTCCGAGTTCATTGGCACCATCCTTGTTGTTGGTTGCGTGGCAGTTGCATTCTTGTCCGCGTTTATAGGCTGCTTCGTATACAAGGGCAGCTCCTCTGCGACGGCTTCTCCTGGTGGCGGTCGCATTCCCACCGTAATGCAGGCGTCTGGGGTGAGATACGGCAAGGAGGTCATACCGATGGCGTGGATTTCGTAAAGAAATTCAGCATCGCGTTGCCTGTTTGTAGAAGGCTGGCCAGCTTTGTTGCCACTGGCGCTGGTGCCCTCCTCTAACTTGCAACGGATGATATTGCCAGACGGGTCATCGCGAAAGAGCTCTAGCCGCCGGCGCGGACGCTTGTCTCTGAACCGCTGTCTACAGAATTTCATTTCGCGCTCAGATACTACCGGGCGTGGTCCTAATGGCGATCTAGCAACACGCATACCATCAGGCAGGCGGGCAAGGTCGGGCCGCCAGTCGTCAGGCGCCGGGATAAAATGATCGTCTTCGGTGTGCACTGGCAGAGTGTATTGGTACTCGCCCATGCCACCCGTAGCGATAGCGAGGCAAAGACCGCAGCGGCGACAGGAATGGGTGACGAACCGAGGTATGAACTCGAGTGGTACTAAGAAAAGCATTATCCCGAAAGTGAGGGGCATGAACACAATGATGGTGGATAGTGATGCTATATATCTGTTGCGGTTAGATTGCAAGAAATATAGCGAAGCCTAGGAATGGCTTCATCCTCAAAAACATATAGACTCACCGCCATACGGCGAAGCGTTCTTTTGCTAGAATGGTGGTGCCTCCATGGCGACATGCTGGACAAGTGACGAACTCGGCGCGCCTATATGTGAGCTAGTAAAGCGGGGTTGGGGCATCGCAGGCATCTGTGTGTGATGTGCGCATGGCTGGCGAGTATGACGGAAAATAGACTTGACCTTGGGTCGCCAGACACTCCGAACATAGGGGAGAGCCCGCTTAGCAAGGTCTCAGTTGCCAGTAGCACAGGAAGGATGTAAGGAGAAAGAGAAGCTGGTGGTAGATCAGGTGCGTTCGCATCACCGAGTCAGCTAATAAGGCTGACTGGCTACTAGTGGGCATACACACCTCGACTACGCACGTGCATTTTTCATTTTCATGAGTGGTTCATGCCAATATAGGCTTCATGCGAAGCTCTATAACCTCACTGGTACTGCAGATCAATCCACGAATAAGCGCCGCGAAGGCCCTAAGACTTGCTCCTAGAAGTATGTGACTTAAAGGCGGCCACAAGACGCAGGAGTAATAGCCCTGTTCTGGATGGATTTTGATAATCAATCCACGTAGGCGGTGGTTCCCTCATTTGTTCCCGCCGTCCAACCTACCCTGCGTAGCATTTGGCGCTTCCACTACGTTTCTCCTCTCCGCCATCGCGTGCCGAGACCTGGAGACTTGGTTTGAGGGTGCGTTAGCTGTGGTAGGCATTAAAATATTCTAGTGTAGATACTTTTCCGATGCAGCGATACGACGCATGCTTTGAACCCCCGGCAAAGAATGCCGTGGATTTAGCCGCCCATGTACACAGGCACTTCTTGTTTGTAATAGTTACAATGCACGGCCATCTTGTTTGCCGTTTGCTCCAAACGACGCTCCCTCCGCGTCGCTGCGCGTTTCGCCTTATCTATTTCCTTTGTTTTCGCGAGCAAGATTGATCGCTGTTGTGGCTGAGGCAGATGCATGAGACTCATCTGGTCGCTCGTACTTAGACTCGCGAGTTGCCGCCCAAGTGCCCCGTCTTGCCTGTCCTTCCTGGCAAGAAATTGAGACTCTGCGTGGCTCTCGACATCTGGTATTTCGGGCACCGCCTTTTTTCCGTTCTTGCGTAGCCTGATTTTTGGTGTGGGATCAACGTAGGATCGATGAGCGAGGAGTTTGCCGGACGGTAAGCGCAGAGTTTCGTTGTCGGGATGGAACGACTCTTCTCGGCGTCCTTCTTTACTAAGGGTGCTCATGTCGTAGAACTTTTGCATCTCCTCGCCCATGTCGAAACGACAGTGGCCCTTTGACATCATGTGCTGCTGCACGGCCTCGACTGTGCGCCGGCGCTTCCCACAACCAATACACTCTCCGCGAGAGAATATGACCATATGGAGGAACGCGATGAGCGTCTGTAAATCCGTTTCTAACGATGACTGGAAAGGCACGACAAAGCTGTGCATTTGATGCATATGCGTCAGATTGCCATCAAAAGTGCTGCTAACGTCGTTGCAGAACAGACATTCCTCGGGCATAAAATTGATGTTGCCGTCTTCAAAAGATGATTCATCGCTTGATACGTCTGACTCGCCTCTCTCATCGGCGAGGTAAGTTGTCTCAGGTGGTGAACGCGACTCCCACTCATCCTTTGGACGCCTTCGCGATGGCTTGGGCATGCTATCGGGGGGTGTCACGAGGGTGCCTGGCTCTGCGACTCTGCAGCGGATTCTATAAACACTGGTCAAGTCAATAGACGAAGCTTGAGAGGGTCTTTGAGAAGGCTAGGCTACATACTGCCACTCGCTTTTTGCGTGCTGTCGTTTTACATTCAAGGTGTCAAACGACAGCTCGCAGAGGTGGCACTTGAGTGATGGTGCGCAATCTGAATCCATCATGGTGGTTGTCGTGCCGACAGAGACGTCCACTATTGGTGTTGCCGGGACTGTTCCAGGGACCATTGGTGGGAAGTTGGTGACTTGAAGGGTGTTCGGGCTGTTCAGATTACCGAATGGAGCTGGTTGGAAGAGAGAAGGCTGAATGCATCAGCGACAATCAGCCTTTATTTGTACACGAGGACTCACGAGGCATTGTGAAGTAGGCTAACATTGGCTTATACTGCGGCCAATGGCGGAAGATGGCTGATTATGATTCATAGTACGCTAGGTCCAAACGGGGATAATGCGGCGGGCTTCAGGCGGTTTCCGGGCGGCGGTGCCGTGTCTCTGGGGTACCAAAGGACGTCTCATTGGTGGCGCGCCAGTGTAATTCCAGGGGCAGCCTGGTGCCTGCTCAGGCTTCGTTTCCCTCTGGGCCCATGTCACATTCGAACTCTCAGTAACCTTCGAGTGCGGATGGTATAAAACATGTGGGCTGGATGGTATGCAAGATCAGGCATTCTCATGGCTATCTTGGCAGCGAGACTGTTTCTCCTCATGTTTTATGACTCACACTTCTATCCCGAGACTTGCATCCGCGTTCAAATCCTTTAGATTGACGTCAAAGCACATCAAGATATTATTTCAACAGCTCTGAACTGTTTAGACGCAAATGTCATTAGAGTTACTGGACATGGTCATTCCAGACTAAAATTTTCTGAATATTTTTCAGGTTCATATTTTGTTGATACGGTCCCACTTCCACGAAAGCTCCTAGACACAGGGTGAACCAGGTCTGCCTCGTGATGGGGCCGATCCGCACTCGGATTGTTCAACCACCTGTCTAATAAAGCCCTGTGCGCCTATTCTGGCATCGCCCAGCCTTGCACCCTTCACACAGCGCCGACGCATGAGGCAAATCACCTGTCCTCCCCGTATAGGACAAAACTTCCATCTCAATCCCAGACCACTTCTTGAGACGGTAGGTCACACGGTCAATGTACGATTCGACATCGAGAATAGGACGGCTCAGCTGTTTGCAGGATCGGCAACGCTGGTGGTAGACTCTGGCGTTGTATCGTTGGGTGTTGTACATGCGGATCACAATGGCAATCTTCTTGCTGGACCAGCCCTCCTGTCTGCACTGCGCATTGTGACACTCGAAACGTCCCATTACAAAGGTCTCGTACTCTTGGGAGCAGCTGCGGTCGTCATCTTGCGGGTGGAAGACGAAAGTGAGCCCATCGAGCTGTAGACGTTTTGACACATCGGCGTGCAGATCCGTGAACATGGAGTGCGTCTTCTTCGGCTTGCGCTGTGGTGCCTTGCCTTGGGGGTTGTGGGACTTTGACTTCGCCATGATAAGCAACGACAGGTGCTATTGCTACACGTGAATGGAGTGACTTCAAATAGACTTTGGCTGAATGTTCACAGAGCGAGCTGGCTGTGAAGAGGAGATGGATCTCAAGACAATATGCGCTGGGTGCTGACCTGTTGGTCGCATGATATCGGATGGCGGCATGTCCATGGGCGGTCACTCGCTCAAGACAGCTCTGCGGGGAAAACCCCCTCGACATGTGTAATCAAGCATGCATGGAAGGTCGTTGGTGACCAACAGCTTGTCTTGTGGCAGCGGCAGGTGTTGGCTAGCTAGCTGCAAGTATCGACAAATCAAACATCTAGGCGCCGCCCAGCCGCTGCTGGTGGCCAGCCTCTGAATGATTCCAATGACGTTATCTATTCTTTCGCTGTTGTTTGTTCGCCTTGTCCGCGATTTGGGGGCAGAAGTTGGGCAGCCATGCGCAATGACCGGCCTCCTGCATGAGGTCACGGCAAGCTGCCAACAGCACGTACAACGTGCGTAACACGTTGAGAAGTGCAGAAAAGAACTGAGTATCCGATGTCTCCAACAAAGGCAAGAATATGATAAATGTCATACTGCGTGTTTAATAAGACGCCGTCGATAGTAACTTCAAGTTCAGTCGACGCACCGAAGCTGGCGATAAAACGCCCTTCCGTTGGATTTTCTGTGTTCCTCAATCAAACCCACCCGTGAGATGCATGCGGGGGAAAGGCTGATGTCAGTACCTGTACATTATTCAAATACTATACATACAAACGACTAGTAATCTCGCCTCGTGTCCGAAGTCAGAGCGTATCATGAGGGCAGTGCCTGACGGGGACGTCACATACATGTTGTAAGAGAGCTCCCCACCAACTTGTGCTTAGCCGGCCACGATAAAGAAGGCATATCAGGATCATGTCCACCCGTAGTGGCTCTCTTGAATACCAGTTGGATCACGTTGTGTCGTCCAATTCTAGATATCGAGGATGCCCATGTGCGGGCTTAATCATGTTCAAATCTATTTGCACCCACTACTCCCAAGATAGACACCAAGCGATTTTTGGATGGAGGGATACGGCGCATCGACTGTGACAATCCAGGCAAAGGATCAAGCTGTAGGCTATACAAACGCTTACGGTTCGATTGGACGCGCCTTGTATCAGCGGACCACGACGGACGTCCTTCTGTTTTAAGCCAGATAAATCATAAAGACGGACCACCGTACTTCAAAGTTGATACACAGACAGCTATAGAAGCATAGCCAGCCCTGCAACCATGAGGGCCCCGAGGGAGAGGCCCGCAGACGCTGGGGCAGCATCCTCTTTATCCCTGTCATCACTGGTGACGGCTTCAGCATCGCCCTTAGCAAAATCGCTTTCCAATTTGGTCGCAGACGAATCAGAGCAAGAAGATGTCAAGTCCTTGGATGGTTTGGGACACAGGTTCTCGTACACATCCTGACTGGGACCATCACTGCCACAGGTGTCAGCATACACAGCATCATATTTGCTATCCTCATAGGTCCAGCGACAACTGGGTTCATACGGAGAACGTCTCGCCATTTGGATTGAAGACGATGTAGTTGCACGCGTCGGACCCAGCATATTGACTCAGGCAGTCCGGTGTACCGGAACTAGCCCTGCACTCGCTGAAGCGATTCCCGGGCGCCGTATACCCGCAAATCGACGTGACAGAAGACGGTGACGCAAGGGCTGCGCAGGCGCCCGGAATTGTGGTGCTGGGACTTGGGCACACGGGCTTGTCGTACACTGACAGGTACGGGTTGTCGCACCCGCTGGTGCTACCTTCGCTATCATCAAAACTTTCGCCTAAGCACCCTTGCAGGTGCCTATGCCGGTGTGCGGGTTTCCAGCGAGAAAGATGATAAAGTCGTAAGGCTGATTGTTATCTTAGTAATCCTAGCAGTAGTTCTTGCCACTAATAGCCACTAATAGCGAGAGCGCGGAATGGTTTGGGGTACTCGCATAGGGCGGCGAAGAGCGAGGCTGTCCAGCTTGGCTCATCAGACGTGGTGGTAGTGGACGCAGAGGTTGGCTCTGCGAGGAGTTCTGGAACGCGCAGGAGGGCGATAGAGAACGCCTAGAACGTGAGCGGATGGGTCTTTATTGGGGCGAGCATGGTTGTTTGCGAGCGAGGGTGGGGAATGAAGAATCTGGCGATGAAATGAAGCTTGAGATACGTGAGCATGTAGTTGAGTACTAGACTAGTATGTGGTGACAGGTTCGGTCCAAGCGCTGACATGACTCCATGAAGAGGAGACCACCCTTAGGGGAGGAAGTTACTCCGTAGCCCTTTATCAATTTAGGGCACAAGCATTCACTGAGACACATCGCGATTTGGGTTGTCTTTCGCTGGGAGCGCTGTTCGGCTTTCTGGTATCCTCGGGTTCCCAAAACAGGCCTATGTCTGAACGAGAACAGCTTCACGGCGCGAGAGAACGCCATGGCCCGATACGAGCCAATCTGCTGGACGATGTTCGGAGGGCCCGCAAGCATGTATCTCCCTATGTTGACCGGAATGTCAGTCACTGTCGATGTAGGCTGCCTGAGGACTATTGAGTTCCACTACGACAGTGACGATGTCCCCCTCGGATGCCGCAGAGTAGGGAGATGCAGGCCTTCTAATTTCGCCGAAACCATGTACTTTGACATCGACGGGTCCAGTGAAGAAGTGCTTGATTCTTTAACAACTTGCGTTCGTCCACATCCTAACAATGTAGGGTGCTACAATCAACCCGGCTTCTTAGAGTCATTCAAGGTATACCGCCTCTATCCTATACTTGCTCTATCTCATCGAAAGTAGGTCTCGACTAACAAAGGAAATAAATTTCACTTTACGTTGGTCCCAGATGACCCAGATAGTACTGATTCTGTCGAGAAGACAATAACGCTGATGCAAGGCTCCATGATAAACGGGCTCTACTGGACTCAGGTATAGATTCGGGCTGAGTGTAGGCTGTGTTTACTAAGTATCTGCATCACGAGAATAGAATCATGGCGCTTCAGGCGATTTCGGAGCCTGCTTGATGCTGGCGGAGTCAAGAAGGCTGCGAACCGTACGGAGTACAAAACTGCTATTCAAACACAGAAGATGAAATTAGGCATAGACTACTTCTGTAACTGGCAACGACTTCCACCGAATCATGTGCCGGAAATACGGTGCCCGTCTGGCCCCCCTGGAGTGCCATTTGAAATAAGCTCGACAAGCTCCTCCAGGAATGTGTGCATCCAGTATTCGTCCTCCTTAGCGCTCCGATATATTACATATGGCGAGAACTGAAACGGAATGATGTGTCCATGCCTGGAAAGAGAGTGTAGTACCGTGAGTAGTGCACCACAGTGGCAACGCCATAGATAGCCTCGTGGGATACTAGATTTTGCACACGCGCCTGCTTCAGATAGTCCAGGAGTCGTCCTGTCGCCGGCGACCAATTCAAGTATCAGTCCTCATCTTTGGTGCGATCATTCTCGATCCGGGGAACTTTTGAGGTTTGTGCGATGTTGCGTATGTACGCTAATTAGCTAATTAGCCACATTCAGAGCACATGTGGAATCCCCTTTTGGCCTGTTTGATATGCGACACCACGATTCCGACGCACACATCGGACAGCATGGTCAGCTACAGTATTCGATATCCCACCTAGGTTTGCAGAAGCCTCGATCGTGTAGTTTTGTTCGAGTCTGAAGTAGGAAGAGACGAGGTTGCACTATAGAACGTCAACTGCATTGTCGAATGAATCACTTGTTAGTTCACTGTATAGATGTATAATGACTACCCATCTCATGTGCTGGACCGCTTGATAGCTTGGCAACAAAATCACACGTCGCTATATGGCGAACTCACCCCCCAATCCTTGGTTCCGTCCTCTGATTTAGTTTTGTCCTTTTTCTTGCTCATGTCGTCGTGCCTGGAGGTGTCCGAGTTGATCTTCACAGCCAGCTGTCCATCACTCTCGTGTCAAAGATGAGCTGAGTCGCGAAGAAGTGTCAAAGCAAAGACGAGCCACGAAGGAATGTCTTTGGTGAGAATGGGTACTTATATTGCTAAGGGCTTTAGTACACCCTGTCAGCCTTCCACGTTGCTCCAGAAGAGCCGCCCTGGCTTTGGACAATAAGCGCTTGCCACGCTGGCGCTTTTGCGCCCGCGCGTTTGACCCGAGCGCCTCGAAGGGCGTTTTGCCATCAATCGTTCTGAGCCAGACAATCTTTCCTTTTGCGTAAATCGTGAAGCCACCACGAGCAGCCACCGCACCTTTGCTTCGCGTGTCGCTGAATCACCAGAGGATGATAGCAGCTGCATATTGACAATGTTTAGGTTGAGGGCTCGTCCGACCATTTTTCCGAACCATGCAAAGCGACGGTACACATGTCCTACGTAACCTTGAGAAGATGGGGACAAGGCCTGAACATGCTTCTGATTCCCACATGCAGTCATCACGAAAAATGGCTGTCTAAGACCACTGCCCTGCAGCGGCAGTGTGGAAAAACCAGACTGCTGCGAGGAAACACTGGGGATCCTGAGCAATTGTCTGTGAGAGAATGACACTATGTACTGCTTCGCCACAAGACAGAGAATCTCATCAGGGAGTTGCTCGAAAACTCGACGCCAAGGACCGAGTGATTCGAGACAGAGTCATCATGGGTCCGCTTTTGTGTCGATGGACTAGGCCTCTCGAATCTTGTCTCTTTCCTCTGCCCGATTAGCGTATCCCACGTCAATTTTCGACTGTCGTCTCGAGGACCCGGCAGAAAAACCCCCATGCCCGACATGGGTCCGTTAGTGTATGGACTGGGGCATGGAGCCAGTACCGGCAGAGTGAGAGGACCCATCACCGTCAGGTCGGGACTGCAGCCCTAGCAAGATTCCTCGCGCAAGCCAATGGGGTAGCTACCGATGTCTGAGGCGGTCTTCATCTGACGATCACTATCAGACACGGTGGAGAAAATAGCTGGAAAACTCTTTGGAATATCATTTTGCAGAAGCAATGAATGGGATCGTGTACACGTGGGGCTTGTACTAGTCTAGTAGCGTGGTCGGGCGGGCACTCGGGCTGCTCCCGAATGAGATGAGGGAAGAGGAAACTGCACCGCTGAAACTTCAGTTGATTGGTCTGGTGGTGGTTAGAGATCAAGTGTGAGTATTCAGATGGCGAGGCGACAGACGTCGACATTTTAGCGGCATCCGTGCGCCCTCGAGTCACCCTGAGTGAGACATATCGACGTAAATGCGTAACTGGTGTCTGGTCTGGTGTCGGTGGGCAACCGTGGGGGCTACGCAGTACAGCCACTTGTGTGATAGTCGTGATGACCCTCGTCATTGGCTGGCATGAACAAGGTCTCTCCATGTCTGAACCATGTGGTTCCTATTGTGTCGCACGGGTCTCGACCTTGCGCTGTCCCCTTCTCCTCCCATGGTTGGCTTGCCCGCCCAATGTGGTAGCATTGTTGTCTGATGCGACCAACACCACCCAAGACTCAAGTCCCGGGTGCTTGGGTCTCGCTACCGAGATATCGGGAAATGCGACCCTGGGCATGCAGGCTTATTATTGAGGACTTTTATTGACAACAACCACGAGCAATTAGTCTGAAAACGTGCTCTTGCTTCCAGAATGATGTGCTCTCAAAACTTCTCATCGTCGTTGCTTTTTGATGTCTGAGCCTTAACGAACATCTAGGGTCTACACTAGATTCACCGCCAAGGGACCAGTGGTGATCTACCGCGTACTAGTGCAAGATCGAAGTGTTGTATTCCCTCGTTGGTGGTGAACACAGGCCATCTGCTGGTCCGAGTGCGTTATCAGCATCATCTCGCGATGGTGGGTGCGCAATGACCACCGGGGACTGAGCTGTCTATCCGTCTGGCGGACTAGTTTGCTGGACCGTGCGGTGTCATTGTCCAGCACGCAACATGGACCTCAATGGACCACAATTCTGGAGATGCAACCCATGCCGGATTCAGGTTAGAATAGAAAGAGAGGCGACGGAAAACACTATAAGTTGAGCACTGCGACCGGCGTTGTTGTTCCTCTTTGTTGCTCTGGGCTTCCTCTGCACAGACACACCACATTCTTTCACCATAGAACCCCCCTTAGACACATAATTCGCAAGAATGAACGGCCACACCAACGGGTTCAGTCCCGAGCTGGAGGAGGTCGCCATCGTTGGCATGGCCTGCCGCACAGCGGGTGGCAATGATACCCCCGAGAACCTTTGGCAGTTTCTCCTCGACAAGAAGGACGGCTCCGGCGAGGTCCCCTCACACCGATGGGAGCCCTGGTACCGACGAGACACACGCAACGCCAAGGAAATCGACAAGACGCTCAACAAGGGCTACTTTATCCGTAACCTAGAGAATTTTGACGCATCCTTCTTTGGCATCTCGCCCAAGGAGGCCGAGCAGATGGACCCGCACCAACGCCTCGCCCTCGAACTATCCTGGGAGGCCCTCGAGCACGCGGGCATCAACCCCAAAGACCTCGCCAAATCGGACACGGCCGTATACATGGGCATCGACTCGGACGATTACTCCCGTCTCCTGATGGAGGACATACCAAATATTGAGCCATGGATGGGCATCGGCACGGCAGCGCATGGTGTTGCCAACCGTGTGTCGTACCACTTGGACCTCATGGGACCCAGTGCCGCCGTGGACGCTGCTTGTGCCTCTTCACTCGTCGCCATTGACAGCGGCCGACTGGCGATCCAGCTACGAGAGTCTGAAGTTGCTCTCGTGGGCGGTGTCAATGTCTTGCTTGCCCCAGCCCTGACACGTATGCTGGATAAGGCTGGAGCATTGTCACAAGAAGGCATTTGCCGCTCGTTTGATGAAGCCGCCAACGGCTATGCTCGAGGCGAAGGAGGCGCTGTGCTTGTCCTCAAGAATCTTCAGAGTGCACAGAGAGACGGTGATCGCATCTTGGCTGTTCTGAAGGGGAGTGCTGTGGCGCAGGATGGTAAGACCAATGGCATCATGGCTCCCAACACAGATGCGCAGGAGCTCGTTGGTCGCAGAGCTCTCCAGCGGGCTGGAGTCGACCCCTTGACGGTCGGCTATGTCGAGGCCCATGCGACGGCGACACCGCTAGGCGATCCCACCGAGATCTCTGCCATTGCAAAACTATACGGGCATGGTGCCAAACGGCCGAGAGAAGCACCATGCCAGGTCGGTTCCATCAAGCCCAATATTGGTCATCTCGAGGCAGCTGCTGGCGCCATTGGCATGATCAAGGCTGTCATGGCCGTGTACAAGGGTCAACTGGCGCCTCAGACGTACCTTAACAAGCTGAACTCGCGCGTTGACTGGGCCGAGTCCGGACTGGAAGTTGTCCGCGACACGAAGCCGTGGAAGCAACAAAGTCTGCGAAGGGCTGCCGTCTGCTCGTACGGGTATGGTGGTACCGTGTCCCATGCAATCGTTGAGGAGTGGGGAAGTATGCCCGTCGATTCCCAACTACTACCAGCTGAGAGCGACTTGGTCCCTTTGATCATCACAGCTCCGCTGGAGAAGCGCTTGTCACAGCAAGTCAGAGAGTTAGCAGACTGGCTTGTCACACCAAATGGTCAGGCATCCAGCCTACGCCTGGTGGCCAACACGCTGGGCCAGCGAAGGGCGATGCACGATCACCGCGTTGTCGTGCTCGTCCGTGACCATGACAATGCGACTGAACTTCTTGGACGCATTGCGAGCAACACCCTGAAGAAAGAGGACCTTGTTCTTTCAGGGCGCGCTCTACCAGCCTCTACGGCCCAGGCAACATCCCCTGTCTGGGTGTTTTCCGGTCATGGCGCTCAATGGCTAGAAATGGGTCGCAAACTGGACAGCAATGACTTTCAAGATGCAATTTCAGAGATCGACCCTGTTATCCAAGGGGAACTAGGATTCTCCATCCGCGAGGCACTCGCCACAGGTGACTTTGAGAGCTCGGAACGTGCCCAAGTTGCAACGTACGCGGTGCAATACGGCTTGAGCCGCATGTTGATGGCCAAAGGTCTTTGTCCCGGCGCAGTCGTTGGGCATTCGATTGGCGAGATTGCCGCCTCTGTGGCCGCTGGATGCATCACGCCCAAAGAAGGTGCTCTGATCATCTCACGACGTGCCAAGCTACTGGCGTGGGTGCGAAAGAACGAGGGCGAGGGTGCCATGGCCCTCATCCAGGCCCCTTTTTCGCAAGTCAAGGCCGAACTCGGGAACCGCACGAACATTGTCGCGGCCATCGACTCGTCCCCGTCGAGTTGTGTCGTGAGCGGACAGGCCAAAGCGGTGGAGCAGTTGATGCAAAAGTTCCTCGATCAGGACGTTGAGACCTTTCGTGTCAAGACCGACATTGCCTTTCACAGTCCCATGCTCGATCAACTCCAGGATCCACTTCGCGATGCGTTGGACGGCGCACTCAACCCTCAGGAGCCAACTATTCCGCTGTACTCGACGTCTCTTGACAATGCTCGTGGGCGCCAACCGCGTGGCGTTGACTACTGGGTCAACAACATGGTCAAGCCGGTGCAGCTACGTTCTGCAATCCAGTCTGCTGCAGATGATGGACACCGCATGTTCCTGGAGGTATCTTCGCATCCCGTTGTCCTTCATTCTGTGCGCGAAACTCTTCTCGAAGTAGGTCTGAAGGAGAAAGACTTTGTCACGGCTTGCACGATGAGACGCAACACCCTGCCGGAAAAGACCATCACAATCGCCATATCCAAGCTCCTCGTCCACGGGGCCGACGTGGACTTTGGGTCATTCATTGGTGACAAGAGTCACTGGTGTACTGGCGTCCCTAAATCACCGTGGTTTCACAAGCCGTACTATAGGCAAGTTGAGACCGGCGCCATTGAACAGGCGTCTATGCACGACGCGGAAACACACCACCTACTTGGCCGACGCACGGCTGTCGGGGGCACAGACATCTCCCTGTTCGGTACGAAGCTTTCTATCGAGACCAAACCCTTCCCAGGAACGCATCCGCTGGATGGCACGGAGATCATACCGGCGGGTGTCTACATCAACACCTTTCACCACGCAACGGGTGGCCGAGAGCTGTCAGACATTCAGCTCCGTGTGCCCGTGTCCATGACCAACGATGTTCGCACGATCCAGGTTGCTGTACAAGGAGACAAGGTGTCCATCGCCTCAACGAATGAGGACACAGGGTCGAAACCGTCCCGCGACCAGTTCTGGATTCATCACGCTGCTTGTACATGGGGTCGCATCCAAGACAACAACACCCAGACGGCCGCGTTGCCCATTGACATTGCCGCCATTCGCGAGCGCATTGGCATCAAGCTCCCCAACTCTTTTGCCGTCGACTTTTTGAGCAAGATTGGCGTCGCTGGCATCGCCTTCCCGTGGCAGGTGGTCGAGCACTACGGGAAGGAGACCGAGATGATTGTGCACGTGGATATGCTCCCTGGACAGGACACTCTGCCTTGGGATTCATTCTCGTGGGCGCCTCTGCTTGATGCTGCCACGTCCGTTGGATCGTCCATCTTCTTCAACAAGCCATCATTGCGCATCATCTCCTCCATTGAAAAGGTCCTGCTGCACTCGCGGGATCCTCTTCCCAAGATGGCCTATCTCCACGTGGAAGAAGCGTCCAACAACAAGGCACTGGCCGCCAACGTCCACATCTTGAGTGAGAGTGGTCATCTGATCGCTCAGATCCAGTCCATGAAGTTCTCCGAGGTCGAGGGCGGCGCTGGCCTGAGTGGCAGCGTGGACAGCCTTGTCCACCAGATTGACTGGGTGCCTGCCCGATTCTCCGAGACACCGAGGCGGCTTGGCCATGTCTTACTCGTCTCGCGGAGCTTGCAGCAAGTCAAGGCCGTGCGGTCCTATATGCAGCCGATGGCGAGGTCCGTGATGCACGCGACGTCCGTCAAGCAACTCGCCGCCACCCCTGAGATGCTCAATGTCTTGTCGCAAAAAGGCAGTACGGTCGTGTATTTACCTGGATCCGTGGACAGTGTGGAGCAAGTCGCTGCCGCTGCCGATGAGTTTGTCTGGGAGGCTGCCAGCCTGCTCCAGTGTCTGGCGACGCACTCCCTCTCCGAGGTCTGCAAGATGTTCATCCTGACCAACGGTGTCTTTGAGGGCTTGTCGCCCACCGGACTGGCTCAAGGTGCCCTGATTGGTCTCGGACGCATCATTGCTGCTGAGCACCCTGACACGTGGGGAGGACTGATTGACCATGACATTCCTGACGCTTCCTCCTTGCTGGCCTTCATGTACGTCCGCGGACATGACATTATCCGAAATATTGATGGGCTGCCCCGACGAGCCGTCATGAGGCCACTCTCCCGCAAGAAGCTACATGCTTCAGACGCGGCGGTGACTTTGCTCCCCAAGCCAGACGGTACATACGTGATCACTGGTGGTCTTGGGTCACTGGGACTCGATACAGCCGACTTCTTGGTGAAGAAGGGCGCCCGTCGAATCCTGCTTGTTTCACGTCGTCAGTTCCCTGTACGGTCCAGCTGGGCCAAGCGCGTCGCCGACAATGATAATTTCGCTGGCGCCATCCGTCGCATCCAGTCCATGGAGAGAGCTGGTGCCGCTGTGTGCACAGCCGGCATTGACATGTCCCTGCCCGATGCATCCGAGGCTCTGTTGCACGCGCTAGACAACATGCAGCTGCCGCGTGTCCTTGGCGTGGTGCACTGCGCAGGTGTCCTGGAAGACAGTCTTGTGCTCGAGACAAGTCGGGATTCGTTCCGTCGCGTGATGGCACCCAAGGTGAATGGTGCCTTGGCTCTTCACGAGGCCTTCCCTCCTGGTTCTGTCGACTTTTTCGTCTTGTACTCGAGCATCGGCCAGCTTGTCGGTACAGCTGGCCAGGCGTCGTATGGTGCAAGCAATGCTTTCCTAGATGCCATGGCATACCACAGGCGAGCGCAGGGTGACAATACAGTGGCCATGCAGTTCACAGCCTGGCGTGGCAGTGGCATGGGGGCTTCTACAGAGTTTCTGACCGTCGAGCTTGAAAGCAAGGGGATCACAGACATTTCGAGTGAGGAGGCCTTTCGCGCTTGGGAGCATCTGGGCCGGTTTGACATTGGCTCGGCCGTCGTCACGCGTTGTCTGGCGATTGATGAGGGCAGCCCTGTCGCCGTGCCTATTTTGGAAGACATTGTCGTGCGACGCCCCAGGGCGCAAGTCAATGGACAAGTGCAGGAGGAAAAGGACAGCCTTGGCGGTGTGAGCGCGAGTATCAATGCCCGACCGACGGACCCAGAGGGTTTGCGGCAGTGGCTCGAGGTCAGCGTTCGGCAGTGTATCGCCGCGGTGCTGATGATGCCTGACATTACGGAGATTGATGGTGGAACAATGGTGAATGACCTGGGCATTGACAGTGTCATGACTGTTGCGCTGCGAAGGCAGTTTCAGGAGTTCTTCCAGATCAAGGTGCCGCCCACGTTGACGTGGAAGCATCCGACGGTGGACAGCATGGTGCCGTGGTTCGCTGCCAAGTTGCAGGAGGAGTAGGGAAGAACAGATATATAATTTGGCGAGGCATGTCTGAGAGTACTAGGCTTAATTATCACTCGCCATTCCGCATTGAAGGCTCTGTCACGATATTTTTCACTGGTGCAAATCTTAGCTCCTCTCCCAAGAGGATGTCAGGTTTCTGCAGGCCGTGAAAAGCTTTGAATGGCTGATACGTGTCATTCTCTTTGCTTCTATCTTGGGCACCCCGAGTTCATTGGCAATCGGTCTAAGAACAGATGACTGAAGCTCTTCTCTATGCGACATTGCATATTCTGTACATCAAAGGCGCAACACTACCCTCGTAGCCTGCAGAGGGGAAACAGACATGAAGACAGACCTGTTCGCGGGAGAGGGAGGCCTCGCACAAAACATGAGCCTCGGGACATCAAGGACCCCGACTCTGAACAGGCACTTCATGCTCGCGCTGATCTGGCGCTGCTTTGTCGCGTGAGGTTTCGATGTCTTCTGAGGTGCTCGTAGCCCCTGTCGTAGCAGCCGCGCTCTTGGCACCGTTGAAAATGAATCCTGGGTGGCCAATGCACAGACAGAATACAGAGACCAGTATCAATCTAAAACATGATTAGTACTGCATCGATTCGAGACAGTACAGCAACTCACACTCCCTCAAGACCGATGAAAAGCGCTTCGTCGGTAATCAAGTCCGAGTCGGTGTATCCCTGACTCAGCTCGTAGCAGCGGAAGATGCATCGGCCCTCAATGAGAACAATGGCCGCGCCCAGAAATACAAAGAACAGCTTTTCTTTCTTTTCCAGGGCGCGCGAGTGCTTGGAGTGGAAGAAGCGGATCATGTAATCGGCAAAGAGCGAGCAGAAGCAGAAGATCACCACCACCTGGAGGATCAGACCCGCCATGGCAATGTCGATCCCCGTCTGGCTGGAGCCTGAGCTGATTGTGGAGAGGGCACCCCCGGCTGCTTGAAGGACGAGACAGAGTATGTCGGCGGGGATGAAGATCCAGTAGACCAACTTTGGTCGAAGGCGCGAGAATTCGCGGCCAAAGTAGTTGATGCTAACAACGGTGTTAGTGTGGATCGCTTGAAATGATCGGAACCCACATACACTTGTGACAATGTGACATAGATGGCCGCTGTATAGAACACGGGGGCACCCGTCACGCAAACGACCTGCATTAAGAATGCATCGAACCGGAAAGGGTTGGCGTGCATCATGATTCTGCCCACGTAGCCGACCATGCCGTAGACCGAGCCGAGCACCATGGACACGGCGAACCAGATGCATTTCCACCGGAAGCCCAGGTAGATATGGGTGAGTGCTGCGATGCCCAGCAGTACGAGAAACGAGATGTTGGCTGGCAGCGAGGGCCTGTACTTGTATACGCTCCATTCGAGGGGGCACAGTTCGAGTGTGCAGTTCGAATCAGGTCCAAAAACGATGATGTACTGCAGCTCGGGGGGATATTGGCCCTGGCCATCCGCCATGTTGTCGACTGGTATGTGCCTAAATCAGGGGGCAAGTCTAAGTGATAAATCCTCTGCTGGTAGAGTTGAGACGCTGGCTAGATGAATGGTACAGTATGGAGGATTCACGGCTGGGATTGAGGTTTGAAGCCCTTATTTATCGTCCCATGGAATTATACCGGAAGATAAAATCTAGGCGTCATACGGTAAGCAGATAATAACCGACAGCGAAAGCGAATACAGTCACCTTGGCTACGGTTGTAAAAGAACCAGAGCTCGCATTCGCCTGCGTTACTCAGAGCGGACGGCTTCGCTCTGGAAGGTGAGCGCTAGCAGGCTGCTCGTCCAATGATGGACGTCTATTCTTGAGGGTTTGGACCTTTGGGGATTAGCGCTGCCTTGCCGCTTTTGGATCCGCTTTTCGGTGCAATACCGTTGGCTAGACTTTTAAGCCCTGCATCTTCTGCTTAGAACAGTTCGCATATCGGCGATCGGTGTCCGGTATTTTGTTGCGCCGCATGGAATCGATATGCCAGCCAGCGAGAGACTCTTGGGATTTGCTGTAGTAAGAAGCGTGAGGTTCCTTACTCATACTCGATAGTGAATTTCTCACAGATGGGGTCTTTAATAAATATAGATAACTTCTGTTCTTGCACTATTCCGTCCAATAGTAGCTAGGGCTCTAGGGTAGTCCTAGTACCGTGGCACTTGGACGAAACCAATGACATGGATACTATTGTGCACACGCGATTGAACTCCGTCAGTAATACATGTTTACAGGCTCGAGAATATTGTCGTCAGGATTACTGGTTCTCTGCTCCAGAATCAGTGATTGTGCTACGAAACATTGTTGTCCCTAGTCACGTTTGCGGTTCCGCACATGGAGCTGTGATGTTTTTGAAAAAATAAGTCAGATAAAAGGGTCTTTTATTCGAAATTGGAGAACAGCCTCCAGCACGGGCCACTCGACTGCTGACCCATGTTGTTGAGGTTCATGTCCGTGATCAATCTCTGCAAGGCCACACACGCAAGTGTTGAATGACGGCCAATGCACGTGCATCAAAGGCGCGAATGGCGCAGACATGAGTCGCACCGAGATGTCGCCACTTGTCAGCCATGCCAATCTCTTTTTGTCAGAATCAATGCAATGGAGACCGTCAGATTCGAGGCGCGCTGAAACGGCAGTAGGATTCAGATTCACGACAGAGAGAAGACATGCCTCGCCAGTCACTGCAACTTCCCCTTTCGGAAATTCACGTTTGTTTAAAAACCGCAACATCTCGCCTTGCGTCTGTTCAGATTCTTCATCATGGCGGCTGATAGCATCCACGAGGTGTGGCTGGACGTTTATGGCGAACCGTTGTTCACCACGAGAAGCGGGAGGGCATTATAGGTTCGAGGCAATATGGACGAGCCCTGGCCTCCATGTTTCCATATAACATGCAGTCAAGCATAGCAGAAGGACTATGAAGAACCATTGGTAGGCTTGATTGCTCTCGGCGGCATTGAGAATCCTCCCATTTCGGGTATCAGCTTTAAGTCAAGCAGAGCCATATCAGCTTTAAGTCAAGCAGAGCCACATCAGCTTTAAGTCAAGCAGAGTCACATCAGAGAGATATTTCCATGTCATAAGCACGGCTCAGAGGACTGATCACGCAGTCTTTGACGCCTTTTGCTGCCTTGTCCGATGCGAGCTGGCTGGGGCTGTCGTGACCTTGTGATTGGAAAAGGCCATGCAGCCTGTCTATGGAAGACGGCCATTTAAACAGGAAGTGCTTACGGTCCCCGGTGATGGATAAATGCGATGCTAAATTGGGATTTTATGCGGCCATATGTTGTTTGTACATGTATATGATGCGTGGTGCAAGATCAACGCTTTGTAGCTTGGCGCCAATTGATCTTCACAGGCAGCCGTGAAGTATTTGCTGTGGGGTAAATTTTGCCTAATTACACTTTGACGGATACGTATTCAGGGTTGTTTTGCTGAAAACGGGATACTGCGCGTTTCAGCCTCACTATCCATGGATATGTCATGGGCGGGAGAGTTGGGGCCTTGTATGAAACGAGAACCTGACCCGTAGTGAGTTATCTTGCGCACAATTTAACGTCTGTGGCCCCTTGAATCTCTCATAATTTCACTAGATTGTTAGATGAATTGTAAGTTTATTAGATATAGAAGTGCCCAAACATGTTTCATGAGCTCTTCTCCTATACAAGTGAGCAAGCGGACAGTGAGATTGCGGATTGCGCCTACAGTGGTGCAAATGAGCGAGCTAACAGAACAACTGCCGATAACACTCCCCCACACGTGATTGACTGCAAGATCTTGACGTTCTTCTGCATTCACGCTCTACTAGAGACAGACCGGCTAGTATGATAGGCTTTGACAATGCCTACATACCGGATACGTACCGCAAAATCTCCGATGGGCGCTCCCACCCGTGCTCGTGGATACGTACCCTCGGAAGAGACAGACATGACTGCAGCGAACACTTTAATCAACTGCGGGGTCGACATGGCCATCTGAATCCAAGCGGGAGTCGATGGCGAGTGTCGGTATCAGCCGGTGTCTGGCGATGTGGCCCAAAGGGGCAATCCACGTCTCAGCCTCCGAAGATTTCTTCTTTCGACCAGGAACTGACGGCTGCCAAGCCCGCCCAACCCGGCACTCTGCCATTACCCCAGATGAATTTTCCAATGGCGAACGCTCTCGACCGGGTAAGATTGCATTTGCCGGGCATTGAAGCCCCGCCCCTCCAGCTGTCGGATTTGCTGCGCCAGCACTCCAATCCCAAGCCTGACCCGGGGGCATCAACGTCCATTCTCAGCTGGCAAACGGTCCAAGGACCATTCTGGTTCATGCGGCCGTTTGTATGCACTGGAAAAACCGGTTAAATTCAGATGCCATGTGCGCATTCAACCGTCCTTGCCCTTGAACTTCTTTCTATCTTGTGGTAGCTCCACGACAAGCGTATATATTGTGCGGGACGTTCGTCGAGGAACGGTCGATCTTCCCTACTCCCTTGTCCCTATCCACATCCAGGTCACCCATCTTAGTTACACTCGGACTCTTCAATCATGCACTTTTCTACTTTGGTGCTGGCCCTCGCCCCGGCCGTCGCGCTCGCCCAGGGCAACCTCTGGGACCAGTGTATGTGACACCCTTGCCGCTCGAAATGGATCGCTTGCTGATGAGTATTGCTGCACAGGTGGCGGAAACGGCTGGAATGGCCCCACGACTTGCGTCTCAGGCGCAACCTGCCAGTACATCAAGTAAGCACTCCCCTCCCCCCCGCAGAAGATAGACCAATAGACCACTGTACTCACATGGCCTCAGCGACTGGTACTCCCAGTGCCTTCCTGGATCTGGCGGTGGTGATCCTGATCCTGATCCTCCCGAGCCCGAGCCAACGAATGGAGGCGGTGGTGGTGCCGGCCTGCACGACAAGTTCAAGGCCAAGGGCAAGCTCTTCTTCGGCGCCGAGATGGACCACTACCACCTCAACAACAACCCGTTGACGACGATTGTCAAGCAAGAGTTTGGGCAAGTGACCCACGAGAACAGCATGAAGTGGGATGCCATTGAGCGTAAGTTCCGTCCCTTTCTTCCTATCTTCCCAGCGGCGAGACGGCAGAAGACACGCCTTCAGAGCAGACACTGACACCCCTCCACAGCCAGCCGCAACCAGTTCACATTCTCCAACGCCGACGCCGTCGTCGACTTTGCCCAGGCCAACGGCAAGCTCGTCCGCGGCCACACCCTGGTCTGGCACTCGCAGCTGCCGCAGTGGGTGAAGAACATTGGCGACCGCAATACCCTGACCCAGGTCATTGAGAACCACGTCACCACCATGGTCAACCGCTACAAGGGCAAGATCGTCCACTGGGACGTGGTCAATGAGATCTTTGCCGAGGACGGCAACCTCCGTGACAGTGTTTTCAGCCGCGTTCTCGGTGAGGACTTTGTCGGCATCGCCTTCCGCGCCGCCCGCGCCGCCGACCCCGACGCCAAGCTCTACATCAACGACTACAACCTCGACATTGCCAACTACGCCAAAGTCACCCGCGGCATGGTCGATCACGTCAACAAGTGGCTGGCCCAGGGCATCCCCATTGACGGCATCGGCTCCCAGGCCCATCTGGCCGGCCCGGGTGGCTGGAACCCGGCCTCGGGCGTGCCCGCTGCCCTTCGCACCTTGGCCGCCTCCAACGTCAACGAGGTGGCCATCACCGAGCTCGACATTTCCGGCGCCGCCCCCAACGACTACCTCACCGTCATGAACAGCTGCCTCGAGGTGTCCAAGTGCGTCGGCATCACCGTCTGGGGCGTCTCGGACAAGGACAGCTGGCGCTCGGACACCAACCCCCTCCTCTACGACCGCAACTACCAGCCCAAGGCGGCGTACAACGCCCTGATCAACGCTTTGTAAGGAGTCATGGGACAGGTCATAGCTACATGTATCTAGGCATTCAAATCTCGCAGCGGTACGCGGTACTGCGTCATGCCACCATTATGTGCACCAGTGAAGCTGATCCAGGATCCAGACTGTAGCGATGAGTGAAACGGGAAGAGTACATGTAGGCTGTGAAATCTGTATACGAACCCTCCTGCCCTTGGAGCGATGGCTTGTACTGCGCCCCCAGGAAACCAAGAGTCACAGGCGTAATGTAGAGCTGATCATTCTCCAGACCGCGGGTAGCTGTGGTCGTGGCCCTCGATCTTGACATATCGAAGCAGACCTGGGATCCCAGCACAGGTCCAGATCCGACCCGTCACACCATTGCCAAGATCCGTGATCGTGGACGTGGTACGTTGATCTCCCCCAGCCCAGCGACTAAGCCACTCGGGCATGGCAGGGAGGGGACCTCCACGGCCGTCACCTGGCGCCGACCAAGCCACCACCGTGGGCGTTGCCGGCGGGGAACACAGTGATCATGTCCGGGTTGATGCTCTCGTCGGCAAAATTGGTCTTGGCCTCGAAGCCGGCCGGGTGCTTCGCCAGAGACATGGTACGTGATCAGCAAGGGGCGCGGTGCGTTGATGTCGCAGTTGGAGACTGTCGAAAAAAAAGAGACTCGGGTTGGATGATGGGCCCTGGGCTTCTCTCATACCCTTCGCCTCCATGACGAGCAGCGGCCCGACGCCCGTATCAATAGCAGCACGAGCTGGGCATGGTTCGAGCAAAGGATGCTCATCACGGCGGACCCATGTATATCTTGCCGCTGCAAGGGCTTTACTGGTGGCAACCTGAATATGGATGTGGACGGAGCCAAGAGCCTGTGTCTGTGAGGAGCCCTCAGCGCTAGTCTTCAGGCCCATATTGACGAGGCGAGGTCATCGGTGAAGGTGCCCATGCTGTTGCCGGCCCGGGGTTCACTCGAGCGACCATGGCCACGATGAGCATGCGCGATGACAAGGTAGCCTCGCTCCGCGAGGTATTCCATCTGCGTCTCCCAACTGGTACTGCTGAGTGGCCAGCTGTGCCAGAAGGTGACCACGTTGCCCATGGGGTTGGCCCAGTTCTTGCAACAGCGCGCTGTTCCATCCTGGAGTGTGGGCAATGGCCTCGTTGACAAGAGGGAGAATGTACATTGGCATTTTGGACGAGTTTGGTGTGGGCACAATTCACACTGGCTTTGAGCATTCCCTTCACTTTCTCCTATCCGTGCATAGGAGGCGTCTTGACTTTGAGAGTATCCTGCGTTGTGTCACTTACATGCAACATACCAGGCAGCAGTTCTCGCGAAACCTCGCAAGCGTCTCGAATGATCAACTCAATCCCCGAGAGGAAAACACCCGTGGCAAAGATTGCCTTTGCGCTACTACTAGCACGGAACAACCGGAAGAACTGGTGTCAACTTTTCAACGCAGATAACCTAGTCAACTGGCCATCGAAAGAAAAGAGACAGCTCGGTAAGGAAACAAATACATAAAAGGCACAATGAGCCGAAATGTCTGGTCGAGTGCTCCGAGTCGAGTCAATTAGACTGATGACATACATTGGGCGACGGGGATCAACGACAAGATGCTCTTTGACTTTGCGGCTCAGACTGGTGCCTTGTACTGATCGCGAAAAATCTAGGTTCTTTGCACAGAGCGTACCTTTATTCATGGAAGATTCAATAAATGTCCCGTCAACGGAGCTAGGTCAATGGCTTGGTGTAGCCCTGACACGACACGGCGGTCTCCAGCATTCTTCGAGGCGAGGTCGCCAGTCTCATCATTGGCATTTGCAATCTGTCCTTATCATAGATATTGTCGCGCCCATCGCGGTACAAAACAAATGAAGGACATGCAGTTGTATACTGAGTACATGCGAGGCGGCCTGTTTGCGTTCTGCTCCCACCGTCCCGTTGACCGCATCTCTTGCCACACAAGCTAGATTGCCTCGTTCTGTGTCGCGACCGCCTGCCTGCGTCAGCTCGTGTTCCTCAGTGCCCCTCTCGCTCGGCAGAGCGGCTCACCTTCTCCTCTGCAGTCGCCCGCTGAGCGGCATCACGATCGCCGTTTTGAATCGCCGTGAGCGTCGCGGCCGTTCCGTACGTCTTATACTTGTTGAACTGCCACGCCTTGAGGTTGGCCCGGAAGAGCTCGTCGACTTCCTCGAGTGACCGATTCTGCAAGCAAATGTTAGTGTATTCCACAACTTGAAGCGTTGACCCAGGAAGAGCCGAGGACTCGGTTGTCCCCTCGCCGTTGAGCGAGCACCAAGAACGCACCTTGAGTTCAGGGAAGAAGAACCAGCCCCACACGACAGTGAAGGCGCACACCGCGCCGAAGATCCAGCCAATGTTGACGCCCAGAATCGGCAACAAGTAAGGCGTGACAAACGTGACCAGGAACGCTGCGGCTACATCGACACAAAGACCAAATGCCTGCGAGATGTTAGCGCGACGATAAAGGAGGGGGCCTGTGAGGACCAAAGAAGTAGGGGAAAAAAGGGGCCAGATCGCTTACCATAATCTTCTTTCGCAATCGCACACCACCAATCTCCGCTCCCGTCAGGAAAGCCGTGTTCGTGGCGGCAATCCGGGTGAAGGCGGGAAAAATCATAAAGCAGGAGATCATTGTGTGCGTGATCTTCTGGCCGGGGTTGGATGTGGAACCGCCAATGCCCGACGCGAGAAACAGGAGGAACGTGCACACGACGCTGCCGTAGATGAGGAGGGGCCGACGGCCTGTGATGTCAAAGAGGATGACGCCGACCAAGCAGCCCAAGATGCCCATGGACTGCCCGATCATATTGTACGTGAATGACATGGCGCCGAGCCCCTGCTGAACGTAAAAGGTCGCTGCGTAGGACTGCACAAACTGATTGCCGTTGCTCTGGTGGATGGCGAAGAGCGTGCCGGCTATCCACGTGCGGCGCAGGTAATTCCCTCGGAAGATATCGAGCCAGCCCCCCTCCTCGGTGGCCAGGGATTCCTGTACCAGCTCATTCATCGCGTTCAGCTCCGCGGTCGTGGACCCATCCTCCACCTCGTATTTGTGGCGGATCTTGTCGAGCGACCGTTTCGCATCGTCGAACCTACCCTTGGCCAGCAGCCAGCGCGGCGACTCTGGCGTGAAGGGGATGAATATGAGAATAAGGACGGCGGGAATGAACTGCATGCCGGTCGGGATCATCCAGCCCTTACTGCTGGTCTCCGTCGCATAGGCGCGGGACATGCCGGCACCCCAGAGGTTGCCTAGTGCGGTGACGAACATGATCGATCCGGAGAGCAGACCGCGGGTCGCGGCCGGTGATGTCTCTGCGTTGTACGAGGGGACTGCGTTCTCCACGAGGCCGACGGCAAAGTACGCCACGTCTCGTCCAATGGTGAACTGCATCCAGTGATTGGCACTTATTTCCACTGCGATAGCCAAGTCAGCGCTCTGGAGACACGAGCAACACACGAGCAGCAGGCTACCTACAGATCACACCCACAATCTGGACACCGGCCGCGACGTGCATTGTGTTCTTGAAGCCCAGGCGATCAATCAAAATGTCGGAGGAAAAGCAGCCGAGGATTTTGCCGATCCAGGGCAGCGAGTTCATCAGGGAGCGTCGCAGCTGCGGCATCTCATACACCCCATTTTGGTCTGGCACTCCAAAGTCGTTGAGGAAAGAAGGGAGCGCTTGCAATCCGCCAAAGGAGCCAGTATCACTTGGAGAAAGTATCAGCAAGCCATGGCCCGCGCCCATTGAGAAGGCATATACTCACATGCCGAAAATGATGGCTCCGAGAAGGAAAACGCAGCAGTTGAAAGCCAGGTATGGCGTGATCTGGGACCAGGCCTTGGGCAGCATCTTGGACAGTGGCGACATTATGGGCCGCTTGCGTTTCGGAGTGAGGCAGGATGGGTGGTTGATTCCTCGAGGAAAAGGAAGGAAGGCTTGTGCATGATATATAATCTGGGACTGCTCAGAGGTTCATGGCCATGCATGTGTGCACCACGTGGAAGTTTCCGAGATGGACCACCAACGGCATCTGCGAGGACAAGATTCTGACTTTTGCCCCGTGGGGGAATGATTATGGGGAACATGGCGGGGCCGACCCGGAGGTGGACGCCAGCGACCCGATTCTTTGCTCGCCGAGCCGAGACGACCGAACCGAGATTCGGAGCATGTTGTCGGTCGGGCCAAGGCTGGGGGACATCCTGAATCAGCCCATGTGCTCTCGTCCCCAGCTGTTGTAAGCGGAGTGTAAACCCTCGCCAGACGGCATGATATCCAATAGGGCAGACCCATCAGTGCTTAGTTCCAGGCCATTGAACCCACCCTGGAACAGAGACATCTGGTCCCAAATTTCGGACCCAGATCCAGCCCATGGAGAGTTGCCCTGGGCATCGGTTGCGTACGGGGCGTGTGTCATGGACGCATTGATCCCAGCTGTCTGAGTTGCCATGTGGCTGGCAGCCGCCTGACCCTCGGGGCCCGAGCCGGACGAGCACTGGGCGTTGTCGAGGTGGTTTCGGTCTGCTGTCTGCCCATCTGCTTCGCTCGAGGGGTCGGCCATTTCGAGATTGTAACTGTCATCTTGGAAGTTTGTTCGGTAGAGTGCGCTGTGCTTGGTGGCGTGTGGCCGCATGGCTGTGCAGCTCATAGGCACAAGTTCAGGCGATGTGCTTTGACCTAAAGAAAAGGCCTCGACAGCCGAGGTCAACTCGGCAACCTGACGGAACAGTCAGTACGACTTTTCCCTCCAGCGACAAAGGGAGCATATACCATCTCAGAGATCGCTGGGAACATTGGCCACAGGCCTTCGGCGAGTCGAAGGCACGTTGACACTTTGTGCAATGTCTCGTCCCTCGAGATGGCCACTTGCGACACGGTGGAGCTGGCGCTCTGCATTAGAATCTCCGCGCTGCTTAAAGCGCAATGTGCCATCTCCATGTCCAGGATACATGCGTCACCGCCCAGATCATGCAGTGATGAAAATATGTCGGCTATGCTCTGCGCATGAGCCAGGCACTTTGTTCGGCAGCCTTCAATGCCCATTTCACCAATGAGCTCTCGAATCCTGATGGTGCCGTGATCTCGTGGGTTGAGCGCCAATTCTCGGAAGAGGATGCTGTAGCAATGGTGCCACCAGACATGTGTCATGACGTATCGCGAAAGCCGAGGCGAGTAGGCACGTAGCTCGAGATTCTTCTGCGAGTAGCGTTCGTTCGGAGGAAGGTGTGCCATGAAAGCATTGAGTTCTTTCTCTAGCCTCTGCAACTCAGACCACTGCGCATCTGTAGCCATCTTTGGACTGGATGCTTTTTTGAGATATCTGCTATAGTCAGCTTAAAAGATCAAAGACCAGAAATTCAACAATTCTCCCGTAGAATGGGACGTCTGCCTACCGAATTATCCCATCATACAGATGTGTGACACGAAGGTAGTAGGCGATGATGCCGAGACTGGTTGGAAGTCGATCCTGTGTCTCGATCTGCTCGGAAGCATTTTCGACATCGAGCTCAAAGTTGTCTTCCATGCTCGGCAGTCGAAGATGTATCGTGGTGATCGGGCATGTGGTAAACTCTTCCTGGCCGTCGGCAAGAATCACATCGAGCATGTATATGCCCCACATGAGCCTTCGTCGGGATTCCTGGACAAAGAAGGATAATTTTGACTTTTCATAATTGAGCCGCAGGGCAAACGCAATCCTCGTCAATTGCGCCATGCTCAGGAAGACCATGTTAGAAGCCCCCGTCCAGTGCCTAAACTTGAGCAAAAGCAGCAAAGCCTGTGTGTCGACAAACGTCGGCTGGCCAGGACTGCGAAGAACGAGACCCTCGGCCATGTCGGCACACTGGAAGCCAGTCTCTTTCTCCCCAATCGACGCGCCAGGAAGCCTCGAGCTCAGGGCTACAATGGCCGCAAGCAAGGGCGGCTCTAGCTTACGCTTGGAAAAGCGACTCATTAGCGAGGGCTTGTGGAGGAATGCGAGGCCCGGAAGGCAATGGAGTGATTCAAAGAACCTGCGCAACGCCACGGCGGCTTGTTCGTGAGAAATGAAGCCCTGTCTGCGAGTAGGAATCAGCTCCATGCCCAGCAGCGTGGGGATCGAAATGTCGTCGACACATGACTTACTGAGATCCTGGTGAAAATGGCAATGAAGCCGGGTGCATGTGGTTCATGTTGCCAGCATTTGTCCGAGAGGATTCTGTAAGATGCAGTCCGGGTGAGCCATCGTCAGATTGCGACGTTTGATTTTGCCCGCCATCATGTCCTTGGCCGCTCAGTGAGATGCGCCTCACACCATGATCCGGGAAGACGCATTGAATTTCCTTGAGTCTGCATCGCCGGCAACCACGGATTTCTCCCGAGCAACGCACCTTGGCGCGACTACAGCTTTCGCAGGCGTGAGAGACGCGCGGTCGCTTGTGCTGAAGGAGAGGTGCAGGCGTCTGCGCGGGACTCGTGGATGCTCGGAAGGAGCAGTCGTACCCCAGTCTCGCGCAGTGGGCACAGCCATCGAGGCTGCCGTCGCAACGGACCTGTTAAGCAGTGACTTAGTATCTCTTCTCGCTGCGCGCATTAGAGACTCACTTTGCGTGTTCTGCATTGAGCGCATGTTTGTTTGCGGCTGGCAGCTGAGGGCGAGTGTTCCATGTGGCATTGGGATGGTGTTGCGGCCAGATCTGTCTGCAACAGGGATAGAAACGCGCTGCATGGACACAGCACTACAGGTGATTGCGCGTGGAGGATCGCAGCTGCCGTCATTGGTTTTGGGGGTTGGTTCTCTGCCTAGCCACAGGTCTGTTGCGGCAGGAGCGGGCTAGCACTAGGCTGGCCGCTGTACTCCGTAGTCGCTGCAGCTGGGCCGTAAGACATAGACCACCTGTAATTTACATGCAGGATAGTGATGCATCTACGGGGTAAAGTAACTGGATGATGAATTATCTATGTGAAGAACAATCAAAAGTCCTATATTTGGCACATACAGGCATCGTGCAGGAATGATGATCTTGTTTTACCGTAGCATTCTTCAGGGTACTACTGGTTGCACGTGACTCCGCCAAGTAGACCGACATCGGCGCGGAAATGATTGAAGCACGACCATTTGCTCACCCTGCACTCAACTAGCATGCATCGACGATGACCTGACATCTGCTTGTACCAGATGTTGGCAATCAAACCGGATGACAGACGGCTTCCATGTCAATCAGTGCTTCAATTGTTACCTTGCGCTCGGAGCAGGTGAATATTCACTAGTTGAGTATGGTACATCCGTTTACTACAGTTCATCATGCTTTTGCAGCGGATCATCTACCCGCCTCATCTTCATCCGACGATACGCGGTGCCGTCCACAACAAAGTCCCACGCCCCCGGAACTCTCAAATCCTCCTGCGCGTACCTCTGTAGCGCGTGCACGCTTTGACCGTCGCGCAGCAGCCAAGGGTCACCCGTCTGAAACTGCCACGCCTCGACGCGGGCTCTCATCTGCTCCAGAACACCTCTGAACTCTTCCTTGTCCGCCACATTGTTCACCTCAAGAGAATCCGCCTCCATATCGTACAGTTCCTCGACGGGACGCTTGATGTACTGCCTGAGAGATCGGGCGCCCACCATCACGTCCCCGCCAGTCTGGGCCGTCGACTGTTTCCGGATGCCCTCGAGAGACAGACTGGCGTACAGATCCGAGGCAAATGGGAAGTCGAGCTGCCAGGCAATGTTGCGGTGGTACTTGAACCGCTTGGTGCGGAGGAAGCGTGTTGGCCAGTAGTTGTGGATTTCGTGGAAGGTGTGCGAGCCAAAGACCTCTTGCTGCCACTCCAGCGCATCCAAGTGTTCCTCTCGGCCGAGTATGGATAGGAATGAGCGCCCTAGACGCTTGGGATGCGGAGGCGGCCGCGTTTCCATCGTATGGATTTGCCCTGGTGCCGCCTCGACCGGCGCGGACAAGTCTGACGGAGCACCAGCCCAGTCGAGAAACGTGGGGAGGATGTCAATGTAGCTGATCATATTAGGGTTGCGCGTCCCTGCGGCCGACGCGCCTGGCTGACGGACAATGAAAGGCAACCGCACGCCTGCATCATAGAGAGTCGTCTTGGAATTGATGAACGGGGGGCCGTTGTCGCTGCAGAGGACTACGAGAGTCGAGTCGGTCAGACCCTGACGATCCAACGCGTCGAGCATCAGTCCGATGCCATGGTCAAGCCGTTCAATGGCCTTGTAGTACTCCACGTACTCTTGGCGGGTTTCCTCCACGTCTGTCAGCCAGTCTGGGATCTCGACTTGATCAAGCTGGATGTTCGACGCCGTGAATGTGCCTTTGCAGTCCTCCTGGTTGCCAAAGCCGCCTCTGGTGGTAATGTCCCGATGAGGGTCGACATACCCCACGGTGAGGAAGAAGGGTTTCTCAGACGCCTGAGTTTCTTGGAAAAATGTTTCCGCTCGTTCTGCCGTCCAGGCAACGTTCCTTGTCTCGCTCTCCTCGCGGACTGCCCATGGGAAGACGCTGGGCGGTCCAACGTGGACTTTGCCGATGATACCAGTCTGGTAGCCAAGGGAGTTGAAGAGCAAGGCTCCCGACTGAATGTGGTCAAATGACTGGTAGTGGTTGACACCCCCCATGAGACCGTACTGTCCATTCTCGTGGGGGTGGAGACCAGTATACATGACTGTCCGACTGGCACTGCAGGAAGCGGTACTGGTGAAGGCATTGTCAAAGACTGTTCCGGTGGCGGCGAGCTTGTCGATGTTGGGCGTGTTCAGCCCCTTGGCGCCATAGCAAGGCAAGCATTTGCCCAGGTCATCTGCTATCAAGAACAGGATATTCCGTCTGGGCGATTCAATGGCAGAGCCCATGGTCTATGAGGTTGAGGGGGGGTAATGCTGACGTAGATTGATCCAGTATGGGCGAGGCGAGATTTTGATGCAAGAGTCAATCTAGGAGGGGAAGTCATGCATCTACAATCGAGAAAGGAGCGACCCAAAAGTCTCGGAGGCAAGACATGTGATAATAACCAAATCGACGGCGAGGTAGTAATTGCTACTGGTCGGAGGTTGATGGAACTTCCAGCGTGGGCGGGCACCGAGCCGGACAACCATCGGGTCGGTCTCGGTCAGCTGCACCAATGATTGGACACCGAGCCGACTCCATACGAGGAATTAGACGGATAATTAGGGGGCGAGTGACCGAGTCGCGAGGCTCATGTCTATTTCGTAGGCAGCATGCCTTGGAATGTACTTCATTGCCGCTGCTTTTGCCAACAGGGCTGCGCTCTCGTGCTAAAGGGTCGTGCCCCTTTGATAGACCGACGGCCAGCAAGCTTCATCCACGGAGGGAGGTACCGTTGACAATGAGGGAATCCCGAAGCTTTATTACGTCTTTAATACAAGGAATCTATTTTTTTATTTAAGAAAAAAAAAAAAAAAAGGCAAAAAAAACATACAACAGCCGGTATTCGCTGGTTATTATCGACCCGGCTATTCACCAGCCCCTTGGCGGCTTAACTATAGGAGAGCGGACGGGATCCTGTATTTTCTAATAGGCATAGTGGTACGTTCATGATTCTCCTGGAAGAAAAATAACACAAACCCTAAACAAGCACGTTATAATGATATTCATGATCGCGTTGGTAAGGCGAGCATCACGACGAAGATAGCAGCTGTAAGTAATACAGCTACAGCAAAGATTTTTATTAAGATGGGCAGCCTCAACCTATACAAGGTCTAAAATCGGGCTGCATTGCCTCCATGGTAGTGGCGTTGGCAGCGGCATAACCCCGTATGTGTGTGTGTACCGGCGTAATCCAGTAGTACCTCTTGGGCCTATAGGAGACGTCGAGATATCCGGTCCTTGTTTGCTATGTCACAGTAAATTACATTATTTATGTTGATCTCCTAAGAGATTGTTTATGAAAGGATCACCGAAGTGTATTGTCCCTGCGAGAGTATGTGGAAGGTTCTACTACCCACATACACGCAGCCCCTCTGAAGAAGCTTGGAGACCGTGGATTGCTAGATTCAGTAGAGGCCATACGATGAATTCATAGGTCAAATCGAAGCTTGGCCGAGTTTTCTAGACTTTTTCGATTCTTTCTTTTATATTTAATCGTTCCGCGTCGATATGACGGACTTCTCTTAGTCTCGCACTCTAGCCACGCCGCTTCTGCCAACTCGAAGCACATAGAAGGTGAAAAGTAGGTCGAGAGGTCGCTCTGTTCTCACATGTACGCGATCTGATATATCCGATGCCGCCGTCGTCCCAGGCGCCTTTGAAATGAGCCGCTCAATGACTTCTTGCAGTGGCTGACACCCAGTGAGCACAGGCGGTTCTATCACTGTAATAAATCAGCCCTCCCACGCTTATAGATTCGAAATTGTCGAAAGCTAATAGTTGGGCCGTCCCAGGCGTCTCCGTTGTCTACGCATGATGGACAGATCTCTTTTGGCGAGATGGCAACAGCATCCCAACATGCCGTGGGCACCATCCGGACAAACTAGGCCAAGGGTAGGTGTGTAGTAGGGTAGGGGCTAGGGTTGTCCGCTACGTGCTACTGAGCCGTTTCTATAGCAGGTATTTGCGCGCATGGAATCATCAGCTCGCACAGCCCGATGTGTTGAGGACGCTAGATGTATAGGACAGCTAGTTAAGGCTTAAAGCAGTTACTTTACGAAGTTCGTTTAGCCTGAAAGACCAAGTTAGCCGTGTTAATCAAGTGTCAGAGAACCACTGATTGTTTCCTCGTGTTCCGCGAATCCAGGAAGAGTACATCCCTTACGCCTACCGTCACCGGATGCCGCATTTGATGTTGATTCGCTGATTCAGTGACAAGAGCTGCCAAAACGAGCCGTCTCCGCTGACGGGGAATTTGCTTAGGCTTTCGCACGTATAGATGCTTATCTCTCTTTTTTATCGGCAGGCAGCACACACTGCAATCCCTCCACGGAGGCCCGGCGCCGCTTTACTGAACTATTTGTCTACTCGCGTCCACCAAGGCCATCTGCCTCGAATCAGGCAAGGAGCTTTGGTCCTCTACAATCATAGGATATCGCGTGTTATTTCTGCGAAGATAAAGAAAGCTTAACAATACCGGGAAAGCAGCAATCTTTATCTGCCGCATCTCAGTGGTAGATTCTTTGAACGTCAATATTTGCCGTTGTGCGTCTCACTATTGCTATGGTATAAAAGACAGGGAGCTAACTAGTTCTGATACGCTTTCCTCCTTATTTCATGCTCCGAACGTGAAGCCTCTAATATCTCCGTTGTTCGAGCCTAGCTGGAATTCTCTGTTACTATCCCCAAATGTTACATTTTGGGTGTGATGCGGGATAGATGTAGGTTTCGCCTCCGCATCAGCCAAGCAGCCACGCATCTCTTTTAAAGCCTCTATCCGTATCATAAACATGTCTCTCTGTTCCTGAAGGCGAGATCGGGTGGCCTCTTCCGAATCAGCCTTATCGGCCGAATAGCTCACAATCCCGGACATTGACATATCAAATTGGTTGAGAATGGTGCCAAAATCATTCAGTTCCGCGTGAACGCGTGCCAAGGTCTCATCGATCTTGGCGATGTGCTGCTTAACCTCGGTTTTCAGTTCCCTCGTCAGTGCCTCGTATTGCAGAGAGACCTGACTTCAGCGATTTTCAGCCTTGTTGCACTGAGCGGGAGGGCAGACTGTCGGTTTGCTTACCGATTCGTAATGACGGCCGCGGAATTCAAGGCCTCCTGGCAGTTTCGCAGCTGGCTGGAAACGCGAGCAATCTCACCTTGCTTCAAGAGCCCGATACTTAATCTTTCCCTTAGAAACAGGGACCTGCTGTCCTCCGAGTGGCGGACACATTGTTTCAAGCGTGCGTCGAAGTTCTCACAGCTGTTCATGCACCCCGAAATTACACACATTAAGTGTTTAATATTCTCGGGAGTCAGAGCGTCCTACCGATCGCTCTTGATGGACTTGAGAGACTGCAGACACTTCTGCACAGCGTTAATATCTTCTCCCAGGAGTTGGATGCTCTTCGGGTCACCGATAATGCGGATTATGTCGAGGTGTAGGACGTGATAGATTTTGATCGCCGGGACCGTGACGCCGGCGATGCTCGCTGCAGCGCTGACCCCTTCCAACGAGACTGATTCATACAAGAGTTTTGACAGCAGAAGAGATGTGAACCAAGTCTTTCTTTATCGTAAGCAATGGTAATTGAATTGTGACGAAATATTGTCGCTAGGGAGCGGGGTTAATCTATTCCTGATGCAGGCGACAGCTGTGAGCTTTCGATGCAGGAGGGCGGGACAGGTTGAGCTCAAGCCGCGACAGTCGAGAGTGAGGCGTCAAGCGGGGTCAGCCACTCAAGGCTGCCTCGTCCTTCGCTTCTACTAACCGACAAGTTAACAAACACTTGGTACTTCGCTGTGTGAGCCATGTCTTTCCCGGCAGCCGTTGATTTTGGAGAGGGGAATCAAGGATTCGAGCTAGGTTTCAACAGCGGGACTGTCGAGAACACGTTCCACACGCACTTTCCGTGTACATTTCGTCCGGACTGTAATTTATTAGGCGCTAACGGCTTTGATAGACACGGGAGCGACACCACGGACGCCGCCCAAACCACAAGCCCTCATCCCGTGCCTGCGCACCGAAAATTTCGTAGTCGACGATAATCTACTGCAAAAGATCGAGGAACAATGTTCTAAACCGCCGCATAGAGTGGCTTTGGTCGGCATGGGAGCTATCGGGTGAGGACGTGGCTCTCGGCACGATATCGTGGACTTTGTTGACCAGTCTGAAGCAAATCCTGCTTAGCGATCCAATACGCCCACATCTTTGCCGAAAAGACGGCAAGTTGGGTCTTTTGGATGCATTCTGACTCGCCAGATCGTCTCGAAGAGGCGTTCCAAGAAGTCGCCAAGGCCGCACACATTCCGGGTTGTGAGAGACCAAACGCAGATATACCACGGCTCGTCCACGACTGGCTGGCATCAAGGGAGAAAAGTGGCAGATGGCTCATTGTGCTCGACAGTGCAGACGATACTGGTGTTTTCTTTGGTTCTAACAAGAAAATGGCCAAATACCTGCCGCAGGCGGCTCACGGATGTCTGCTAGTCACGACTCGTGATGCCCAGCTCGGGGAAAGACTCAGCGGTAACTATCTGAACACTATAGATATAGTCAGAATGAGCCCAGCGAGCGCGCTTTCGCTGCTCGGGAAGAGGCTAGGAGAAGCCCCTGGGGACAAGGCCGCGGCCTTAAAGCTCGTTGCCCTTCTTGACTACATCCCTCTCGCCATCAGCCAGGTCGGAGCTCTGATCGCGACTACAAAACGGATAACACTCGAAATTTGTCTAGAAAAACTCAGCGGTAGTTGTTGGAAGGACATCACCAAGCTGCTGAGCCGCGAGTTCACCGAGCTGGGCCGCGACGTGTGGCAGTCTAACGCCGTGCTTGAGACCTTGAAGGAATCGTTCAGGAATATCCAGCTTGAGCGACCGGGCGTGATACGTCTAATGAGTTTGATATGTCTCATTCCAAGTGAGAACATTCCCAAGTACCTCCTGAAACCACCTTACGCCATAGACCTGGACGAAGTGGACGACGTGGCCCCCGTCCTCGACCATGATGGTCAGCTTGAAGACGACTTGGATGTGCTACGGAGATACCGATTGATCTCAGACGCTGAGGGAGCCGACGCCATTGGAATCTCACGTCTCGTGCGGCTCGCCTTGCACAACTGGCTCGTGGAGGCGAAGTACGATCAGCACCAGAGGAAATCCATCGCGATGATGGAAACAGAGCATCCCTCAAAAGACGACTCGACGCTTGAAGCTTCTGGAGTCATGGCTGGCATTGAAAAAAGCCATTTCGATACTAAGACCTCTCAACCGGGTGATACCAACATTGCTTCCGAGCCTTGCGGAAGGGATGTACCAAGCGGAGGCAACCTACAGTCACAACAAGTCCTTGCAACCGTCAAACGGGGCTTCATCTCCGGCAGCCGGTGAGTGGCATGTTCAATTTCCTAGGCAAAGCCGTTCTCGTTTCAAGTGTTAATCAACGCATAGAGCAGGTAGTCCTTCACGGTCCGCGAAGACCCAGAGGGGCTGTAGGGATCCAGAATCACCGATCTGGGCACAGTTGATCCATAATGCATTGATGAGCACTAGTAATCACACAATGACTTATAAGGAGCTTGAACGATGGCTAGAACAGGATGCGAAAGAAAAAGGTCGCAGATATACGAGAAACAGTAGTGTAAGGACCAATATTAGTGATAATGTAGTAAGCCCGCCTCCCCCAAGGAACCAGCTTGCATATTGGATATAGAATGCTAATTTACATGCTTATAGGCTTTCGAAACTTACGAAGTGATGGAGACGGAGGTAAAGCGCAGTGGCGAATCCTCAGTGAAAAAGAAAAAGTTCATCAGGCTTACGGATTTTGGCAAGACGTATGGTCCTGGCGTTAGTCAAAGTTGCCGAATTTACAAAAAAAAAGGCCAAAGGGTTTGAATTGTTTTCTAGCTCGATGATACTCAATTGGTTTTATCGCCCTTGTCGGAGAAAGCTCAGTGTCAGGCCAATTCCCACCGTAAGGAATGCCCACGTACCGAAAGTGTGAATTTAGCCGTCCGTGGAGAGGAGCACTACGACTTGAGTATGTGACATTGCACAACTTACATTGTTAAAGATAGTCTCAGAAGCTAACTGAGTGAAGAGTTGCCGGTTCAAGGGCCGAGCTGTCGGTATTCACTCCGCTTAGGCGCGAAAAGATTTGCCAGACACCATCGGGCCGAAAATGAACCTGTTCATACTCGCTAAGTCAGAACAGGCGTGCATGAAGTGGTCCAGAAAAGGCTTGATAGGACAGGGGTAACTCGGTGATTAAAATACACAGTGCCTGTACTTCAGAGCTCAGAGTTTTGTAAATAGGCCTACGTCATTTGTCTAGCTTAGTGGCAGGCTGCATAATCTAAATCATTCTTTCGCCTAAGGATCACTACTGAAACTAATGACAGGGCGAGTAAACGTAAAAGACGCACGCTAAACCAGCTAGGCCACGGCGCTTGGTCGTAGGCTGGTGGGGCGTGTTCAAGTGGCCGTATATGTCAGAAACGGAATACGGAGAAGAGTGACGAGGTGCACAATGTCTGCGATATGTCAGTTATAGGGGAGGCTGAACACTAGATGTGAGGTGATAGGTTAGGTGGCGAGGGGGTATCAGGTTGTCTGTAGACTCCAACCGAAGAGTTATAAATATTTCAGGCCCCTCGTGTATCGTTTCTTTATGTGCTTCACTCGCCTCACCCTTTTGAAGCCCAACATCGCCGGCCATAGTCCTCATGTACGAATGGTCTCGCCAAGCGTTTCTGCTTCATCTTCGCTATGAGCAGACTCGCCACCCAGTCACAAGCAAACGTCGGGAAATCCGCGTCTTTCCTAAGAAGTCTAAAAGCCGCTTCTTGAGTCTCCTAGATAAGATTTTGTGGGTAACTACAGGCTTCACAGTCGGTGTGCGCGGGTGATGTGAAACAAACGTTCTGGCATTGGTTTTTGGGCCCAGATGATCAGTCCCGAAAATCTGGACGTCCAGGATCACTCTTGTGGGTTGCCGTCCTGATGCATGACGACCGTCATCCTGCACTACTCCGATAGCTTGCAAGCCATATCTTAGCTTAGCTTCTGGTGCGATGGGCGGATCACGGATCACGGATCACGGACCTGGACGGTGTGTCGCGTTCCCAGGAGTCTATGCGAGGCCGGTCTCGGCATTCTCCCCGGGACGAGTCCTTTAGGTAGGCAGAGCTGAAGTCATCAGAGCACAAACAATCTGTGACAGCTACAAGCTCATTATAAGGTGCCACCACAACCGTTCGTCCGCCCGTCAGTGTCCGTACAAAGCCAGACATGGGATAATGCAGTTTGAAGTCGGAGCTTCGCATCCCTGGTCCCTTTACTAGAGACCTCACAACCAACCGGCCTCGGACCAGGCGTTCCAATCCTCAAAGTTCAGCAGGTTGTACAGCAGGTTGGTGTCCACCAGGCCGGCATAAGGCTCTGCCTGGAACCCGTCCATCCTCCCGCCCACCTCACCCTCGAAAGATCCGTCCGGCAGCGCACTGGATAGCTGATTGAGCAACGTCCGCTCCTCAGCGCACGGGACTGACGGGGGCCGCGTAGCCACCACGGGCTGTCCTTGCCCATCGCAGCGTGATTGCTTTGCAATATCCAGGACGTCTTGCGTTATCTCGGTGCAGCGTCGCGCAACGACCACCATTCTCATGACCCTGAAGATCTCAAGACTCATCTCCACGCTGCTGAAGATGTCTTCGGCCGGAAGCGGGCATATGTTCGACAGGATGACGTAGAGCAGCACCATACTGGCGTCGAGGACATAGGTACAGTTGTACCACCTGCGGTTTCAGAGGCCAAAATCTCCGATGAAGCAGTCAAGTGTGGGAATACGTACCATGTTCGGAAGTAAGGCCGGTGACGGTACGTCGAGTGCATAAACGCAATCGTCTCCCGCGCAGCCTCTATACAGGAGGCTACATGCTGTGACACCATCGCCCGGTCGCGTCCAGCTCTGGTGATGAGAAACGGCCGATACAAGAGTATTTTCGCGTTCAGGAAACCTATGTCGACAGTCAGCCAAAGCCGGTGCAAGGATGCGGGACCTCCCCCGTACGCAGTTTGAGGACAATCTTCTGTTTCGTGATGAGCTCACTCTCCTCCAGCGTCGACACATCAAAGTCGAGCTCGTGTGGAAGGCGGCTCTTCCATTGCAGAAGACTGCCTTCTAGATTGGCAGCCCGCCCGGACATGTGTTCCGGCCCGTCAATAACATCGGGCTGCCACACATTCTGGGAGATCCTGGCCAGTATCTTGGCCAGCTCCACCATGCAGCTGATGATGTACAGTGATGGGCCATGCGACGCCTAACATGGAGTCAGGTGAGATCAGCACGAGGCCTCGACACACTTACAGAGACGACCGGGAAGTCAATCGAGTAGTGGCTTGGCTCTTTAAGGAACGATTGACGTCCCGCCGATGAGCACATTTCACTATCCGGTCAGCTGCGTCCACAGTCCGGCCCACGCCGTGTGCTTACGTCTCGTGAGAGTAGAGGGCCCTGCACAGCATCAGTCAAGCATCCTAGGTCGCAAATTTTGTTGTACGATGGACTCCTCACCACCAGAGCAGGCGTTTTTGGTTGGACCCAGACGGTGTCGTGGGGATACCCATGGCCAACGCTGCACGCACCGCCATGCCGCTGTACATGTAGCACGCGTGTGGCTTCAGAGCGTCTTGGCAGAACACAGACTATGATCACCCGCTGTCAGTGGCCGGGCTGGGCTCTCGTTTCGGGCTTTCGAGACGAACCATGAGGAAGAGGGTCTGGGCTGTCTCGAGGGAGGCCGACTCAAACACATCTTCCAGCAGGAGCTTTGCTCTCTCAAAGAAGAGCCTCGCGACGCGGATGGGCAGATACGGCGACCTGTTATGCTCGAGAGTCTCTGCCTGGTTCAAGAATTCATGTGCACGATGCCACGTGAGCATTGACGTTTCTCCAGCGTTCACTGCACCGATGGCGACGACAGTGTTGTAGAGAGCTAGGAACCGTGCGTGGCTGCGGATGTGTGGCGATGCCGCGTTCTCGAGAGTCTGGCTCTGATTCCAGATCTCGCTACCACATCGGGCCGTAAAGGCTGCCTGGTCCAGCACGGGATGGATGCAATGCTGGTTCTGGAAGTAGAGCCGCACGCATTCTTGCTCGATCACTGGGTCAGAAGCCGGCGATCGGCCTCGCGTCCCACGGAAAGAGCCATCCCGAGATCCTCCCGGCCCCAGTCGATCATTGTATGGCACTCTTTGCTTCCCCTGCCGTGACCCTGGGCCGTAGCTGCCGGAGGCAGCTGCGTAGTCCGAGCTGTGTAGCAGATTCACGACCGCGGTATCCGCTGGTGACCTCTCGTAAACATCGCGACCGCTATCCGGAGGTGATGTGGGGTGCCTGTGAGAGTCCGCCTGCGATCGCAACCGTGAGAGGAAGTAGAACGTCCCGGTTGGCCCGTAGTACTCGGCGCCTTCGGTGTGCTTGTTGATCTGGGCGAGTCCACCGGGACACTGGTCAGGCAGCGGTGGCCCGTCTGCATCGCGATCCGACGAGACTCCTCGAGTTGGCAAGAGTGGTCTGCTGGGGTCCGACGCCCGGCTCAAGTTCCTGCGTGAGGTCGGTGGTGTCCCGGGCGGTCGAGGCGGCGGCATTTCCTCGATCCGTGGAGCCGATCCCCCATCTGTCCGGCGCGGACTACGCATCCCTTGTCAGCGCAGTGCCTCCACTATCGTGGATGGGATATCACCCACGTTGCTTGTATATCAGTAGACTCGCTACCAGGTACCCGTGCAACCTGCTCTCTCTCCTTGAACGAGCACGAGAAGGCGTGCTCTTGACGGGCAGCGTGTCAGCACACAGGCTCATCTACAAGCATCTTGCCGACGGATACTCACGGACGCAATTTGCACACGGATACCCGCCATCGCACTGCTCGTCAGCCTGCGACCTCTTGGCCGAGAGTACGGAACCTCACCTTCACCTTGCGCGTCCGGCACGTGTCGCATGCAACAGCAGCCCGAGGACCCCTCTTTCGCTTCGCACCTCCGCGTTTTTGGCGGCCAGAACCCGTCTCCAGCTGGTGACCAGCCTCCGGACTCATCCCAATTTGAGCATTCGGCGCATCTGACTACTGCACACACGGAGTCGCCGTCAGCGATTAATCTGTTCGGGTATTTTGCCGTGTCTACGTGTGAGCAGCGTGCGTTTCGGAGGGAGACATGGTTCAATTGATGATTCCGAGAGCCTCCTCAGCCGTCCCGTGCTCTAGCCAGTGAGATTCGGGGTGGTGCTGAGTGAACTAGTGATGAGCGCCGCGGAAACAAAGATCATGTGCCTGAGCACCGGGGTGCTCGTTTAAGATGTATTACTAAGCAATACCAAAAACTTTGGCCGAAACAAATCAAGGAATTAGAATCACGTGACCTCGCCTCGTCGAACGGGACGAATAATATTTCTCCATAGATTAGAGACTAAGGCTAATAAATATGAGAAGAGTTCTAGGCTACGGCCTCCTTAGTTCCAGGCTTTAAGATTAAATAACGGGGGGTTTTTATTACCAAATAGGCGGCTTTTCTCTAGGTATACTTACAAACTCGGACCGGTGCCATCCGAGATTAGTTATCACTAGCCCACATAGGTTGTCCCCATAAGACGCCTAATAGAATCTCATATATTTATTCGTAGGCTCCCCTTCGTTGCACCCGCCCAGGTGCACCTAGTGGGGCGCCCACGTGCCCTCTAGACTTGCCGTCTCCGGACGGAATAAATCATCATCATTATCATCATCACCTCTGGGACGATCAGAAGATTCCGGACTCCTCAAAGTCACGGTCACCACGACATGTCCATATCGGCACGGAGCGAAGAGTGGCAGTCCCAATCCCATCGGAATCGATCTAATGCGTTTGCTTATCGGGTCGTGAAAAAAGACTGCGCTATTACGCACGACCAATCCCTTTGTGATGCCACATCTGGTACTCTCTGCTTGGCCACCAAGCTTCTGTCCAGTTACTCAAGCGCACATTTGCTTCATCCAGCCCAGGTAAACTCCTGCTTGTAGGGGTCTGTCATTGGTCGTATTGCGTTTCCATAGTCGCCCCCGTTGGGCATCCTCAGCAGCGTGTGGATGTGAAACTTGGCTGGCTCGCTATTTGTCAGAAACACGCCCGAATGGTGGTCGAATTCGACAATAATGACAGGGCTCTGGACCCTGTAGTAGAACGGGTCCTCGTTGCCGTACCCGCCGATCCAGCACCAGTACGTCTCGTGGAACCAGCTCTTCACATGGTCGAGTCGCATCTGTCGTGCTTTGCGGGGTAGGTACAGCAGGTACTCGTGAAGGATCCCGAGGATCAGGTCCTGCTGCTTCTCCGACATTTCAGACACGAGGATACCCTCGTATGGCACGATTCGGTTGTCACGGTAGGCGCCGCAGAGGTGGCGCTGGTCGTCATGGTTCCACCTACCCCAGGGCATCTCTGGGTCCTTCATGTGCTTGTAGACCTGCGCCCTTGCCTGTTGCTCCGGGGAAAGATCCTGCATCAGCTCGAGGCCTAGAAGTTCCTCTCTTTCTAAGGTACGAGTTCCCTTGTGCGGGCCGTCGTCGATGAAGTTAGGCTCCGAGCCCGTAAACCACGGCGCGACGAAGATTTGAGATTGGTATAGGACGATGTTGAGACATAGATGATGTCCGTAAAATGAGAAGCCCCAGAGGCGGGAGGCAGACGGCTCCCCGAATAAGACAAAGTTATATGAAAACTCGTTTATCACGGCCGGGGCTTGAATCAGCTCGCCAAGGAAGTGGTTGACGCGCATTGCGCTGATTGCCTTCTGGTAGCCCTCAGGGGACAGGGCACTCTCGAGGACCGCCAGGACGCCGTTGCGCAGGTCCTCTGCGAACTCATCCAGCCTGATGCCCTTGTCGCTCAGCAGGAACTCTGGGTTCGACCAGGACCGCCACTCAGGAGAATCGACATGGTAGAGCGTCTTCTCGCGCTGCTCCTTTGTGAGCTTGGAGAGCAACGTGCCCGCGGCTTCCGCAATCTGCCCGACCGGGACGCCTTCATCCTGCACGCTGTAGAGCCCGTCGCGCACCTTGCCTATCGGGGTCAGAGCCGTGTCGGCAACCTGTTGTCAAAGTACATACCATCCGTGGTAACCCCGCGAAACGGCTCCTTGAACAGGTCACGCCAGTGCAAGTAGAGAGCATGCAGCCAGGGGGGCTGGCCGCTCTCACTGAAGGCATTTGCATACTCGTGCGCATCCTGCCTCCTCATAGTGGTGAAGCGCGGGGTGCTCAGGTCCGGAAGATGGTCCCGGAAGCCACCGGCCTGTGGCGGATGCGACTCGTGCGAACTCATCGTGCTGTCTGGAGTCGGGCACCTGCGTTCCGGCAAAGTTGTCTCTGAACAACTGTCGGTTTGTGGTGCGAGTCGAAAGCCTTCTTTGTAGGGTGCTCATCACATGATACACCTGGCGGCTAGACTGGCAAGAAGTGGCAGGGACCAGCTAGGGGTATTAATCTGCTGGAGACGTGCATGTCGATCTGCCCCGGACCCGACAACGTCTAAGCCGATTGGGTGATGTTACCTTCCCCGCATGCCGGGATCCGGCCGCCGGTGGGTACGACTACGAACCCCGGTAAGTAAGCCTCCATCTCGCCCAGGCGTCCACTCGGAACGCTGCATCCGGGAAATCCGAGCATCCCCTCGTGCGTCTTCGGAGCGAACCTGGGAGGATACCTTTCAGTGCAAGCATCCGTCTCCTGTTCGGCCGGTCCGGTCTAACCCTGGCGAGACTGATCATTGGAGTCACCGTTCATAATCTCTACTGTAGTCTGGGCATGAGCAACTTTGTCTCAGACGCAGACAAAGACATCAAGAAGACATCCTCAATCCCACCACACAATCCTTCCCCCATATCGCCCAACATGTCTTCCGCATCTGCCTTTTCACGTACGTTGCGTCCGAACTCGCACCAAATTTTCCCCGACTCACTAACCTTGCAGGCCTCGTGCGCTTTGTGCCCAAGTCGAACACGACAAAGGTGCTTATCGGCCAGCCGACGCAGCAGGAGCTTGATATCGGCGCCGCAGTCCGGAAGGGCCAGGAAGTCGCGGCCCATGTCTTTTCGGGCTCCTCAGTCTTGGCGCCGGGGCAGAACACCGGTGCGACAGAGACTATCGAGCGCATCTTGTCGCCCCTGGCTCAGAACGAGGTCGGCACTATCCGATGCATCGGACTGAACGTGCGTACTTTTTCCGCTTTCCCTTTCTCGTGCAAAGTCAGTACATCACTTACCCGGAGGACACGATAGTACAAGCAGCACGCCGCGGAGGTCAAAATGGACATGCCCACCATCCCGACGGTGTTCATGTAGGTCGTGATGACTGCACGAGGCTCCCTCGGGCTGACCCCCTGGGCAGGAAGCCAAGCACGACGCTTGCAGACCCCTGGCCAGCACAGACCATTCTTCCCAAGCTCACTCAGGCTGATGACTGCGGCGACTACGAATCCGAACTGGCCATTGTGATCGGCCAGACGGCTAAGAACGTCAGCGAGGCTGACGCCATGAACTATGTTCTCGGCTACACAGCAGCCAATGACATCTCGAGCAGGACCTCACAGCTGAACCAATCCCAATGGTCCTTCTCCAAGGGATTCGATGGAGCCTGTCCCATTGGTGAGGTCTCATCCTCCCGGGTGGCTTGTGCATGTGCAGTGGCCAGCTGACGCTTGAGGCTAGGCCCTACCCTGGTGTCCACGTCGATTGTCCCGGACCCTTGCAAGCTGAGGATCCGAGGTCTGAAGAATGGCAACGTGTTGCAGGACTGCGAAATTGGGCAAGTATCTCCTCATCCACCATACCTCGCTCATGGCTAACCCACCCCCAAGCGACATGATCTTTAGCGTCCCCAAGCTAGTCAGCTTCCTGTCTCAGGGCACCACTCTCCCCGCTGGGACAGTGATCATCACGGGCACACCCGCTGGCGTTGGTCTGGGCAGGAAACCCAAGGAGACCCTCCGAGAGGGAGATGAATTTGCGGTCGAGATTTTGCCCCATATCGGCACCCTAGTCAATGTTTTCAAGAACGAGGTTTGAGTTGTATAGACTGAGAGAAAGAATATTGCACAAGATCCAGGTCATTTTTGAAACTAGTCTAGAAGGTCACGATTGTACAGCCAAGGCCAAGCTGAATATGGGTCCAGCAGACCCACCTTGGAGGCGCACGGCGGACGATAGCGACAACTGTGTTAAAACTGCGCAAGGCGTTCCGATTCAATACATACACCTAGAGGGGTAGATACTATTCATAGTAGTCTCGACACACTTTTCGCTATCGTTTGCCGTAAGGGTGATGAGCCCGCCGTCACAACTCTACCCCCTTACAGGCATCCTTGTCAATGGTTTCAAGAACAAAGTCCAAGTCATATAGGCAGGAGAAGAGAACATTATACGAGTTTTAGGCAAGCTTTGAATTGAAAACCCGTAGCTACAAAAGTACTGCTCGAGTCAACTATGAGTCCAGCAGGGCGGGGACCTTTTCCACCAGGTATTCGACAACAGCTTCCGGCCCCCTCTCTACCTGCAGTCCCTGGGGGATTGCGTGTGTCTTAATGTCGGGGACCACGGACTGTGCCAGGCTGCGGATCTTGGCAGCCTCTTCCTCCGACCACATTGAGGCGGAGAACTACCCATCGGTCAGTGTTGCGCCTTGCCCGTCCGGGCCGATATGCTCGCAGTCTCACCAGTACGTCGGGGCGGTGCTTGGTCACCTTGGGCACAACCTCACCAATGTCTAGGCACGTGTCAGCTATCGATCGCAGGGGAGCTTGTAAAGAGCACTCACTCTCGCAGTTGTCGACGTGCTCAATATCATAGTCGTCCTCGAGCACCTCAATGAGGCGTCCAATGAGGCGCTTGGCGCGCTCGGGCGCCGTGTTGACGGTGACCAGCTTGAAAGGTCCTTTGCGAGCAGCCATGATGAGCGAGGTGTTTTCGTAGATCTTTCTTGTGAAGTCTCTGGCACCGTCACTCGCCCACGGCGCCTTATGATGATGGCGTCGGCAATGGGCCCACTCCAAACCGGCGCGGTTCGGTCTACGGGGTCGCCCCGCCATCCACGGAGAGGCCGATTTCCCTCTTCCGATTCGCTACAGGTGAGCTGCCTTTTCGGAATTCCCGGTCTTGTGCGTTTCGTGGTTTCTCTACGTCCGGAAGTTCCGCCCAACTTTCTGCTTTGACGCTATGAAGCTGAACAGTCTTTTGCATCAAGCTATCGAATGAAGGCTATGAAGGAAGAAAAAGAAAAAACGGGAAGAAGGAAGGAAGAAAAGAGGCAACGAAGATCCAGTGGCGCGTTGAGTGACCTGAGGAGAAACGAGTCCAAGTACGTTGCCTGACAAACAGGCAACCTGCCTGACAGATAACAGCCTTTCACAGGGTTGCCTACGTACCAAGTGATTTTCGATTTCCTCGATGACCCAAGAATCTCCCCCCCTCCCCCACACCACCACCACCACGATGTGCATGCGTACAGGTGCTGAAGATGCGGGCAAACGTCTGGTAGCTAGCGCATGCGGCTCACCTGCACCTGGGCCTTCTTACTGCCCACGCAGGCGAGTGCTACAAAGACCACCTAACCACAGGATGAGCAGTCCCGTGCCGTTGTGAAGAAGACTCGCGTTGTAACCACTGTGATCATTAAGATCTAGGTCTCGGTCATGCTAGTGACGCTAAGTTTACGACATGGTACCAGGTTCGCTACTTCGCAGAAACCCGTGTTTCACGCCCATCGTTGCAAGCCGCATCGTCCCAGCATATCCCTCTCGGCGATCCAGATACGAATCTTTTTGCCTCGCAGATAGAGCCACAGTGTGGTCAGGTGGATTACGACATTGATGGTCGCAATGGTCATCAACACGGTGAGCATACCGCTGGCATCAATCCAGTCGTTGATGACCCATGTCCATATCCAGGCTATGAGCGACTTGAGCGATGCTACCGTCACCATAAGCTCGACAGACAGCTGTGGACACGTTAGCAATCACCACTTGTTTTGTTTGGCAGCAGTCAAGAGAGCACACGAACCTCCTTGTGGCAATCCAACGCATACGACATGGACAGCGACACCCCCACCTGGGCTCCCGCCGTCAAAACACCAAAGCCGAACACGGGTCCTATCCAGTGGGTTCTGTGGTGGTAGCATAGACCTGCCGTCAACGCGCCCATGAAGGTGAGCACCGTGGCGATGACACACGTCGGCAGGCGCATCTCCGGCTCGCGGATGCCATCGTTCTTGCGCGTAAAGTAGTTGGCAATGGAGTCGGAGAGCGAGCCGCAGAGCCAGCTTCCAACAAGCGACCCGATAAAGGGCGACAGGAAGATCAGACCCTGGGCCTGCGAGTCGAACCCGTACGGCTCCGCAAAGAGCTGCGCGACTGTCGCGCCGATGATGACGTTCCACCCGAGTGACATGCCGTAGACGAGGCATGCCCAGAGCACGGTAGGGTAGGTGAGAAGCACAAACGGGCGGAGGAATACTTTCCGCAAGCTCACCCTCGCGTCGGGCTTCTCCCAAAGAGCAAGGCTGCGGAGGAAGCTCTTCTTGGGCGGGCCGGTCACCGTGCCGGCGGAAGGATCGCCCGAGTTGCTGGCGCCAGCGTCCTCAACCTTTTCGACATTGACACCTTTGACATCCTCGGCGTCGTCAAGGGGTGTCGACGACGGCCGTGCCCCTCGGTACATTGTCTCGGGCATGAAGAAGATCATGGTGCAGAGGTTGAGGCCAATGAACATGGCCACAATGTAAAAGGCCCAGGACATACCAAGACGCTGGATGATGAGGGCTGAGAACTACACGCAACGTCGTTAGCCTCATCGGCCCGTGTCGGCACAGGGGCTGCTTGGACTCGCCAGCGGTCCCAACTCGTTGCCTCCAAGCACGGACAGTCCGTAGAGAGACACTTTCTCGCCACGATCGTGGAGGAAGAAGATGTCGGTGATGGTGGTCGGTAGGATTGACTCGATGGGCGCCTCGAACAGGCCCAGGAACGCTCGTCCGATGAGAAACGGAGTGTACGACGCCGTGGATGCGAGCCCGAGCCACACGCAGGCAACGCCCATCAGGAGGGTCGACAAGGTGTACACGGGCCGGCGTCCAAACTTGATGACGAAAGGCCTGTGCAGGGTCAGTTTAGCCTTGGCTGCTTGTTTTGACGAGTATGCATGTTCTCACATCCAGAAGATGTTCCCGACGCCCTGACAGATCAACGTCGCGCCGTTGGCGTACGTCAACTTCTGCAGCGTGGTGTTGAATGTCAGGGACAGTGGGATCATACCCGCCGCCATGATCGGCCCTGTCACGCTGCCCATGAAGGCATACCCGATGCCGTTCAGGAACGTCACCCACTTCTTGGTGAGGGACCACCGCAGTGGGTCATTGGGGTCGGTCAGCGACGGCTGCGGCACAAGTAGGATCCGGCTGTCGCCATGCTGGATGAACTGCAGCTCATTGGTTGCACTTCCAGGCTGGCCGGACTGGAACAGCCGTTCGGTGCCCGGGGCGTGGGTGACAGTAGAGGCAACGTTGGTGATCTCATCACCGTTCGAGGCAGTCTGCGCGGCGGGTCCCGTCATGCTGATGAGCGGTAGGGAGACGTTGAAGAGAAGTGGCGATGTGAAGAAGAGAGGAGTGAGAAGGTCCAGATCACCTTATACCTGCTCTCAGATCGCCTGGCCGGATCAAAGCTAGATTGTTTGTAGAGAAGCAGAGGACATAGCTCAGCCGTGGCTTAGCCCCCAATGCACGCCCCGACGCGGGTCCACGGAAATCCGGGGTACAGCTTGCTGGAGGTGGACTAGTAGGTGGGCTGCCCAATAAGCACCCTGCGCTCGGAAATGCGCCTCGCCAGCATTTCGGCTCCAGGAGGACTACCATCCATAATCGCATCCACAAAAGTTTCCCCGCAATCGGACGATGAGATGACCGGCTATCCGTGCGGTGCCCCGCAATATCCCACGCTTTCCGTCGCTCCACCACCGCCTACCGGCCCCCACCCCCACCCGGGTCAGCGGTAGCCGGCCGACCGCCGAAGCGCTCGAGCGTTGATCCGAGTAACCACTTGGCCCCAATTTCCCTTCTTTCCAGCCTCTATCTAGATTGGATCGTTTCCTCGTGCGCATGCACAGTGGATTCGGTCCGCATGCTAGGTGCGCCAGGTCCGTGCGCGTACTCCCACGTGCTCCGGATAGGGTAGCCTAACCGCTCTCTTTCGCAACCTCCGTTTTGGGCTGGACGGCCAAGCTATGATCACTGACTTCCATGTTCGCAGCTCAGATCAAACAGATAAAGTGCGCCCCCAGGCGGCCCTGAGTTGGTAGTAGCCCGCAGCCTGAGCAGGCCACTCTGGTGGTCATCCAAGAGAGAGCGAATCGGTAGCCCGGCTGACGGACAAGATGCTCTGCCAGCCCCGCTCTTTCGGTTTGGCCAACAAATCGGAGCACGGCTCTCGGATTTATCCAAGCATTCCGCGGTCGCGCCGACCTAGTCCTCTCAGCTCTGTCGGGCGACGCCATTCCTCGCGCTACAATCGAAACGCGCACTGTGGGAAGGGCGGCAGTGAGAGGCCCTGGTGCCCAGTAGGACAGTCATATACGGCTATCTGATCGGATGCGGTTCAGCGTTGGAGGCTACTTGCTATTATATCTACAACGAGCCGCACATCTTCTTGAATCTGCAGAGCAGGCCCACTCCTTCGCAACACAGAAACGCGGACAAGAACACCTTGGTCAGAATGCCTGGCATCATCGAGTCGACCACCAGCCACGGCGCTGCCTCGAACGGCAATGGGCAGAATGGAGCACACCCAGCGCTGTCTGTCCCTGTCCTGATTGTGGGCGGTGGTCCCACTGGCTTGCTCACTGCGTACATGTTGTCGAAATTTGGAGGTTCGTGGTGCTCGCCCTGCCCATGCCGTTCGATCGGCTGGAGACGCTGACTGGTGTTAGTGAGGTCTCTCCTTGTCGAGAAGTACCCTGAGCGCTTGGCTGCCCCGAAGGCGCACGCGCTCAGCCCGAGGAGCTTGGAAATATGCCGCCAGTTCGGCCTCGACACAAATGCCATGCGCAAGCTGGGATCGCCCAGGGGTGATTCTTACTGGGTCAACTTCCTGACCAACCTGAGCGGCGAGCGCATCGGCTTGCTGCCGTATGAACGCATGGACAAGGAGGTTCTGGACTGCACCCCGGAGGTGCGTTTGCTCTATTGGCCCTCTCTGTGTTCTGGACCAAACACTCACAAGGCTGCAGATGATTCACAACATTCCCCAGCCGGACTTTGAAAAGTTCGTCGCAGACGCCTTGGAGAGCGACCCCAATGTCGAGATTCGGAAAGGCGTCGCCTTCGTCTCGTGCGAGGAGGTAGGCAGCTCCCATTCGCCCCCAGCCACAATGGAACTTGTATCTGACCAGTGGCCTGGCAGAGGGCCGACGAGGTGTTCTCGACTGTCGAGGAGCGCTCGACCAAGAACCGATGGCAAGTCAAGTCAAGGCACGTGGTTGCCTGCGACGGTACTCGAAGTCAAGTGCGGAATTTCCTCAGGATCGAATCCGAGGGTGAGGATGGCTGCAAGTAACCCTCCCACAGGCAGCAAGCAATGGAACAGCTGCTGACTGCCTGCAGACGAGACTATGATGACGATACACTTCAAGGCCGACCTGCGGCGCGTCGTTGGTGACCGTGTCGGCATGCTGCACTGGATAACCGACCCAGCCTGCTCTGGATTTGTCATCGCCTACGATCTCGGGGGGAACCAGGTGCTCATCAGCAACTTTGATGTACACACCCTTCGCGTCCTGAGATGTTGACCTCCATCGCTGACTTGCCCACAGTCCAAGCGACACCCGGCAGAGACCTGGACCCAGGACCTCGCCCGCTCTACCGTGTCCGCGGCAGTTGGAAAGGACATTCCTCTCGAGATCCTGAGCTACAGACCGTGGCTGTTGAGCCGAAAGGTCGCCAGGGAATACCGTCACGGACGCGTCTTCCTGTAAGCTCGTCACCATCAGGTTGCGGTCACACTCTGCTGATACAATGGCAGGGTCGGCGACGCCGCGCACTCATTCCCCCCCACGGGCGGCCTCGGTCTCAACTCGGGTCTCGCCGATGCCCACAACCTTGCCTACAAGATCGCCGCTGTGCATCAGGGCTGGGCCAAATCCTCGCTGCTCGACTCGTATGAAGACGACCGCCGCCAGATTGCCATTGTCAACTCCGCGCAGAGTGTGAAGAACGGCAAGAAAATCTTCTCGTTCCTCAAGACGCTCGGTACTGCAGGCATCGATGACGTAGAGCAGGCTCGAGCGAACTTGCACAGGTCGATCCACGACCCTGCTAAGCAGGGCATGATTGAACGGGAGGTTGAAGGGCAGCGGGAGCACTTTGACAACGTGAGTGGCACGTATCGACATGCAGGGGTAAGAGAAGCTAATGTTGTCGCCAGCTGGGAATCCACATCGGCTATGTATACGGAGACAAGGAGACTCCCACGAGCGCGTCCAGCTTCACACCAAAGTTCGTTACCGGTGCTCGGCTCCCCCATGCCTGGATCAAGCTTCGCGGCTCGACCGCCGCCCTGGATCTACCTCCTGTTGACGTGAGCTACGTATCGGAATTCACAAAGGACGACATTGCAGCCCGGAAATACTCAACGCTTGATCTCGTGGACATGGACAACTTCACGCTGATCGTGTCGTCTAAGGCGGCTTGGGCCGAGCGGTTCCAGCAGCTGCAGGACGCATTGGATGAGATCAACGGGCAGCTGCAGCTACGGGCCATGGACGCGGACTTTGAGTTTGTTGACGCCAAACAGCTAGAGCTGTTCGAGGAGGGCGCTCACTTCTCGGAGGGTGGCGCTCTGCTCGTGCGGCCGGACCAGCACTTGCTAGGCTGCCCGGGCCCTCAAACATCGGCGCGAGACTTGGAGTCACTCATCCGGAGCCATCTGGGACTATAGAGGTGAACCCCCTTGTAAAGTAGCGACGAGACGCCCTCGCCTTATATTCCGCGCAACGCCGCGGTCGGCTTCTATTGAATCCTTGGCGCGTATCTACTGCTCTGTCTCTCACAGACGACCATATCTAGCCTAGAACTCATATATCGCACATACTTTGCTCCCAATGCAACAATAATGGCCCGGGGTGAGCGTCGACATGGTTCTATGGATCTTGGATTTGGTGTACAGGTTCTTCGTTAGTCGTTCTTATTCCTGATCTTGCGACGCATGAAACTCCCTCTTCTCCCCCCCCCCCCCCCCGATCCCCAATGTCCACGTGTTCTGATCTCCCTATCAGATCACCGTCGATTCTGCCTTATGAGTGTCGTCGATCTAAGATTTCCTAGTAGCTTTCACAATTTCGTGCTCGACAATAACTACCGAATTCAATACAAAAGGGAAGCACTACTCTCGCTCGCATCAGCGGGCGTTCACCGCTCCCATACAGCTGCGCTCGACGTGGATCAAGTTTGCGCTCGACGTTTTTAGCGTGTCTAGCCCTTGTTTCGTCCCCGACATCTAGACTAGTGTCCCCGGGGTGAGGTCCGAACTAGTATGAGATCGTCGTGCGGCACGGCGCAATGGAAGCTCTTGGCGATTTCACCGCGCAAGATCACGCTAACAAACCGCTAGCTGACCTAGCGCCACTATTTTGGACGGGGGAACGTCCTGCCCCCGTGACCTAGCGAAACCGTTGAAGGGGGGTAACACACGGTAGATCGCCGCCGGGGGTGTCGCAACTGGCGGAGCATGCTCACGTTGGACCTGACTGACAGCGGGAATCAGCTCATCCATCACTACAGAGTTCCGCGGTCGTTTCGTCCACTGCCGACCTAAACCCATCGGACAAGATGCCTAGAAGAACTTCTCTGCGCACCTCTTCTTTTCTGGCGCCTCAAATGGGCTGGACGAGAGGCAGCGACGTGATTATGCTTTCTTAGCCTAGTCTGGACTTGGGTGCTAGGATCTTCTCAAATGTCCGTGGCGCAGCTGAACATGCATGTAGGCGCTTATGCAAAACGGGCAGTTGAGTGATTCGCTGAGCGAGAAACACGCGTTGGAAGTGAGTGTGCTTGCGTTGAGGACTGGCTGCCATACATGTCCTGGGAAATTATATATCACAAGGACTCAGTGACTTGGATGCAACAAAACTGACCGGTTATTTTTTCAATAGAATTTATGAATCATTCCCTGTGCACTACACAACATCTATTACCGGGTAGGCCACTTCCACCCTGCCGCCCGCCCGCTTGTGCCCGATCAGCGTCCACTTTACATTAGGGCGGAACATGCCGAGTAATTTCAGTCCAAAGTAAGAGCGAAGGCCTTCTGCCTATAACAGGTCAAGAAAAATTGAGTATACAGATTTTTAGACAAACTGGCTGCCGCTGCTGCAAGGCAGAGCTCTCACTATGCGTCGCGTTTGGCAAGGCCATAAGGCCGCTACCGACAGGCCTCTTCACTAGCGGATTACTGAGCCGTTCGGCGGCTTGAGCCTAGAACAATCTCGCATAGCGTAGCCGCCGAGCTGAATCGCTTCGTTGTGATGTTGGCTAATTTCGTCGTCAGATAATTATTGGGATGCAGTCTGCTGACATGCAGCCTCAAGAGCTGAGTTTCAAAGTTCGAGACTAAGGTCGGTTTGGTAGAGGCGGGCTTCAAGCGCCCACCCACGAGCAGTATATTGACGAATGTATTTTCAAGCCGAGTGGAAGTGGTTCGGACTATTTCTGTTTGAGGTGATTTAGGGCGTCGAGAACTTGACCACCAGCATTCCAAGGACAGATAGTCTCACAAGCTGAATAGCCTAGCTGTGGACGTCCATTATCTCTGTAGCCGAAGGGCTTCGGGCGTTCACTCTAGAACGGTCTATTGAATTCCAAGAAAAGAACGTCTAACGATTGCTTGTGACAGGTGACCCTATGTCTGCTCAATTTTGGCTTTAATGTACGTTGAACAAAGAGTATATATCACTCCCAGCCATGGGTTCATTCCCGTCAGGCTCTACAGTATTCGTGTTGTCCGCAACTATCACTCTCACGATGAAACCCTCTCTCGCCCGCGGGGCGATACTCTTTGCCCTATCGGGTGCCAGCATTGTCCTCGGCCAAGACTTTTCGAGCTCTAGCAGCGTTGATCAGATACCTCAGACAATCACAGATTCCGTGCCAGAGGTGTCAACGTCTTTGCTTGATGTATCCGTCACCGAACCTCTGGAGGGCGAACCGGGCGAGACAGAACCAGCAGATCCGGAAATGACTGCCAGTGAGCTGACCGACTCCTCAAGCAAAGTAGAAATAGACACCGAAACCATGGAAACAACTCTGGCCACTTCTTCTGAAATTAGCCCAATCGAATCGTCGGCAACGTCTACTGAAGCTGCCGAAACTCCCTCGTCTACCGATGAGATCGGAGATGAAAATGAGATTACGCTCGTAACAGATCCCTCGCTTCTCAAAAACTCCACAGAACAATTTGTTCCTGTTGAAATCACGCCGGAGAACTATTTAGCGGAAGAAGCCGTTAACAAGCCTATCACGGAACTTTCCGAAGAAGACGCCAAAGAGATTGCTATTCTCGAGGGGTCCCTTTTCAACGACTTTGTGGAGAGCGCGCCAGCGCCGGTTGACGATGGCATGCTTTCTATTCCATTGAACACATCCGAGTGCGATGTCAACCTAGAAAAGAGGATCTGGCCGTTTAAGGACTACAAAGACGTACGACAGTGCATCCCTATCCGGTCGCTCGAGTTTGACGTGCATTATAACTTTATCCTCCCAACCACATACGGCTCAGTGCCTCCGGATCTCTGGAGAAGGGTTGGCGTGAACGTGAGTGTGGCTTCTCCTTTGATAACCCCCTGTTCATGCGAATGTGCCACTCATCGGTGTAGAGGGCACAACACTGACATGGAGGTAATAGCATGGCGTCTTGATGGACGTTTTTGGACCACTTGGTATCACCCTTACCATCCGAACTGCGCAGAACTGGTGGCCTCCAACCAATGGCTCCAACAGCAACTGGACCACCGTCAAGCAGGACGAGGAGCGGCTACGCCGCTGGCAGCGCCAAAGCCACAAAGGTGGTAAGATGGCTTTGAATATCTGGATGGTTCCTGGCCTGGCCGACTTCGAAGTCAATGGCGTCAGTATGAGTCTTTTCGGGGTATGTGAATCGTGCAGATCTTGACCGCAAAATCAGAGCATGGTTGCTGACTTGTACCCTTACGCCGCGAAAGTATGCCACATTCCCCAGAGACATCGCGCAGAAGGGGAAGACCGACGGTATTGTTTTGAGAGAAGACTTGATGGACAATTTTGTGCAAGGCACGCGACGAGGTAGCACGCTCATTCACGAAGTTGGCCACTGGCTGGGTATCTACCACACCTTTGGCAGGGTCGTATCCGACGCGGCTGAAGATTGCAAGTATGATGATGGCCTACTCAAATCTACTCACACGCGCGGTCACGAAGATAGCGTGTTTGAGTGCGTTCAGATCCCGTGCGCCTCAGAGAAAAGATTCAGCATCTATAACTGGATGAGTGTAAGCCAAACCCGCCTGGACTCTTCCCATATTTCCTCGCCATACTATTTTCTGGACAACATGCTAACTTGGCGCGCGTTGTGCAGTATTCCGATTGTCCCGGCGGCCCTGGTGCCACTCGTGGATTTACAACGGATCAAAAGGCCGCGATGTTTGCACGAAGCATATACTGGCGGCGTGGCATTAGAAATGCCGAGTGCAACCCCTCTGACCCCGGCGGAAGTGTCAGCAAACGTTCCACAATGCAGGATCTCGTTGATGGAAAGTGTCCTGATGTGGATCAAGCAGTCGAGGAAATCCAGAACTACGACCAGGAGGTCACGGACGAGTCCCTGGCTGATCCTGAGATGGGAGATGAAGATAGTAATGATGGCGCCAGGGCTGATGATGAAGATGACACTGCGGCTCACATACGACTGATGTCTTCACTTGGTTTAGGGATCACGGTCACCGCTGCTCTTTTCATGCTCATGTAAGCTCTGGCTCAGGAACTTGGTCAATTATTTGCGCCCTTCTGGTTTGGTACGTAAACTTGAAAGTCCCTAATTCGTTTCTCCACCGTATTGTGCGAGCGACACACCAGTAGACCTTCTGCGCCATGACCACTCTAAGGCACCGCAGCGCCTCTCGTGCTGAATAATTCACTGGATTCCGAAGATGTCTAAAATAAGCGGATTGTATAGAAGAAGACAACAAATAGACCTTCAATGCCCTGAGATCTGCAGAATACCGAATACGAGTGCCACTTGATCCACGCTGCACAAGTTGCGTGAACGAGGATTAACAGCCTTTAAAATGTTTCGCGGTACAACCCTGTTGTATATAAAAAAGTTTGAAAAAAAAATATGGAAAAATTGGAAAAATGCGACGTCACGGTCTTCTTCCGTAGCAACAGCGCCTATAAGCCCTCTTCTACCCGATACATGAGCGCCTTTGATGGGCGGCACTGACTAGCCTAGCTTGACAACACAATGTAGAGTCCCTGAGTAGTCGATTCAAAGCTAAGATCAAGATTATACTAGTCCAGCTAGACGCGCATCTGTTGATGCTTCTGTGACCTTGAGGGGACCAATTCAAGGCCCCATTCACGCACGACAGCGTACTGCTCCATCTATCTCATGAAACGGGGCTCATTCTGGGCCGTTCCGCTGCAGGGCACTTTCACAATTGACAGTTCTCGGCTCCGAAGACTTGCAGCGTGTACGAACCCTAATCACTGGGCAACCGGTGGACGCGGAGAGCTTACTGGCTCAAGTTCCTCGCGTGATTTCCAGCACCCCATGACCTCTCATATACAGTTTGCGCTGCTGTGGGCAGGGTACCATAGGGCGAGGGCTAGCGAGTAAACTCAAGTGCTCAAGGCGGCCCAGCCTTTCAGGGACCAGCGAGTCGTTGCATCTTCGAGCTTCTTTTCAATGTGAGCTACGCACGATCGCCAAATATACATCAAAATCTCCGCAGTCGGCTTAGCCTAGACTCTGATATTAGAGGAAAAGATCCTGGGTATCCTTCATGTGGACCTTGGTGTGGCAGTCGCGGACGAGGACATTCGTGGCTTTGCAATGACCTCGCAACACAGCCAGATGAAGGGGCGTCTGCCAGCCAGAGTCACCATTGTCGACGCGAAACCCAATCTCGACGAGCCGGGGAAGCGGCTCCCAGATTCCGCTCATAGCCGGATAGTGGAGTAAAGTGCGCGCCGTGTCCGGGTCACAGTCAACTGATCCTCTTGTCATCCGGAGCATGGTTTTGAACACTACTGTTCACTGCCGGGGCAGAGGCGATTCGTCGAGCTGATCAAGCAGTGTCAAGTGATACTCACCCATGAATTTGGCAAGTTTTGTCTCCGTCGCAGCGTCAAGGACCCCTTGAGGTCGTCTCCAACTGTTGTTCTCGATTGCCCTGCTCAACTCCCGGCGCTGGTCTCTGAGTTCCTGTGATGTTTGAGTGTCGTGCGAGTCCCTGGGCCGGGCCACTGCCGATCCATGAATGTATCCCTGCCCACCAAAGCCTATCTCGCCGACGCAAAGCTCCCTCAGTCCAACGGGCGCTAGTCGAATCGCGTCTAGATGAAAGAGCCACTTGGGATCTAAGGGCTGGTTGATGTTCCCTGAGGGCACAATCGAGAACAGATCCTTGGCGAAGGCTGCCGCCTCTAGTGCTGCATAACCCTGCCAAGCCTTATTCTTGTGAGAGATAGCGTAGTCGCAGATGCCACGGGGGACTATGCTGGGAAAATCCTTGACCACCCTTGTAGCCTCCATCTCGAGGCACAGTGCTTAGTATCTTTTGCCAATCTCGTTCTTCGTCTGGTCATGTTTGATGACCTGATTGCCGGAGGCGATGGTGTCAAAGAGCGGTACTGAGGTAGCGCGGCGATCAACGAGGTCGACTATTCAGGTCCGATCACAGGACGGGCAGTCCGATGCCGGGGCACAGCGGTGGTCGTAGTCTGCCGCGAAGAGCAAGTCGAGTTCTGCCGCTGGTCGTCGAAACGTCGTCGCTTTTTCCGGAGAGAGTTGTCCAAGCCCCTCATTAACATGGATCGGGAAGTGTCAAGGAGACCTCTCTAAGCCGCACTGCCCGCGGAGAGTACTGAGCGCTGTCATGGCCAACGGAGGCGGATCTTCGAGGCTCCCGCGATGACGAACCTCCCCTCGGCGGCATTTTTGCCATGGAATCACTGGACAACAGCTCTGCAGTCACCCCCCGGGACGCCAAAAATCACGTCGCCTAGGCGAATGTCGTGCTCTCTGCTAGATATGTCGCCGCCGATCCCAACCAGCAGTGCGCAGCAAAGATGTGGTAGGAATGACCGTTTCATATTTCTAGCAACCGTGGCAGCCGGCGGCGTCGTCCCCATCTCGGGCAGACAGGCCAGGACAACATCATGGGTGCAGATCGTCCCGAGGACGTACATGTTCGAATCCCCCGAGAGCTGGGGCAAAGCCCGGTGAACTTCATCGAGCATTGATATCGCGGTTGTCAGCTCTAGCGACAAAGGAAAACCCCACCCAACAGTGTAGCATCCCCTGCTGAGGCGAGGCGGGGTTGAGGATCCGTGCATCGCCTCTGCGCACATGCAAGATTGACCTGCACAAATCCCCGGCAGTCAGCACGTCTCACGTACGACTACGCAGCATTTATGAAAAGAGTCCATACCAAGGGGGGTTCACGGTTCAGTCTGCAAGTAGACTCGAGCGGCGGAGACTACATGTACACTGAAGTTAGGGCAGGATGCAGGCCGGCTTTGATGAACAGCCAGATTGGTCCGAGGGTGAAGACAAATGAGGAGGGCGGACAAGAGGGGGAAAGCCATGTGGCGCGCAACAGCAAGGTTTATCTAGCCCGGTAATGTTCAATATCTTCAACTCGCTGATCGCCTCCACATCCGTGTTGCTGTTGTGTCTTTCTGGAATTCTTTACGAAATATCGTAAGGATTTTTATTTTTTATTTTTTTTTGTTTGCAGAGCGACATTGCTACTAATGTCCAGTGATAGCATGGGTCTGGGCTCCGGCGCCACCATGCGAGATCAGCTATACTGAGAATTTACGTCAGTAGCCAGGACTCTCGCTAACTACGAGGACTTGAGAAGACCAGCGCGGCTGTCAAGCATGCATCAGTATGGTGGGATAGCCATGGCGATCCGTGGGGGTCATTCCGACCACAAGTCGGCGTATTTCGGTCAAAATTTTCGTTCTCGTTCTCGCTCTTTCACTGTTGGCAATTTTCCGTCAACAAACCGAAAGGTATTACGATTTCACGAAGCAATTTTGTGTCTCAACTACAGAGAAGGTGCCTAGACATTATAACCCATTAGGAGGACCAGCGGGGTTTGGTGCAAGCGGCTTAACAGTCATAGACAACCCCTACCGCAATGTGTAGGTATGGTGTCGTTGCCTTTACGGTGTTGTTCACTACACAGTGTCTCAGAGCCCAGGCTCGGCGACGGCGAGGAAGTTCCAGATCCCTAACGTGATCAAGAAAATCACACTTCCATGATGCAAAAAGTCAAAAATCCTTCCACCATTGCAACTTCGGATACCGGGGAGAACAGAAACAGCGTAGATGCTGTCTACTGATATGCTTTCACAAACCTAATTACAGGCTAGTCGTTGAGCAGGCATTCTTGAGAACCTAGCTACATGGTTTCTGATCCTTCAAATTCGGATTCGTTTGTATCTCTATAGCCATGTGAGAAGCCGGACCTAAGTGGACGGTGACGTGATATGATCGACGTCTACCTTAAATGACAGGCGCCAAGATTAACGCGATAGTATATGCAGGATTGCATGACCTCATTTCTAAGAATACCAAGACTCTCCAAGGTCTTGGTCAGAACTCTCCGCCTCGCCAAGTCCTGCATGTATTTTGTAGCTTCTCGATTTGGTAGTAACTGCAAGACAAACAGGGAAGTCATCTACTTCATCATCGTCATGTATTCTCGGCACGCATAATATGATCTCATCTTGGGATATCCGGACGAGCTTTGGAAGGATCAGTTTTGGAAGGATGAGGCTTGGCGCGTCTAGAAGGATTGCTAGACCCGGGCACGAGACGAGCCGAGACGAAAGTGAAATCTACTTAAAGAGATAAAATACCATGGTAGTCGCTGCTCTGATCGAGAAGGACCAAACACACTAAGATATCACTCGAGATCACGGCAAACGAAGCTTCTTCAGACAATTTCCAATTCTCCTCTACCACCAAGATGCATATGCCTCTATTCTTGACATTTTCAGCTCTTGCGCCACTTGTTTTAGGTGCTGCCATCGAAGCTCGCCAACAAGACGGACAAGTGTACTGCGATAGAGGAGACGACGAGATCAACGCTGATGACTGCCGCGGCGCCGCCGACCTGATCAATACAGCTTCTGGATTTTACGGGCCGCTCGCTCAGTTTCGATACGGAAATTGCATTATCGATGTCGCTAGCCGCCTCGGGGTCGTCAATTCTATTCCTGGTCAGCTTTATAAAGACTCCGTTCTGAGCGTCCTGGACACGTGTGGTGGGCCTGGCTATGTTTACCAGCGAGGTAATGAGGTAAGAAGAGACACTTACCTATACTCTGTAATTAATGTCTAACGCGCTCGTGCACAGGTCGAGGTCTATCGCTGCGAGATTTGCTCGTACGGGGTGTGCGCTAAATGCGATGACCCCGGCCAGGGGCCCATGAAACGCGACGTTAATGAAATCGAAGCCGCTCCCCAAGTACAGAAGAGACAAGACAGCCCTGAGCCGGGATTGTCCTGCGGAGGCTGGAACCCAGCTGTCGAAGCGGACAACTGCCGCGATGCCGCCAACGAGCTCGACGCCCAGGGGGGAAACGTCGAGCTTCCTTTCCGCGAAGGTGTTGCCGGCTGCCAAATTGCTGCTGAGCAAAAGCAGCCTGGTTTATTCATGCCACGAAGCCAGATTGCCGCCATTCTTCGTCATGGGACGGACCTATGCGAGAGCCAAGGGTACATTGGCAAGATTAGCGACACGCAGAATTGTAGGTGCTGATTAGTATTCTTGTTGGTATAATATGCTCAACCTATCTGACTCTCATCTATAGCTTATTTTGACGTTTTCTTTGGCAAAATTTGTGGTCAGTTTGGCTTCGGTTATGGTGGTTGCACGCCGTAGGATGGGGGCGGTACGGCACGACGTGGACAGCACATACGGACACGGTCTTTTATCGACAGTCAACTACTGCATTCATATTTACTTACTCTACTATACAGGAAGTTTAGCTTTACTATGGTCAGTCTCTACCTAACTAGCTTCTCAGTACTTCCTGAAACACGTACAGACGAACTAGCCCTTTGGCCAATACTTTGCATTAGGCAAGATCGAGCGGACGCTGCAACAAGCGGAATAGCTGTGATTTCTCCAAATGTGTGAATTAGGGATCAGTCATCTTGGTTGACCAAACTTTGGTCAATGGCGCGGTAGGTATGGAATGGGACAGCAAAGCCAAACGTACATACATAGATCATGAACCTATGCGAAACAAGATGCCTATTGGAAAAAGGGTTTTCTTTTTATATCAACCAATTCGAAGACTAGTACCAGTGTCAAACGATCCTTAATCCAGAACGGATGATTTCGCCCGAACGGCTCATGACCACATCATAAACCGACACTGGTTCACCTCAGGTCATTTCGACCACGGAAAAAGTGAATGGCAAAAAAACATACAACAGCCGGTATTCGCTGGTCGTCACCGACCCAACTACTAATCAGCCCCTTAGCGGCTTAACTATAGGAGAGCGGACGGGATCCCGTATTTTCCGCTAGGTATGGTCGTATGTACAAATTAGGGACGTTAGTTTAAATCATAATGTCTTAACACAAAATTGTTAAAACGATTTTCCAGCGGATGCTAACCTATGATTATATCCACCCACGTTGCGGCAAAGAGAATTTACTAGAGTGTTCCGAAAGGGAAACTTGGGTGATGGAGTATGGGGCTGTCGGGTCCACCGCATAAGACATGCCATCTTCCTGGACAATCCTCCATGAAGCGATTTCTAATGAGTATCGATAAGACCGTGGGCAACTGTTCTGTGCCGTTGGGCTTTTCATGCGTCTACTGGCAGGTTTTTTACGGGTTTACCCTTCCCTCTGTCGCGTGTGGTCGCGTCTCGCGAGGTCGTTCTGGGACCGTGCCAGCCCAACGTACACTGCCTTGAGTGGCTACCGACCAAGATACCTTAGCGGTAGGGGTCAATTTTGCCCATTTGTTTTTAAGGGATCCAAGGTGGTCTCAAAGATGTCTTGGTCAGCTTGTCCGTTCTCGTAGTTGAAAAAATGTGTTCTTTGGAGGAAATATATATCCATGATTTCACAACATCGACGGACAACGCGCGTCGACCACAAATCACTTGTCTAAAGACAGACAATTTGAACAGTTCCTCGAATTGATCTTGTTGACCTTTCCTTCGGTATTCGAATTGGTGAATATTGACGATATGTTCTTCCTAAAGGCGGCAGATCGAGTCCGAACTGGTGTCCAACGTAACTTGAGTCAATCTTGAAGGCTCCGCTGGGTTTGTCTTGGTGAGTCCAATGAGATGGAACAACACCAACCTCCAATGTGCGGATATATACTCTTCGTTCTCGGGGAGACAAGCCGCACCAGCAAAATAAATCCTTTTTGAACTGCCATGGTCATTGCAACCGCAAGAGTTTCGCCCTCTAGTCCCGCACCAGCCGAAGAGCTCAAGAGAACTTATACGCCATCGACTTCACTTTCAACGATGTGGCGGAAAAGTTGCGGCTTGGCTTCATCTTTTCCGAAGTTACTGAAGCGATCCGACTGGGATACTCTAGGTGATGTAGTGAGCTTTGAGCCAGTATTTGTTTTCGGCATCCTTCATCTTTCATCCGGACGGCCAGGGACAAGACTTGGCAGGGCATTTCCAAGGTTCTCTGTGCTGGCTAGTGTGATGCTTTTGTTCCAGGTCTGATGTAGAGTCTAAACGGGAACGTTCGCAATACTGACAAATGCATGTATAAATATGAGTCGTGTACTGTCCTTGGACGACCGCAAATTGCCGGTCGCAGCCGGGGCCGTGTCTTTTTTCGCCGCAAATGAGGACCTCGTAACGCCTTCAAACCCGAAACAGCATGTGAAAGATAGTCAATGAATGATTGCAGATCAATTTCTCTATGTTTGGCCGCATCAAGCGGCTGAGCTACTACACGGACTTGCTTACTATCATCGGACTTAAGGTAAACCTCTTCGTAGCGGTTCTTGTACTAAATACCACGCTCCTCTGCCACCAGTATTGGAACAAAGGCCTTATAAAGCTTATCTTATGCGGATTTGGTTTCTTTAGCAGCAGATCCATAATACTTTCTTCCGAGCGCGGAGAGCTTGATATATAGCGGCATAGCTAAACTTTCCGTAACTCGAAGATTTCATATGTGATAAATTCAAAACTGTGAGTTGCCGCTAAAATTAGGCTCCTCTTAATAAGTTTATTAAAGGGTTCGCTATTGAATCTAAATACTAGTAGTCTAAGAAGTAAGAGGAATATCATTGAGCAATAATCGGACGACCTCGCTATAGCCGCGAATTATAATGATCTCTAAAGCTATACCTAGAATATCTTCAAGGGAATGCGTTATATAAAGGGTCTCGGTATTAGAGGGGAGAAGGTACGTGTAGCCTCTGTATCGCCTCGATAGGCGGCCTCGTTAATAGTATGATCTTTATCTTAGGCTCGTCTAAGATAATCGAGAAGTACATGTGTGAGAGGACAAGTCTTCTACTTCTACTACTTGCCTATAATGTATAAAGGAAAAACTACTTAGGAGGGTCTTTATTTCGTATAGTAGTGGTGGCGGCAATCAGCCGTGAAGGTGAGAACTGAGAACACTAGGGCCCAGATCGGCGCGTGTATAGAGAGCATCGGTTTCAAAAAAAAAAAAAACACTACTAGACCTTCATTATATGCGCAAGAGATCATATTATGTCTTCTGCAAGAATTACCAGAGAAATGTATTCCCGATTTGCTTGGCAATTATATAGTAGACTGAGCCCTCTCTGCTGCTCCAAGGCAGCTCTTCGTGTAAAGAGTCAAGAAGTAGATAAATGAAACCTTGCCGTCTAGCCTCGGGCTTTGGCTTGATCTAGGAATAGGCTCAATGTGTGTACCTGGCGTGACAGACTCGGTTTCTCCATTTCCACCTAGTCTATCATGTTAAAATACATTCTCAAGAAGATAAGATATCCCCTCCTGGCGATAAGTATCCGGCTCCACATAAGCAAGTTGAGTGGCGTTCACGTCGAACATCAGGTTCTGGGGGTTCTCAAGATCATACTTGGGCCATTTCAGACACGTCACTATGTGGTTGCGTTAGTTACCATCCATCAAGAAATCCAACTGTGTGGATACTCACCCTTGTTGTGATTGGGGTCTTGGTGGTTGAAGAAGCTCACCCACATCCTCGACATCAGGTTGGCGAGTTTGGGAAATGCCTCGCCTTTCCCCGTGAAAGGGTTCACAGACACTGCGTTTGTGTAACCATCTGCCTGGAGGTTGTAGAACACGAACACAACTTCTTGGAAATGTGTCGCGCCCACGGCGGGAGAGACTCCGTTCACGTAGACCTCAAAGTTATAAGACCATACAGGAACACCTTTTTCCGCAAACTTTTGTACCCCCAGACGACGGGGGGCGTGCATAGAGGAATCCCCGGTGTACGCTGCCACTCGCTTCCACTGAGCCCCAAGCAGTGCCAGGTCTCCCTCGGGGTGTCCAACAAGGGATTCCGGAACGCCAAGTTCCGGGATGTCGGGATATAGCTCCGCAATATCGACTGCCGTGTCGGCACCGATTCCCATGCTGGTGAGCATGGCAAGGAATTGGTCCGTAGTGTTGATGCCTTGACGGCCGAAAGCTGTGCCTTCGTCATGGTTCTGGCCCGTGAGCACAGGCACAGGGACGAATTTCCCCTCCTGGATCAGCTCGGTTGGGGGCTGCTCAAAGAAGTCTCCGTCAACCACGTTGCCCCAGGCCGGGGCAAGGCCGGGGAGGGAGCTGTTGAAAACGGCACTGAGGTCGGCAGTCGGCACCTCTCGTATGCAAGACAACGTGTCGGAAGCACCAGAACAGCCCGTTTGGTTCAGGACAGCCTGGTAGTAGGGCTCCCATTGCTCGACGGTTGCGCCTACTCTCTGCGACGGGAACACTGGCCAACCGCTCTGCAAGACGGCGCCCTTGATAAGTCCGTCATCACGTCCACCGTATGCAATAAGCTGGGAGCCCACGCTGAATCCACCAGCACTTTCGCCCCAAATGGTGACTTTGGATGGATCGCCGCCGAAAGCGGCAATGTTCTCCTGCACCCAGTGCAGTGCGAGGCGCTGGTCGCGAAATCCGATATTAGAGCCGCCCTCTTCCGCGATTTCAGATCCGTACAGGAAACCCCAGGCGTGAAGACGGTAATTGATGCTGACCGCGACGATAGGCTCCTCCATCCTGACTGACTGGTCAACAATGAAAGACAGGTTATATCGAGGATCGGAGCCACCGCCCATCACCAAGCCACCTCCGTGGATCCAAAACGCCACAGGAAGATTGTCTCCAGCGGCCGTACCAGCTGGGCGGATGACATTGATGGTGAGGCAATCCTCGGAAATGTAGTTGCCGAGGACCCAGTTGTCACTCCCGTAGCCTATGCACTGGCGAGAGTACTCGGTTGCGTTGCGCGAGCCCTCCCATGTGGTGTTAAGGGACTGCGGTACCCTGAAGCGAAGGTCGTTGACGGGTGGCTGGGCGTAAGGCATCCCGAGGAAGAAGTCTTGGTCGTACTCTTGGTTGTGCAGGCCGTAATAACTTCCATTACGAACTTGGACTGTGGGCGTAGACTGTGAAAGAGCTCCATGGAAAGATGAGAAGAGGGCAATCTGCCCAAGAATCCATGTTGACGACCGCATAATGATGTCGGGTCCCCAGCAAGTCAAATGAAGAGTAGAGAGGACTAGACAGGGCTCAGGTTAATAGCCACATTCTGGGACATGGTTTTATCGTGGAATCCGGACGACAAGGCAATATCCTGCGAAACAGAACTGTTTTTGCGTGTTGCCGACGGGACGTTGCCCCATCCTTCCCCACAATCTGAAGTTCCGTGCG